TAGGTTACGACCTAGATAGAGAGTCGCCGGCCGCTATAGTACTATAGTAGTAAGGGCCGTTATAGTGTAAGTAGCGTTCTAAGAAAGGAGAGAAAGGGTAATAGCCTTAATAGACAGGTTAGTATTAAGGTACGCTCTATATTTAGGGTCTTTAGCTAACTTATAAGGTAGTAAAGGTAGTGGCTATAGTAGTAGTAAGGGCGATAGCCCTAATAGACAGGTTAGTATTACTATACACTCTATATTTAAGGTCTTTAGCTAACTTATAAGGTAGTAGTAGTAGTAAGGGCTAGGGCGATAGCGGCTGTAACGCTAGCTAGGAACACAGCTTTAAAGCTAGAAGAGAGAGAGCTAAGGACTAAGCTAGCCTAACTATTAACAAGCTATTAGCTATATATATAGTAGTCTGTTACGGCTAGAGGTAGGTAGTTACTTACGTACTAGTAAGGGGGTTACTATTATAAGTAAGGAGGGTTAGTAGCCTATTAGATCTGTTAGTCTCTTTACTCCCTAGATCTAAGGGTTAACTTACTATAAGCCTCTACAAATTATAGTACCTTTAGTAGGCGTAAGAAAGTCCTTTTTAAATCTATCTATCTAGAAATAGTCTATAAGGTTAAGAATAATAGGCTGTAAGTAAGGCCGTATACTAACTTTGTCTTTAGTGTTATAGTTATAGTTAAAGTTAGAGTTGTAGTTATAGTTATAGTTAAAGTTAAAGTTAGAGTTAGAGTTATAGTTATAGTTAAAGTTAAAGTTAGAGTTAGAGTTAGTAGTAGGTAAGATAAAGGATCGTTAAGATCGAGTTTCTATATAGCTAACTACTACTATTGTCTCCTTTAACAGTAACAAAGAGATTAATTAAGCCCCTTATAGTTAATAAGAGTACTCTATCTGTAAGTAGCGATTTTAATATCACGTGCCGTTACTATTGTTGTCTACAGGTAATAAGAGCCTTAATTGTTCTATAGGTGGCTTACTAATCACATATTTTCAGGTCACGTGTCTAAGCATTGTACCCACGCGAGCGAAGCGAGCGATTGTATCCTAGTCTTTTAAGGTTATACTGATTTTACTATTGTAACAGAAACTGTAGGCTGTTTGATTATGTACGCTAGTTTCGACCTGTTATATAGCCTTAAAAACGCTCTGATTTAACGCCGTTATATGCTAGTAAAAATGCTCTAAACTCAACCTGTTATATAGCCTTAAAAACGCTTGAATTCAGCCTGTTATATAGCCTCGACAAAACTCGGATTCGACGCCGTTATGCCTTGAAAACGCTCTGATTTAACGCTGTTATATAACCCTAACAACACTTAGATTTGACGCCGTTATATGCCTTAAAAACGCTCTGATTTAACGCTGTTATATAACCCTAACAACACTTAGATTTGACGCCGTTATATGCCTTGAAAACGCTCTAATCTAACGCTATTATATTCCTCGAAAACGCTCTGATTTTGTGCCGTTATATAGACTTAAAAACGCTACTATATGCCTATTAGTGTAACCCTTTATCCTTAAACTACTAACCTGTTAAGGGCCTGTAGAACTACCTGTCGAGCTACCTATAAAGCCACCTACCTGTAGGGCTACTTACCGGTAGGGCTACTTGTAGTGGCACCTGTAGTATGCTAGTTCGAGTACTAGTTCGAGTGCTAGTTCGAGTGCTAGTTCGAGTGCTAGTTCCTTGTTCAGGTAGAAGGGGGGATATAGACACGTAAAAATATATAGGTAGGTAGGGAGGTAGGTAAGAGAGCGCGTACAGCGCGTGTAGGGGCCTGAGGCAGCGAACCGGGTAAGGGGCTAATGAGAGCTCGAGAAACATCCTTGTTTTTACAGGGGGTTTTCGGCAAAACATCGGTCCATTTTCCAGTATAGGGTAGACTAGATTAAAACCCGCGCCCAGGCCTTCTTGCCACAGGCTTTCTAACTGCCCCTTGGCGCGATGTTATCTTCTTTACAGCCGATGATGGCGGTTTCTTTGCCATCTTGGCATTTTCACTCTCCAACCTTTGCTGCTCACGGAGTTTATCTTCCGCCATCTTCGCCTCAATCTCCATTCTCCTATTGAACTCCACCTCAGTAACTCGCTTCTCTCGTGCAGAATACCCCTTTTCTTTGACCGAATAGAAGACACCGCCCAACTCAGCAAGCCAGTGGGGATCAACGGAGGTTACAGTTGACATATATTCTTTCGAAGTGAGAATCAGTTCGTGATATACCACGTAATCTGGGAGATATCCTAGTCCATACAGGGCACTCGTGGGGTGTAGTTGGACGGTGACGCTTGTTCTCAGATTGACATACTCCCCAATACCCTTAACTTTTGCAGCTTGGTGGTAATATCCCGAACATATACATTTTCGAATGATATCCCAATCTGTGCCGCAGCTGATCATTGTCATCTTCTGCATCTTCATAATATCCAGGAGCTGCTCTCTAATCTCCTTTGCTCTGCGTAAGGACTTGGGATGTAAGAAATGACGAGTGCACCACGCGTCAGAATATCCGTTCGTTTTCCATTGAGAGTAGACGTGGAGATACGTCAAATGATCGGATTCAGGGACGAAGAATTTCTCGCGAGCCGCATCGGATTCGTCTTGACGTTCTTTGGGCCTGTAGAATACGTTGGGAACGGAAAGCATAGAGACAATGGTAAGCATCTCCTCACTACACCCATAATCCTCGGAGGTAATCAATAGCTTGGCCAGGGAAGGATCCATGGGGAAAGCCGTCATTTTCCGGCCTATGTCTGTCAAATCTCCAAGATTGTCCAACGCTCCCAATGCCCAAAGGTCGAATAGTGATGTGGTGATAGTATCTTGAGGTGGAGGATCCATGAAATCAAAGTCTAGCAGATCCTTGACTCCAAGTGACTTCAGCAGTAAGACTGTATTGCTGAGATTGGTGCGTTGAATTTCGGGAATTGTTTGGATGTATAACTCGTTCTTGAAGGCATCCTCGGTGAAGAGATGGAATGCTTTTCCAGGTCCAGTACGCCCTGCGCGCCCAGCTCTCTGGGATGCATTTGCTTGTGAGATAGGTGTGATTTGTAGTGTATCCATTCCCATTCTGGGGTTGTAGACTTTTAGTTTCGAATATCCAGCATCGACAACGTACATAATACCATCCACTGTCAAACTAGTTTCGGCAATGTTTGTTGCCACAATGACCTTTCTGACACCTGGAGGGGCTTTATCAAAAATCTTGGCCTGTAGATCAGCTGGCATCTGACTGTAGATTGGTAGAATACTGAGTTTTGGCGGATCATTGAGAGCATTGAGCCGCTCTTGAATAAGTTCGCAAGTCACCTCGATATCTTCTTGTCCAGTCATAAAGACTAGAATGTCACCAGCACCCATTGATACGTGAATAGCCAGGACCTGCTGAACTGCTTGGTCGACGTAATCTTCAACCGGTGAACGGTGAAACATAACGTCGACCGGGAAAGTTCGACCGGGAATGAAAAACTCGGGAGCTCCACCATAGAAGTCAGAAAACCGTTTCGAATTCATGGTCGCAGAGGTCACTATCAATTTGAGGTCCCGGCGACGTGCCAACACCTTCTTGAATAGACCCATGAGCACGTCGGTATTCAATGCTCTTTCGTGTGCCTCGTCCATAATGACACAGGAGTAGCGATCAAGATCAGGCTCATTGAGCGACTCTCTCAGTAGGACACCATCAGTCATGTATTTGATTACCGTCTCTTTGCTTGTACAGTCCTCGAAACGAATAGCGTAACCAACAGTACTTCCTAGCCTGCATTCCATTTCTTCACTGACACGCTTGGCCACGCTCATGGCTGCGACTCTTCGGGGTTGCGTACACCCGATTAAGCCCAGTTTTCCGTACCCGTCCTCGTATAAAAACTGCGTGAGTTGGGTCGTCTTCCCGGACCCCGTCTCACCAACAACGATGATGACCTGGTTATCTCTTATAACTCTTAGCAGATCCTCTCTCACTGCAAACGCCGGTAAAAATTCTCTTTGCTCCTTCAGGGTCTTGCTCTGACTGAAGTTGCTAGCACCTTCATTTTTCTTCATGTGCTGTTCAAATTTGCTGCTGCCCATATGTTCTTCCTCGCCGGGTGCAGCTGCAGCGCTATCCCCCTCGTCTTCCTTGATGCCCATAAGATTGCCGAGTGCCGTTCCTGCCACGTTTGTTGCTTCTTGTGCTTGTTTTTGCCTCTCTTTTTGTTGGCGCCTTTCCTTCACCACCCTACTTCCTTTTCGACTAAAAACAGCCATATCACTCTGATAGTCTCGCACTGCAGGGACAGGTTCCAGCTGTTTCGAGAAAACGGTTCTCCCATCGAGGAACGGAGGCCTGAGATCGTGGACGAGAAGATGGACTCGAGTTGCCTCCTCGTCATCCTCGAAGTCATCTCCAAAATCTCTGCGTTGCGCCACCCCAGACGTGAGCATTCGATTCGTCTCCCAAGCATCAACATCTTTCTGCTTCTGTGCGGCCCGCGCACTCATCCGTTTCCCAGTCTTCTTCGCGGCTAATGCAGCCTCTCTCTGTTGTTCCGCCCACGAGTTGTCGTAGGATCCGAACGGATTGTGCGCGTCATCCCCAAACGTGTGGCCAAATTCATCTCCCGCATACCAGTCTCTATCAAGAGCAGTAGAGTCCTCAGTGTCCACACCTGGTTCGGGGCCATCGAATTCTTCTTGTCGCGGGGCCTTCTTCTTATAAGACGCCCCTATAACGTTATTTGGCGTCTTGAATTTGTTGACCGGATTGGGGGATTGTGTCGAATCATTTTGATCATCATCGTTTGGTCGGAACTTGCGTTTGCGATTATTAACATTGATAGTGAGTTCCTCCATTATTGTTTGTTGTTGATCAAGTAACGGAGGCAGCGAGGCGAGGCTGACAACCATGTCTGCTTCCAGGATGCGCTAGCGGCCGCTTGGTACAAAAATTATAGGACGTGGGATAGAAATCCGAACTTTTTCTCGAAACCCAGTCGGTGCCGCAAAACAGCTATGTCTCTGATAACCGCTACATCATGGGTGCCGCGCGGGTTTGCGGCACCATTTCCTACCAAATACACATTCGATGAGGAGGAGTTCAAGCGCATCGCAGAGCTGGCAAAGCTCCAACTCGACGACGCCAACGAGGAACTGGACGAGGCACGCAATAATGCGACCGAAAATAATGATGCAGATAAGATGGAAGAAGACGGCTCAGATGATGATCTTCCAGCCAAAGGTTTAAAATCAAAAGCGTAGGTTTGAGCAAAAGCGTCTACTTTTCTTGTGCTGACCCCACCTCAGCGAGGAAGACGATGATCTCGCGGAATATGATTTGGAGCACTACGACGACGACGTTGCAGAGGATCAAGAAGGCGAGGGTATCGGTATGGGAATGTTTGGAAATGTCAAGTCACTCGCGTACCACGCTTCAAATGAGGACGATCCATATATTACCATGAAGGAGAACGAGGAGGAAGACGAGGAGCGAGAGGAGCTCCAAATCCTGGCCACGGACAACATGCTCCTGGCTGCAAAGGTGGAAGACGAGGTTGCACACCTGGAGGTCTATGTTTACGAGGACGAAGCAGACAACCTTTATGTACACCACGATATTATGCTGCCCGCCATACCGTTGTGTGTGGAGTGGTTGGACTTACCCGTGGGCAAGTCGAACGTGGAGAAAGATGCGAGAGCAAATTTCGTGGCTGTTGGAACCTTCGATCCAGACATCGAGATATGGGACTTGGACACAATTGACTGCATGTACCCTAATGCTATTCTTGGACAAGGTGGGGAAGATGAGGACCCCAAGAAGAAAAAGAAGAAGAAGAAGAAGTCCAAGAAGGCCAACGACGATTACCATGTGGATGCAGTTCTGTCTCTCGCTGCCAACCGACATCATCGAAATCTCCTGGCCTCCTCATCAGCAGACAAGACAGTGAAGTTATGGGATTTGAACACAACGAAGTGTGCCAAATCCTACTCTTACCATACCGACAAAGTCTGCTCACTGGCATGGCATCCAAAAGAGTCAACTGTTCTCCTGAGCGGTAGTTATGATAGAACGGTCGTGGCTGCGGATATGAGGGCACCTGATGCCAAAGCCCCAAGGTGGGGTGTTGAGAGCGATGTAGAAAACGTGCGATGGGATCCTCATGATCCTAACTTCTTCTACATCTCAACCGAGAAGGGTATTATTCATTACCACGACGTGCGAAATGCACCTTCAGACCCAGCTTCTAGCAAGCCGGTCTGGTTACTGCAGGCACATGATGAATCTGTATCGTCTTTCGACATTAATCCTGTCATTCCTGGGTTCATGGCGACTGGCTCCACCGACAGGCAGGTCAAGCTTTGGAACATACAGCCATCCGGCCCGACCATGGTTGTCTCGCGCAACCTGGAAGTCGGGAAGGTGTTCTCCACTGTCTTCGCACCGGATGAGGAAGTGGGTTTCCGGCTAGCGGTAGCAGGTAGCAAAGGCGTTGTGCAGGTCTGGGTACGTGTTATCCCATCCTCTATCCATAAAGTTCTGAAACTGACTCTTCCCTTGTGTAGGATACAAGCACCAATCCCGCCGTAAGACGAGCATTTGCCAGCCGGGTTGCACCTGTAGAAGGCGAGATCAAGGAAAGATTAGTCAGGGTGGAGAGTGATAGTAGTGATTCAGAAGATGAGGGCGTGCCTGAACCAGAAGAAGCAAAGGGCGGCGACGGTTGGGAATCTATGGAGGAGGACTGAAGGGAGACGGAGGTCTAAAAAAAGACTTAAAAGCTATGGCATGGCATGATGACATGATGATATGCGGTTCGAGAAAGCTTCCATGAAGATTCGTGCATAATAAGTCCCGTCCAACATTCTTAGTCTCGTACAAAGTTTGCAGCCACGATGCGGGTTTAAATGGAGCCTCAGACCTATTCCCGTAGCATCAGAATGGTCAGAAGACGATGTCGCAGTTCTAGCGCAGTCATGAGTGTGGTGAGGTTCATGAAAGGTTATCAGGTTATCAGAATTTGCGGGTCGTGATAAAGGGTCCGATATGCGAAAGAGAAAAAAGACTCTTCTCCACCGCCCCACCAGGAGAAGAATATGTCTCAACCATTCGTTTCCGCATGGGACGCCCGCACTAAGAATAACGATCGCTGAAAGGTACAGTACCTGAACGGATTCGGACGATTCGGACGGAATGCGATGAGCGCCCTGTTCTAAAGCGGTGGGGTCGAAGTCGTCGGTTACCGTTGGTGATTCTTCTTACCTCAGCCCTGCTCCAAAGCCCTCACGCGGCTTCGAGGCACCGCACTCTCCCGGAGTAAATAAAGTACATGCAACGGAGTGAGACTGATCCTGCGAAGGCTGTGCGACGGCAACTGAGGGTGTTGGGAGCAGAAACATCTAAGGCTTAGCATTCCTAATTCTCAAGGACAGAGGATGGAATGTGGCGTTTTCCGGTCAGAGACAGTGCCAGTTCCTGTTTCTAACAATACACACGGAGAAAAAAAGAAGGAAAAACACCAAGAGCGACCAGACTGGCGCCAGAGGCCCAGAATCTCCCAATGACGAATACGCTTAATTCGTCTTGGATATGAGAGGTCACGATGGATAGAGTTCTCGCGCGCGCAACAAGCACACGAAGATGTCGCCGCCAATCTTCTTCTGTGGAGAGACCTGGAGGGTTCGGAGCTCAGGGCTTAGGACTCAGGATCCCTGGTCCAAGGGAGGCCGAATGGACTGGCGGCGCTCGTGGAGGTTTGCACGACGGTGTGACTACTGCTACTGCTACTACTACTACCACGATGCTACTACTATACTACCACTACAGAGTACAGCGAAAGGGAGACAAGTTGACAACAGTGGAACACACTCGGCCGAGGCGTCTGCGTGGCGGATGGTTACAGGTGAAACAGAAAACATCTGATGGATTCCAATCATCAGTGACAGGCGGCGAAGTGACAACCCTTCGTTTCGATTCCCCTGGATGCCCTGGCACCACTCCTGGCCCCGCACGTTTCGACTTTTCTCGGGCGCCAGGGCTTCGCGCGATGCGATGCGATGCTGCCGGGGGATCGCCCATGCCCACTTGATGCGCCCGACTGGTCGATTCTCTATCCAAACGCGCCTTTCGGGAAGGTGAATGGTGAATGGTGAATGGTCTGCAGGGGGAGCCATGAGTCTATAATCGATCCTCCAATGAAGACGACGGTCGCGCGAACCATTCACTCCGAACATGCACATCATTGGCTCCAAGGGGGGAGATGTCCTTGCGTGGTGGAGCCGCATCTCTTACCAGCCCCCCGGTCCTCTCGGTCTTCTCCCTTCTCCCTTTCTGAGTTCTGGCTCTCCCTTCTCCACTCCCACCCCTCCACCTCCCCCCCCCCCGTCCTGCGAAGGCACAGGGCCACTGGCACAGCAGACACACGCTCTGGCTCAGGCCCAGGCGCAGTCAGTATCTGCTGCGAATCCTTTCTTCCTCCTTTTCTCACCATCTTTACTCTTCTCTAGTTCATCTGTTTTCTCCCTTCTCCAAGCCTCGCCAGCATCGCCGGGTCGATTCATAAATCTCCATTCCTTCCAGAACCTGGCTGTTCGATCGTTCTTTGACTTTATCGACCCGCATCACTCTCTTTCACGAGAAGATATCTAGGATATCTAGATACACGGCAGGAGCCACGGCACGCTGTCGGACGACACAACTCGAGCTATTCATATCGTATCTATACCTTTCAGCTGCCGCCGCAGAACCCCTTCGACGCGCTGTCACGGAACAGCAAGCCATCTTATCACACGTACGCATCATCCTGCTCAGTCCTTTCCAACGCAGAGACCAGAGTCAGAGTCACCGAGTCCCCTTTTCCCAGGGTTTGTTGCGCGTCGCGTCAACGTCCCATATCATACCACGCATATCAAGCATCCCAAGCATATCTCTTGTCTGCAGCACGGTCACCAGCAACAATCACCTGGTCAGCCGTTGCTTGTCCAGAACATCCAGAAGTAGCAGCTCGGGGCCCGCGCAACGTCACCCTCCAATCGCATTCAAGCGAGACCTGCAGCTGCTCTCAGTGTTCCCGCGATCACTCCCAGTTAGGCAATTGGCTGCCCCAACCAATATCGCAGTCTTCTCATAAGTTGTATCAGTCGTCTCGTTGCTGGCCGGCGACAGAACCTCGCTCTACTACCCCTAATCATATAGTCTGACGGCAGAACATCGACGGCTTCTGACAATCAAGCCACCATGTCTACCTCACTCTCGCGCGCCTTTACGACAAAGCGCGCCGCAAGGTCGACTGATAGCTTGCCCACAATACCCAAGAGGAGCCTAACAACTAAGCATTCTGGTACCATCAGACAGCAGAAGATCTCAGGCCCGGTAGAGCTTCTCTCTACGACAAATATGCTCTCCTACAACGCGCCGGATATATTCCCACGAAGCAGGTCGTCAACTACTTCTAGTGCTGGCAGTATGACCATGGGTAGCAGTGCTTCTGAAGGTTCACCATCCGTCATTGCAACCCCCCTCACTACCCCAGAGGCATCTTCGATTGAGTCTTCGCCTATTATGCAACCTCCAGATCTCAACCATCTTTCCTGCTACTTTGGCGCATCGGCTTCGGAAGAAGAAGCTCCCCAGATCCCCAAAAGAGCTCCTTCACATACCAAGAAATTGTCAGAGAGGATCGCGCGTAAACGTTCTCTCTCAAGGATGGCCTCGCCCAAGAGCAGCATCTCAACGATCTCGTCTCCTCTAAGCGGGTTTTCAAGGTTATCTTCGCCCAAAAACAGCATCTCAACAATCTCGTCCCCGAACAGTGCCCAGTCTCCCAAAAGCGCGATCTCAAGGATCTCCTCGCCGCAGAACAGCATTTCGACGACTCGGTCATCGATGCAGATGTTTAGCCCGAATCCCGACAGTCTTGACCATCCCTTTGGTAACGAACTTGCCCAAGTCTCCGAATTGGCTGAGCAATTCGGCATGGGCAAAGAGAAGCTGGCTGTCCTTGACGAGGAAGAGCAGGAGCTGATATCTATGGGGCTTTACAAGTTTGCCGCGGACGACTACATGAACGAACTCCAGGGACTTTATATCACTGCGTTTGGTGACCTACCCCCATCGACAACTGTATGGATATAGGATACAGTGGACTGGATCCTCGTATCCTTCTTTTCTACCACGGCAGCGTGGTAACACGCTGCATTTTGTACATAGGTTTATGCCTTTTGGCGCCTTCTCACGCTCCTTAATGACCCCATTAAATGTTTTTTTACGTTCAGGCTCTATGGAAAAGAGGAGGAGTTTGGGCTTCGGCTTGGGATGATGGATTGGATCTGGCCAAGAACTGGGTACCATTGGGGAGTTTTGGGAGACACCCTTTGGTGATCTGGATTGTCACTCTTTTTGGAATTTGGAAGAAGGAGGAAGAAAGAAGGTTGCGCAAGACGCAGGGTAACGTTGTAAATACCAGTGGTAACCTTGCAATTTGAACATATCACATGCACACCCAAGACACGCCCACTCGCATAGATAGACACCCGAAACTCATTTGACGGAATCATCGGGAGAACAACGGCTAAATGCAGTCTTGCCATATATCTGATACACCTCTGCATGTATACCCTCATCCCTAAGATTAGCTGAGTTGCAGGTTCCAAAGATGGGCGCCGCCCCTTCAATTTCCAGATGCGGAGAAGACAGGCCTATAGCATTGACGTTCACAGCAAGGGGAGACAAAAAGTGTGCCTGCAAGGATGGCTATGGGCCGCCACCCCGCCACGCACGTGACCCGGGCCCGTGATGGGCCCCTGGGACCAAGATGGGCTCCCCAGACTCACCATCCTGGTGTTGTGCATCAATGCTATCACAGAGGTAGAGATGGCATCCTGCCTTGCACTGCACTCCTGATTCTACTCTCTACCGCGATTCTTGCCCTTAAGTTCTCTTCCCTCACCCGCTCTCCTTGCTGTTCGTCTAGACCATTCCTCTCTGCCTTTAACGCTCTGCTTTTTTTAATCATTGGAATTCCGACCTACCAAGCCAGTGATACGAAAGAACTTCTCACCTTCGATCTACGGCAAACCCTCCCTTTTTTTTGACTTTTTTATCTTAAAGTTCTGGAATCTTTTGCTCGCAGTCGTGAGAAACCACTGTCCCAAGATGGGCAAGAAAAAGACAGCAGCGGAGAAGGTGAAGGCGGCACGAGAGAATGGGTTTCACGATGACATGACTGGCATCGATGATCGCCATGTCCTCCGAGAGATCCTGCCATATACAGACGGTGTGTATAAGACGCAGATGGAGTATGTGGCAGGAGTAGTTTCTTCCTTATGAGGCTGGCGCTTGAGAACTCCACTGACGCCTGTCTTGCTTCCTTGTAGGTATGAGAAAGACTATCCGGGAGCGACTCGGTGCGATTTACGTTATTCGGAGTTAATGGCCGAGTAATATTGGTGCGGGGACCGCAAAGGCAGGTTAGGAGAGGGTCAACTATCCAGAAACCCAGGAGTTACCTACATGAGCGCAACAGAGTTCAAATGTCAAAGTTCGAATGAATTGCATAGCTATACTCAGTGCCGGTCTCTGAAGGATGAAAATTTCTTTCGGCGCTTAATGAGGCTGATCAAGTCGAGGACTTCTGGGTGCCTGCAAGGTGTCTTGGTTGTGTGGGGTGGAGGTTGAAAAGACTTTTCAGTAGGAACAACTACCCCAGACTGCTAGCATACCCCCACGAAGAAGCAAACGGCTAGAGCCGCCAGAACCGATTACTTCTACAGATTTACCCAAGGTTATAGCCCGATCAAGGCCGAAGCGGAACGGTGTAGGCAATCTAAAGTGCATAGGCTTAGCAAAACCTTACCTTAGGGAATATCTTAAGAGACCACGTTCAACTAGAACGCGGGGGAAGGCGAGAAAGAATGATAATAAGATAATAGCTTAATCCTTTTCTAGACGAGTGACGTACAGCATCTACGATAGTGACTTGACGATCGCGTTACTTAGAGTAGTACAAATATAATATTAGTGAGACTCTTGTAGCCGGTCCTCTTGTAGCAGTCTTCCCATCACATTTAATAGCAAACCCTAATGGTTGCCAATGATTTTACTTCATGCGCCCCGGGCCAGGTTGTAGGCAAACCCCACGACTGCTTCCGGCCCCAGACATCAACGACATGATCAACTCCCTCTCCCCTAGATGCATGCACCAGGGAATTCGCCCTGATCTCCCGCCTAAGTGCTCTTTTCCTGTAGCCACGGATCTTCAAGGAGCCCTTTAGCTGTCCCCCTGTCTTCTGGCAACCATTGGAGCATCTTCTTTATAAAATCAAGGAAGAGGCGTTTATCTTCTCCTTCGAGAGAAAGGATAGAGTCCTCTAACCTGACATCGGTCGGAATTAAATCCTTGTGCATAAACTCACCTGAAATTGTGGAGTTAGCGTTTTTCACAGGCATAGCACGTTTTGGGGAAGCTTACCTTCGGAGTTGAAGAAAGGCCCTCCATAATACTCGCGAGCGGTCTGACAGAGCTTGCCTTCTGAATTTGGCACAGCATGGCTCCATTTGACCTCGCTCCAGTGTATTTCTCGATCAATAAGTATCTTTGGTGGGGTGCCTAGCAACGCAATCATCTCCGCAAGATGGGCTCGAACATCGTAGTCTCCTTGGCTCGAACGAATATGTGTAAATAAGTCCCTGCCTTCCATCATGTTCCAAATCTGTGTAGAACATCGCGTAAGCAAGACCTTAGATGGGTGATGGAAGTGGAATTATACCAATACGCCGAGGTTCCAGATGTCTGCGCTATACGTCCAGCTCGTGCCTAACAGGACTTCTGGGGCATGGAAAAGAGGTGGCTGAATAGGATGCATTAGAGGCTCCGAGCCCTCTCCTGATTGCGCCAAACCGAAGTCCGCTATCTTGGGTAGTATACCGAATGACTTAGGTGGCCCAAAATCATTGTGTGAGAGGTAGATCGATCGGCCGTCTTTGATCTTTCGAGGCATAGGATTCTCAGCTTGTTTGCGGACGAAATCTTCAATCACAGAGGGGTGCTCAAATCCTAGTAAGATGTTGTCCAGTTTAAGATCTATGATAGAATGAGCCCGGTCCTCTATTGATATCACATGTAGCCTCAGACTTACCCGTGTGGATGATACAGCACTCAGAATGAAGATAATCGAGTCCCCGGAGGAGAAACCTCAAGTATACCTTGAGAAGCGCTGTTGGTAATTTGCCGTTCTCCCAGCGCCGTTGAAATAGCCAGAGGGGCTCTCTCATAGGCTCATAGACCAGGCATAAGTGAGGTCCATCTAACCCCGGGACTTCGAAATCGTCGAGCATTGTCCTTACAAATGGGAAGCCATCGTGTGATAGATTCCTCTTGAGATGTCGGGTTATAATCCGCTCGTGTTTCGCTACATCGTCGTCGACGCAATCAGAGGCGGTAATCTTTACAGTCACATAACGGTTGGAGTTCCACCACCATCTATAAAGATGTAAGAATACGAATCCAACCAGGCTAGCACATACCGTTGAGTGTCCTGAGCTAACCACACAGTAGAAGTAGTGCCCCATCCAAGTTTCACCATAATCTTATATCTGTTGTTAAGGAGATCGCCTGGATTCACTGGTAAAAACCGCTTTGGATCATAGCCAGGAATCCTCTCTTCCTCTATCGGCACATCAGCCGGGAGGATTGTTGGTGATCGACTTGCGGACATGACGAACCCTCTTGAAGTAGCCGGCTGTCGAAGGAGTTGAAGAGGACGAGTAACCAAGACTTTGGGCATCGCCATGAGCTCAAGCTTTTGCGCCGTACGGGGACCGTAGCCGTTCGTTGAATGAGAGGGAGGTTGATAGGTGCTAATTGACTGTGTTCCGCAATTCTGTTCATGCACTCATAGGGTGGCTCCTCATGTGCGTATGCAGGGCTGAAGCGCTGTTGACGATGGATCAATCATGTGGTGTCTATTGGTCCTAGATGACTGAATATTTACTTAACCGTGGGTCTTCCGACCGTCTCTGTAAGCTTGACCTTAGACATGGACCTACGAAATGCTTCGAAACATAACCCTTCTACCAATGACAGAATTGCGGACGACTGACCTCGTGAGGCTCTCGAACCGTCGGACCTGTTGAAGTGTGCCTTGATGCCTGAGGCAGCATGGCATCTGTTTCAAGCACGTCTCACGTGTAGGTCCTATTCTGTACAGTTGGCAATATCCTTGATTTGCCCTAATTGAGTTCTCCATACGACCCTGAGATCCTGTTGCTTGCATTGATGATATCACTCATCCGGGGAGCTGGAACCGTGAACATCCAACAGGACCACAAGTACAAGGCTACAAGGGAAAGGTTACTTTGAGTCATCTAAAAGTCATTCATGGTCTCTATCCCACGTCCTCTGAATTAACAAGCATGGATGACTTGGTATTCACGGTGTTTCAAATGTGGCCCGAAGTATTAATGTTGTTGGGTGTCGAGCCCGTCCTCGCAGCCGCCTCGCGCCCTTTGAATAACCCAGGACTCAGAGCAAAGAAGGGATCTCAAAAGGACGAGTAGTCTTTGAGGAGTAGCATGATCTGACACCGGTATGATCCTCCAGCTTAGATTCCTAGCAAGTTCTCCCAAACCCTGGTATCGGCCGAAGAGAATGATAGCCACTTGCTTGCCGCCGTACCGCACGCGCTTCCTTCATCTAGTATATAAAGCCATCTTCAGCTCCAATTGCTTCGTCCTGGTCTCATTGCGAGGCACGTAACAGAAAAGAGCATCAAGTTTAAGCCTTCCGATCCAGCCACAAGATATGAGTCGACATTTCTCCTCTGCCGTGAGGGCGGCCGCAAGAAAAATCTTATGGTCATTCAATGGCACGACGAAGAATTTGGAGGGGGATGTGGCAGCTGTCGAACAAGCTGTTGGGGCGATTCCAGAATTGGCAAAGAAGGTGAAGAAGGGCGTCATCAAGTAAGTCCTCGAAGTTATTTGGCATATAATTGCAGTTGATGGATTTAACTTGATATCAACGTGTAGTGGAGATCCGCATCCTACCAAATATGCCGACGGCACCGAGGATCCGATTCACATTTCAGGCATACTTGGTGAGGGAAACCTGAAGGGATCTAAGAGGGCAACATCCTTTCACTATTATCCGGAGACAGGTGACATAAGATTCTCGAATTCAAGATATCCACCAGTCCGTATCGGCGTGTCCAATGCTGCAGCGGAATCATCGTCTTCTGCTTCTTCTGCTCAGGCCGCTACCACTACCGACCTCACATGGAGGACAAACGGGCAGACCAACCGTGCAGAATGGTGGGATGGCACAAAATGGGTTGAAGGAGATTGGTCTGATGAGTATCAAAAATGGTATGCTTGGTGCAATGGCCAACGGTATTATTGGTAACGTTATATATGGGATTTGAGAACATTTGTGTTTGCGCGGGTCGCACATATATTTGATCTCATAAACCACATTGTATCTTTTGTTCTAGCGTCCTCAAAAATAGTTGAAGCCAATTTGAATGTGTAGTTACAAGTCTGTAGGTACAGAGAGCTTGACCTGTTGCCTTGCCCACCCGTGGGAGGAAGCTTATTTGACTCTGCGCTGTGCCATGGTCCAGCGCGTGCGTATTGTCCATGGAATCTTGTTTCTTTGGTTTCAACGGTGCGTGATATATCTTGGATGTGCAGCAGTGTCGTGATTGATGTCCAATGCTTCGGGATTAATCGGTAGGTGAAGGTGGCTCGAGATCGATGGCAGTTTGAACTCAAGATTGTACGTCACATCATCCCCGATCTTGGTGCATTTGAGAAGGCCTTGGAAGGGCCATTCCTCGTACTCAGCAAATGGTACTGCTTCTGCAGCGGTAGGGGGACCCGTCGTTTGTAGTCAACGATGAGATGGGACGTGACGAGGGGTTGTTGCCTGAGGTGGCTGCCGGGCTCGGCATGCGAGAAGAAGAGGAGGCAAAGCTGCGCTAGATGTGGAACGAAGGCCGTTCGTGGGAATACATCGTTCTGCCCTCCCTGTCTGGAGGGAAGAAACCGTGCGCTGCTCGACAAAATTCAAGAACCGGTCCCATACAGGGGCTAATCGTTCTTGAACTGGGAGCGGCCAATGCTTCATTGACGTTGGGGCGGAGAAGGTCGAACTGTCAAGTAGCGGCGATGAGAATGATTCAAGTGATGGCGATCCCGAGTCTAGCAGTGACGATGATGGATGTTTGAGCGAGGCCGAGCAGGATTGTTTTGAGCACGAGCAAGCAAAGCCGATAGTCAGACTTGGACGAGCAGCTTTTGCTGACATACAAAGAAGAGGGCAAGTTCCCAGGCAGGACTCCGGCCGGAGCTGCAGAGCTGAGAGGGGCCGCAAAGATGGGAGGAGAGATTGCATCATGACCGCTACCGTGGCTGCCTTCAGAAGTTGCGCGACTCGAAGCTTGTGAGCTCAGAACATATCATTGGGTTCTCCCACAGCCTGCGTGTTCTGACAGACTTATTATATCGAGAGATTCACTCACTGCTCCGGACGTAAGTGTACTGGACATGATACTGAAAGCTGATAGGTTTGGTAATGCTAGAGATGAAGTTGATACCGAAGTCCCTTCCTGGGCAGCTCCTGTTCCGGTGGATCAGCCCACATCATGCTGAGAAAATGGGCGAGTTGAGCACTGCTAGAACCTTCTCTGCTGCTGCATTTTCACCCGTGGACTGACCCACCTTGTGCTGAGGAGCAGGGCAGGCCGAGCACCACCACCGCCCCCTCCCCTATAATATCATCCCCTCTCTATCAGTCTCAAGACACTCGGGAATCGCGTCAGCCGTCGTATACCCAGACCCCTCTGATCAATGCAACTTTGCTACCAACGTGATTCTGCCTTGCCATATTTTGGATTTCCCAGGTATAAGGGAAGGAATCTTGATGCAAACCCCTCCTTCGTCGCAGCTCCGCCACTAAATGAACTAACGTGATACTGACCCTGCTCTGTATGAAATTCCCAGCTATGCAGGGCAGACCAAAGTTGTATCATCCTTTCCTGGCGTAACTTTATCCACGCATGAATTTCAACTACTCAGGATCAACGCCAATTCTGAGACCCCTCTACCGGTGCAGCTTGCCGCCGAGATGAGTCTGCCTCGTGTTGCTTGCGTGGCTCTCCTGTTGAGCCCATCCATGACGCTTCCCTTGGCCCAGTCTCACCGACATAACGCTGCCTGGCTTGCTGCATGATCTCAGCACCTCTGCCTCGTGTTGCTTGCGTGGCTCTCCTACTGATCCTAGCCATAAATCTTCTCTTGGCCCAGTCTTGCCGCTAAATGAATCCCACGACAATCAACGGGCGCACTAGTAACCGCAAACCCTTCCGTCAAAGCAACTCTGCCACCAAGATGATTCTGCCTTGCCTTGCCTGCTTGCATGAAATTCTCTGGTCCTCGGGCAGACTGAGCCTTGGTATAGATCTTCTCCTGATATGATTTCACACCAGCTGTCGTAATCCTAGATACAACCGTGGTGCCGCGCCGGTGTTGCCAGGTCTGGCATGAATGGTACCTTGCCTAGGAGAAGCACCAGACGTTGTATTCCCATTCCCTGGCACAACCCTGCTGGCAAGAGGATTGCACCTCGTCTCGTATAGATAGTAATATTCGTGGGGAGCACCAGACGTTGACACCTTGGATTTGTGCTCTCGTTCGTTCAGACTTTCGAAACTATACAGAATTAACTGTCGATGGTCATTACAGAGCAGTATCGTGCGTATTTTGTGGCAAAGAGGAGTTGAATGGGTGGTCAACAGATTGACGCGATGTGTTCGTATACGATGAGGTTGAATTTGTGACGTTCGGTAAAGTTGGGAGGTGCGGCTCTGGCCGACAGGGATAGGAGTCCTCTACGAGACCATCGCATCGCATCGCATCGCATCGCACGAAGCCCTGGCGCCCGAGAAAAGTCGAAACGTGCGGGGCCAGGAGCGGTGTACTTTATTGATGATTAGAATCCATCAGATGTTTTCTGTTTCACCTGTGACCATCCGCCACGCAGACGCCTCGGCCAAGTGTGTTGCAACTTGCACTGTTGTATCGCGCCAATCCTCACCTCTCTTTGCGTGTTTGGCCGATCTTGGAAACCTGGAGGCCTCAGGCTTCCACACCTGATGCCCGATATTTTCAGTGTTTCGTCGAAGTGTGGTTTGCACGTGCCCTGCCTCCTCGCTTAAATATTTACTGTATTTAAAACGCGAATTTTAACCTTCCATCTATCTGTAGCAGAAGTCACCTGTAACGCACAACCGCCCATCATTCCGCCATCTTGTCATCTTGCTATCCCAGCGCCTCCAAATAATGGCACAGAGCTTTCCTTCCTCCTTTCTCTAGGTAAATACCCATTTTCTATTCTCCACGCAGACACACGCCGTCGCTAGTGCACGAAGGAATCAAATGATGATATCCCATACCCTTAAACAATCTATAGGAAGAGCCGGAAAAGGCACGTTGCCGCATACTGTGCGGGGACGAGCGGTGCTTAGAATTGGGTTTCTGATCTATCTCCTGTTCGCGTGTGCTGGCTGCGCTGGTGGTGGTGGTGGTGGTGTCTGGGGCGGTTGTTGATTTGAGAGATGGTGTGGCTGACTGTGACGATGAATAGGCTCTATGAATCTGGGATTGGGAGAGTGAGGAATGGGACGGGGATGAGAAGATGGTGGTTTGATACGAGAGTGTGATTTCTGAATGAGGGAGCATAGATCTCGAGACTCGGGGAGCAGAATGGAAGCTTGGGTACACGTCTTCTTCTGTTGGCGGGGCCAATACTATGTCAGACGAGTCCGAGATGGATTGACCTTATGTCACAACCTTGTCATGCGGGCGTAGTCCATATGCCAGAGGGCAAGGTTGTGATGGAGAGTAATTTTTAAAGGTAAGCTCTTTGCTGATGCGATAGCTTTCTTGGAAAGTGGACATACACGGCTATAGACCAGTGTGGTATCAGTGCTTCATGATACCGTCTACGGATCCCTAGACAAGATCTCGCGCCCAAATAACGGCTGCCGTGCCATGATATTGTTTTTTGTCTGAAGCTTGGTCTAGAAAGCTATAGCTAGGTATTCATGAATAAAATACATTTCAAATCCGACCTGGCAAACCGTGATATCTAAGCAAACAACAACTGGATCGAGTGTCAGCTGTTTGTCCCAAATGAATCACCGGGTCAAATCAAATCTATAAGTGATATCTCTACAAGGCCGGAAAGCCTCAAAGCACATTTATCCCAGCGAGGAGGGCAGTATGAAATCAGAGTTAGTAACACAGCAGTCTAGCAATACCGTACTCAGGAAAAAAATTAAAACTTCCTCTTAGAACTAATCATCAAATCTACATCTCGAATAATAGAACAACTCCCATTCCAACACATGCATAGAGCATATGAGGGTACAAGAATCGCAAAGACTGGAACCGTCCACGATCCCCAACTCTGCCTCGCCACCACTCGCCTAAAGTTACTGCCAGTGCCTGCTGTACCCCAGATTTTCGCATCCCAACCAACCAACCAGCCTCGCAGTACAGACTCTACTTATATCAAGCAAGCAAGCAAGCAAGCAAGCAACTCCAACAACCGCGCGCATCGCGATCCAATCCCCCAATCGATTCGCACCATCCATCACCATCCACACCTTACCTTGCCTTGCCTACGAACCTCAACCACCAAGGAATAAAGGAACCTCCGAAAATGGCCTCCCCCCCTCCCTCAAATCCAGACCCTCCCTCAAATCCAGACACGATCCTCTTCCGCGCCCCCAAGAAGCGCAAGATCTACCGCCAGCGCTCCGCGTCCCTCTCCGTTCCTACCGACAACGATGACGCTGGATCCACACAACGGGCCGACGAGACGGCGCCCGCTGCGCCCCCGAGCCCGGAGCTGCCCTCGCTGCTGCGGCTGCGGAAACAGAGACGGCGGGGGCTGGAAGGGGTGGAGTTCCGGGCCGAGAGCCAAGGGCGCGTAGAGGAGCGAGAAGAAGTCGTGGAGAAGGAGGAGGGACAGATAGAGGGAGCAGGAGGAGGAGTGGTGCGTAGGTTTGCGCCGCAGACGGGGTGGAGGGGCGGGGATATCGATAGGCATATGTGAGTCTCTCTTCCTTTCTTTTCCTTTCCTATACTTCTCTTTTGCCTGTTTGGTTTCCTTTGTGTGTGGAGAGTGGAGTGGGGTTGTGTGAGAGCTAGGGGGATAGGGAACAGTGACTGATGAGGAAAGGATGGCATATATAGATTCCGAATTAGCTAAACGACGCGCGGGAGCAGCAGCGGCCATTAACGCGAGCACTTCGACGGCCCCCTCGTCTTCCATCAGTCGGGAGAATACAGGAACCAGCGAAAAAGAGAGAGAACAACACAGGAAAGATATTTCCGGGATCGAGCGCCAGCCCGCGGCGCTGGGCAAGCTGCTCGAGATCGATCTCGGCGAGGAGGTGCGCAATCGGAATGTGGAGCTGACGGAACAGGCGAGGCGGCGATTAGGCGGGGAGGTTCTCGAGGAGGAAGAGGAGGGGAAGAAGAAGGGGAAGGTTAGGTTGGGACCGGATGGAAAGCCGTGGCGGGGGAGGAAGAGGAGGGCGAGTGAAGATATCAAGAGGGATAAGCTGGTTGAGGATATCTTGCGGGAGAATCGACGTAAGCCCCACCATTTTCCCTTCCCTAATGCTATCCCGATCTTTTCTAATCTAATCTAACACCTGTGCAGTGGAGATCTATGAGGGACCGCTGCCGGAGCAGCAGGTCGTTAACGATGATCAAGCAGCGGATGACAGGATTGCAGAGGAGTTCAGGAGGGAGTTCATGGATGCGGTGTCGCAGCGGCAGAGGAAGAAAGCAGCGCCCTCACAACCGCCGAGTAGGGGGCCGGGTGGGAAGAAGGAGGAAGAGCTGAAGGGGCCGAAGTTGGGCGGCAGTAGGAGTGCCAGAGCCGCTATGCGCGAGACGTTGTTGAAGAACGCAAAGAAGTAAATTCTAATGCATTAATGAAGGAAGGTTTTCTGTGTCTGGAGGATGCTTTGGTTGTTTTGCAAGCCGTTTTAGTGATATCAAGATGACAAGCTGGGCGTCCAATGCAATGCCTCTCTATTATAATACATTTTGCCCATCCGACCCGGAAATCTTCAGCGTCACTCATCGATTACAGTGTAAATGTAAGGTAGTGAAACGAGAGCTTCTAGGCTTGCATGCCCACTTAAGCAGCCATGCTAAGGTAGCCAGGGCGTCCTCGCTACATGTAATCGGTCAGATACGCAGTAGGACTCCTTGATCTCGGTTCTCTCATACTTGATTAGTATGGGTTGGTTATATTGATGTGAGGCGTGTTGAACCGTCCTGCTGGTAGAGAGGGGTAGGTATTGCTGGCGAGGTTGTTATTGGCGGGGGACCGGGTTTTGGGACAGACTGTTGGTATCACGTGATGCTAACCCCGCCGCCATCGAGGCCTTCCATGACAAGCGCCAAATGCGATGCGCAACAAAACGGAACTTCCCTGCATCCAGTATCATGTGATGCTAATCCCATCGCCATCAAAACAGCGTTCGACAGGACACCAATGCGATGTGCAACAAAACTCCCTTATATCACGTGATCAGAAGATTCTTTCGGATGAGGAACCTCAGGCAGAGATCTGTATCCGTCGAGGTGCGCGACCGACCGCTTGTCAAGCTGCTCTGTCACTGCACAGCATCGCTCTCGCATCCATCTTCGCCTTCGAGGGGAGCGCGAGTCGAGGGACATGGCCTATCATGTTGAGTTTTGACTCAAAAAAGAAACAGAACCGCTCTCGACGCACAGAGGATTACTGTACAGGACATACGGGCATGCGGGACATATGGACAAGGACAGCAGCGGACGATGGCTGTGGGGGATGGATCGGCACTTTGGAAGGAGGATCGAGTCGAGGGAGGAGAGTTGGGAGTGGTCTTACTGGTGAGCGAAAACAATGGATTATAATTGGCTATGATTGGAGGTCGCTGGAGGGGTGAAGCTGCCGACCGTTTAGCAGCAGCAGCTGGTGCTGAGCTCCGCGAGCTCTGATAAAGCTTCCCTGGCATGGCGGGCCGTGGCGATAGACTCGATAGGGAGAAGATGGGGAGGGATTATTTATACACACAGCACCCAAGATGTGTTGTGCAAGCTTATATCTAAGGATACATAGTATATATATCTGCACATGCACCCGCTAGCTTTCTGCTCTCTCTTCTGTCTTTTTCTTTCCTATTTTCTGCTCTCCTTCTCCCTTGCCGGGCGTTGATGCTCCCCTCCTCCCCCTCCTCTGGTGCGCTGATTGGGCATCAAAGGATGTGATGGCCGCCTCCCCAGCTCCACTCGGGATGCACAACGCCGTGGAAGGTCGGTTCAGGACTCGGAGGAGGACGATTTGAAGCAGAGCATGATGTGGTATTGAACCTGCGGAGGTGCTGGCCCTCTCTTCTCTGTGACGGTGGAAGCGGTGCAGCAAGAAAGAATCCCTAGGTTCGTGGGCATCCATCAATAATGCCAGGCCCAGGTTGCCCCCTCCTCCGAGCCCCACCGAGTTGCGATAGAGCTTCTCTGCTTCCCTTGCAAAAGCGAGGAAAAGGGCTGGAAAAGAGAGCTAAAGTCACTTAAAGAGCCCCCAAATGCCGCGAAAAGAGACCTAAACACCTGACCTTACCCCTCCAACCGTCCTTCGTCCGGCCCTTACTCGCCTTGAGCAGCGCCGGCCAGTAGTGAGCAGCGTGCACCACGCACATTCTTCAAACACCAATTGTGTGAAGGCATTAGAGCCCTCTCTTATGACTTGGGATTTCTTCCTTTTCTTTTCTCGTCGCTCTTCTCTCTGATTATTACTACTTACTCTCTGTTGACGAGCTTCTCACTGGCATCTCTCTGAGACTCGACCCGCCCTCCCCAGCTCCGCCGTGGTTTGCCTCACATGCCATGCCATACATAATCAGACAATACGAATAGTCTAAGAAGCTTCCCAGTCTTTGTTCCCCATTCTTCTCCTCCTCTCCTCTCCTCTCCTCTCCTCTCCTCAACCGGCAGCCCACCATCCACACACACATCCCACCAGCCCACCAACCCACCAAACCCTGCCAGTATCAATCAGTCAATCATCCTTCCTCAATCCTCCACCCTCCTCTCTCCTCTCTTCTCTCTCTCTCCCTCACTCAACTCTCTCCGCCGCTGCACCCGAACTCTCGAAGCTCCCCCCATCCACCTCCAGAACTTCAACTCTGGTCCTGCCCTTAAGAATGCGGAGCTTCGCGATTCTTATCGCCAACAATTGAGACGCTCTCGAGTCGTCGCCCCCCCCCGCCGCTTCGCCCGTACCGCCGCACGCAGTACGCCGTATCGTAAAAATTCCACACAAAAACCTCCTATCTAATCGCCCCCTCGACCAGGGAATGGTGGGGTCTACCCTGACGATGCCTCCGCGATCCTCGTTGACATCGTCCTTCTCCGTCTCCGATGCCAACAACGAGGTCGTCTGCCCTCTGCGGAATCAAGATGGCTCCAGCTGTCGTAAACGGTGCCTCGGCGTGAGTTCGCTCTGCTTTGCTGTGTCTGCTGTACCCCTCTTGAAGCTCTTTCGCCTCTGCTCCCACCACCGTCCCCCATGAAGAAGAAGAAGAAGAACAACTGTGGTAACAAGCGACTTGGATGTGCAGGAAAAACGATATCGGTCTATGCAAGAGCATATTCGTCGAGCTCACCCCGAACATTACATCTCCAAGCTTCCCGCGACCGAGGAGAGCTTCCAGCTCATGATCAATACCCCGCCATCGCAGCGACCGCCACCGCCAAGCTCCAACCCAGCTCCCCACGGTCTGTACAACCTCTGTGGGCAGCGGGCACAATCACTGACAAGATGCAGGTTATGGAAACGAACGGTACGGTTACTATGGCGAGGATTCCAGCGCCCCGAATACCCCGAGGAACCTGGAAGAGTACCAGTCGGCCTCGATGCTGCCAGCCGCTAGCGCTGCTGCAGCTCTCGCACAGCTACACAATCACAAACATGAGCAGGACTGGGAGTCGGAAGGGGTCGGTGATGTCCAAATCCTTCATAAAGTCAAGGCCGAGCAATTTCTGACAGCTCCACAGGACTGGGTGTCGGACAGCGAAGCCCGTAAAAAAGCTATGCGATCCTCGATAGAACTCACGCCGACCCAACATGCAAACAAAATCGAGCCGACGAGTGAACCATTCTCCCATCTCAACCCACCTCGACCAAGAGAACCCCCTTCCTCCGTCCTTTCCACTTCGCCTCCCGGTCGGTCGTCGACTCTACCTCCTATTCCGAGAAGCTCCGCGCCCAATCGCCCCCGGAAACAGTCAGTGTCGAAACGTGCTCGGGAGCCGCAACATAAAAGACAGAAGTCTCGCGAACAAGCTCACCTGAGACGCATGAGCTATGACCGGAAAGCTTACTCGGCGGAACCGTCGAGTAATTTGGCGGCAGCATACGGCAAACGATGGGAAGATCTGATAGACGCCGCAACTTCTGCCACCGAAGAAGACGAAGAACGAACACCCGTAAGCTCCTTTTCTCCTCTTACTATACCATATACTGATCATCTAGGTCCCTCCCTCACCTATATCAGTCAATCGTGCTTCACTTCCCCCCTTTTCAGCATCCCATTTCCAGGGCTACCAAGCTTCGCCTCTCCAACAAGCCCTTACTCCTCCAGCGTACCCCCGAGAAGCTCCGGAACCCTTCCCATCCGTCGAGAGCGGTGAGAGTAGTGGTGAAAACTTCCACATCGGATCCCAGGGCCTCTCCGACTCCTCCCCCAGCTTCTCTGTTGGCACTCAAATATACTGCGCTGCTTGTCAGGGGATCTCGCTGCTGAAGGAATCTTACGCATGCACGGAGTGCATCTGCGGAATCTGTCAAGCTTGTGTAGATGTGCTCATGGCGGAGCACGGAGCCCGGCGGAAGTGTCCACGGTGTGCGACGATCGGGGGACGATTCAAACCCTTCCAGCTGGACATCAGATAGGGATCTCCCCCCTTTTCTTTCTTATTTTCTTATTTTCCCCTTTCACGAAAAATTACGGCTTGGCACTGGAGTTCTCTGCCTTTTTTTTTTGGATATCATAAGAATGGTGCATATTAGAACGGGCAGGGCACAGGCGTATCGTTTGCTTTTCCGGGGCGGGTTTTGGTTTTTTCACGGGACATGATGATTCTTCTCCTCGTCGGTTTTGGATGCCTGGGCATCTTACCTGCGAATGATGCGATGCGCGAGATTGATTGAATTGATGCTTGCATATAGATAGGTTGGCAAGGATGCCTTTTTAGTATATATCTCAATCTATATATATGAACTCGTTTCAAAAGAAGACACCTCTAGGAAGGATACCGCTGTGTATGCATGTGTATAAGATATGTATGTGTACGTGTGGGTGAGCGGATCATGGATCTTGACACTTACTTACACACCTGAACCCCTTAACCATTTATAGTAAGTAAGTAATTAGGAAAAAAAGGGGGGTTGTCATTCATCCAGTTCTTAAAAAGAACGGGCAAGGAAGAGAACAGGAGAAAAACGCGAACTGAAGAGGAAACCGAGTAATTAACAAAGAACCTATCACCCCTAAATACAACCCAAGAAAATCAATCAGAATTCACAAAAAGCTATCAACCACAACCCCAAGCAAATCCTTAAGTATTATATGGATGGATCGTCTCATACGTATGAAAGCAAAGCTGGGAATATGTAGAGGGTTTATTTATTTCTTTCAGGGTATGTATGTAAGGTATGTGTGTATGTGTGAGAAAGATAATGCATGCTTGGCTGTTTTGGACATCACTCTTGTATTGAGAGAGAGAGAGTGTGTGTGGACCTGGGAAGTAAGAAGAAAGAGACGTTAACTACCTTATCTAAACACTACCTAGGTATACAAACAAGAAAACGAATAACAACAACAGTGGTGCTCTGAAGACAGACAGACCAGCTATCCAGCACCAGCACCAGCAAACAAACCCTTCCAAAGATCTCGAAACCCGAAAAAAAGAAGCTTTCAAGAAGAAAAAATCATATAATCCCACAACTCATTCGAGAATCTGCCCTGAACATCGCCCAGTGTCCAGCCCTGCGCCTTCCCAATCTCCGTCACTACCTCCTTGAACTCTCCTATCGCATCCTTATACGCTACTTTCTTTAGATATTCACGTGCCGGCATACCTCTCATATCGATACTCTCCCTATCACAAAACCCTATATCAGCTACCATCCATCCATTCATTCATTCATTCATTCATCAGCCACCCAAAGGAGGGGAGGGGGAGTGGGACATACCATTCCTTCGCCCAATGCGGACGCACATTCAGCAAGGCACCGGCCGAATCGCGATAGCTCATCCAGGTGTCGGCGACGCGTTGCAGGAAGGGCGCCCATTCGTCGTCGCTGACGGCGTCGGGGATGCTGAGCACTTCGATGCTGGCTGTGCCGTGGGTGTTGCCGCGTTGCGGCGCCATGAGGAGGTGCGAGTCGCCCATGATGCGAAGCTCCATGGTCAGACGCATGGGGCAGCTGTCGTCTGCGTAGCTGGGAGATCGGTGGGGTCAGTACATGATCTTCTTCGTGAGTGGAGGATTCCTCACGTGAGATTAATGACATCCCACCATGCTTTCCGCACGACCTCAAAGTCTGGCTTCGTAGGATCATCTTTAGAAGCTGGGATGGGGATTTGAAATTCAAGATCTCGGACACGCATATTCTGGATCTGTGGAAAATCCATCAGCACCTTTCCTTCCAGGAGGGGAGGTGGAAGGGGGAGGGGAGAACATACACCTCTGCGGAAATGCAGAGCGTTGGGTAACGCAGTCTTGATGCTCTCTGTCCGATTCTGCGTGAAATCAGCGAATTGGAAAGGCGGGAGAGCTACCATCCCGAACGTGGCCAGGATTTCCGCCTGCCATCTGCCAGGCAGAGCTTGGAAGATGTCACTCCCTGTCATGACAGCGCCTACCCATCCCTCTACCCATTGAAACCACGTATCACTAGGACTGGGATAGTCAACGACTCCAGTCTTATCCTCGGTAGGGTTCCAAGTATTGACCCAGGCTTGCTGGGACCGAGTAAACCAGAACCATTCAGCGTAGTAGTCGTTCGTGGCCCGGTCTTCGAAGTCCTTCAGAGCAGCGGCGTACTGAGCTTCGGTAAAGGTCTTGCGGAGTGCGATGGGGATGTCGTCTCGAGAGAGGGGCGGGATGGCGAGTCCTATGTCCGGCTTGGTGGGTTGGAGGACCGCATACCGCATTCTGTCAAGCTCGAAGGTGATGTGTGTCACGATGCCCAGAAGACCGAAATGTCCTGCTGCCGCTCGGAGGTGGTTTGGGTCTGAAACTGTGCGGTGCTCGCCGTTGGCATCAACATATTCGACGGCTCGGACGTAGTCGTTCACTGTTTGGTGGCTGCGGCCCGCTCCATGACAGATGGGCCCGTTGACGCCTCCACAAGTGACCCTGAAAGACCCATTAGGAACAGCTGCGTGATGGTAAAGGAGGAGAGACATACTCGACCAAGATCACATCTACCGGCATAGTCCACGCGTCATTAGCAACGGCCCATCTCCTGAATTCTTCATTCGTGACCGCAACTCCAACCCTGACCAGCGCCTTGTCTGCGCTGCTTGCAGCCACTCCAGGTGGGGCAGCAAGCTGGATAGTCTTCAATTCATTTCCTGGATCGATATGCTCGGACTCGATGCTCATGGGATCAGGCAATCTGGTGACTTGCTCGAGATTCAGCAGAGAAACCAAGATTTGCTTGTCTTGTGAGAAGGTAGAGCTCCAAGAATGCCGATATCCAGAGCAGCGAACGCGGTACTCGTGAACCTTGGCCCACTTGACTAGGTTTTGCAAGCCAAGGACAGTCTTGGGAACGAAGGTCCATAACGGAGTGTTCCGGACACTTTCACCCCAGTTCTGGAATACTCTGTCTCCGTAAACCTGAAAACATTTGTTAATTGGAGAAGGACAATTGACGAAGAGATTTTGTCGTAAATGACATGGTTCAGGCTGGCTATAGCCAAATAGCGTGGCATATGCAACGAAAGAATATAACATCTCCGAGCATATACGACGACGATATCACCATCGACGATCAACAGCTTCAACAGGAGCCGCTGATAGTCAAGAGCATCCCGGAGAGTAAAATAAAAAGTACTTCTTACCTCCATTGTCCTGGTCCCTGCCTCATCTTCGAAGATTTGCGGAAAGCCGTCGTCAGTCTTTACTCGCTTCACCGCGTAGCCGTTGACTTCATGATCTCCATTCGTAACCTTTGCAAGCTTCTTGTGATGGTGGGAAAGTCCATTAACAGCACTCTCCACCTTATCAACCATTTCTTTGAAGTGTTTCACCACAGGAGGACTCGCCGGCAAATGAACCCCCCCATCGTGTGAACCAGCAGCCATGATCTGGTCTTTGCTTCCACCGGCCATGAAAACCCTCATTTGCTTCTTCATTGAATCATCCAGCTGGGAAAATGCGTGCACAAACGTCTCGGTCTCCTCGAAGACTTTCAAGAATCCTCGGAGATGTTCCTCGGGATGTATATTCTTGTTGAGAATCGACCACAGGTGCGTTTTGAGAAGCGGGATCTTGACTTGAGGGAATTCATCCTGGAGGACGCTGATATGATCGATGATTTCTCCGAGGATGAAATACGAGACTAGGTTTTCTCTAGGGGGCTCTGGGAGCTGGGCCAGACTTTTGGAGAGCTTGGAGAGCTTGGAGGACATGACGTGAAAAGATAGGTAAGACAAGATTGAGAGCTAAGACGCCAGAATGGAAACAAATTAATGCTGTTGGATACTGGACAACCTGAAAAAAGCTGCAAGTTGCTGGAGATACAAGTCAAAACACGAGAGAGTGAAGAATATGATAATACGAGAGCAATTGAAAAATGGCTGAGAATTTAACATTTATATCTTAAAGCCATCATCCTCCATACTACGCCGTATAATGAATGTTTTCGTCGGCTCAGCTCCGGCCTGCTTTGTACCTCACGTTAGCACTAACCAACGGCTGTAAATGGTAAGCAAGGATGCTAGACACATTTACTCTGTTATTGGGTCCTTTGCATTTTCAGCTGCCTCTCGTATCGGCTACGGGCTCGGCGGGTCTCAGCCTCGTCTTACCCGACGAGGTAGAAAAGGACATCTCCAAAGAGGCTTGAGAGTGTATGAAGGCCAATCGTCGTCTGTCTTTCCATTTATATGACCTCGCAACCTTTTGTGGCGCAACATCCTTCACACAAATCTCACTGAAACCTTTGCCTGAAAGGTTCGGCGAGGGTTCCTTGCATCGTCTGTCGTTTTGCGGCTGGAGTTCAGCCGGCTAATTCAATCTTCCCGGACGAAATGCAACAAATTTTGAGTTGCATCTTGTGGAAAGGCCGTAGTAACCAGAATATAAGATATCAATTACTATCCAGTTTCCATGATTGAGCAGAGGACAGTCGCAAACTTCGAAGACTAGATCTTCTTGCCCCTTCTCTAACCATCCACCTCTTGCCGTGAGAGGTGTATTGTTTGAAGGCACCCAAGCTTAACCACTGAAACCGAATTAGTAATTGTTATCTTATGTTCCAATTCCTGCGCAATGTTCCTGCGTGAATATAGATATCAGACAGATTTCATAACAGATAGAAGACACTATAGCCTCATCGAGATCTAAGAAGTCCGAGAAAGGCATCGAGAACAATTTTTTGAGACAAAGCGTAGCATCAGCTCCTGATACCATAATCCAGAGCAAATGTTTGGGTATCATATTGTCTATGAATATCACGCATAAGACAGGCTTAAAGAAATATCGCAGTCACACTGGTTCCCGTTCCCCAGTACCTTCTCAGCAGGCTACCTCTGCCTTAGGATCTCGGTCAGGAAATCCTCACTATGCGCAGTCAGCAATTTGTTCAACTTCCAAGATGGACTAGAACGTCTTACAAGGATAACGTGATGTAGCCATCTCTGTCGTCGTCATACTTCTTGAACACATCTGTCATCCTCTTCAAACTGATGCAACTTTGCACAAAGAGGTCGAAACTGATGGCTCCCTCGTTCCTTTTATCATACGTCTTAAACATCGTATGCACGAATTGAGGGCTCAGACGATATCCAAACGCAACCAGCGCATTTGTATATTCGTCAATACTGATGTTCCCACTTCTGTCAGTATCGAATCGGTCAAAGAGTGACCTCCATGCTGCCAGAAATCCCCATAGGCCGCAGAACTCTTCAAACCCAATTGACCCTGAGCGATCACTGTCAAACATGCGAATCATCATTTTTATGGTATAAGGATCGAAAGCTGTCCAGTCGCCGTTCACAAGGGCAGCGCGTAGTTCTCTCTCGGTGAGTTGGCCGCTACCTGGAAACTTGTGTGAGAGAGGACAAAATAACGGCACGGGTAAGAGTTACCAGTTTTATCTACTGCTTTGAAGAGCGGCCAAAGGGCGGGATCAGCACCATTTGGTGGTGTAGGTGAAGGCGGTGGCCTCGACATTGGCGGAGGTCTGTTCTGGCCTGGTGGCGGTCGGTTTCCATAGCTGGCTCCTAGGGGAGGCGATTGGAAGCCATGAGGGGGTGGAGGAGAAGCGGAGGAACCGTAACTTGCGGGTGGTTGCATCTGCGGTGGTTGCTGACCACCAGGGCGATACCCGTGCTGTTGAACTTCTGGTCGAGGGAGAGGAGGAGGGGGCTTGTTGACATATTGCTGTGGATGAGGCGCATGTTGCGCCTGGTTTGGAGCGAGGCCAGGAGAATGCGCGGGAGCGGCTGTTGAAGCGGGATGCTTCTATCACGATCGTTAGCCAAGATGTAGCTATATGTAATAATCGCGAGTGAAGCATGCTCTTTCGGGTTCTGCGAATCTACGTGTCGTCAGCTCAGCGCGAGGCTTGGGTGGGGGGAATCATGGCAGGAGTCTGCGACTTACGCAGGCAGAGAATCAGGATTGAAGGCTTTGTTATATGCCATGTTGAACGAATGACTGATTCGCGGAGAAGATGTTTAGAAAAGATAGTGATTCCGAGATTTTGAAACGTCCTGTTGTATAGAAAAGAACGAAGTCCTTTCGACAGCCTTCGAGGCTGTGGTGTTGGATGGGGCGGGGGCCAAGCACTCCTTCGGAGGGGTTCTGTACTATTGTACAGTATTCAACCGCCCAAGGTGAAGGCAATGAGAACCCCGCGGCGCAAAGAGAATGCTTAACTGTGAATGACAGACTTATCTCTGTGGGCACAATGATATGTTATATCTAATGTGACCATACTCTTATTACCCAGGTAGTATCCTCATTTGCTCCACGAAGCTTGGGGCTTTTTTCGATGCATTGGCCTGGTCCACTTTGTTTCGACCAACCGAAGTACATGTCACTTCCTTGACAACACTCGTCACTTTACACTTCGCCTCTTCAACACCCCTCCTGCCCCTCGATATGGCGGCAACTGGAACTGTGGCCCAGGACGGTGAGTTCTGGATCTTTGGTTATGGGTGGGTCGCTCTGCCGCACTTTTACCGCCATCACTAACAGAGTTTATAGAAGCCTCATCTGGAAGCCGCCGCCGCATTTCGGTGAGTCTATTTCTGTAGAGACATTCCTACGAAATACTCACTGGACGATGCCATAGATCGACGCATTCCAGGTTACGTGACCGGCTATGTGCGACGGTTCTGGCAGGTTTGTGGTTCTCCGATTTCACCTTTGGATAACGGCTCATGAACGATCCAGGCTAGGTAAGGGGAATGGACTGTGCCAGGAATGAGCTGTCCTGGCTGATACCGAGCAGTCAAGACCATAGGGGAACACCAGAGGCACCAGGGCGTGTTGTCACTTTGATTGAACGCTCTTTTTGGGAGACGCTTGAAGATTACCACGAGTCGGGATCAGAAAAAGTATGGGGAACCGCGTATCGGATAGAGGCATCAAAGGTCGAGGAGGTCCGTGAATACCTCGACATTCGCGAAATCAACGGCTACACGATTCATTACACACAATTCCATCCCGCTGATGGTTCGCTGCCTATCCGGACGTTGGTGTACATTGGAACCCCTGACAACGACCAATTTACGGGACCACAAGACCCTCAGATGTTAGCAGAGCATATCTATAAGAGCGAAGGTCCTAGTGGGCCGAATATTGACTACCTCCTCAGTCTTGAAAAGGCTTTGGATAGCTTGAGCCCCGAAAGTGGAGATGGTCATGTCAAGGATTTGGCCAACAGGGTCAGAAAGATCGAGCAACAGGCACATATTGATGCCAATGAAGCAGTGGGCAAGGCTGTGGATCATGAGCTCAAGAGGGTCGGTAGCACAGACGAGCAAGAAGAGATTGAGAAATAGATTGCGGAGAAGCTTTTTCATTTCTTCATAGACTAGACCTGCAGAAAGCGCAGTCTTCATAACGAGACCTTGATCAAAGTGATCTTGGCCGAAAATCGAAATCGGATATCCGAGCGATGATGAGTGACGAACTGTTAGAATGCGTGAACAAACAACAGGTAGGAAGGACCCCCAAACTCCTCTCAGCTGCTATCCCGAGGTCAAAACCGCATCCAGAGACCACGAGGCTAACCTCTGACTACCATCGAAGATGGTGTTCTAAGGTCCACCGCACAATTAACTTTCGCTGCAACAACCCAAGGCTAACTTTTCTTGACCTCATTCCGTACGAGCGCGCCAGAGATCGGAGATCAACGTCCACTCAACACCAGGACCCTACTGCCAGCGGCCGCCACCCTATCTTTGGTTAGTATTTCCTTCACATTGGAAACGGATATGCCATACCTGTTGCTCCCCACCACCATAGCCACCTGATTTATCTACTGGTCAGCAAAGAACAGTTCACGAAAGTTCTAAGGCGCTTGAATCCTCACCTCCATAGCCGCCTCCGCCTCCCTGGTAACCACCGCCGCCAGAGTAGCCGCCTCCACCTTGGTAGCCGCCACCAGAGTAACTAGGTCAAATAGTTAGGCTCATGTCTCGACACAAAGGACATGGCTAGACAAAGGGGAATGGAGCTTACGAGCCGCCATCACGTCCGCCACCATAGCTATTTCAGCGTTAGCTAGAACGACCAGATAAGAGGTAAGTAAAGGAGCTGGGTGAGATGAAGCTTACCCTCCGCCTCCACGGCCACCGCCATATCTTTATCCAATTGTTAGCCTTGGATCCCGTCGGGGACACGAAGGCACAAGAAGTTCGACTTACCCTCCACCACCTCGGCCACCACCGAAACCACCGCCACCGCCACCGGGGCCACGCTCAGAAGCCTTGTCAACACGAATAGAGCGGCCATCGAACCTGTTCTGGATTTAGTACTGGATAATGTTTATGTCTATTGCTCAACGTACTCGGCATTGTTCATGGAGCTGATAGCAGCTTCGGCATCGGCCTCCTGGCTGTAGCGAACGAAACCGAAGCCACGGCTGCGACCAGTGTCTCGGTCCTTGACTACGATCTATCGGATATACCATCCATTAGTAGGGGTCCTATGACGCAAGGAATAACCATATTAACTTACAGCTTCCTCAACGGCGCCGAACTCCTCGAATTTCTGACGAAGAGTAACGTCATCGGTGTGCCAGGAAAGGCCACTGAGGATGTTAGCTTTGATCCGAGTTGATTTGAATGGGGGAAAACGCGCAAAGGCGAACTTACCCAATAAAGAGCTTGGACATCTTGATTGATGCTTATCTCGAAAACCTGGATGAAAGAGTCTCAATTTCCGCGCGCATTCACACAAGAGAGCGCGCCATCGCGTCGGCGCGGGGTGAATATACGGGAGATGGACGGAACGCGGATCACGCAAAGAAAGATACATTCGAGGCAGAACAGGACTCGGCAGAGTGGACAAGGAAGGGAGGGGAGATGGGGTCGAGGAGGATGTCAGCGCACGCAAGCAGGAGATCAGACGAACTTCTTGAAGAGTTGAGAGAGAGAACGGGGGTTGATGGGAGTTGGTGAGTCGGGGGATTTGTTGATCGTGAGACGCAAAAGACTATCTATCGGTCGAACGACTGAAAGGACAGGACGAGGACGAGGGCGAAGATGGAAGATGGAAGATGGAAGAAGGATGCGGGAAAAGTGCGAGTTGGGGGGGAATTCGCAGGAGAGTTGGTGGGAGTTGAAGAAAGGTGGTGCAGTAGCGGGGAATATGAAGGCCCCTCCTTCGCGTAAGGCAAGCCAGAGCCAAAGAGCTACCTTACTCCGTCCAGACAGGCAAAGGAGAGCTTGCCTTGTATAGGTAGTATATTGGCACGGCAGATACAGATGCGCCATACAGATACATACAGACACAGACAATACAAGACACATTCACTCGCCGCTAGTGCTGATGGGCTGGTCGTCTGCGGGAAAAAAAAAAAAAGACGGACGAGGACGAGGAGGATTTCACGGGTCGACGGCTTTCCCTCGACGGCCTCGATGGAACGATGGGCGATGGGCTCGACAGTCCTGGCCTCTCATGCTCCATGAACCATGGGCCGCTTGCGCACTCGATGCTTTCCCTTGCGACACTCCCAGATCGACCCAGCGGCCAATCACCACGCGGTCCTCGCGATCCTGGCTGGGTGTGCACTGTGTGGACGTGGGAGAGAGCCCAGGGTCCTGCTCCAGCAGCAAGCAAGAGCCGGCTGAACGCAACGAATTCCCGTCGATCTCGGGGTTACAGCCTACCTACTCCGTACAGTCAATCCTCTCTGTATCGCAGGACACACATCGAGGCCGCGAATACCCAGATACCCAGACATACCCGGATACGCCGAGATACTCCTATCAATCCAGTCAGTCCAGTCTGCGTCGGCGTGCTCCTCAATGCTCCCCCAGCTCTCCTCTGTACTGCTTCGCACTGCTCGCCACGGGCCTCGTATGGCACCCACATAGCTCTGCTATAGGTAGGGGCTGCTGCAGCGTTTGCCCCCCGGGCCTAGCTCCAGTCAATCACATCCCATACGCCCCGCGCACATTGTACGGAGCATGGGCGGCTGGGCCGTGGTCTGGTCGTTGACTCGTCGTACATCAATGGGGATGACACCCTTTTTGGGAATACTTCTTGGAATGGCCGGCTGGAACTGCGGCTACAACTCCGGAGGGGGCACGTAAGGTACCTGGGTACAGGCCCAGGAACATAGGTACAGCTAGGTACAGTACCAGTCCGCCACGACCTACGGTACGGTACCTAGATACCTAGGTAAGGTAAGTTGCCTAAGTTCTGGGGTCCGGCCGTCCGAGCTCCCCTTATCGATAAGGACCCCATTCTGCTACGGCCGCGCATTTGGACGCGCGGTGCGGCGTTACACAGACCACCGAGTGATACTGTGAGGTACAACTTACAAGAATCCCTCTCCCTTATCATCCTCAAGATCTCCTCCACACCCACCACATACATCCACACCCACATCTCCTCGTGGAACTACAGTTGCAGCCATGGCCATACGTCTGGCCTGGTCGTCCATAGTGGATTGGTCTGCCTTCCTGAGGAACACCACCCCCTCGATTCCGATGCACTTGCCTCGGCTAGACGGACTGACAGACCAACAGGGAGACAGACATACATACCTATAGGATTAGATACCGAACGGATGGCTGCGTCAAGGAGACATGTCCGGTCGCCGTTTCCCGAGATATCTCATCCTCTGCCAACGATCCTCTCGCGAATCACATTGTCTGGCTTCTCTTGCTTTGTCAACGATACATAAGAGGCGTTCGAAATCCTCCGACGTTGATCTAGAACGGGCACTTGGTGACGGCAAAGCAAGGCGGCAGTCTCCTCGAGAGTGCCGTACAGATCTGGTGTAACCACCCATTCGCCTTCATTCGTGGTGGTTCCTCTCCCCGCACAGCATTCCTCGTGTGCGTATCGCAAACCGTGTGATGGCCTGTGGGAATCCAAGATATGCCCTATCAGACCTGTGCGGGCTCCATCCATCTTTGCTCGTGAGAGAAGTGCCGACCACACCAGATGCATATGTTCGTAGGGCTGCGATCGAGCCACACCGCTCCTTTGGATTCTTCACACTGTCCTTTGCAGAGATATATTCCTGCATGCTAGCTGCGCGTCCATGCTTGGTAGCCAGCTGTATAATGCAGGGACGAAGTTCTGTAACAAGTCGCCAGTGAACGGATAAACAGCGGCATAGCAGAGAGAGCCCAATATCATCGATTCCGGTATCAGTCTTGAAATCACCATCAAGTTGGACTTATACAAAGCATATCTTAAAAATGATACCACGCAGTAAGTCGGCTATAAAAAGAGAGTCAATACCGTCAGTGTATCGCTCCTACTACATTTGGTAAGCCTGAGCTCTACATGTCGATAGGTAAAGGAGGTAGGTACTACCTTCATTTCTCTTGTATCCCAACTCACTTGATTTTGCAACCGTCCCGCGAGTTCACAACTAGTAATTAACAACTCCGTTGCTGTGTTTGATTCATTTTGTTATTTCTCTTGGCTGGCACCTCGTACCTTACCCTCCCTTACCGCCACTGCATGTGCGGGAACTGGCGTCTTCAGTTATGGAGTATCATCGGCGAGGAAAGACCAAACACAACGGGGTAGCCACAGAGCATCAAAAGTTTGAGGTACAAAGGAGGCTCTTAGCCGAAGCAGATTTCTGTGGCGCCGACGAGGCCAGAAGGCATGGTGGCATAGCACCCATCGCAGAGCCGAGTCGTTCTATACCTGCATTGGGTGCAGGCGATGATTATATCCTAAAATGGATTGCGCAGACCGATATGGAGAGCAGCATGCACAGCAGAGGTTCTAATGTAGATCAGAATAAGCACGGTTAGTCTGGCCAACATACCTTTGATAGGACGTGCTTACGAGGTCGTATTTTGGCTCAGAGTATGGAAAGACCAGCAAAAAGCCACAGGCGCATTTCCAATCTTTCCACGAAACAACTCATGATGCTGGGGATTATCCAGAAGTCCGGAGAAAGCGACGACGAGATAGCTCGTCCTCGGATAGCTCCCTGCTTGAGCCCGCCGTCAAGTCGAAGTTGGACCAAGTGGTCAGAGGGCAGGTAAAGCCAGATATATCCGAAGAACAAGAAAAGCCCTCATCTCATCCCCAAAAGAAGCGCAAGCCTGAGCCATCAGATGAGGGTACATCTGTCCAATTCAGCAACCCTCTGGAAACTTTTGAGAAGCGTCCTCGCCGCAAGACACGCGATGATCGGTATGAACCGAAAAAGAAAATGAAGAAGTCTGAAAAGCCCAATGAAGGAAAGCGATCCAGGACGAAACGAGAGAAGAAGGGCGATAAAAGGAAAGCTGCAAAGAAGGCTGGAGAAGACCTTATGCAGAACTTCTCGTCGAACCGCATAGCCCAAGAGCGATTGACAGTAAGCATTTGTCTTATTTACTTGTAGCCATAGGCTAACTACTGCTAGATTCGGCCTCCTCATGGCCTTGGGGTTTTCAATAATGGTCGAGCATCCTCTCCAATAAGGCGTCGAGGATGTATGTTCCTCTTCTTTATAGATTTCAGATACCAGACGCTGATGCATTTCTGCAGTGGCCGATCTTGCTTTCTCGGAAATGAGGTTTCTTCAGCGATCCTCACACGTTCCAAGTACCAAGAAAAAAGATACAATCGTACCAAAATCCCGCGAAAAGGAAACGCGTAGGGCTGAAAGGGCCCGGGATGAAATATCCACTTTCTTTAAACCGAAACGGACACCATTGGAAGAGACAGAAGCAAATGCCGGTCCAGGAGCCTCATCAACATATATGAGTGATCAGCATCCGATAGCTAGGAAGCGAGCATCAGAACACCACTACACAAAGGAACATATACGCTCTCAACCTGAACATTCCCCGAAGTATCAACACGTTGAATTTCAATCAGCGCCATTTTCGGATACAACACGGGTGTCCAGCGACCTTTCTCATTCGAGACAACTTTCCAGAAACTTTCCTGATACTATCAGCACATCGTCTGGAGAAGCAAGTACTTGCGTGACATGGTCAGAGACACAATTTTCACCTATTACTACAACAGCGGCTTGGAGACAATTGAACAATGCTTATCAATACCAGACTAGCCCAATCCCAAACGCCGTTAAAAGATTAATTGAGAATACAGGAATCTTCAGGGATACAGGGATAGTAATGTCACCAGACTTGAATCGACCGAGAGAAAGGACATCCCTTGATAAGAGATGTCAAACATTGCATCTTTCGACTAACGTTCCTAGCGTGGATCGCTCATGCGGAATCAGCGGGAGTGCAGCATCACCCAGTTCCAAATCACCTGATTTCCATAGGAAGCGCCCGCTATCTGGAGGGGATAGCCGTTCTCCAAGATCACCAAGATTGTCAGGTTCTCAAGGTGATAGTCAGAAACAAGGAGGTACCCAGCAAGCAGATTCTAGACGTTTCAACAATAGTACTCACTCTCCGGTGAGAATTGCGCCAACAAGATCCGGCCAAACGATTATTGAGAATTATGAAGCCAAGTCAGGATGGCATCAACATCAAGATCCAATCAGATCTGTACATCCAGACACGAACACACTAGATTACCAAGCACAAAAGGCTTGCGAAAGCGCGCCAGTCAACCGGGAACAGCTTGCTCAGAATGCTCGCATCAAACGCCCGCCGACCGAGCTACCTGCCGCTGAGGATTCTAGGGAGGAGGTGCTTCAATATGGAATGAAGGCGCAGACCCAAGACCAGAGGAATGCCAACTATCCGGATAAGACAGATCAACCCAATGCGCTCATTGTACCGAGACCTGGTGAAGGTACATCAGAGATAGCATCTTCAAGAGGCAGGAAGACGCCTCTACGCATCTCATCCGCCCAAGCCACTTCCGAACATGAATCTCGAGCTAGAGAGACGATACAGGCTATGCAACAAGATTTTGACCTTGATGCACCAGTTGTAACTCATCCCAACTCTGACTTATTTGTGAATGAACCAGCAACAAGATGCTCGTCTATGAGACCGCTCCGTAACGGACTAAGTACTGAAACCGCGGCCCCTCTTAGACAAGATATAAAGAAAGACTTGGTTAATAGAGACGGTGATTCTCTTCCTGCTCTGCTTATAGGAGGATTCTGGAAAACCCGCGACCATGAGATGAATGCTCGACTTTCACGTTTGTCGCCAATCCCTGAACATGCACCACTATATGTCCATCAACTGCAACGGTCGCAGTTTCATGAGGAGCGAGTCCCGCATGAAGAGAACTACATCAGCCATAGTTCTCAAGAACATTTTGGCAACGAGGGTTATGAAATGTTACCTTACCTGGAAGATGTTGAGTTCGATCTTTGGGAAAGAAACTCTGGTACTGTTCTTCCGCAGGGTAACAACCACTTCAGTGGCATATCTCATCAGGGCATGGAAACATTTGAAGATTACAGTGGAGGGCACAACTTCATTCCGGAAATATGGGATGAGGAAGATCACGCTGTTCTGGAGACGGAGAACTATGACTTGTGGGATGAACCCGAGCAGAACGCGATACCCAGTTACGAAACCTTCGAGGGAGTCTACCGTGGTAACACTTTTGGTCAGCCATATGGGGAGGATGCCCGGTATGAGCAACCCACCAACGAAGAAGAAGGTTTAATGCAAGGATTTTGGCGGCCTTATCGTTCCTATTGATGGGCTTCATACGTCTTACCACGCTTCTATACTTAGGTTTCCTAACGTATTCCATCTAATGAATATCCCACATTACTACACACACGTCTCAGGTACACAGTTTTATTCGATTATTCTGGCTCCTGATGTTTCCACTTTTCTCTAATGGCATCGACATCAATTCCACATAATTGTGCTCTCTGAACCGTTGCCTTCGCCTTTCCCACCACAGGTACGTCAATCATCTTCCCATCCAAAGTCCACGCTCCTCTACCACCAGCATCGGCCTTCTCGTCACCAATCACTACTCTCATCGCCCATTCTACCTCTTTCTCTCCCGGCGCAAATGCTCTCTGTGCCACCTCAACCTGACTCGGATGTATACACTGTTTCCCATTGAACCCCAATCCCTTGCCTTGCAAACATTCCTGCTCCAGTGTCTTGAGTCCTTCCGGCCCCCGGAAAGAAGTACAGACCAAATCAATAGTAGAAGGCAAATCGTGAGCGCGAGCAGCTGTCGCAATGGCAGACCGGGCATAGAGGAATTCCATCAACGAGGGGGTTCTCGTGAGAGATAAATCGAGGGCAAAATCCTCGGCGGCGAATATCAAGCCGCTTAGATAGGGGGAGGCCTTGCAAATCTCATTCAGGTTCGTGATAGCCTCTGCGGATTCAATCAGGGCGATAAGCTTGAGCGGATTTGTCGAGGAGGCGGAGTGTCGCTCGGGCAAGGCATGGCGGAGCACGTCAGTGACAAAATGGAGATCGGAGGCGCGGTTGACTTTGGGGATAACGAGGGCGTCTAGATTGGGTGCTTGGAGGACGGAGGTCAGGTCGTCGAGCGCGAGGCCCGAGGAAACGGCATTGATGCGTACGCTGAGCTCGTTGATGTGTGGTGGGCGGGGTTGGGAGAGGAAGTCCTGGATGTTCTTCCTTGCGGCCGGCTTCTGGGCGGGTGTGACGGAGTCTTCGAGATCGTAGGAAACGGTGTCTACTGTGAGACCTCTGGACTTCTCCAGGAACCTGGGAGAGGAGGATGGTACTGTATCAGATTAGTTGGAGTGGCTTATCAGCAAGGAGAGGGGAGGTAGGTACCATAGAGAAGAGCTCTCCGCAGAACGGAAGCTGCTTTGGACGACATGCTCCGTTCAATTGCCTCAAGATATAAGTATAGAAAGTAGCTATGGCCTACAATACTGTAGTCAGGAGGCTCTTCCCCTCAGCCTGAACCTCCGCAATCGACGTCGGCGTCGGAGTTGAGCTCCCGGCGTCGATTCTGCCCCGGATCACCGCCTTCTGTAGCGTTGACAGGGGCATGCTGCCCTTCTTTGGCGACAGATCATTGTACTTCGTAAGCTCCTTTGGCAACTTGACATCGCAGCCACTCTTTCAACCTTTCACGATGGATCCGAATCGGCCGGCCGAGCTGAGCTGGCGCTTAAGCTCACACCCTATTACACTCCTGTGTTTCCTGGCTTTTCGAATGTGTAAGTCGCTTAGAGATTCGTGTCTTCAAGAGCTGAGCCGATTGCTGATTCCTTATAGCAAGTCTCCTGGTCTACCTATTCGGGCTTCTCTTCACTGGCAATTTGTGAGTCCTTACAATGGTTTCTGGGATTTGGAGGGATCGCGAGAGCTAATTGCCGGACCCTAGTGTTCTCATCTTCATCATCACGATTCTCCTCCTCGCAGTCGACTTCTATTACTTGAAGAACATCGCCGGCCGCCGCCTAGTGGGACTACGATGGTGGAACGAAGTTAATCCGCAGACTGGAGACTCGCATTGGGTGTTCGAGAGCTCCGACCCCTCGACCAAAACCATCAATGCGACGGATAGCCGCTTCTTCTGGCTCGCTCTATATGCGCAGCCGCTGCTCTGGGTAGGGTTAGCGATCGTGGCTATTTTCAGATTCGAGTTCATTTGGTTGACACTTGTTGGTATGTTGCTATTCCGCGCTGGGGTAAGGGGAAGAAGATGCTGATTCGGATAGTTATCGCGCTGAGTCTGACGGTCACGAACACCCTTGCGTTTTCGAGGTGTGATAAGTTCAGTCAGGCTTCAAATCTGGCTGGTTCAGCGCTGTCTGGTGGAGGACTTGCTGGTAATGTGGTTACCGGTATGCTTTCGAGACTTTTCGCCCGGGGTTGAAACATGGCGGGGTGTAGGGAATATGGAATATGACCTAGGTCAGTGTATGATATCATGTGGAGTTGCTATGAAAAAGCAGGACTTTATAAACTTTATTGGGAGTTGGCCGGTTATTCATCGCAATGAAACAGATCTAGCAATCGTGCGGCTCTTCTCTTTGGAAACTGGTCGCTGGGAGATGAAAGTGAGAAAATCCTGGAATCAAACACTATTGAGCAAGTATGCCCTCTGAGACCCGCTTCAAGTGCTGCGGCAGTACGGTTTTCGGTGTTGAGTCTTGTGAGTTGCCGCAGGGGTTGTTGATATCTACTAGGTAGAATTATCCACATGCTTGTTACTTTCATGACCTTCCCTCGGCCAGGTACTCATCGAACAGTTTCCAACGGAGTGAGTGTGATGTCTCCCTCCAGCCATGATTTCCCGGCGGCATGATAACGGGCTTGTTTGCCATGTAATAGAGACTTCGGGAGTATATTAAGGCTCATTACGCCATGCCGACTGATTACGCGCAGAAGAGGACAGGAGACGCCTTTTAGAGCCGCGAAGGCTACCGGTGTGAGGATATTTGAGGGGACTAAGGTACATCAGAACTAGAGCGATGGAGTACAGATTCATTTCATCTGCCAAGAAGAGATCACAGACACAGCTCGCTTGTATACCTACCTGGGAACAATTTCAATGCGAGGTCAGACTGAGCCAGAGAACGAAGCAACACAAAGTCAACAGGAAGTAATGAAGTTAACCTACCTTACCTAGAGAAGAGTTCAATATTCGAGAGGTTAAGGGATATTCTGTAATCGAGAAGAGGTTAAGAATTAAGAAACGTCAACCGAGACACACACCGGAATATCAAGATCCTCTGGCGGGCGCGGGCCAGCGTGAGCCGACGGCCGTGCAGGGCCCGGCGGCCCGTCGAAGCAACGGCCACTCGTCCGAGATCTTCACTGAGCCATTCGGTCAATAGTAGCGACGGAGAATGTTACTGTCTCCGTTACAATTACTGTCTCTATTACAATTACTGTCTCTATTACAATTACTGTCTCTATTACAATTACTGTCTCTATTACAATTACTGTCTCTATTACAATTACTGTCTCTATTACAATTACTGTCTCTATTACAATTACTGTCTCTATTACAATTACTGTCTCTATTACTGTCTAATGCTCTATCCTTCCGAAGACTTACGATTAGCAGCTAAATCACCCAGAAGCATATACTGGTCGCCAATACAAAGAGACAATTCATAACAAATCGTTCATATTCTCAGCTCATTTTGTCTAACTATGTGTAGGCATGGCCACATCTGCAGCCTTCGAAATGGCGTCCTCACTCCTCCACAAGCTCGTTACCGTTTTCTGTTGAGTGTAGAATTGCAACCCAGGCTTGCCATAGAATGTGTTCGCTCCACCTCCTGCAACACTCTTCTTGTTTCCAGTGAAGCTGAAAATAGGAAGAGGGACTGGGATGGGGACATTGATTCCCACTTGTCCTGCCTCTATTCTCTTTTGGAAGGTTGACGCGGTGGCGCCGGATCGCGTAAAGATGGCTGTCCCATTTCCATACTCGTTAGCGTTGATAAGGTCGATGGCCTCATCAAGCGAATCCACCTCCAAGCATACTAGAACGGGGCCGAAGATTTCCTCTCTGTAGCATCTCATGTGAGGCTTGACATTTGTGATGATTGTTGGGCCAACCCAGTTGCCGTTGGGGTACTTGGCGGGCTTGTAGCCGCGGCCATCCAAAAGAATAGTTGCACCTTCCTCCTCAGCGCTGGCAATGAGACTTTCAATTCTCTCCTTGCTCTGTGGGGAGATAACTGGTCCCAAGTCAGCACCTTCTTCAAAACCTCCATTGACATTCAATTTCTTGGCACTCTCAGCGAGCTCTGGGAGCCATTCCTTGCTCTCGCCAACCATGACCAAGGTGCTAAGAGCCATGCATCGCTGGCCAGCCGCACCAAAGGCAGCACCGACGATAGAATTCAGGGCATGTTGTTTGTTTGCATCAGGGAGGACAGCGGCGTGATTCTTAGCTCCCAAATTGGCTTGTACACGCTTGCCATTGGCTGAGCCTCGAGAGAAAATGTATTCTCCGGCACGATTACCTCCAACAAAACTAATTGCCTTGATGGCCGGTTCATCAAGAATAAAGTCGACAGTCTTATGGGCACCGTGGATAATATTGAGGACCCCATCTGGGAATCCAGCCTTTTGAGCTAACTCAGCCAAGATCATCGCAGCACCTGGATCCCGTTCTGAGGGTTTAAGGATGAGACAGTTGCCGGTAGCAGTTGCAATGGGAATGCACCACAGCGGAATCATGGCAGGGAAGTCTGGAGTTGGCATCAGCATAAATGTAGGGGAGCTTAGATAGTGGTAACGCACTGAAAGGGCAAATCGCAGCTACAACACCCAATGGCTCCCTATAGCTTCGAGTCTCCATATCCTTGGCAACCTCTAATAATTCTCCCGTCATTTGCTGGGGAATGTTGCATGCAGTCTCGGCGACTTGTAAGCCACGAAGCACATCTCCTTTGGCATCTGTAAAGCAGTCAGCACGTAGTCGAGATTGAAGAGGTCAGGGACGCGTACCAGCAAATGTCTTGCCCTGTTCCAGAGTGATGCTTGCAGCCAGTCTATCCCAGTTCTCCCGGACTAATTGTGTAAACTTAAACATAATCTGCTGTCTAGCCATCACACTTGTTGCTTTCCATGCTGGAAATGCCTTTTGTGCACTCTCAACCGCAGCCTTGAGCTCCGCATCGGTGCTTTGTGGCACTCGGGTAACTAAGTTGTTGGTGGCGGGATCGTGGAGGTCGATGAACTGGGTAGTTTCGGACTTGACGAATTGGTTGTTGATAAACCATGGGGTATCTTGAACATCTTGAATCTTCTCGTGGGTTGTGGGATAGTTCTCGGCTTTGTATGCAAGTGCTGCCGCTGGCTTCAGGTATCTGGCGGTGGCGTGCAATCTGCGTGTTGCGGTCTTGGAACAGTGAGTGGGGGAAGATATGGAGAAGGCGGGTGCGGAGCGTGGAGCTCGCACTGCCGCCGCAGGAACTGAACGAGAGAGAACTCGACGCATCTTCAAATGTGTGAACAGATGGATATTCAGATGAGTTCCGGGGTCGATGTTGAGGAGAAAGGCAAGAATTATATAAAGCGGCGAGTAATGATCGTGTTGACGGAGCTGTATATAAGATACCCAGGTACAGACTTGACATGGGTAGCTGCGGATAGCCAAGGCCCTCGGCTAAGGTAAGCCATGATAAGCGGGGAAGAATACCCGAAATACCCTTATACCGTATTTGGCCCAAAGGTGGGGGATAAATTCTCTGGTATAGATGCCCCATGTGGAAACAAAGCGGGGGTAAATTACCGATAACCGATTCGCGAGGTCGGGAAAGCGCCCATCTCCCCCCCCTTTTCTGTTATTCTTGTTATACCATGATTATAACATAATATAACATAATATCCTCCATCAGTCCATGATGAATATCGCTGCCCTCCCCGTCGACGTCTTTCTCCTAATCGCCGCGCATCTCTCACCCGCGGACATCGTCGTCAACCGCCGCGTCTCCAAGGGCTTCTATGCTGCTTTCACGGACTCCGATGTGTGTCGCCACGTGCTGCTGCAGCACTACCCCAGAGCACGAGAGGTACGGAACGCGGCCCACGATGGCTCGATAGATTGGTCTCGGGTGTTCTCTAAGGTTGCCGCCAGATATCATCATCTGAGGGCGGGCAAACCAAGGAGCGTCGAGAGGCTTGCTTTGGGAAAGTCCTTTGTCGTACCAAAGTGGGCGCGGTATTATCCCGTCTCGCCCTGGCATCAGCATTTGCAATTCGAAGAGAAAGCAGCGCCTTTTCATTATCCTGATCCGCTGTGGACTTACGACGAGGGGATACTAGTGTTTCCTTCTGCTGAATTCCAGAAATATATACTATATGACCTTGACAATGGATCCCTTGCAGAGTTTGATTTCAAGCCCGAGGGTAAGATTGTCAGGAGGATTAGGTTGAAAGAGAAGGTTTTGATTGTTGAGTGGTGTGAACAAGATGCTTACCACCAGCTCAACGAAAACGAAGTTGTCTATAGACATTTTGCTACCGCATATGATCTTGTACGGAATGTCCAGGCTGGCAAGTGGGATGCTATTTTCCGGTCAATACGTCGTTCCTCGACAAACGAGCCAAACTAATGCTTAGCAGAAATGAATGGAAAATACATTTCTTGGGTATGCCTTTGAACTTAAGGGACCGTTTCTACAGTGCCCACTCTACTTCGCATTATGCTTTATACCTTTGGCAGCCAAATCGAAGCGCGTGGGGTGAAGATGATCCTATTGAGGCCTTGGCTATCTGGGATATCTCTTCCCCTTCTGGCTATCGTCCTTCTGAAGATCCTACTGGTAAAGGTAAACCTGCAAATGGCTCTGAAGGACCCAAGGTCATCAGACGCCTTTCTTTCGACGCTTTAGATTTCTATGAAATCAGACAGCGCTCCACGCCGGTGCTTCGATGTCTAGAACTGGACGGAAACCATGTTTACTTCATTGAGGAAGATCATAGATGGCTTGTAGGCCAACAAGCATCCCACAACCTCCCGCGACTGCATAAAGTCAAATCAGTTGGGGTTCCCTTTGCTGTTGGCCCCCGATGGGAAGATGAATGTGGTGCCGATGGCGACGTGAATCTATCATTTTGCGAGAGGGTCACGGATTCGAGACATCCAAGTATCGCTCCGTGTTGGAGACACGAGGTCAGTAAATTTTGTCTAATCTATATTTTGGTGTTGACAACGGGTAGGAGTTTCCGTATCTCACAATAACAGAAGCATTTGATCCCGAAGCCGGTGTTAAATTCAGCGCCCGTCACTGCTTCATGCTGGAGACCATCTCAATCAATGTAAAGCCCAAAGTCCGTATGCTTGGGCCTGGGTACGAGATTTCATTGAGGGACGATTTGTGGCCTCAATTGCTCGGCAAAGGGAGGATTTGCGGCGATGAAAGGTGGCTCATCGGCGAGAACATGAGCCAGGATATTGTGATCTTGCATTTTGATGAGGCACCAGCGAAGAGGGCTATAGATCTGACTTCGTGATAGATAGGATACCTTATAAATGTCCCTATAGAACCCGGACTGCCACCGTAGAACCACGGAAAAGAGATGGTACTGACAATCTAGCCGCTTTCTTTACTACTCTTATACTTTTTCTTGGTGCTTTCTTTCTAAGAATTTTAGTAATGTAATTGCGCGGAAGCCATCACATAACCAAAATCGACATCTAGGTGTTCGACAACCAACTTCCTGCAGGTCCCAAGTCCTTGAAGGAACCAATTACTCATGGAGAAAAAGAACAGGTAATATTTGATAGTCAGAAAATATCCCAGCACAAGACCTCTTGAGGAGTAGTGATACTTTTGTATTTCCAAACACAGAATCTCGTTGCCTACCATGTATGCCATTGTCCCTGAAATCGGACAGAACGGTTTCGGGATAAGAGCTTAATCTTCGGATCTTACTCATAACTGTATTTTAGCAATTGTTCATAACACATCTGTATTCATTGGTCGTACTATAACTCGTCCTTCCGACGTTGAGCTTCCTTTGCTGCTTCTTTATCCTCTTCCCACATTCTCTTCAGAGGATTTCTTTTAGCCTGGGCCTGCTCCCCTTCCCCATTTGCGTCACCACCACTCTCCTCTTGGGCTGGTTTCTCTTCTCCGGCGTAGTCATTTCGACTTTCGTCGATAATCCTGCCAACTTGCTCAGAAACGCTGCCTTGTCCCTGGGGAGCGTCCATTGGCCTCATCGGCGCCCCCCTACCACCACCACCGACGTTCATACTCCGAGCATGTGATCCGGCAATTGTGGGTATAGGCGTTCTCGTACCGGTACTATGCACGACCGTCGAATGTCCAACCACGGAAGTGATGCTCGTATCAACACTTGAGCGACCTACTGCCCCTGTAGTTGACAGAACTCCCATAGAACCTTTCCAAAACATCTTCACTGGCAGCCATACCAACCACCACGCCGGACCATACAAGAATCGCCTGAAAATTAGCCAAGCAATCGTAACCAAGAGAACGTAGAATGCGGTCTCGAGGTACCAGGTGTCACTCTTCTGGCTCCTTAGCAATGTCCCAAGAAGATTCTTAGAACTCGATAATAGAGTATCGAGTGTAGAATACGTCTCCGATAGCTGCGCTAATGCTGCAGTCGACTCCTGCAAAGTCTGATGTGCGAACTGTGAGCGTGAGAGCTCAGCAGCCATCATATCATGTGTGCGTCGGAGGGCAAGCGTAACATCCGTGCTTGCATTAACCGTCTTTTCCTCCTTCGAAAGTTCTGAAGATGGCAGGTTGCGTCGCCGTGGTACTAAGGGTTGTGTTGGTTTGTCGGGTTGGGGATCAAGATAGGATTGTAAGAGGAGCTTGCGTTCCTCGCGCTGTGCTTCTTCGAGACTCCGCTTAGCAGACATCTGGGCTCTGCGAAAGGCTATCACAAGTCTGGAGAGATAATTAGCTTGAAGCATATATTATACGGCTTATATCAAGATAGAGGGACGTACGCCTTCAGCTCTTCCCTAGCTTTCTTAACCCCGCTGTCGAGTAGGACCTTTTGCTGCTCCAACTCTCCGCCGGATCTTCCAACCTCTACATCAGTTACATCTTCTTGTAAGATAGCTAGATCTTCATCCTGGTCTTTTATGAGCTGGTGGATCTCCGAGGTGAGTTCCACCTTAACATTGTTCTCGTCGTCGTCGAGAGGAACCGATCCAGGTTGAAACTTGAGGTTTGCGAGACGATCAATGAGCTCTTTTAGCAGGGCGTTTGACTCTTGCAAGGCCTTAAGCCGCTCTGAAACTATTTGAAAAGACATGTTCCCGCGTTGTAAAGAGCCAGAGCTGTCGCAAGAGCTGTGAGACCAGGCTGGGGAAACTTGGCATTAGAGCTGTCAGCGGAATTTGCCGAATCCCTAAACTTTTCTGATATTCGCGACGCCTACTCCACGAACCCCGAGCACATCCATCCGCAAAGTATTGACTCCGTGATTAATTGAGGCTCGAGTAAGTTTCTGTCAGATATAAAAATGACTCGAAAGTTGCTAATATCTTTGTAGAATTGGCGCCTCTCCAACCTCTGTCAAAATGATTACCAGATTCATCACCGAGGTGTCCACCGTCTTCAACCCTTTCTCCCCAAAGGCAAAGACCGCCCGCCTGTTCCTCTCTTTCCTCCCGCCAGATGCGCGACAGACCATGAAGATCACTACAAAGTTGTTACCGAGGTCATCGAAAGAGCCAAGCTTTGTGCAAGTAAAATTCAGTAAGCAAGCATCCTTGCCTGGGCTATGTCAATTGAGACGACTCTAATGATGGGATTTGCAGAGGATGGCAAGGAAATAAAACTCGATGCGGAGAAGCTAGGGATTAAGGGGGTTGCGGAAGAGGTGAATAGACACTCAAGAATCTTGTCGAGGGCGGATGAATTGGCGAACTGAGGGAGAGATCTGTGGCCTGGATTGTACATCATTTGCATATGGGAGGCGTTAGTGTCCATGTATGTGTAGGATAGGTTTCGAGAGCATGGAGTTGCGGAATAAAGATCTCAAATCACCAGTGACGGCTGCAATACGCCTCCATTTGATCTGTCATTGCTTCACGCCTCATCTAAATAGGGGTGACTTCTCAAAGGAGAGTGATAAGTACCAACTCCATTCGGACCCTCAATTTCTCCATAGAAGCACCAAAAGGTTCCCCTCGACATGTTTACTTCTGCTTAGATGTATCGGGTATAGGGGGTCACGAGAAATAGGAAGCATCACATAACACGCAAATATTTAAATCATCTATGCCATTCGTCTACCAAGCCAATCTAAACGAGTGCATGGAAACTTTTCTAGCAATGGAAGAGCCGATGTTTATAAATCAACGAGTAACCTTGTCGGTATATCACCTCCTTAGTTGGCAGCGCCAGAAATGAAGAACCACTTGTCAATGCTTGGGTCAATTGGAGCGGGGGCAAGCTCCTCGTTGGCAGGAATTTGAGGAAGCTGGTCAGGGTTGACACGGCTTGGTGAGTGCTTCACGGTAAGGTTGGTACTGTTGCATCGTCAGTCCTGGGCCCGAAACTTGTCAAGAAGTACTTACGTAGAGACATCACCAGGGTTGGTCTTGCCAGTGATGAGCTTGTCCCAAGCCTCAGCACACTCACGGACGATGTCAGTAGCGTACCTATTATGCAAGTTAGCCATTTTATACTATATGCACAGGGACGATTCAGACACACTTCTTGTTCTTGCACTCGCCGGTGAAAGCGAACTGGTTCTCAGGCTTTCCATCTGGGATCTTGTAGATACGGAACCACTCGTTGGTGGCCCTCAACAGACCTGGGAGGTGTCTCTCGACATCCTCGATGTCGTTGAGCTTTGGAGCCAATGGGTCGTTGATGTCGATGACGATGACCTTCCAGTCGGTCTCCTCCTCGTCGAGAAGAGCCATGACACCAAGGACCTTGACCTGCTTGACTTGACCCGGGTATCCGACAAGTTCACCGATCTCGCAGACGTCCAATGGGTCATTGTCACCCTTGGCCTTGGTCTCTGGGTGGATGACGTTGGGGTCCTCCCAGGTCTGGAGAGGCGGTCAGTGGGCAGGAAAGACGATGCAGTGACAGTGGGGTCCTACCTGAGGGAATGCACCGTAGTTCCAGAGGTAACCCTTGTGGGGGAAGCAGTTGCGGACGAAACGGAGCTTGCCCTTCTTGACGTCCTGCTTGATGGGGTTGAGGAGTTCCTCCTTGGAGATCTGGATGCGCAGAAGTGTTACCAGGCGTCGTGCGGGGTCATGAAAAGCAGAGTCTCGAAAAGCAGAGTCTGGGCTCCAGGTGGTTGCAACGGTATCGACTTACTTCCAACTTGCCATTGGTCCATCGTGGGATCTCAACGATCATGTTCAAGATGGTCTGCTGCTCGTTGGCATACAGAGGGATGTCGTGGAAGGGAGAAATGGGGACGCCATCCTTCTCGATGTAGATGCGGTGCTCCAAAGTGTTTGGGCGTCCGATCTTTCGGACCTTGTAGGGAGAGGGGGCGGCCATGTTTGCAGATGGTGATGAGGAAGAGTTGTCAGAAGAGGCGCTCGAGAGATGTCGAGCTATCTGGGTGGTTCGCGCTCTAGAAGAGGAAATTTTGTGGGATGCCAGTGTGGGTTTGGAGGGGAAGCCCCGCGCGAGTTCTGATTTGCTTGGAGAAATAGAGGCAATAGAGGCGCGGATGAAAGGCCGGGCAGCGCACAACATAGGGGGGAAAGAAGACTTATCAGGATCTCTCTCGCGGCTCTGGCTTTGGCTCTGGCAGCTTGGCTTCTCTTAACGCTTCTCCGAGGTTATCAGATGCCTCATATGCCTCCCAAGGCCTCTGTAATTGGCTAGATCTGATGAAAGTATGCCGAGCCGCTGTATCTTGCGAGAACCGTTCACCCGGCGCAATGACGGGAGACCTGAGATTACGATTGCGCGCGCACGTGACCGCCATTCTTTGCACTGCTAAGGTATCAAAATTATTATTCTGGGTTCATGTCCACCACGACGCTCCAGCAACCCTCCCAGCCCTCTAAGAACCTTGCCATGGTATGCTCCGTCTTGCATCTGCCATCATGACATCCGCTCCTAAGAGGGTTCCCATTCCTAGGAATGGCGTCGACTACAGAGGAAAGATCGTGCTGGCGCCCATGGTGCGTTCTGGAGAACTCCCCTCCCGCCTCCTCGCTCTGCATTACGGAGCGGATCTTGTTTGGGGTTTGTAGTTTTGCTTCAGCAAGTATTAGTACCTTGCTAACTGTTCTTGTAGGCCCCGAGACTGTCGATAGATCTATGATTGGCACGACCCGCAAGGTCAACGAAGCCCTCTCCACCATCGATTTTACTCGACTCCCTTCCCATGGGTCAAAGGATCCCAGACAAGACCAGAGAGAGTCTCTGATCTACCGTCTCCATCCAGAAAGAGAAGGGCGCCGTCTCATCTTCCAGATTGGAACTTCGGACCCCGAAAGGGCAGTTCAAGCTGCGCGGGTAGTGGCCAAAGATGTGGCTGGAATAGATGTGAACGCTGGCTGTCCTAAGCCGTTTAGCACAAGTGGCGGAATGGGAGCTGCACTCCTGCAGACCCCAGATAAGCTCTGCGCAATTCTAGAAGCACTGGTCAAGGAGATAGCGACGGAATTCGAGATTGGAATCAGTGTTAAGATACGATTACTGGAAACTCATGAGAAGACCGAGGCCTTGGTACGGAAGCTATGTGCTACCGGCATTACTGGACTAACGGTTCATTGTCGAACAACTCCTATGCGACCCCGAGAACGGGCTATCCGGGGGCAATTAAAAATGATTGCAGACATTTGCAGAGAGAATGGCGTTGCCTGTCTCATGAACGGGGACGTCGAGAATCGAGACCAGGCGGAGAAATTAATCGAAGAATTTGGGGTTGATGGTGCCATGATTGCAACAGCCGCTGAGGCGAACTCCAGTTGTTTCAGGAGTGAGGCTGATGGCGGCTTAGCTCCATGGAAGGAGGTCGTTGAACAGTATATCAAGACATCAATGGAGGTGGAAAACCGATGGGGAAATACCAAGTATCTCCTCAATCATTTGATACCTGGGAAGCAGCCAGTATACCGTGAGATCACTCAGAGTAAAAGTTATCAGCAGGCCTGCCAGATTTTGGGCTTCGAGCATCTAGAGGCGCAGGCAAAAGAGGTTGACGAAAGGATCGGCATAACCCCAGAAAGCCAAATGCCTCAGGGTAAAAGAGGCAGAAAGAACAAGACCGCTATGGCGGCAGGCGGCAATCCAAGTAAGATTCGGTCGATTGAGACACAGGAAAAGAAACCCTTATCTGATCGAGGTATTCAAAGCCAACCTGTAGTGGCTTTGAGTACGTAAACTTTTTTGAGGTCCTAGTTAAGGTTATACCACGGAAGACCAGTTGAAGACAACTGTGGAGATGATTCGAGCCAAGCAGGGATTTATACCAAAAGCACGAGGAGCATCTCGAGGCGTACTGGCATATAGCGGCACACGGAGGCAGGCATTTCAGGCGTTTATATAGATGAATGCAGGTTTGTTTCCAATAATATTGCAATTACTCTTATACCACGTTTCACAGTCCTCTAGGAAGGGGAACATTCCGTTATATTAACATTAAGTCTTCCAAAAGCGCCATGCCCATATTCCCATTACCCACAACAAACAGTGGCTTCTTCACTTGTGGAACTGCATCAGAATTAGCAAAGTCCAACTTTCTCAATTTCAGTTGCATACCTTACAAGGCTAACGCTTTCCCAGCTGAAGACAAAAGCCCCAAGCCAAGCTCCGGCAATGATGCATATTATACAATAGCCGTTATAGTACATGGCCAACATCATGATAAAGTATGCCACGGCAAACTGCATCATATGGAGAGTGGCACGAACAGCTTGCTGGAAAATATTGGGGCGAGAAGTCGATGGCGCAGTAGTAGTCACTGTTGTGCTATTCTCACTGCTGTTATTACCAGGACCATCCTTCCCTGTAACTCGGCTCTGGATTACAGAAGCACGTTGCTGTGCCCGTTTATATTGTCGCAAGAGATAGCGATCATATTCTTTAGCCAAGCGGCGGAGGAACTCCAAGAACATCACGAGTAGGACGACACCGATACAGAAGCCTGCGAACATCCCCTTGGATGTTATGTGCCACGATCTGCTAATGAAACCTACAATACACATTGTAAGTAAACGGTCAAGGAACGGGCAAGAAGAGGCAGGGCGGGGAATACATGAATCGATCGTGTACCAGTTCCATAACATCTATGAATCTTGACTTAGTGCATCGTCCCAGATACATGTTGGACGAGATCTGCTTACGGATATCTTGCAGTTCCCGCTCATATGCATACTCATTCCTGTCGAGGTGGCATGTGAGGCCCCTGAACTTGTTGCTGTGGGCATTCCTGCCATCGACATAGTTGAAGTTCCCATATCCATGTTGAAAGTACGCTCAGAGCGAGGACTAGTGATGAGTTAATTGGCTGTTACGATTCTCACTTGGGGGGCATTGAAGTGGAACGGGATCATATCGATTTATATACGGATCAAGTGCGGAAGACCTAATAGGATTGGGACCCAGTCCTGTCAAAGTTTGGGCTTTTGCTACTATCCGTCCAAATAGACTGATTGATTTCCAAGAGGGCGCCAAGTCGTCGACTAATCCAGGCTTTCCTAATTGTTCAGAGTAGGTATCTTCTGTCCATGTGAGAAAGAATGAGCATGTAAAGTGCGTCCTCGACCACTGGACGAAGCGGGCCACGCATCATTTCTTCCATTTCTTGCGAGAGTGTGACGAAAAAGACATAAACCACCGAAGCTAGTCATCTTTGCTGCCATCCTACAGGAACTTTATCCTCGTGTCTGATATCTATTCCCATGAACAAGCAAGTTGAAGAGTGTTGAATGGCAGCCCGCTAAGAAATAAATCGGAGCAGCAAGGGGTAAGGGCAAAGCAAGTTGGTGTTGAAATACAAGCACTTGGTCTAGTGGGGGGGAGGGGTTATTTGAAGGACACAAGAAGTCGAAGTAGATGGTTGGATTGTTGACCCTCTTTAGTTATGATGAGCCTTGGTTCATGGGGTGGAACAGTAAGCCATTCCCGAATCTACCTACTCGAGTATCCCCAGCAAAAATAGTATATCAAACCCCTCTGAAGCCTCGCATGCTCAGCATCTTAAATTGCTAGGATGACTTCCCTACCAACTTCTTAACTTTCAAAGCCATGGGAACAAAAATGTCATGGATATCTCGAGGCACAGGTTGGTTGGGTTAGGAAGCTCGGCGCTCTTTCTCAGGAGCTTCTAGTGACTTCAAAGTATCGCCGTATGAAGCGCAGGACGTCCGCAAACTTACCTTAGAGACCATATTTGAAGCACTAGATTCTTGAATCTCCAAGAAAACCATGCCTTACCTTAGCTTACCTATCCTACTAGTAACCTAAGGTGTTTCTGGACATGATTTCTTTGCAGCCTCGCCATTCAGCCTCGTTTCTCGCGTAAAGAGGGTCGCGTCAAAATTTACCTTGTAGAAGAAAGCGCGTCGCAACCTCGAAGCTATCCGGAATCGCGACCCATTGAAACCTCACCTCACCTCCGCTGATATCTGGTCCCAAAATCCTCTAAACATGGCTGGTTTCTTTGATATAAAAGCCCGGAAGGAGGCAGCAGCAAATGGCACGTCCTCCAAAGCACCTGCAACTAAAGATACAACTAGACTTCAACCATGGGTTGAGAAATAGTATGCTTCTACACAACTCACAAAGCTCCCACCTTCTATACTGATAGAACGATAGTCGACCCAAGAGCCTCAACGATGTCACAGCCCAAGACCACACCATCACAGTCCTTCAACGAACTCTCCAGTCCTCCAATGTGCGCTCCTCATATCCCCATAAACTCCACCCACTGACATACCGCCCAGCTCCCTCACATGCTCTTCTACGGTCCCCCGGGCACCGGTAAAACATCCACAGTTCTCGCGCTCGCAAAGGAACTCTACGGGCCCGAACTCATCAAGTCTCGCGTACTAGAACTGAACGCCTCAGACGAACGAGGAATCAGCATCGTCCGGGAAAAGGTCAAAGACTTCGCACGCATGCAACTCTCGAATCCCTCCGCGGAATACCGTGCCAAATACCCGTGCCCCCCTTACAAGATCATTATTCTCGATGAGGCGGATTCTATGACACAAGATGCGCAGAGTGCGTTGCGAAGAACGATGGAGACTTATAGCAAGATTACGAGATTTTGTTTGATTTGCAACTACGTCACGCGGATTATCGATCCTTTGGCATCAAGATGTTCGAAATTTAGGTTCAAGAGTTTGGACCAGGGAAATGCGAAGAAAAGGGTGGAGGAAATTGCAGAGAATGAGGGGGTGAAGCTTGAGGACGGTGCAGCGGATGCGCTGATTAGATGTAGTGAAGGTGATCTCCGGAAAGCGATAACTTTCCTGCAGAGCGCGGCGAGATTGGTGGGTGCTGTGAAACCAAAGGAGGACGAGGACGCCATGGATCTGGACGACACCAAGCCGGTCACAGTAAAGAGCGTTGAAGATATCGCGGGTGTGATTCCAGAAAAAACTATCGAGGGATTAGTCAAGGCTATGCAGCCCCGTTCTAAGGGGCTTGTCTACGAAGCCGTTGCAAAGGTCGTTACGGATATGGTTGCCGATGGATGGAGTGCTACCCAGGTCGTAACGCAAGTATGTATCCCTTTCTCCTTTTGATACCGATTCTAACCCACTGGCAGCTCTACCAATCGATCATCTACAACGAAGCCATCCCCGACATCCAAAAGAACAAGATTACCCTCATTTTCTCTGAAACGGATAAACGCCTTGTCGATGGTTCCGATGAGCATCTTACGGTTCTCGATCTGGCATTACGGATCTCGAATGTGTTAGCTGGCGCTTAAGAAGTTTATCTAGGGAGTATGGGCAGTGGAAATGGGTATAGCGTGGGTTGTACGGCGTTCAGGGATGAGCAGGACGACGAATATAGTTTCACAAAGCACAGTGCCTGGCAGATCTGGTATTTGGAACCAAGACTTCTATGTATACCACCCCTAACTGGAGAAATGAAAACTACTTATTGATGCCCTTCAGAACCATGTCTACTGATTTGCTACCCCTGCCCTGACCGTGACTGTCTGTGCGTGTCTAGATCATTGTCTCTTGATCAAGCAAGTGCTACCATCTAGAGTGGATTTGCACTCTTTTCACCTTTCGAGATTTGATTCTTGTTCTGTTGTCATATCCTTCCAAACGCATAAAAATAACTAATGAACAGTAGTGGAGTATCATTTGGCAGATTCAGATCATACCCAGCCTCTGCCAAGCTTCAATACGTAACAAAGATACAATCGCAGCAAAATAAGGCCCTCGAACAAAAACTCCCACATTTCTTTTTCATTTTTCCTGCTTGTCATTTTGTCATAAAGTCTTCGTTTATCCATGGACCAACTCCTTCAATCTCTTCTCGATGATCTCTATGCCACTGTACGTCCTCCAAACCTCAGACGGCGCCTTGTTGACAATATCCCAGCTAACTAGATTGTTTGTTAAATGGCTCAAATCCCGTTGCTTCTCCTCCCATTCTGTACTTTTCTTGATCTCTACTCCCGAGCTGATAAGTGCTAAAGGAGTGTCTTTCAGCTGAATATTTCTAGAGCTTCTGACTTCATCTTTGGTCAGAGAATCAGCGACGAGAGACTCTTGGAGCTTGGCCTTGATAAATCTGCCATTCTGGTAGGCTGAACGACCATAGACTCGATCTTCCCGGGTTCGGCCCTTGAAGATAGCACCAGGGACTCGATCCAAGCTGAGCGGAGAGAGGACGCCCCAAGCCCATAATAGGAAACCCCTTCCTGGTTTTCCTATGCGATAAAGCAGATCTTCATGTAGAGGATCTATCAGCAGGAGACCGCTTACTTCCATTCCATGACGGGAGGAGAAGACGCGGCTGTAAATGCTACCAACGCCTGCACTTGCAAGAACCCACGGACCTTCCTCTCCAGCGCGGGCCAAAGCTTCAGATAGGACACTGGCCGCCGTAGCTGCAGAGAATGGGGATGGAGCGTTGTCAGACCATCCAATTCCAGGGCGATCGGCGTAGCAATAGCGGTTGATGCTTCCATTTTTAAGAGCATTGGTAGCAATCTGGATCATGCCGCCTTCGAAGGGCCCATCGCCAGCTTCAAACAACACAGTGGGGAGTTTCTTGCCCTCGGAATCAGTCGGATTGCCTTCGCAAAAGACGTGAATCTGATACTTGTCACCGTCGACATAGTATTTGTCTCCTGGAGCCGGTAGGGAAGCATCTCGAGCTCGGAGAATTAAGGTAGCTGTGAGAAGAACCCCAACCAGGGCCATGAAGATCAGGACAACCGTGGATGTCAGAACGGAGCACCATTCTCGAAGGGTTCGACGAGTTTCTTGGCGGCCAGTTAAACGCTCTTCCTCTTCTCGCTTGCCCCATTGGACAGTTCTATCTGTGAACACCGTCCACATGCTCATGAGAACAGCCCATACGACGCTCGCAATTCCAACCCAGCCCTCCTCAACACGAATCCTTGGAACGGAAACAATAATGATCATGTCGATCAGCAAGATGACCGCGAGAACCAAACATGTTATCTGTCCGGCCTTGGATGGGCTGGAGAAAAATAGGAGCACGATAAGGAGGAGACCGAGGGTCAACGTTGTATATGAGAAGTCGAAGAATCCAGATCCACGAGAGTGCATTCCAGGTGGGCTCACAAAGATAGATACTAACAGCAGCACCCACCAGAGGAAGGTGATGACAGTGAACAGTACTGTGAAGTAGCGCAACAACCGTACGCCCCAGAGGTTGTATGGGGATACCTGACGAACGGATTAGCACTGGCAGCAATGTTATTGTAGATACCTAGCCTTCAAGAAGTGCAGGCCTGGACGCGCAGAAAGAATGGAACTTACAGCTGGGTCATCAGGACTCAGATATCCGCGGAAACCACCTGCGGCCGGCGGTGGAAGTAAACGAGTTCGCTCATCTGCCTCAGAGAAGCGGTGCTGAGAGATGCTGGAATCTGCATTGGAGCCGGCACTTCTAGATTCACGATCGTCGTCGGGCTTGGAATGCCGAAAGGGTGCCATTCTGCTTAGTATGAAGCTCTTCCCGACGAGAGCCGATGTAGGGAGAAAGCCTTGACGTCGATTCGAGAGAAATTAGGAGGCAAGAAGCAATAGCGGAGAATAAGTATATTAGGACCAGCCAGATAGGGCCAGGGCCTGTTGAGCTAGAGAAAAAGATATCAAGTTACAGCAGCAATGGATCTCTGAAAGGGGGTGTATAACCAGCGGAACCTGGAATAGGTCGTTATATCGTTATATCGTTAGTTATTGACCGTCAGCGTACAAAGAAGACTTTTGTATGCAGATAGACAAATGAAGGGCTGGTCTGGCTAGGAGGCTATGTTGGAGCAGTGACATCATCCCAAATTTCAATCACAAGAACAAGGGACGTTGTGTACTTTCTCTTCTCCTTTACCCACCCGTTCATCCCCTGTGCTGTAATGGCCTCGTATGATTGAGCGAGAAGAAGTGTACATGTCAGGGGGAGAGAGTGTGTAGATAGTCCTATGGTCTAAAATATGGTAATAAAATGCATCCGAATAACGAAGAAGGCAATTATTCCTCGAGAACTTGATAGCTCTCGGAATAGGTACCTCAGGTACCTTAGCTGTCTGCGAAGAACTGAATGACCATACGTCACTCCCCTGGTCCGAGCTTCTAGCCGAGCTTTTACCTTATCTTATCTTGATCATCATACGCGAGCCGAGATATGTATCCGGTACATACCGCCCCTGCATTAGACTTCTTGCGCCAACAAGCCAAGAACATACGTTCATGAGTTGAGCATGAGCACCATTCAACAACATCTAAGCAGCTAAAGCACTTATTGTCCCAGACTCCATGTTCTACCAGTCTTGAAGGATCCATTAATGCTGCTGTAACGAATTCACCATGAGTGATCTACAAAAAGCATATGCCAAAGCGAAGCTGGCACGCTACCCCGCCAATCCTCCGATTCCTTTTGATGAAGCAGAAGAAGAGGAAGAGAATGACGGCTTCGCTGAGCACCCAGTCGATGACGACTCCTCTTCGGCGTCCTCTGCTTCATCTGCTTCCTCAACTGGAACCATAATACCATCTTCGAACCAGAACTTATTTGCGCGACCTCAAGGGTCTGTGCACCTCTCACTCTAATGGACTCGACTGACATATGGTACCACCAGATCACCAAACAAAAGAAGCCTTGACCAAATTCCTTGGACCGCCTACTTTGAGCGCGAGCTGTTCCTCGAGTCCGCAACCGAATCCATTACAATAACACACCATGCCTACCTCACATCTCCAGTTGGGACTGCACCGCTATTCGTCACACATCATGGAGCAGGCTCTTCTGGTCTCTCATTCGCAGCTCTAACTGCTGAGATTCGAAAGCTATTACCCTCTGCTGGTATTCTTTCCGTTGATGCTCGAGGCCATGGTTCCACAAAGATTAGTCCTGATCAAGATCCCTTGGACCTGAGTTTACAATCACTCAGCGAGGATCTTCTATCGGTGATTGATAAAACCAAATCACAAATGGGTTGGAAAGAAATGCCACCTTTGGTCCTAATCGGCCATTCTCTTGGAGGCGCGGTTGTGACAGATGTTGCGAAGGGGGGGAAATTAGGCAATGCCGTTCTTGGCTATGCCGTTCTTGACGTTGTGGAAGGATCCGCAATCGATGCATTGCAGAGTATGCAGACTTACCTTTCGACACGGCCGATGGGCTTCTCGTCACTCCAATCAGGCATAGAATGGCATATCCGCTCAAGGACGATAAGGAACTCAATATCTGCGCGGACAAGTGTGCCCCCACTTTTGATTAACAATGGAGACTTAACTGGACCGAGAGCATGGAAATGGCGAACAGATCTAGCTGCCACGCAACCATTCTGGGAGGGATGGTTCGTTGGACTCAGCAAAAAGTTTCTCGAGGCAAGAGGAGGAAAGCTGCTCCTTCTCGCTGGAACCGACAGGTTGGACAAGGAGCTTACGATTGGCCAAATGCAAGGTGAGAATTGTGACAAGAAGGACTCCCAGCTCAGCAGGCTAACGTATCTCTATAGGTAAATATGCATTGCAAGTCTTCCCCGAAGCTGGCCATTTCATCCATGAGGATCTCCCCGAAAAGACAGCTATGGTTATTGTTGATTTTTATAAGCGTAACGATAGAAGTGCGCTTGTATTACCACCAAAGGTGTCTGATATGTTAAGGGCCGGCAGGAAAGTGTAAGAAGGTACGGAGAAAACTAAGAACGACATCAGGGCAGAGCATCACCAAATATCGTCGGAGTTCACAAAGACATTCTCTGGGCTGTAAATAATTCGGATTATGGTTCGGAAGTTAGGGATCCGCTTTGGACGTCACGAACTCCACGGATGCTGCCGACCGTAGTGGATGCATGCCAATGGTTCACAGCACGTGTGTTCAACATCATGAGACTCAGAGACGAAAATTTCCACCTGGTTAGATGTATATAAGCTGGGTCCGAAGTCTTAGTTGCAGTTGAGCGAGGAGTTGCAATTGTCAGTAGGAGGCTTTTATACCGCAAAAGCGAAAACTGCGAAATATTGCAGTCCAGGAAAGTTCCATGGGCTTTTCCAATTCTCGTTACCGCAGGCGGTCCGATCTCGAAAGCCCATAGAGTTGAAATTAGCATGGCGATGGAGCTTCGGCTGGGGTCTCCGTTGAATACTTTGGTGTTGTGGTCACTCAGTTGATGATTGATGGGATACGCTGACATAAAGTTCAAGCTGGGGGAAGATGAACATGGTCCTTGCATATATACACACATACGCTCCAGAACCACGGGCAGTAGAAATACACTATACGCAATGGCATATATATACATGTTGAATTCAAAACAAGGTCACTGCATATCTCTGATCAAACTATGCTTCAAGATGAGGTAGAAGAGATTGAAAGGATTTAGCTTGTGTTATCGACTCCAACTATTCGAGTAAGACGGATCAAAACAAAGTCCATTCCCAATCAGACTTTACTTCAAGGACCATCAGACCTTTTAATACAACCGGAGATGCAGCAATGGGCGTTCTTCTGAAGCCCCCTCCGTCAAGGAAATCGATGCCTGATTCCCAAGGACCCCAGAAATCGCTACAGGGTATCAGGAAGCTCTGATTAACTCAACTGCAAGAACGCCTCAACACGAGCGGCGAGCATCGCATTTCTCGTTGAATCATGTAAACTACGACATTATCACAGCTCGGAACCTCTCTCAAATGAGTCCAACAAGCTATGAACAATGACCTCACGCCAACCTCAGCAGTGGACTCCCTGCCCCACTCGTCCACATCAGAGAACGCGAGCAACGAGCCCACTGGCGACACAGCGGCACCTCAAGAGCAACAGCAGAATCGACAGACACGCGCCCAGAAGAGAGCTGAGGCCCAGCTCAAGAAAAAATATGAGTTTATCGATTCTCTGATGACAAACATCGATGTCCTGATTTACGTGGAGCTATGCATCCTGTATTACATGGAGTAAGTTGCCTAGGTGCTTTGCAGACGAACCATTGCTAACATTTGTGATAGCTGTTCGCTCTTCCGCTTTCTCCTCCGGACCTTCGCGCAAATGGCATTCCTGACGCCCAAACCGAACTTCGTCCCTCCAATGCCCCAGCATCGTCCGTATATTGGTGCCATCTTTGGCCCCAACATCATCTGCGCACTCCTGCACATCTTTACAGCGCGACCCCAGGCGGGGGAATCTATGAGAGGGTATCTACATGGTGGGATTATCATCGACCTTATTGGGTACAAGGGGCCGACGTCAAAGCTGCACCTATTGCTCTTAGATATATTGGTTCTGGCGCTACAGTGCTTCATGCTAGCAGTCCATGTGGAAAGGGAGAAGCTCTTAAAGATATTAGCTGTGCTCTCAAACCCATTTTCGACCAGAGATCAACTTCGTGTTGAGGTTCTGTCCGCTCAGGATCATGATGCAGAAGAACGAGGCTTTATGCGGGAAAGCGTAATGGATAATGGTGATATTGAGATGCAGGCGATGGCTTCTCACAATGATGGGCCCTCGACGCGTAATGAGGCTGGGACTGAGCCAGATCAGGACCGTGCATCTCTTTTGGAAGAACCGCCACCACGAGATGGGTCCGGGAATGATGAAAGTCCTTTGGATACGTTCTGGGCAGGTTCGGCCATAGTGGCAGATTTTCATGTCTTTGCTACGATTAGGAAACAGTGGGACGATTATGGAAACGCATCGGCATCTGCTCTGCAGACGGTCGGATTCTCTGCTGAATTTGCGGCAGTAACTGCAAATCGGCGTATAAATGCTGCAAGTCAACGTTTCCAGAGGAGCGTTGAATCACTTGCTGGATGAAATATCATGAGTACAAGTAAATTACTGTATTGGTTATGAGTAATAAAACTAAACTGAATTCACAACCCCGTCCAAGTTAAGGTTGGATACTCTTTAGAAGTGCTGAATTATGCTATCTTCTTTCCTATATTGCCCACTCCAGTGCCTTTGACACTGACTATTATGTCTGTACTATCATCCTCATCCACATCTCTCAAACCCCAATTGCTAGCTCCAAACATTTTGAGATCTCTACCAAGCCCTACCACATCCTCCGTTCCTATCACGTCCCTCCCTAACCTTAATCTTCCAACATCTTCCGAACCCATAGCCATCAGCGTCAATACAGTCGCAGCACCGACTCTCGTCACACATCCTCCTTGGGAGATGATCTCCAATAACTGATAAGCACACTGCTTTCCAATATCCTCTGGAGTGACTCCTCCTGAACTCGGTGCCACCACATCTGCTGAATACAACACACCATCCACACTACTCTCCGCAACCAGACACAGTCCAAAGCCAATCCCCGTTCTCTTCTTCGCACCAGGATCTGACTTGTCCCGGCTCGACACCAGCGGCGCCTGATCATATTGCGCGGCCACATGGATATCATTAACCAGCGGATTCAAGATGCCCCTAGCAGTGTGTATCATCCTCGCATTATTGCTTGCCGACACGCCCGTGGAATACGCGACGCCTCTTATCCTCCTAACGCGGCCTGGGCTGCGATTCATATGCACCGTCTTCGGTAACCTCACTTGGGAGCCGAATCGCAACTCCACGATCCCTCCGCCACCCTTGCCGCCTGGTCCTGCACATGATCTTTGAAGAACCCGGAGCTCCAGCTTCGAGGACAGGATCCCGAATTTCTCGTACAGAGGTAGGATGGCCGTCCGTACGCTGTCCACGCTTATATCGCCCGTTTCTGTCGCGCTCGTGATGACGCCGTCGCCCTCGAACCTCACGTTCACCGGCGCCTTTGAAAATGGTGCAAGAATACATAATGGTATTAAAAACCAGCTCACGCCCCTCCTGATCGTTTCTGGTAATATGCACTTGACGACCCCTCCAGATGCTCCTAACCCCTCCACACTACCTGTGATCAAGCCAGGAGAATAGGTGAGGGTCGTACCCGTATAAGAAATTTGAATGGAGGATCCATTGGTTATGGATTCGAGGAGGCGCAGGAAGGATATTTCGTGAGGCGCAAGACCTGTCTGCGTTGGAGAGGAAGACCGGATTTGAGAGATGTGCACAGGGCGACCGGTAAGGGTTGAGAGCACAAGACGGTGGGTTAGTGATCTGTGGGTGGTAAAGCGGAGGTACTCAGGATGAGGAGCCGCCATGCTTTGTTTGGTGTTTGAAGTTTGGATGTTGTGAACGGCAAGAAGTTGCAAATGTCGCAAATACTTTTTTGTAAATTTGCGGCAGAAAACCGCTTTATCGGGTCACCGCCTCCCGTGGGGGACTAAATACTCCGTACACACCCCATGCCGAGTACTATCCACACATCACATCACATATCATTTCATGAGAGACCATACACGTATTTGTTCGGGACTTTTATTGGTTTTGCGTAGAAGGAAGTATCAGTACCAATCAGACTCATAGCAAACGCCCACGAAAACAAGCTCGAACCCCTCCCGTCTTCCCCCTAAACCCTCGACGTTGCAATTTTGAAAGTCGGAATTTGTACAGCGTGGACCACGACGAGCCTAGGCAGCGTGAGTCAGAAGAGTAAAACTCCGGTATTGTGTAGTGTTACATGCGAAATCGCCAAGTAAACTCGTAAAGCGGATGCAGAACGATGTGCTCCAGTGAGTGCAACGATAGGTTGCGATCCCACGACGAGGAGCCGGTAGCAAATGGAAAGTAGAGTTCATGAATTAATCGGCTCATCGATAATCGATGGTAAAATGCTGCAATGCTTGGTCGTACGTCGTAACCATCACCAATCAATCTCAACCATGCCAACTAGGCGGTGGACTCGACCGGGGCTGACTCTGTGACAGATTCCTACGATATCTGGTGAGTATACATTTGGTCAAATCACCGGTCATGACATACCTTTGCAGGTTCTTCAGCCGGTGGTGCGCTCGCATCTTCAACTTCGGGGGCATCCTTGGGCTCGGTAACTACTGGTGCCTCAACCTCCGGAGCTTTCTCTTCAGGCTTATCCTCGCTGGGTGATTCCTTGGCTCCATTTGTGCCATCTGCAGAGGGGGCAGGAGTGGCTTTAGCATCTTCTGACTCTGGCTTAGCTTCTTGAGTGTCCCCATTTGTTGTCGTCGGAGGAGCAGCAGCGCCCGGAATCTCCTGGTCTGTGGCAAGAATCTTGTTCCACTTGTCAAGTAGAGTCTGTGAACGTCCCTTGAAGTTATACACCTCCTCCTTTGGAATATTGCTGAGCTTCAGAATAGCCTTGAGCACCTTGTTAATCTTTGTGGCTCGAATGATGGAAACTTCCAGGTCCGCATAGTCTTCGAGTTTACCAACAAATTCGGACATCTGCTTCATATCCTCTTCCTTTGGCTCTTGGCCTCTGATCAAGAGACCTTTCTGGAGTTTGTGTCTCAAGAATAAAATTTCTTTCTAGGAAAGGATCAGTACCCGAAATTATATGCAATAGTGACGTTACCTACCTCTTTCTTGAGACGCTTCTGCTCGGGCGTGAGCTCAGGCTCCTTCGGGGCAACAGCCTCTTCTTGAAGCTTCTGAGCCTTTTTGGCCTTCGGCTTCGATGATTTGGCTGCAGATTGATCTTTTGGAGTCTTTGGGGTGGATGTAGTCTTTGGGGTGTTGTTTGTCAACTTTAGGATGGTTTTAGGCTTCTTTGCAGAATCGCCGCGTTGTGGAGTCTGTAAACTTGGATGAGCATCCTGCCAAAATACATAATCGGACGAAGTTTGACTTACAGCTGCATCATCCTCGGCCTTGCGCTTCTTGCCCTTCTTAGGTTTCTCACTGCTGGTTGCTTCTGCCTCGGCTTCCTCGGAATCTGGTTCAGCAGGAGCATCGGCCATGTCAACATCTCCATCCTCCTGCTCATCAACAGCGGCCTTCGATTGTCTCTTGGCCTTGCTTGCCTTCTTTGCAGCTTTGGCAGCCTCCTTGGCCTCAAGCTCAGCGGCGCGCTGCTCCATAAAATTCTTCAGGATCTGCTTGAAGTAGTCCAGATCGTGCTTCTCAGCGGCAAGAAGATGCGCAGCATGGAGATCCTTTCGCATGTTTGGCGCGACATTACCCACAGTATCGAGGTCCAGGTCGACGAGATCGGTATTAGGAACCCAGCCACTACAAAGATCTGAAGTCAGTATCGGTATGGTAGCTAGGCATTGACAGTACCCACAATTCATTGGTATAGAGATACATAACCGGGAATGTGCGGTCCTTGACCTTACTGCCACCATCTTCGTAGCCAGGGCGATAAGTCCCATCAGGTCTCGCAGCGGTAACTGGTCGTGATTTGATGAGGGTGTTGGGAAGCATTGACTCGTCACAGATAATTGTTGGCCATGGCGGGTATCCCTTCAATCTCACATAGAAGTAATCGCCTGGCTTAGCATCAATATGTGTCATCTTGGCCTTAGAGGCCTTCTTGTTGAGCTTCTTGTTCTTGTGTTCCGGGACACCGCCTGATTTGCGTCGGGCTTTCGATTTGTCTGCTGAAGCTGCTGTATCAACTCCAGCATCTGCAGAATCATCAGCAGCTGGAGCTGCATCATCTGGCTTTATGTCTTCCTTCATTTCGACATCCGCTTGGGCTGTTGCAGCTTTATCTTCAGGCGCGTCTTCTGGCGTAGGCTGTTTGTCGTTTGTAGTTTCGCGCTCCTTGGCTAAACGCGAGAAATTATGAATTAGCAAGGTGATAGAACGATAGAGCAAAAGGAAAAAGCAAACATACTCTCGCTATCCGGTACAGGCGCGTCCACCTCAGCCGTCGCGACTTCCTTTGCGGGCTCAGCAACCTCTTTGTTTTCTGCCCCATTAGTCGCTGCCGCATCCTTGGCCTGAGCTTCTTCCATATCTGGGCGCGCTGGTTGAGTCTCTGCAGTGTCTGCAGTAGGAGTTGCAACAACTGCTTGTGGGGGCGCTTCTTCCGACATCGTGTCGTCGCGAACAGGTGGCGGGCGAAGAGCGAGAGATTGGTAGTTGACGCGTCGGAAAGGGCGCGATGATCGCAATCAGATATGGACTTCGAGGTGCACTAATCGATGGCGATGTCTTGATGGTAGAGGTAGGATGATCTTGAGGAAGATGAGATGAGAGAAATTGATAGGAATCGATTCAGAAAATCATAGATCGCTCGCTTCGTCAACTGGATTTAGCGTGTCGAGCTACCGAGCCCCCCCGTTATTGTTGGACACAATATGAAGATGAACTCATCAATCACAACAGGGGACAATAGGAAGAGTATGTGATATTCACCAGCCCCATTGAGGGGGGTTTGGACGTGCGGATGAATGAGAAATGCGCGCAACGACCAAGGATTTGAAAGAAAGCACAATAGGAAACAGAAAAACGAGTCAATAGTGCGAGGAGAAGAATCGGTCACGCCCGGTGAGAAGGCCTTCTTCTGCCGCGACCAATCAATACCCACTTCAAGTCTTCTGCGCCTGGCTGTGGCATAGGCAACACAATCACCGATAGCCAAGCAAAGGAACCCAACAGAACGCGCCAGCCCTTGTGTCGCCCGGGCAAATCGGAAATGGAGGAATATGCTTTCACCAACTAAACTCGTCCTTCATTCCAGTCTATTATACAGCAGAGGTACCGATGAAAAGCGCCGACCATATTACTCTTCATCTTCCTCTTCATCCTCGTCCATGCCCTCAGCAACTGTAACTTTGAAGCTGGGATCTTGATCGACACCCACATAGCTGTCGCTCATCAAGAACAGTTTCAACTCGTGATCTCCAGGGGTCGGCACAGTGTATTCAAGTCGCACGTTCAATGACCTCGCTATCGTTATACGCTTGATCGCGAGCAGAGTCTTTGACTTCTCGTCACCCACAACCAACCACCAATTCTCCATCTTCTTGACGGGGTAGAAAGGCGCATGAACAGTGGTATCCACATCGGCTGACTCGTCTTCTTCGTCCACATCTCGCACTATCTTGACCTTGATGTATGCCGGAGCGCCAGCTGTAATGTCATCTGGGTCTTCCAACTCGAACTCAAGCTCAATGTTCGGGTACTTCGAATTCGTAAAATTTGCTGCCTGTGCAAGCTGAGTCTGAGATAACCCAAGACTCTTAACAAGGGCCGCATAGTTAGGATTCTCCGAAGGGTCCATGGCATCCATGAATTCAAAGATATCTGTGATACTAAAGAGGCAATCAAGATTAGTATATGTTTCTAGCTGAACCAAGGAGCAAACATACCCGGCTTCATTAGCAGCCTTGATAACCTCCGGTGTGAAGTGAGGAATCTGCTTGAGGGGACTGTCACGATCCCACATCGCCTGCACCACCATCTGTGACATCTCCATGGCGTTCATGGCATTTAGATGGCCATCGGAAGATAGAACGTCAACAGTAGCACTAAGCAAACTGAGCACTTTTGTCAAGATTATCTCTTGGTCTTTTGCCAGATCGATTGGTAACTGCATCCTAGAGAAATGAGCTTGAAGAAGAACGAATGCCTTGAAATGTGGAGAATCGTAGTTAGGCTGTGCCACCTTAACAGGAACCCTCTCATATATTCGGCGAAGGAGGCTGTCTTCATGCCTTCTGATTTGGATCGATTCAAATTCTGTCGCCGATGTCACGATCTCGAGGATACCCTTCAGTTTCGTCCTTTCATTCAGTGACAACAAGAATGTCTGCATAGTGATGTACGAAATATTGTAATACGCCGCAATCATAGCAGCATTCAAAGGTGTCACGGAGTCATCCTCTTCATCCAAGTCAATTATCTTGGACTCGGGATCAGCAAGGTCCTTCAAGGTTGTCTCGACAAGCTCTGATAGATGAGCACTCAGACCCTCATGGGATGTATCGGTCAAGTGGTAATAGGTTGGGTTTGCAAGAAGGCGTCGGTAGAAGTATGTAAACGTCATCCAACTGATTGCATCCTCGGCAGACTCGATCATTTTTGTGCTGATTTCAGATACAAACGCGTCGTGTAAGTACTGTTGAAGTTGGCTCTCAAGCGGCAGTGCTTCGTTCAAGAACTTTTTATAGTACTCTCGTTTGACAGCCGGTACCATTAAAACGCCTTTGCTGATTTTATCCTCCAAAGGGCGTGTGGCTTTTCCAAACATTTGAAGGACTTCGCTCAGCGGATAATCGACGTATCGATGCTCGGTCCCTTCGTAAAACTGGGTACCCATCACGATAACCAGATGTGCTTTGCAGTCTAACTCCCAACATACATCACGAGAAGCTACCATGACCTGAATTGCACCATTATCGTAAAGGTGCTTAACGATTCGCTTGTCACCGGAACTGAGGGCTTCGTGATAATATCCGATGCCATGGGAGATAGCTTCAGCTAGAGCTTCCTCACGGATTCGCTCAAGAAGAGGGCGCATTTGCTCGACATCGGCGTGTAAGAACCGGTCCTCATTATCGCTTGCTACGCAGGCCAGTAGTAAGTCGCGGGTGGTCGCTCGGGCCTGTTTTCTCGTTGGGACGAACACAAGAGCGGGCTTGTCGGGAGACATCTGGAGTATTGAGAGATAGGTGGGCTTTGCCATAGCAAGCATGAGAGAAGGGAAGTGGGGAATGGTAAATGATTGGATATGGAGTTCCAAAGGTACTGAACGAACATGGGGGCTGAAGTTGTAGATATTGTGCTTCTTTGCGTCAATCCATTCGCCGATATCCCTAGCATTGGAAAGCGAAACGCTCAGCCCAACGATCCGGAGGGAAGACTCAGTCTGACTACGGATATAGTGCATTCGAGAGACAACAATTTCGTACATAAAGCCAGTCTGGCCCCCGAGCATGTGAAGCTCATCCGCAATGAATAGCTGCACATTTTGGACATTTTTCCGGCGTTGCCATTGTCGCGATAAGACGTCCCATTGTGAAGGAGTTGCTAGGATCAGGTCGCCTCTGTCTAGGAGCTTCAGGTCTGCAGTTGTCTCGCCGGTCAATTTGACGATCGTTTTCCCGCCGCGGAGGTTTGAAAATCGTTGTTGCCAATCTTGAAGCCGTAAATCGATAAGTTCCTGGAACGGAGCAATATATACTGCACGACCAGCATCATGCTTTGACCAATGACGAAGCAAAGCAAACTCAGCGCATACAGTCTTGCCACTCCCAGTGGGGGCACCAATGAACACATTATCATCTGTTGAGTATAAGGAATTGAACGTCTGCGTCTGAATCTTATTAAAGCGCTCCCAATCAGGATACAGAGCCCTGAAATCATCTGTCTTTAAAGCGGCAACTGGTAGGGGTTGTAAATCCAGTAGCTGCGTATGCGGAGGAAACTTTTCGGGAAGAATGAGCTTTTGAAATGAAACTACTATTTTGGCTTCTGAATGCATCCATCTGTCCGATATCACCGAGACGAAGTAATTAGGTGGCATCGGCTCCGTGATTGGCACTGTGAATTCAACAATGTGCTCGTTGTTCTCCTCTTGAGCGAAGTCTTTTCGAAGGATGAACTGATCGTGAAAGAGTATATCCTCTCCATCACAGTCTTCAGCTATTATCCAGAAAGTCTCTGCAGTTCCATGGATGTCGTCGTCCCATTCGAAGTTTGGTGTTATTTTGAGCTCCACCCGGAGCATTGATCTTGTCATTGGTCGCACAATGGCCGCAACGTCCACTCTGGGGAACTTAGAAACTAAGTTGCAGACAGTTCTGCCAGCTTTCGGCAAGCCCAACAGCTCGCCCATACGTGGCGGATCGAGGTCAAAATAGTTGGCCCAGGGAACGTCGATTCTCTCCGCTTTCTGTATGATATCTCGCGAACAGCTTGCGAATTGGCGAAGGGGTGTCATAGTAGGCCACATTCTCTTCTCCGCCATTTTGCAAAGCTCCAACGCGGTCTTCGCAACTGAGGACCAGCCTTTCTTCAGTGTAATTTCAAAAATAGCCCGGAGGATACGTCCAGCAGATTGGGTAACGTACACCAGATCTGCCATGAGAGCCAAACCCTCCAGCTTAAGACGTGAGATGTAAGCTTGAAGGAGGACATTGATCTTCGCATGCGGCTCCTCGATACTTTCTTTGACAGGAATTGGTACACGACCCAACAATTTAGCAAGCTCCAATTTTTCGTCCTGACGCACGGGAATGTACTTGAACTCGTTGCTCAGAGCAAATATGCGGAAGAGCTCAATTGGAGTGATCGATGGTTGAATGTGATGATTGTAGGTCAACATGGAGCTATGCGTGATATAATAGTGAGAAGCAATGCGTCCGAGTTCTGTGGGTTGCAGTCTGCCAGTTTTCTTGTCATACTTTATGAGGTTGGACTTCTCTAGCACGACAGCAGCAGAGTGTATAAGGTCGACACGTTTCTGTTCCAAAGCGTTATCTTCTTCGTATTCTGCCCCGACACTATAGAGTCCTGGCGAACGTAACATCCGGACGAAGAGATATGTATAGCCAAGCCACTCGACTCCTTCATCTCTGCTGCGAACATTGCCCAGGACAATTTCCGCATTGAGGTTGTCCGCAAGTCGGCTGACGAACTGACTTTCGATTGGCAATTGTTGATTGAGGAGGGATAAGTAGTACTGCATTTCCGATTGGGTTGTAATGATAATGCCTTCTCCGTACGTGTCGTATTGGGGGCGACCAGCGCGACCGAGCATTTGCAAAACGTCTTGAGGGCTTAGTTCAACCCAGCTACCCTTCTCAGGAGAATAGACCTGTGTGCCCTTGATGATGACTGTATGAGCGGGCAGGTTAACACCCCAAGCCAAAGTAGCAGTACAAACGAGCACCTGAATCAGACCATCATTGAAAAGATCCTCGACTGAAGATCGATCGATTCTGTTCATCCCAGCATGATGAATGCCAAACCCATAAGGAAGCAAATCCTTCAAATCTCGGTCATTGACGGACTCTGCTTCAGTGTTAAGAGCTTCCCTGCTACCAGCATCACTCCTGAGAATTTGACCAATTGTTTCCATCTCCAGCGCTTTATCTCGAATATATCTGGCAGTCTTCGCCGTCTCCTTGCGCGAGTGTACAAAGATGATCATTTGATTGCGGTTAGTGCCCACGTGTTCAAGAACCTTGGTGTAAGTCACATCGTTCATGGTCTTCAACTGCTTAATGGCCTTCTTTTCAGTGATCCCAATGAATTCTTGACGGAGGGGGCAAGGTCGATATGATCCGTCAAAATGGAACATGCCCTTCGTTGGATCAACACGCAAGAAGCTGGCGACATCCCGATAGTTGGGAAGGGTAGCTGACAAGCCGACAAGACGGACAGGCTCTCCAGTTTGTTCCATTTTTCGAATTGTTCGACTGACAATACTTTCCAAGACTGGGCCACGGTCATCATGGAGAAGATGAATTTCGTCTATAATGATGAGCCGCACTAAGTTGGTATAACTCAAATCGGTTGCTTTTCTCGTTATGACATCCCATTTTTCAGGGGTTGTCACAATTATTTGCGTATCTGCGATCTGTTGCTTGGTAAGCTGTCGATCGCCAGTCAGTTCCGAGACTTGTATTCCATATTCTTTGAGCCTGTTACCGAAGTTTCCAACCTGCTCCTGGACAAGAGCCTTCAATGGGGCAATGTAGACAATCTTGAACGCATCGAGATTGATCTCTCCAGTCTCTGGATTGCGATTCTTGCCAATCTCACGGAGGATAGTCAACATGCCAACGTTCGTCTTGCCACTACCAGTTGGGGCACAAATCAGCATGTTACCGTCGTCGTTAAATGCTTGGGGGAAGCATTTAGACTGAATCTTATTAAGCTTCGTTGCTGAGCTGAAAGGTACTCGAGCCCATTCTGGCATTTCTGTGACAGGAATATCCCTATCACCAGGATCGCTTCTTTTTTTCGGAGCTGGTACGTGAATCTCTTCATAGCCCTTGAAGGTGCGCTTGGTTGATCCTTCTGGCAGTTTGACTTTGGGGTTAGTCATGAGATGATTTCCTTGGTCAAAAACCAGATTCTCAAGATTGATGAGCTTTTTTGGTTGCAAGCCTCCTACAAGCCCACCATCTCCAGGTTGCTCGGTCTTCGTAGTGCCATCGGTGAGAGCTGCTGGTACATCGATATCCATCTTGATTTCTAGCTTTCGCTTCTTCGAGCCATCGGCAGAGGGTGCCACTCCTCGTAATTCATCCAAGATCCATCGCAGGCCCTCCGATGCAATTTCTCGTTCCACGACTCCCCTAGCTTCCCCATCCTCCGCCCGAGCTAGTCGAGTGAGCCAGACAACCTTGTCTCGGTTTGCAACCAGTTTGTGAACGAGTTCGTGGTGTTCATAATCGAATAGCTCAGCGAGCTCGTTCTCGATTTCCCTCAGGGGCTTCTCCTCCCCACCTTCTTCTTCAGGAGCCCCTGATAATATGTGGAGCGCTTCTTGGGTTTTGACTTGTTGGATGTGTGCGTCCGAGTAGATTAAACCAATCTGTCTTTGCAGCCAGTATGCATCTATCTCCCTGGCCGGAATGAAACTTTTATCTTTGTCCTCGCCGCCAGCCCCGCCACCAGGGACAGAGTCTATTATCATAGCTTCCTCTTCAGGAAGACCTTCGGCCTCCTCGTCTCTTTCCTCTGCGGCACCACCAGCTGTTGCAACTTCCTCTGCGCCGGGGCGATCTTCTCTGTCATCAGCCTCGTCTTCAGACGATTCGTCGCGGACCTCGTCGACTATCCCACCACCATCTTCGTCTTCCGAGTTCTCGTCGAATACTACGGCGACACCTTGGCGATCGTCAATTTCTGCTCCGTCTTCTGCGCCATTCTCTCCATCTGCCATTACTTCATCTTCATCTTGCGCGTCGTAATCAGTGATCTTCTTGCCGAGGTTGACAAGCTCATTGAATTGCTTCGGGCTTAGGGTGGTTCCAAGTAAGTCGTCGATTTCTTTCTTCTTGTCGAAATCCTTCAAATCATCGTCTTTCAGGTACTCCAGCACAGCATCTGCGGCGCTCCTGACGATCTCATGCGACACGTCCCCCAGGTTATTAGCGACAGTCGTCAGTATCAAATCGTAGGTCGCGCGCGTCGCGGAGGTTCGGGGTCGATACACTATTCCTTCTACCAACGCGTCCGCTGCAGATAATATGCCACTTCCACGAAGTTGGGCAGGCTCGCCTCGCTTTCGTTTCAACTGTTCGCGCTCCAAGATATCCTGTCCCTCTGAAAGATTCCCTCTCTCGACACCTGTCAGTCCCGTGGCCTTCTTTTTTGGCACGTTATCGCGGCCGCTGCGCGATCCCATATCCTTGATGCTGAGCCGTCCTGCCAGTGACTCGGGGTCTCCAGTTACTTCATCGTTACGGCGAGTAACGAAACGACGGTCCGCCTGGAGGACCAGGTTGGACATCGCCGAGTACTTGTACTGCGAGACATCACGCTGTTGGTCCGCCATCTTTGCATGGACGATGGAGGAAGGAACTTGGACCTCTCACATTCGAGAACTTGGGGAATCAACACCAAAAGTTGAGGTCAGTTTGTTTACTAGCGTAGAACAAAATTTAGCGAGGGTGAGTTGTGGAGGTACAGTACTGTAAATACGCGCCGGGTACCTATCAAATTGATAAACAAATAGAGCTTCGACGACTTCTCAATATCACCCAACATGCAGGAATATAAAGACCTACCCGACTCCGTGCAGAAGACTCTCCATACTCTAGAGCCTTATATCAAACCAAGACAGGAGGTTGCACGCATCAGGCAAATTTTAGCAGCGCATCTGAGCTCTCACGTGAACTCGAAGAAAGGACACCCGATCTCCCTCCCGCTATCTCTAGTAGACACTTCTGCCGGTGTAGAAGCGACGGCAACTGGTGTTAGAGGTCTTCAGAAGGAGTATATTCGATGTCTTCGGGCAAATATCAAGGCCCGGAAAGAATTCGCTGAGGCCAGCAAAAAGCACCAATCCAATTTGACATCCGAAAGTCACCACCCAGGGGGAGCTACTCGAGACAACCCAGAACCGCTCAACGATCCTGGACCAGCGTTGGATTCCTTTATCGATGTTGTTAACTATCGGCGGAAACATGAGCGCCTACGCATCATTCAGGATTATGTGGATTTGGTGGCGCAGAAGCCCGCTGCTAGAGCCGACCGTCTTGACCCCGGAGTCGTACTGAAGGATATAGATGCTCTGCCCCAGGTTCCACTGGACATTATGGGCACTGCAGAAGCACGTCAAGCTTCAGAAAGAACGGACCTCCAGGGGTTAGTTGATCAACTTGAGAAAGCAGTTCTCCGGGCCAAGTTACTTCTCAAAAGGGAACAGAAGCTCCTTACAAAAATCAAAACCGACGACTCAGCACCTAAGAATCCATCTAGCAGTCATGGAGGTAGATTGCAAGCTCTTGGAACAACTCGAAATGAGCTGATTAACTGGGTGGAGACGGAACTGGCCAAGGCGGGAGATGGTACACCAGATTCAGGAGACGGCAGCGATTCTAAACTCCTAGAAATGGGGGAGGGATTTATCGACAGTGAACTTATCTCGATTCAAAGACAATATAGCCGGTATTCTAAAGCTAGGCAAGCATTGATCCTCGCAGCAACCGGGAGATTGGATCAACCATCTCCGATAACGACTGGTAACGATGAGGACGAGTCTATGGAAAATGAGACAGCTACCGGGTCGGACGTGATGAACCACACCATGCATTCCTATTTGGTAGAATTGATGTCTATTTCCAATGAGCAAAAGTCGATCATACAGCAGAAGTCTCATCTCACTATCAGTCTGGCAAAGCATCTCAAAAAGGCCGGTCAAGACCTAGACCGCTTGTCCGAGGAAAGCCATTTGCTACCAGCGCACCCAAGCACGAGCGTTGCTGTACGTGGAAGCGGTTTAGAAAGTCAGCCCTCGTTCGAACATGAGGTATCGAGTCACGAGAAGCCTGATTCTTCTCGTAGAGCTCGAGCATGGGTCTTCGCTGCAGATTCCTCTAGGGCAGCTACAAGGGATGCTATTCAGGAGAAGATTGAGGATGGTAGGATGGAAGTTCTGGACGCTCAACAGACTTTACTGGAGCTGCAGCGCCTCCTTGGGGAGGGCAATGATCGTGAGACTGAAGCCAACGGCAAAACGGCAAGGAATATAGACAGTGAAGATATCTGGTCTGCCATAGCTGGTAATCTGGGCGTCATCAAGAGGGACAAGTTGGATTCTACGTAGTTTTGCGATGCTCTGTACGGTATGAAATCATGAAGTAATGTAAATCATGATACCCCTTTTCGAGGATTGAGGACCACCAAAGACACAGCGAGGGGTAGAGATAGCGACAAGGAAGGATGCTGTGGATACTTGACACATAGACATGGAAGCAGAAGCAAGTAATACACATGAACTTACATAGGTATGGAATGCCGAGATAGTTCTCCCTTTGAGTCAATCTGGATATCTACTAAGACGGCGACCTCGATATCAGCCAAGGAATGCATACCAGATAATGAACTCAGAAGCTTTCCGAGGGGCTGACCTGGTGCATTGTGGTCATTAGCAGCCTTGGCTGGGCACCCATACATGGGAAAATCGAGTGATACATCCTTTCACCAACTGCGTGATAATTCATGATAATAATTTATGCCTCATCTTGGATCAAAGGCTTAGGCTACCTGCCTGGTGACTGAGGTCTTTTGGGTATAGTGCGGATGCCGATGCTCAAGGGAAATAGATAATCGATTTGCAGATGAAAACCCGCCAATTCTAAGATGATTTCATGTTCCAAACTCAGAGCCGCTCCAAGACTTTTCGTAAACATTTGATACAGTTTAATCATCTGAAATCCAGGTGACTGAACCTGGCCAGGCGTCTATAAAATATTGGTCGACAGCACTTGCAAGATCCAAGGCAGCTCTCGGAATCTCGACTTCCACATCACTAGAAGTTTCATCAGTCTCACTAAAATATTTCGTGATCATGGAGTCAATCCTTCGAGAATATACAACACAAATTCTACACAGTGACTCTTAACATTTTGTATGCAGAAACGAAATCAGGCGCGAATACATGGATGCCTTAGGTTTTGACTGTCCGTTAAACCCCCCCCCCCCCCCCCACCCTCCCCTCTTTCCCCCCTCCTTTTCCCCCCACCAAGATAACCTCAACAAGCATGAATCCTAACTGATGAACATGGCGATATACTGGTGTTTCGGGGAATAATTTGAAGGTGCAACGCCAATATCATACTACGAACTCCGTCAATCCGGCCTTCCTGCCTAATATGGCGAGCACTCAGAATGCAGTCCACGGCGATCTGCCAACCGAAATTCTACAAGCTCTTTCAGTGAAAGAGCCATTACTGTCATCGGAGGCTTTCCCTTCACAAAAGTCGGCGGATGTCAAGAGTGCATTAGATCGACTGGGCTCCCGTTCTATGATCACATATGAAACGATCGACCGAGAAGAAGCTGTATTGGAGCCCGAGGCGCTAGAAATTGCTGCCAATGGAAGTCATGAAGCGCGAGTGTTCGAGGCGCTGCGAAAGGCCATGGATGGGCTCACAATTGCAGAGCTGGAAGCTGCTGTTGGAGACAAGAACGTTGCGAAGCTGGGCCAGGGGAAGGCTTTCAAATCAAAATGGATAGCCAAGGGCAAGGAGGGCCGGCTTGTAGCATCTGTGAGTTGCGATACCCAAGCTCAGGAATCAGTGCTCCGATTAATGGTTACAGACGGATTCAATACAAGATATCACACGAGAACAACTTTTGGTTATCCAAAAGACACATACCCACCCAGATCCCAACGTCATTAAAGATCTGAAGAAACGAAAGCTGGTCAAGATGCAAAAGGTCATAAGTTTCAAAATACAGAAGGGCCCTAAGTTCGCTCTGGAAATCGTCAAAGAAGAGACAGACTTGACACCGGAGATGCTCGAGTCGTATGTTGCAAGATCCCATAAGCCAAATTGATGCTAATTGTTACAGTGGTGCGTGGAAGACAGCCACCTTCAAGAAATACAACTTCAAGTCGCTCGGTGTAGATCAGCACGCAGGAGCTTTACACCCACTGAACAAGGTTCGGCACGAGTTCCGCCAAATCTTCTTCGAAATGGGTTTTGAGGAGATGCCTACCAACCGCTTTGTCGAGACTGGTTTCTGGAACTTTGATGCTCTTTTTGTCCCGCAACAACATCCCGCTCGTGACTTGCAAGACACCTTCTACATTTCAGATCCTAAGACTGCGGACAAGCCTCATGCCGAATCAGAAGATGACAAGGCCGATTATGAAACCTACTGGAAAAATGTACGGGACGTACATCAGGAGGGTAAGTATGGATCAATTGGCTACCGGTACCCGTGGGCTGAAGACGAGTCCCTACGGTTGGTACTTCGAACGCACACGACAGCCATCTCATCAGCAATGCTTTATAAACTCGCCCAACTAAAAGGCCCTGATGGCAAGCCACCTCCAGCTCGATACTTCTCAATTGACCGTGTTTTCCGTAATGAGACTGTCGATGCAACACATCTTGCGGAGTTCCATCAAGTTGAGGGCGTCATTGCAGATTACGGATTATCACTTGGTGGACTGATGGAGTTCATGGAGATCTTCTTTAACAAGATGGGAATCCATGACTTGCGTTTCAAGCCTGCATATAACCCGTACACCGAGCCAAGTATGGAGATTTTCAGCTACCACAAGGGATTGAACAAACTTGTCGAGATTGGAAACAGCGGTATGTTCAGACCAGAGATGCTGGAGGCCATGGGACTGCCCAAGGATTTGCGTGTTTTTGGATGGGGATTGAGTTTGGAGCGCCCAACTATGATCAAGTACAAGGTAAGCATCACTGCGAAGAGCCCTGAGACGTGACTGACTGTTCATTAGGTGAACAACATCCGAGAATTGCTAGGGCACAAGGTAGATCTGTCTTTCATCGAGAGGAACCCAGCTGTCAGACTAGAAAAAGAATAGATCGGGCTATTAAGAGCAGAAAGTACAAAGTACAAAGCATCGGACGTGACGTCTTATCTTCTAGTTCTTGCACGTGATCAAACCCCCTGATAGCCGATTTCGGTCACTCGGTACAGGTACAAAGTGGCAAAGCAACGGGACGATTTCTCTGCGAAGGTCGATTGTCATGTTCACGCAGGGGGGTATTGAAGAGGCATTGGCAGGACTCTAGAAGTAGAAGTAGACACCCTTCGAATGGCATTAGGTAGTAGCACAGGACATTGACACCGAAGACAGGAATGCGAAGGGATTGCCCTCTCTTATAGGCATCCCAGCATATTGGTCGTGCCCCTTGACCTGATGTAATTGGACGGCTGATCTGTATATTCACAAGGTCTTTCAATCGGCTTTTTACAGAGTAAGTTATCCACCATAAGGGATCATTGAACTCGTAACCCTGCTCGCCATGTGCAGAAGTAAAAGGTTCGCGAGGCTCGCAAGGTTAGCTGTCGTTTCGTTGCGAGGCGCCTGGCGTTGGGGTCTTCAACAAGATTTTCCCGTTTTCCCGTTTTCCTGATTTCCTGATTTCCTGTGTTGTGACTGGTAAAAAAGAAAAAGCGGCAAGGGTTAAAGACCGGGGCGGGGCCTGGACAGTAGCGCCAAAATTGTTTGAATCATTATTTTTCTCGCAGCGAGGAGTCACAAAAGCATTTCCTTCTTCTACCATCTGTAACCCAATTCTCAATTGCTTCGATACCACTGCTCTTTCTTCCTCATTGATCATGTTGAGGGACTTTGAGCCTTCGAAACTCCAGGAATAAAACTTTCCTGTCACCCTCTTATCCTACACGAACCGTTATCAGAAGCTATTTACACACCTAGCTTCTTCACCGCGAAGAAATAAATATTTGGCGGAAATCTCTGACGATCTTCCCTCAACGTCCGCACAACGACGAAATTCGACAGTCGCTGAGCACTTCAGACAGCCCGAAGGGGTCTCAGAGGCTCAGTTGAATGTCTACCTCGTTGTCTTCTGCAATGGCCTCCTCGAGCCGCATCGCAGGCCGGACATGCTCTCTCTTCCGCCAAGTTCGAGCGCCAGCTAATCCCGCCCGGAGCTTCACAACTCGAGCGACGGCGAGATGTCTTCAGCCTAGAAGCCAAGCGCCAGCTAGCAAGAACGCCAGACATGTGCGGCTTTTCTCCAGCTCGGCAGCCCGCAGGGACCTGTCGGAAAATGCCCCCAGTGCGAAGGCGTACCTCGAGAGCGGAGTTCTCAAGGGAGCTGCAAACCCCGTCGATGTCAAGAAGGTCTTGGTCATTGGAAGTGGTGGTTTGGCCATTGGTCAAGCAGGAGAGTTCGATTATTCAGGTCAGTACTTTTTACCTTCCCTCCTTGCGAAAATGAGTCACATAGAGCAACATTTCTTCACACAAGCAATGTTGATCGAGACCCAATTGGAGTTCAGTCTTATATGAACATGATACTAATTCGTCTGTTGCACAGGGTCTCAAGCTTTGAAGGCGTTGAAAGAGGCCGGCGTGGCCTCCGTCCTCGTCAACCCGAACATCGCAACCATCCAGACCGCCCACGTCCTTGCCGATGAAGTCTATTACCTGCCCGTTACTCCAGAATACGTGACATATGTCATCGAGCGAGAGAGACCAGATGGTATTTTCCTTACCTTTGGTGGTCAAACTGCCCTGAACCTTGGTGTCCAAATGGAGCGAATGGGAATCTTCGAGCGTTACGGTGTCAAGGTCTTGGGCACAAGCATCAAGACCCTCGAGACCAGTGAGGATAGAGATCTCTTCGCCAAGGCTCTTGGTGAGATCAATATCCCAATTGCTCAATCAATCGCTGTCAGCACCGTGGACGAAGCGTTGGAGGCAGCGCGGGGAATCGGATATCCTATCATCGTTCGCGCTGCTTATGCCCTTGGTGGTCTTGGATCCGGGTTTGCGAACAATGAGGAGGAGCTCCGGAATTTGTCCGCAAGATCCCTTACTCTGTCTCCTCAAATCTTGGTTGAGAAATCTCTTAAAGGCTGGAAAGAAGTTGAATATGAAGTCGTCCGTGATGCAAGCAACAACTGCATCACTGTCTGCAACATGGAGAACTTCGACCCTCTTGGTATTCACACCGGTGATTCGATCGTCGTGGCACCTAGTCAAACTCTGAGCGACGAGGAATATCACATGCTCCGTTCTGCTGCCATCAAAATCGTCCGACACCTGGGTGTAGTGGGCGAGTGTAACGTTCAATACGCACTGCAACCTGACGGACTTGACTACCGTGTCATCGAAGTCAACGCTCGTCTCTCCCGTTCCTCTGCTCTTGCTTCCAAAGCGACTGGATATCCCCTTGCGTATACTGCGGCAAAAATCGGACTCGGCCATACTCTACCTGAATTACCCAACGCTGTTACCAAAACCACCACTGCAAACTTCGAGCCATCGCTGGATTACATCGTGACCAAAATCCCACGATGGGACTTGTCTAAGTTTCAGCATGTTAAGCGTGACATCGGTAGTGCTATGAAGTCTGTTGGAGAAGTCATGGCCATTGGTAGAACTTTCGAAGAATCAATCCAGAAGGCTATCCGACAGGTTGATCCCCGGTATGTTGGTTTCCAAGGTGACAAATTCGATGACCTCGACTACGAACTCGCGAACCCCTCTGACCGCCGATGGCTTGCCGTTGGCCAGGCCATGCTGCATGAGAACTACTCTGTCGAACGTGTCCATGAGCTGTCCAAGATTGACAAATGGTTCTTGTACAAGCTTCAGAACATTGTCGACTGCACCCGCGAGCTCGAGGAAATCGGAAGTCTGTACGGTTTAAAGAAGGAAATTATCATGAAGGCAAAGAAGCTCGGTTTCTCTGACAAACAGATCGCAATGGCCGTAGGAAGCACTGAAGATGAAGTCAGAGCTCGCCGAAAGAACTTTGGTATCACGCCATTTGTTAAGAAGATCGATACTCTTGCCGCTGAATTCCCTGCCGACACCAACTACCTGTACACCACCTACAACGCAACTTCTCACGATGTTTCCTTTGATGACCACGGAATCATTATCCTTGGAAGCGGTGTCTACAGAATTGGTAGCTCTGTTGAATTCGATTGGTGTGCTGTCAGTGCAACTCTTGCTCTGAAAGATATGGGCAAGAAGACCGTCATGATCAATGTAAGTTAGAACTTTTCTTCTATTTTTCGACTAGATGCGCCTGCCCTCTGGACTTCTGGACTCGAAACCTTTACTGTCAGCAATCCCTTACTTTCGCTAACTTTCCCCAGTACAACCCCGAGACCTACTCCACGGACTTTGATACCGCTGATAAGCTCTACTTCGAGGAGTTGAGCTACGAACGTGTCATGGATATCTACGAACTGGAAGCTGCTAGCGGTGTTGTCGTTTCTGTCGGCGGTCAACTACCCCAGAACATCGCCCTACGTCTCCAAGAGAGTGGCCACGCAAAGATCCTTGGTACTGACCCGAAAGACATCGACAAGGCAGAAGACAGACAAAAGTTCTCCGAGATCTTGGACAGCATCGGTATCGATCAGCCCGCCTGGAAGGAACTCACTTCAGTGGCCGATGCTGAAGCTTTCGCCGAAGAAGTCAGCTATCCTGTTCTTGTCCGACCTAGCTATGTTCTCTCTGGTGCTGCCATGACTGTCATTCGCAGCAAGGATGAATTGAAAGAAAAGCTCGAGGCGGCCAGCAATGTGTCACCTGATCATCCTGTTGTTATCTCCAAGTTCATTGAAGGTGCACAAGAAATTGACGTTGATGCTGTGGGATCTAACGGCAAACTCATTATCCATGCCATCAGTGAACACGTCGAGCAAGCTGGTGTTCACTCTGGTGATGCAACACTTGTCCTTCCTCCTGCATCTCTCGACCAAACTACTATGGACCGCGTCAAGGAAATTGCTAGCAAGGTTGCCAAAGCCTGGAACATTACCGGACCTTTCAATATGCAGATCATCAAAGCCGAAGATCCAAATGGAGGTCTTCCTCAATTGAAGGTCATTGAGTGTAACTTGCGTGCATCCCGGTCATTCCCATTCGTCAGCAAAGTCCTTGGTCTCAACTTCATCGACGTCGCAACCAAAGCTCTCGTTGGCAGAGATGTCCCTGAACCAACTGATCTCATGGCCGTCAAGCGCGACTACCTTGCAACCAAAGTACCACAATTCTCCTGGACTCGTCTCGCTGGTGCTGACCCCTTCTTGGGTGTCGAAATGTCCAGCACTGGTGAACTTGCCTGCTTCGGTAAGGATCTTGTGGAAGCTTACTGGACTTCTCTCCAATCGACCATGAACTTCCGCATGCCAGAACCAGGGGAGGGTCTTCTCTTTGGTGGAGACATCACCAAGCCTGTTCTTGCCCGCATTGTTGACTACCTTGCTCCGCTTGGCTACAAGCTCTATGCCGCTGAGAAGGAAGTCAAGGATTTCCTTGAAAAGACCACCAAGAATGACGTTAGCGTTCAAGTCATCGAGTTCCCTAAGGAAGACAAGCGAGCTTTGAGGGAGGTTTTCCAGAAGAACGATATTCGTGGAGTCTTCAACTTGGCCCTGACTAGAGGAAAGACTGTTCTGGATGTTGATTACGTTATGCGCAGAAATGCGGTGGACTTCGGCGTGCCGTTGTTCATGGAGCCCAAGGTAAGAATATCTCCAACAACCCACATTTTCGGCACATACTAATTACTCCCTAGACTGCTGAGCTCTTCGCGCAATGTATGAGCGAGAAGCTTCCACGGAAGGAGGGTATCCCACCGGAGGTCCGCAGGTGGTCTGATTTCATCGGTGGCAAGCCATTGTAGATATGTTCATTTGGCATCGTCTGCGACGTAGTTATGGCGTTTCGTTGGATTCGGATTATTTCTGGAGCCGCGTAGAGGCAAGATGGTTGATATCAGTATCGTACGAATGGAAAAGTGCTTTTAAGTCACATTTTACCACACACTCTCTCACTTACGTTCACACATCACCTGAGACCCAAAATTGTTCTGATGCATGCATTCATTGATTGATTGTACCTCTCCGCTCCTGATTTATGCTCCAATGCAATGCTCGCCCATTCCATGCATTTTCTACGCCTTGAATGCATCGTGAAACCACAGCCCATATGACTCGGCCAGCCCCAACCTATCCATTCTATCAAGGTATTTCGGCAACCGTCCGGTGTCATCTATCATGAAATGGTGTCTTGGAAAGTCCTACATCATCGACGCATAGACGCTGGTTCCGTAGAACTGTTTGCTGAATTACTCTAGCCTGACCCGACCAACCTTCTTAGTTATATGTTCGGTGCTGCTGCCATCACCAGAATCCGGCGATGGCCTTTTGGGGGGTCGCTCACCAGTCGATTGCAATATTGCAAGTAAGGTTGCCCAGCCATTGGTTTCTAGTAATGCATAGCCGTCCGCCAAGTCGTGTTGTGTGGCAACCTTACAGAGAAGCCTTTCTTCGTCCTGCGTTAAGTTAGCAATGAAAGGGATACAAAGAGCTCGAATTTGCGTCAACTTACTTTGTTGAAGAAATTGAAGCCATGGAGGAAGCAGAGAAGGTGGAAGTCAGAGAGGGCTAAGATGCCTTCACTTGACCTTTTGAGTGCGCCACTACTATCAATTCCTAGGCGTTCTCCTACTTTCTGCAGTTCTTGTGTCTGTCCGATGTACTCGCGGTTCTCGATTGGGAAACCAGGTGGTTTGGCCATAAACATTGGCTTCGGGTCGGAAGGGAATCCGTGCGTTAACGTGACTAGTAAATATTCGACTGGGAATGAAGGTTTAGCATTCTCCTGCACCTGTGCACCGTACTCGTTGATCTTGCGATAGAAGACCTCGGGTATGTATCTTGTGCGACTTGGCTGTCCATCATCATCCTCGCCGCGAACGATCATGACCCCTGGATCGGCGGATGGTTCGACTATGTCTGCTCTGACCATCTCAACTGCTGAATTTGATACTTGATAGGCGGAAATGGACACCTGACCGGATTCGTCCCCAGATATCACACAGGTGACAAAATTCGACCCAAATCTTCCTGTATCGCTCCATTTTGTGGGCTTAGGATGCTGTGCTTGGAGTCGGGCAGCGAAAGCAATCTCAAGAGAAGAGAGATAGTACGAGTCGATATGCCGCTTACAGACAACAGAACCATCGCCTGCGCCAGCATCTAGTAAATCTGTCCAGATGACACCGACTTTCTCCAAGCCACATAATCTTGCCACTTCATCGACGTCTTTCTCGTTTTCCCACTCATTCAGCGTAATGCCATCAACCTCATCGATCTGTGGGGGCTCGTATATAGCCTCTACCACAGCCTTGATACCCAGTGGGACCTCCGTATATTCGGTGTACCGCCCGTAAAGGTATCCTAGTCGTTGTGCTCCGGACACCCGCCAGAAATCAAGCAAATTGTTTATAATACTCGCATCCGCAAATTCGACATGATCTACCATTCGGAAGGACTGAGGCTGTAGAGTTATGGCGCTGGGCTGGCATTTTGTGCAGATGCCTTCAGGCCACTGCGGATGTCCGGACGGGCAATCTCTCTTTACGCGATAGTACGGTTCTGTGAGAGGGGGCATAAAGGAGCTTCCAAGCTCAGGCTTGTTGGTCGCGGAGTTGATCTTTCTGAGGTAAGAGTGGAAGGAGAGGTTTTTGATCTTCCGGTCGGCCAAATATTTAGCATCGAAAGGTTCCAGAGGCATACAATAGTCACACATTCCTTTCTCCCCATGTCGACACATCTTGGGGTCGCGTTTCCGCGGTATCTTTCCATCCTGCTTGTCTAACCGGTCATCTAGCGCAGATTGTTTGACTACCTCCCAAGGGTTCTTGATCTTTTCAGAAGGAGAGGAAATCGGTGGTGGGTCTATAGGGAGGTCTTCGTTAGGCAGGATGGCAGCTCCATTCAGGCGATTCGTAGACGATAATGGATGGGATGCGGTTGTAGCGCCATTCGAGTCGCCATTCGAGAGAGCGTCTCGTGTCTTGTAGTTGATGAAGACAATATCACCATGTCTGTAGAGCAAATTAGATCGGGCAGAGAGGTTTTGGGAGTTCTCGCACTTACTGCATGCCAATTCGTGAGACCTCAAAATTGGCGATGTCCTTGAGGAGCTTGGTCTCGCCGCCCGCTGGGCGGTTGGACAGAGTGAGTGTGTTGTAGTCGACAGTGTCCGGCAGTACTTCTGATAACTGCAACCAGTCAGTACGGATCGTTGAACAGGAGCACTATGGTGAAATACCTTCTCGCCCAGTTTACGAAAGGTGTCAGAGGGCTCTACTGGTATCCTAAAGGTCCCATCGGGCCCTCGAAATCTGAGCAGCATGGCTTCTGCAGGTATTGAAATATTGCGAGGAGATATTGAACCAGACCTGAGATGGATTCAACTCAAAGATATGTTGTCGTTGCAGCTGTAGTGGTAGAAGAGTAAGCCCACCGGAGGGCTAAATAGAGAGAAATGGAGGAAATGGAGGAAAGGGAGGAAGGTCAGAGAAAGCTGTGGAGGTGGGATAGCTCTTCGAGTCCAGGGACCGATTCGCGTGGAGCTGTCGTTGCGTGATGTCAGCCTGAGCGGTGGGCGAATAGACTTTCGGGGGTGTGGATCGAGTGCAGAGGAAAGGCTGCGCATTTTATTGTTATTGTCGACCTGGCCTCACAGGACAACTCGTCTTCCACGACACAGCGAACCACGACGATATTCGACTACTCAAGTTCGCTCCTTATTCACACTCTTGGTTTAAACGGCAATTGGAGCCTTTCTCGTACTCCGCGTCTCATAACTACAGAAGTTTCTGGGGACCAATTACCCTACCACGATGTTCAACATCGATTGGTGGTCTTTGGGCCTCCCCCTTGCCTACGTCTCTGTTCTATTAGGCTCCCTAATTATATTCTCTTCGTTGTATCGGAAGCGGAAAGCAGGTCAGTGGAAAGTGTTGTCGGTCCATGCGCATATACTGATTCCTCGTAGCTGCTTCTGCGACTCTTGCGCCGTGGTTCCCACCCCATCTACAACGAAACATTTACCTTTCTCTACTACATCTTGAGCCGGAGGAAGGGAAAGAGAAGGCTCCCACGGTGCCCGAGAGCGTTTTACGTGCTGCGCTATTACGTAGAGCCGTAGAGGATATTCACAGGATAATTCAAGTCAGAAGTGCAAAGCAGGCATGCAGTACTCTATTACAACGTGGCAGCGTTGGCGATGACCTTTGGCAACGCTTCCTCAGGGCTGAGAAGGAAATGGAAGAAGAGCTTCGAGATGTGGTGATGGAGGTGAGTACGCGCAGTTCGAATTCGAACCTACTGGGCTGACGACATATAGGCAAATGCACTGTCACCAAACTGGGGCCAAACTATTTTCCAATCTGCAAATGAAATCGCCGCAAATACCGTATTCCGCAAACGGTTAGATGAGATCCAAGCTCAAACAACAGCAGAGAAGGAGTGGTGGGAGAAGAAACGAGCCTCCATAAAGTCAGACTTCATGAAGGAGCTAGACGGAGAGTCCACAACACCCGCCAAATCTTCCGCAAATAAAACTGGGAGTGATGAGGATGCTATCTTGGTTGAGAGTGGCGGGCCTGCTGTTACAGATAAGGGAACCATGAAGAAGAAGAAGGGCAAAAAATAGGGGCCGAGTCGAGGCTTTGTTACGATCAGTTGTAAAACGCATGTCCAGTTGGCTGGCTCTCAGAGGTGGTGCATATTGGCGTTATTGGTGTATATGGGGTATTGCATTCTAGGAATACTTGCTCGTAAGGCTGAATCTCATTTCTCAAGCTTCTCCTGCTCAAGACGAGAGCGGCAAATTAAACGGCAAATTCGTGAGTTGTTTTCATTGAGTATGCGATGCTGCTCTTGGTTTATATCTACTGTCTGCCCGTATCAAAGTCAGCAGCTCCTGAAGTTTTGGCACTCATCAACGGGTTAAGTTCTCCCCAATTCAAGTTTAATATGGACAATTCGGTCTACACGCATACCAAGTGGGCTCCTAAAGTGTACCGGTGGATGGCTTTAAAGGTCCGTGGTTTTCCAAGCTCCAGCGTGATGGGGGGAAATAGTAGTATGGTACGTGTCCGATGTCTTTCTGATGTTAATCATAGTGGAGAGTGAAGAGCAATCTAGCTGCTTTTGCGGCTTACTTCTGAACTGCGAACTACTTCGCAGTGCCATTATATTGGGGGCCAAACCTCTTAACTCTTTTAAAGCATCGATATGTGTAGCTGAAACATCGCGCATATATGCTGTATATGAACTCACATATCACATCGAAATACGCATGGGCTCAGAGATCAGACTCTACGCTCCCAACACAGGGCGGAGGTGTAACGACATCTCATTCCAGATAAAACTCCTCTCCCAGCCAATTAATACGACCTCAACTTTCTCCTCCACGCCTCCTCGTCCTCCTCGGCTCTCCGTCTCCTTATTTCCTGCAAGATTTCCTCCTCCGTCTTCACCGGACTCTCACAGCCTCTCAATCCAATGAACCGTCCAATCTTCCTCCTCTTCTCCTCCAGTGTCAGACCCTTGCCCCACGTCACCGGACACGGATATTGTGCACTGTAGTAAGACGGCGTGCGCTGATGGTAGAAATGGGCTAACTCGTCCAGCTGCTCCGAGGTCAGAAGCCAGAAGTTCAGGAGCGTACTTGGGAAAAAAGGATGGATTTCGCTCGTTGGGTAGCGCACCAGCGGTGCGAGGGGGAGTGCCATTTGGGAAATTTTGGCCTGGAGCTCTGGGTTGCGCCGGCTACGAAGGGAGAGCATGCTGGCTTTTTCGAACTTGTTGGTGCGCGATGTCATATTGGTTAGGGCTTGATGAGATGACGGTAGTTGAGTATCTTGGAGGTTCCTATATATGTCTCTATACGCGTTGGAAATACTTCTGGTTTTAACTGCCGGCAGCTTAAAGATGATTTAACAACAATGAAGAATGACAGAGAATGGAATATAGTGTTTCTTGATAATGCCAGGTAATGAGAGAACTTAAGGACCAGACCCTTTATGTATCAAAATTTGAAGTCATTGTGGATTTTGGATTTCCTTTGTATTCGGGGAAGTTCTTTGCTTTGTTTTTGTTTTGTTGGAGGCGTGAGGCTATCGTGAATTGAGATTCTATTTTCGTCCATAGACCTTTGTCTATCCGTGCCCGAAACCAAGTCTTTCAATGTCAGACTTCCTGGTGTTACCGCAGAATGGTTGGCACAAAGAAGAGGGCCAAAAACAAAGGCTTCTACGAGCTAGAATCGCTGAGAATTGCAAGTTCAAGGGCGAATTAGTAGATATATGACATGCCAATCGATAACACCATCAAAGGCCTTTCCATACTGATTTCGCAAGATGGTCCACCTTCTTCCTGCTTGGCTTAACCATGCCTAGCAGCTTCAGATCTGCAAGGCCTCTATAGAACAGCATCAATGCCGTTCTTTCATCATAACCTTCGCTCTCCTCGCCACCAACAATGCTGAAAAAGGCGGTCCAGATATCAGAGACATTAATGAGAGAGCCACTCTCAAGATACATCTGATACAGGATAGCTGTGGCAGGTTTCGACGATGAGAAGGCATCACCGGTATCTTTGCAGCCGGGTAGGTAATGGTAGGGGGCAGATAGGGACTGCTCAATTGCGAGCCTTGACCCGGGGGTGAAGACTTCTTTGTATGGTGATAAAGAATCGTAGAGCCAGACCTCATTGAGGAATAAATCCTGTGGGTGTTCGAATGTAAAGTACTCCTTTAGGAGGTTTGACATCCGGTCGATGAGAGCCGTATACTTTATATCTTGCTTCGAAAGTGTAGATTTCTCGTAGCTTAGTTGGACTTTTTGAGCAATCACGGTGGTTCGGAGCCCTTGGCTATGTATCGCGTATTGGCTCCGGACAGGTTTGCCTGTCTCCACAGCTTCCTCTACTAAGGAGGTGACTTCCCCTTGAATGTCAGTTATTTCTTTCAGGAACTCTGTTTCCTCGCCAAGCCAGCCTTCAAGATCTAGTTCGGGGCTTCCATTTTCTACTGCCTTTGTTATCCGTCCGATGAACGCGATCAGTGCATCAGGTGCCATTCGTTTGATTGAATCAAGGACGGCCCGGACAGTGTCCGAGTCACTCAGGCTACCCTTAAATGCCCTGACGTAGAGATCTATCTTCTCAACTGGCCCAGTCGCCGCACTCGACAGAACATGCATGGTTCTCAAAATGGTGATTACTCTTTGAGTAGCAGAGTCGAGGGCTTTCTCAACCTCTCTCAGGAGTACTTTATCATCCTCGAGTAACCCACGAGCAAGAGTTACCTCATGCTTTTCTACCGAGTTCTCAACCAACTTTATGAACGATGGTAGCATTCGAATTGCCTCTAGATGTTCAGATTGAAGAAGTTTAAGAAGTGACTTCGAATCTCGTTCGTTGTCACTAAGCACACTAAGAGGATTTGCATAGAAGTGACACATATATGCATACTGGAATTGTCAGCATATATTCATTGGTAATTCTACTCCAGGTTCTGACCTTCAGCGCAGAAATAAAAGCCTGTATACTTTGAACGTGATTGTGTTGTCTCTCTATGAGACTTGAGACGAGTGCGGGCCCTAATCGAAGAGGTGCTTCGGAGCCAGCAATCACCTTCAGGAAGACACTCTCAAAGACAGAACTCGTCTGTTCGACGTCAAACTGAGCGCCAAATAGACATTTAGTTGCTGCTCTTGGAAGCCTCTCGCGGAAGAGATCGATGGATGTAGCAATTCCGAATAACAGCACGAAAGGGATTCGATTCATCCAGGAGCTGGGAGTGTCAGAACGAGTCTGTGTTTTTGAAGTACATGAATCTCATACCTAAACAGAGCTATCAAATCACCTAGCAAGCCCGGATCAAATGCTTCACTGTCCTGGAATGCCACGATTGCTCTCTTGCTACCATGGAGTTTGACAAAACCATGAAGGATTTCCAAATCATAATTGAGAAGTTTCCGTCCCTACTTGATCAGTATATATTAATCTTTGGAAGAACATAGAAAGCCCTACATCTCTTTCAAAGAACCCTTCTCCTTCATCTTCATTCACCGCTCTCTGATTTGTGGCATCTCGAATTAGCTGCTTTAGTGCAGCCTTCAGATTCGCAGCGTCTCCCGAACGCAGAGTTACAACGGGTCCATTGACCTCTGTTTTAAGTCGCTCTGATAGCTGTTCGAAGAGAAGACCTTGGGAAGCAATGTTGGGTCCGGTCACAATGAAGCCAGTTGGCACTATTCCGCTGCCCCTGTTTTGATCTATCAGCCATTATGGCCCCTCCAAATAACTAATATTACATACTCTGTCGGTGCCACGTCTTGTACAAACGAGGTAACCTTTGTAAGGGTGTCTTCATTCGATTCACCAAGAATAGACTACGGCATTCTTCAGCAAATAGTTGTTCCAGGAGCTTTGAATTTCCTACCTGAATTCGTTCTTCTGTTTTGGCCCAGTGTCGTTTAAACAGCTCCTCTCGTAGGCCAACACATTCAGTATCTTCGAGACCGTTCAAGAGTCGCTCAAATCTGAAGGCTTGCGCATGTTTTGTCGGATCTGGAGCGGAAGTTCTGCCTACCCTCCTTCGCTTTGCCGGTCGTTCAGGCGCGCCTTCAATCGCAGAGGGAGTAAATATAAAGGCTGGCTGTAAAATGTGTCAGAATTACGAATGCCTTCTTCAGTTATATAACTTACCTGGTGATCACTGGCATCAAAGCCAGTGATGCTACTGGTTTCTCCATTGACCGACATCTGGGCTGGTTGACCGCGCGCGGATGGGTGAGGCTTGCGGGAGACGCGTTCGCGAATTTTTGAGTGGTCGAAAAAATTCAAGATCCAAAAAGTTCAGCCTTACTTTCGCAGCACATTAACATCAACACCTATGACGCCTCCCCAACCATTTATGACCTCTAGAATCCGTGGCTTCGTGTGCAGATCATGTTTATCACAGTTACGAAAACCACAGCGGCCACGAACACCATGGCTGGTACGAAATATTACGAGCGACGGGCCTTCGAGAACGGGAGGGCCCAAAGGCAAGAAGAATGCGGAACCCATTGTCAGATACTTTGATCAGACTCCCGATGGTGTTCGACAAGAAATGGAGGATGATCCTGAGACGCTAGCTATGCTAAAGCAGGTGGAGGACCGGATTCGAATGTTGGAGGGACGACAAGATGATGAGGATTTGGGAGAGGGACCCGATGATTACTTGGGAGAGGAATTTGATGATGATTTGGGAGAAGAACACTATGACCCAGCAGTCCTGATGGAACAAGCGATGAAAGGTTATGGTCTTCCAGACAACATAACGGCCGCCATGGAGGAGATGGAGGCTCAGATGGAGAATGCAGACAATTTAGAAAACATGTCAGAGGAGGAACGAAGAGAACTTCGAAATCGGATTTTAAACATAGGTACCGATGGTAAGTTGATGATATTTAGTTCAAGAGTCTCAAGAGTCGTCTACTAATGGTTTCATAGCTGTGCCTCCGTCTTCCCCTCGCACACCACCGCAATCTGTAGCAAATGCACCTGCCCCAGAAGCGTCGACAGTTGTTCCTCCTGGTTTGACGCCTCCAAATCTCTCTGAGTCCGTGGTCATAAATCCGGCAATGTATCCAGAAGAATATCGCCGGCGCATACTGGCATTAAACACTGCTCTGAGAGAAGCTTCCAAGAGAATACAGGAGGGGCAAAGGCTTGTGGCAGAGGTCCACAAGAAAGCATGGAGATCCTACCTGATGTGCCGAAAGGTCTTGGTGTCCCAGCCGACTGACGTCCCTCTCGGAGTTTGGACTACACTCTGGCACATTTTCGCAGACGACCAACCAATCAATCTCGATCGCATGGCACACATCAACTATCTTGGGAGGGATATGCTCCAGGTGGGCATCCCGCTACAAGGATCTCAGCAACTATTGTATATCGAAGCTTGCTTCCTGGAAGAGGACCGTGGCGTCGCTATTGGAATGTGGAACAAAGCAAAGCAATCCCTCAGCGATGACAAAAATGCTCTTCGAGACTACTGGAAACTTGGCATCCAAATGTTCTGTCGAAATGGTCAAGTTGAACATGCCCTACAGGCTGCTAGGGCCCTTTTCAATACCACAGACGAAGCGTCGGATTTTCGAATGTTAATACCTATTATTCAGGCCTATCTTGCTCGGGATACAGATGCTGGTAAACAGAGAGCATGGGCTCTGTACATTCGATTAAGGCTCATACTTGGGCCTGACATGAATATGGGGGATTATGATGCCATAACATCGATCTTCCTGACGGCTAATCAGCCAGATTTGGCACTGGGCGCTTTCAAAGATATGATGCTCACAGGGAAGAAATCTGCTGCGGAGCAAGACTCCACCGCTCTGTACCGAAAGGCCACAGGTATCAAAGGTGGACTAGATTTGGCCACGATTGATAATGGCGAACTCAACTGGCAGGATTCACGCACTCTTGCCACACTTCCGAATGAATTTAACAACAAATACTTCTTTGGTAAATGGATCAAAAAACTCATCGGAGAGGAGGAACTGGACGCTGCGAAAAAGGTTTTCGATCTTATGGTCGATCGTGGTATCTGTCCTGATGCCAAGCATATGAATGGCCTCATTGGAGCTTTGTACCGGACCGGGACAGTCAGGAACCAAACGCTAGCTGAAGACATGGCTTGGAAGATGATCGCTGCCAGAATACAGTTCGTTCAACAGCGTGATCTGCGAAATCAAATCCAACTAAAGGAACCTTTGCGAGCGGTAAAGGTAGCAGGAAAGGACGGCCAAAAGTCCCCTTTTCTCACCCCGAATGCAACGATCGAGACATTTTCGATCCTTATTCAACAGTATAGACGGCGGCAAAAGCAAGATCGGCTAGTTGATCTTTTTAGCACTCTGAAAAAGGCTCGGATTGCCCCGAATACATTCTTCATGAACCAGTTGATCATGGTAGATACCAAGTCTCACCAGACCCAGTGGGCTTGGGATACCTACCTCTCTCTTGTTCAGACACATGGAGTCCATCCTGACTTTGACACGTTCGAGTTTCTTTGGCACCTAATGAAGAAAACGACAGACCCAGTCTCCAGAGGTTCTCAGAGACCTTTCGCCACCTGCAGGACCCTGTTTGCCGAGATGGTAAAGAGGGCATCGGACTTGAATAAGAGAGAGCAAATGCCCCGGGAATTGTACGATGAGATTATTCTCTGCTTCAGCCTCGCGGAAGATCAAGTGGGAACCGCAATCGCTCTGCGAGCATTACAGCGGATTTTCAACATGTATCCTAGCGAGAGTACTGTCCGTACTGTTGTGCTCCAGCTTTCTCGTGTTCGACTTCGAAACGCGGCTGGTTCGCGACCGCGGCGACTCGATCTGAACAGAGCTACCAAGGACAGGATTGCTCAGGTTACCCAGGTTTTGGCGACCTTCAAGGACCAACGGGTGGAACAACTGTCGCGGCAGGGCATTGACTTTGAAAAATTGCAAGAAGAGGAAAAACTTGAGGAATCATTGATTCTGCTTTCAAATTTGCTTCAATATGTATATCAGGCGAAGGTGAAAGGCTTAGAAGCCCAGTTGGGCAGCATTACTGAGGTATCGAAAATTGCGGCAGAACAAATGGGTGTACCAGAGTGTTCTGGATGGATGGAGCACAGTGGCAGCCAAGAGTCACAGTAACTGTATTATAGCACAATACCCCCTTGTACAACATAGATAGATCTTTGGAGATGTAAATACACCTAGCGAATGAATAATTTTAGTATAGACGAAGATTCTAAAAACATCAACTGGGTATCATGAGTCTATAAACGCTAGTGATTCAAAAACATTAATACATCAATCATGATCTTCTTCTGTTAGACCCGGACACCCGTCCATCTCCTTGTCTGGATAAGTGTATTTGCACCAAAAGCAGTAATTGTACTCCTGCCTCAAATGCTCCACCAGCTTTTGCAATCGTTGTGCTGGGTCCAAGGCATTGAACTCATCTAGTTCAGGGTCTTCTTCTTCGAGATCTTCGACAACTGTGTATCGAGCTGCCTCTTTGCCCAAAGCTCTCTTGTCATCTGAATCTTCGTCCGGGTCATCGTAAGTGGGCAATCGCGACAGACTCTGCTGTAGATCATGCCGCATTCTTCGATCCCGCTCCTTTTCTTCCCTTCTTCGAATCAATCCTCGCCACAGAACATTGATCTGTTTCAGGGGTTTGACCGATATCTTGCGTTTTTTGGTACCATCTGTAGTTTCGTCAAGGTCTTCTCCAGCATCCAGTGCTGCCTGTTCTTCCCTCTCCCCATTCATGCGTTCCGCTACCCTCATGGCCGCACCTACCATACCTTCCAATCTGGCTTCCTCCCTCTCTCTTCGGACCCTTTCTCTATAATCTCCCTCCTCTGCTTTGACTCTCTTCGCCTCCTTCTCCACTTCCTCCCTAAACTTCCTCTTCTTCTCCGTATCCAATCCGATGCCACCCCTATCCTCCTTCATGTTTATACTGATCGGTTCTGTCCTGGCCCCGACGTTATCCTTACTTCCCAGTGCACTACCAGGCTTAAAGCCCATCTTCGCCATCATGGCTAGTCCCTTGTTCTTGGACGCATTTTCTGGGTCTGTAAGGAGAGAGGCCGAGAGTGCTGCCTCTCGAGCTGCTGCTTCATCTGCTGCGCGTTCTGCCTTTGATTTGACACGTCCTCGAGCTTCGGCTTCCCGTTCCTTGCGCAGACGTCGCTGGGTGTAAGTCTCCTTCTCTCTGGGCTTGCTGGGCTCCGCGATGACCATGTTCATGTAATCTTCTTCCTCCTCTTCCGCACCATTATTTGTAGGAGGATCTTGTGCAGCCATGGTTCCTGTGAAAACTCCCCCTTGCCGTGCTCACAAAATGGCTTTGGTAAGATGTTCTGGGTCTCTGGATCACGATTTAAAGTTTCTGGGGGTTCGGCAAAACCTGGACTAATTTGTGGGGACAAGGCTGGCGGGTCGTATGTAGTGAAATAGGAATTTTCAGGAAACAAACATGTCAAACTCCAGTGACGCGTAAGTTCTTCGTCACTGCCTGTGATCACAATCAGAGGCTAACAGATTTGGCAGAGTGGTTAGCGTGTCGTTCTTATATTCTTCGGGCAACCGATTAATATGATCTTTCCAAAGAAATGCGAAAGTCGTGGGTTCGACACCCACCTGGAGTATAATCCAACCTTTTTTTTTCTTGCGCCTTTTTTTTTTGGCACACAAAAAAACATTTTAGACGTCTATTTTACGCGCATTTGTGTATTGCTGTTTCACGTCGTGCTTTATCATCCTCTTGTACTCATTTTTGCGCCTCGGCTCTTTTTTTTCGTGGCCGAGTATGGCCTGCTAGAGTGTAATGAGGCATCGTTCTGTATCTACGTGACAGCAGACCAATAATGACTTCTGAAGAACATTCCATTTGTTCCATCCATCTTCTTACCTCCTTAACTACCTCGGTATCTAAGGTACCTTACCTTATGTAAGAAGGATTACTCCGTAGTTTGGAGATTGAGATCACCATGAGAAACCCTGAAATTCAGTGGATACCCACCTCATACTGTACAGATCCCACATATATACATGGAGCGAAGCAATCTTATTGGCAATATGCATCCTCTAGCACGCCGTTTCAAATCGTGCCTATATAATCTCCCTGAATCGACTTGATTCAGGTTCGATCTCTCAAACCTTCTCGCTGGACCCATTGTTCGACACGCCCCCCTCCTCTGTCACTACTCTCTCCCTTTCGGGTATAAATCCCATCCTGATGCTTTGCTCAATACGGACCTGTGGAGGATTTCTAAGGTCCCGAAGATTTCTCCAGCTAATATTCCTCGTTGCTTGTTTACTCACTGTCGTCAATGTAACTCTTTTCTGGCCTGAAATTCAATACAACTTCCCTTCGGAATGGTTGACCCAGAGCCCGAACCCAAACGAGCCGAAGTTGGCTTTTGCAACAATTTTATCATCGTACAATAAACGCATCTACACCGCAGATGAACCCGATGACTATTTCGTTAGCGTGCGCCTGCTCAACTACCAGATCCAACACGACAAAGTTACTCGTACCAAAAGGCAAATACCTTTCCTTGTCCTCGTCACACCAGACATCCTCCCATGGAAACGTCAACAGCTCGAGAAGGAGGGTGCTACTGTAGTGCCGGTCGACAAGATTGTGTCACATTCGATGAAGCCTGGGATTGATGCATGGGGCGATGCCATATCAAAACTAAAGGTTTTCGAACTCATCGGATACGACCGGATCCTGTTCCTGGACGCCGATACCTTTCTCCTCAAGTCACTCGACAGGGTATTTAAGGATAGAGCAGCAAAGCCTCAAAATACATTGGATCTGGCTCCTATCAACCCGGACGAAGCACCTCTTCCTGAAAGCTATCTCATCTCCACAAACTCTGAAGCCCAGCCCGCCGTCCAATCTGATCCACCCTTAGAACGGGAACAGCCCTCCTTTAATGCGGGGTTTTTTCTCCTGGCTCCATCAATCGAGATCTTCAACTACTATACCTCATTGTTGAACATGCCAGGGCTATTCAACGGCACGTATACTGCTCAGCATCTGTTGGATTATGCTCATAGGCCGGACGGCAACATGCCTTACAGCAGAATTTCCCGTGGATGGAATATTGACGGTCCAAAGATGAATGCTAAACCGCGTGTGGCAAGTATTCATGCGAAGCTTTGGAACGATGAGAATACGCTGGAGCCCAATCCTCCAGGGTTGCAGGATCTTTGGTACAAAAAGCGAACGGAGATGGAGAGATATTACTGGGCACGTCAGGATGCGCAGGCCCATCTCAGATGAAACTGCTCTTCATCAAGCTAGGATATTCCGGTCGGCTTCTGGGATCATTGTCACGTCTGAGGTCTCCAGTCTAGAGGCTCATTCCGATGTGAGGAGAGGCTGCAGTGCCAGCGTTTGAGGAAATACTAGGCTTCTTCCGTCGCTTGAATGGTTCACACGATATACTTCCCCGGCGGGAGTTATGGGAGACCATTTACGTGCAGGTGCATGCATGCGAACCAGACCTGGACAGGGTAGGAAAATGTTGCTACTGGATAGCAGTTTCCTGAGTGATGAGACTACGGGACTTACTACGTCTTGTCTGGAGAATGGATATGAGTGTTGGCTGAAGAGGGGCAAGCTGTAGGTCCGGTGTGATTTTCAGCTGGTCGTGGAGATATATCAGTTGTTGAGACTCCGGAAGTTTGCAAGAAGCTTCTGAGAGGGACTAGGCTGGGTTAGAATGCTGGGTGAAATGGGTTGCATTTAAGATGGGGCAAATGAAGACAATTCTGGTGAGGTTTCATCCTTTGGTCATGTGCAGAAACCTCGCATGCAGTCACTGGTTCATTCCAGGCGGAGACTTGCTCGGAATATAAAGTTCACGATAGAAGAATGGTAATGACCATAGGAAAAACTCGAATCAAATCTCAGACGTAAGATTGGAGAAGGTGCCATTGGTGAGGTGTGTAATGCGGGTGGGAGGAACAAGGCGTTTGCGACCCAAATCCTCGATCAAGTTCAATTTCCGAGTCTCTGAATTTTTGGATGAATATGAGATCAGCTTTGCTGTAAGGCCTTTCATATAGACTTTTGAACGTGTGGCCATTGCAGGTTCAGACCCGCGCCGGGAAGGAGGGGCAATAAGGGGGGCCGGGGGGGGGGATAAATATGTCACCGACTCTCCAGACTCAATGAAATAAAATATTAGATGCCGTTCTTTTCCCTTCTTCATTAAAGCCCTTTAAACATGCAATGCCATCCACAGGCGATAGCTCTCCTTGATTCAGAGAAGGGGAGAGAGAAGGGGGGGGGGGGCAGCCGTGAGCTTTTAATTCCTAACCAGCCAAAGTGAACACAAAAAGTGGTGTGTGGTATAGAGCACAATAGCAACAAATAGAATCCCTATAGATTACATACCTTATAAATCCATGAGACTACGTTCTAAGTATTATCAGATTTAACCAAGCTTTCAGCTAGAGAATTCGACAGCTATATAAATATAAGGTAATCCACGCGGAGGGGGAGGGGTCAGTCGTAGATAAGCCGGCGACAGAGCCTCCTCGCTAAGTGGTCTATCTATTCTAATAAGCAAACTTCGCCAACAAACACATCCGACCCTCGGTCGTCTAGTTGGTTTATGGCGTCCGGCTGTAATGTTTCAGTCTCACCGGAATGGTATGAATCTCCCACCTATTTCTCTCAGACATCTGCTAACAGATGTAACAGTCGCGCGTTCGACTCGCGCCTGAGGGACATCGCAAAATACTTTTTTGCTTTTTTCTTTTTCTTGAACCTGTTTTTGGGTTCTTCTTTTTTTCTTTGGCTGTGGCAGATTTTGGGCTAGCCTTTTGATCTTATTTTACATTCTGCCAACCAAACACCACCAACCCTCGGTCGTCTAGTTGGTTTATGGCGTCCGGCTGTAATTGTCACAGTCTCACCGGAATGGTATGTTCACACTTCATCCTCTAATTGCCCTCAGACATCTGCTAACAGATGCAACAGTCGCGCGTTCGACTCGCGCCTGAGGGACATCTCGATAATATCTTTTTTTGCACTTTTTCGGCATTCTAGAAATTCCTTTTTCTTTTTTTTGCCTTCTCCATTCTGTGGTTACCTTTTTAAGTTCTGCTAATCAAACACTTCCAACAACCACCCTCGGTCGTCTAGTTGGTTTATGGCGTCCGGCTGTAATGGTAACAGTCTCACCGGAATGGTACGAATCCTTTCACATCTATTGCTCTCAGACATCTGCTAACAGGTGAAATAGTCGCGCGTTCGACTCGCGCCTGAGGGACATTCAATAAACTTTTTGCATTTTTTTTGTGTTCTTCAATCATTTTTTTTTTGCCGATGCTCCTGTATATCTTTTTTTCCTCGGCTTTTTTGGCCCCCTTTTCAACCTTGACAAGGCAGAGAATTGCACAGCAGCAATGTTCAATACACATATTCCTCAATTCAACACCAAAAGAACGTCTCGATTGTCAACTCGATTCATTACTATATCAACATCACATTATGACTTTCCATCCCGATCCAATCGTACCTAGTCATCAATGCCGGCCCCTCCCCCCCAATATCAAAATCATTTAACGAGAATGGTATCATCGCTCCAGAGGAAAAATATCCGCGCAATGCCACCTGATTCCATGATACGAAAAGAAAAACAAATGGAAGATCTATCCAGTCATGGTACCTTGCCTCTCTAGAACGCATCTTCGAATGGACAGTCGATGCTATCGTGTCCCTCCCTCTCGCACACGCCACACCACTTGTCCATGTTGATGACCCCACTCTCCTTGCCGGCAACGGGTCCTGATTCCATGGGGTTGGGGATGATGCGGACAGGGGTTGTGGCGGGTGATTTCTTAGCGGGAGATAGAGGGGCTGGTTTGTAGTCATCGTGGGATGGTTTTGGTGAGAGGGTTTTCAGGCCTTCCTTCACAACGTCCTTGCCCGTTCGTTGAGGTGCCGAGACATTGGCATTGGCATTGCTATTGCCGTTCCCGTTGGCGTTCCCGTTCGGGGTGAACATATTCGTACAGGTCAGAATATCATGGCCAGATGTCTCACACAGCTCGCAGAAACTCTCATTGGCAGAAGAATAGGCGTCGCTCTCCTGCATCGTTTCCAACGTACCTCGTCTGTGGGTCTCAGGAGACCGAGCTTCGCGATCACGCCAGCTTACGACAGTGCCCTTTGAGTCTCGGATTGATGAGCGGTGGTCTTGGGTTACTGTTCCAACGCTACCGATTGTCATCGCGCTGGCACGTTGGTTAGGTGGGTTTTGGGTGCTTCCTCTCCGCACCAGTTCAAGCTCACGCTCAAGCTCGTCTTCCCGGTTAGCCTTCGCTTCGAGAGCAGCCCGAAGTTCCAGGACTTCCCGTTCAAGCTTCTCGCGAGCAAGTCGTTCATCTATAGAATCAACCCCGTTACTTTGTTGACGGTGCATGCCAGGTCTTGGTGTTGGCGGAGTCTTCTGAAGATCTGGGTTCGGGGATCCCACATCTGGCACAGCATCTCGGCTCAAGGAGTGGATTATGGCTTTCAGGCCTCGGATCTCGTCGTCTCTTTGTTCGACCTCCTTAGATGCTGATCCGGCTTCTCCATTAGCTCCACCATTCAGGGCAGCAGCAGCCTTCTCCCGTTCGCGACGTAGTTCTGAACGAGTGCGTTCGACCTCTCCTCGTAAGAATTCAACCTCGCCTCGAGCCTCGGCTTCTCCGCGTCTAGCATCTTCTAGGCCCTCTTCAAGCTCCTGCACAAGTTCTTCAAGCTGTTTCAGCTGTCGTGCAACACTATCCACATCTTCGTTTCGATCCTGCAACTCCCTAACCTCTTGCAGTAAATCTTCGACCCGCTTTTCGTATACGCGTTCCGTCTCCGTGCTCGCCAGCTCCAGTGTATCGATAGTGCTTCTAAAGTCTGCTCTATGTGCATCAAACTCCGCCGTCAACATGGCAATCTTCTCATTCTTCTCCCGAAGCAATGCACGTAATTGTGCCGCATCTTTGTCCTCCATGCTGTTTCTATTATGCCTACTACCAGAGTCTGAACCGCCCATTAATGCTTGCACCTCATTTAGACTGCTCTCCATCTCTGCCAGGCTCGATGCTTGTTCCCTGAGCTGTCTGTCACGCTCTTCTAACTGCCCTCGTAATCGATCAATCTCGTCGTCATTAGCTCGGGATGCGGGTCGCATTTTCGCATTGAAAGAAGAGACAGAGCCGAAGCTCCCGGTCGTGGTACGTGCTACTCCGACGGGTGTATTATCATCGTCACTGTAGTTGATAGGATTATTTCCCATGGCCGAAGCACTTCGGGGCATACTGTTTTTCATGCCATTTCTAGGAGTAAACCCTGGTTTCTTGCTTGGATCGCGAGAATCCTGGGTTCCTCTGACACTCTGTCCAAACTTATGAGGAGCGGGGCTCGCAAATCGAGGTGGAACTTTGCTTGCAGGCGTGCCTAATGAGGTCTTCCCTCCAATCTGTGGCTTTCGCAAGGGGGACTCTGGCCGCGGCAGAGACGGTCGTATTGTCTTGAATTGAGGACTTGGTGCTCTTCCCGGTCCAAGCGACTGACTAAACTTTGGGAGTGATGGGGTTGGTGGTGTAAAAGAAGTCGATCCCTGTCCGGCGACTCTGACACTGCTTCTAGCAGAGGGAGTTGTAGGCGTGAGGGGGAATGAGCCTTCCTGTGAGGATGGGGTTCCTCGTCTTACAGCCCTGGCGATGGGAAGAAAGATACCCATGCCGGGAACGGACGTTGTAAAGTAGGAGATCCTATGGGTTGTCAATAACGCTAGATGTGAATATCGCCGTTTGTATGTCTTACCCATCAACATCACCACTGTTCTTGCCCCTGCTAGCAAACTCCTCGTCGAGCTCCACGCCTGCGAACACGCCCTTCTTGCCCTGGACGTTTCCAATAAACTTGACGATGCCATGCATGTTGCCGGGCACGTCGACCAGGTCCCCAATCTCGAGGTCGTCGACATCGCCGGGTGAGGGGGTGAAGGGCGGCATTCTTCCAATGGTGGGTGAGTCCTGTGATTCCTCGTCCAACACCGTACTCAGACCGTATCCTTCACTAGCATCGGGTATCGTGGCCAAGGAACCGGATGTGAGCGCGTTCAGGGACGATTTCCGCGAGAGTCCGTTCAGTCGTGAGCCGGTTGACTGCAGCGCGCTGTAAGAGGCGCTGAGGTTGGGGGTCGAAGCTGTATGTATGCCGTGTGCTAACGAAGGTCGTGGTCGTGCTAGGGATCTTCGGGGTGTGAAGTTCGAAGACATAAGGTTGGTGTGGGCGTTGCCGCGTTGCCTCTTTCTTGGTGGGTTTTAATAATAAATAATGGTCCCGGCAGTCCCAGCAGACCCTGCCTAGCGGGCCGCAATAGTTATGTCGGTATATGTACTGCAAAGCTATGTCTGCTGCTCAGACCGCAGATGGATTTGGAATCAAGAAGCTTGAGAACAGCAGAGAATATCGCGATCGAACGAATTGCCAGAGTATGGAGAGTGGGAGAGGGAGGAAGGATTGGGCGTTGTTGAGGTACATAAACTCCCGCCGTCTGATCAACAACAAAGCACGCTTTCACCGCAGTTCAGGTTGTTCAGGCCCAATCGGAGAATAGTCTAAAGGAACGGTTTTACAGCCTCCTCTTCTACAACAGCTACCTTTCCTTTCTGTGCGGGAAGGCCGAGGGATGGGCCAGGCCATTGGTTCTTGATTTATCTATTCTCCCGTAGGGCCCGAGATCTGGCTGTTCTGGAAGAAGCTCGTCAGCTTGTCGTGGGATTCCATGATATCATGACTTTGATAGCCTCCTCATTCTGACTCGCGCGCGGCCTGCATGCACTGCGTGGCCGTCACCGCTCTAGCAGTGCAACACTGCAATGCCTGAGTGCGAGAACCCGCGTTCCCGTTCGTCTGATTCTCTGTGATAGGGGGTTAAAGAAGTTGGATAGAGCAATGATAGCATGGGGCCAGAACACGTTGCGCAACGGGGATCTACAGCATTGCACGAGTACTAACCTTACTACACTTGACTAAGGTACCTTACCTATACTCATGTCAAGAAAGTGAGGCTCTCGCATTGTCGGGGTAGGAATTGTCGTTCAATATCTACAACTATGTGCAGAAGATTGCTTTGGTGAGGAACCAAGCATCGTCCACATTTGCTACCCCCACCTTCATATTTCTTCTTGAATCATGTTCTCGAGAAATGACTGCACTTTCGAGAAGTCTCGGGAGCGACCCTCTGAGAAAGCATGTGAATAAAAACCAAGTGGTACATTCGCAACCCAGAGGTATACCGTTATTCTTTTAGGCCAAAGTCACATATCACATACGTCGGTCATTGTTTACCGCATACTGTGGTCAGGAGGTCGATGCGAGAAGCTGAAAGAATCCATGGGACTCTCATTCTGGAGGTATCTCAAAGCTCCCAGAGCTAGGACAATAGATATCTGCATCATGCCATACCGGCAGTCTACCCCTTCAGTTGCCTGCCTCCGAAAGACCTCATGTATGCAGAGGTGCAGATGCCGAGACCTGCAAAAGGATTTGGAAGCCTCAATCTTGACTGCGTCTTTTTCAAACACCAGCTCTTTTTGAGGTCGAATATCTGGCTCCTGGGGAAACATTGGGAAGCTGGATGCTTACAACCAATGGGGATGGATGTCCGGCCAGGGAGGAGCTGCAATATTGTATACTGCATCGCTCATACACGTGATGGTATCATTGAAACTGGAATGAGCTCAGAGTCCTTGTATAAATGAGATATCCCAGACATAGTTCAACAACAACTATCCTCTGTCTAAAAGAAGGGGACACCCCCCTTTCCCGCCCTTATATGCAGATTGTGATACTGTAGGACCACAGATACCTACCTGTTTAAGATCTCCAAACTTTTCAATCAATTGGTCAATCGTGATAATAATGATTTATAACCTACAAGCCGTCTCTTTCAACAAGAGCTCCCAAGCGCTAAAACGAATCCTTCAACAACCCCACAGCCTAAATTCTCCGCGATTCAGTCTCATTCGAATACCTACCCTCTTCCCCCGGCCAACCAGCCAAGCAAACAAACCCAAATCACATGACCTCGCTAAACGCGCCCCCACCAAGCAAGCAAATCCGTATAAAAGTCTGCTCCCCTCCTCCCTCTCTTTCGAAAAATCGTGCGGCGGCATGACAACAACCCGTGTTGCTCAAACATCCCAAACCTCGACGCTTTAGGGCGTTGATGGTCTGTGCCATGGTGTAGTCAAAATAATGAGCGTCAGTTGTGCCACAGAGCGAATACCATAATTGCAAAACAACCAACCTCTCTGTTTGGAGCCCCCTTCATGCCCGTCGTGTGGCGGCGGCTTGCGATTTGTCTTAACGGGCTCGTGGGCTTGCTGGGTGAGGGGGCAGGATGGAGGGTTGGACATAACTTCTCTTTTACTTAATTTTGGTCAGATCTGTTTTTTTCGAGGGGAGCGGAAGGGAGCAGTTGAGAGTGAGGTGGGAGGATAGGTTCTTTCAGAGTCACGAAGTGCCTACTTTGGTACGGCAGATTTATTATATTTGGCTCGCTGTCTATTATTGGTGCTTAGCAGGTTGTAGTAGGAGAGCCTTAACTTAACGTCTTTTGTCAGCTGGTCCCAAGAATGCAAAGCCCATTTCGCGAACGCCATCCGTGGTGTCTCGTCCGTTATGCTCTCATGCTATGCTCATTGCTCAGCTCAACGCCCCCGATGTTATTTATTCTCCATGCTCATCACCAATCTTCTCTAGCTTTCCCATCTCCCGCTTGTCACCCGTCTCTCCAATAATCCTAAGTCGGTCAACCCGCACCCTGTCTCCCTGTCCATCACCATCCACAACGAACAGCACCAAGCTTGAGACATTCTGGAACTTTACGAAGCGTAGAGGGATCGTCGCGGTGCCCGTGGAATCCCAGTCCTTCTCTGAGAGTGTGATCGTCTGTGTGGCTGGAATATCTTCGGCTTCTTCGAACCCGAGGATGTGTGGACGGTTGGAGTATAATTGGATAGTCTTTGGGCGCATTGGCACTTCGTCATCTTCCGATGCAGGCGGTAAGGACGTGATCTGTAGTATGCCAAATCAGCAAGCTATCTCAGAGATGAATATCAGCCAGTGAACTTGGGACTCACCTGTAGCGTATGGACCTTCAATATAGAATTGAATGGCATGAACAGCATCAACTGCTCATCCGTGTCGCTCTCCACCCAATCCTTAGCCTGTCCCTCCGCTGCCTTGCCCTTCTGCAATCCTGATGGCTTGCTACCATCAAATAGTACCCCCACGCCTCCAAACTCGTTGTCTGCGTTCAGCAGCGACGAGCCCTTTACATCCACCTGATCTGTCACGTCACCATAGCCTTTGGGCAGATCTCCCGCGCGCCAGCTGCCACCATTGCTCGATTCGCCAAAACCAGATGAGTTGGATCCTCCTTCAGCCTCTGCTGCCAGTTTCCGGACGACTTCTTGGAGCTTTCGTGGGTCGCCTCCTACTTTTTCGACGACCTGACCTTGTTTGAAGATTATGAAAGTTGGTAGACTAGTAAGATGGTTAGTGGGAGCCCTAGATGCACATCTCTACCTGGTATTCGAGCAGGGAGTATATACCTTGTGACACCGTACTGAGACACAATCTCTGTTTGCGTGTCCGCATTGACCTTCGAGAAGGTGAGCTGGTTTGGCCTTGACAGACTCGCAGATAGCTGTTCGTAGATAGGCGCAACGACCTTGCACGGTCCGCACCAATCCGCATAGACTGGCCTTGAAGTCAGCGCGGGTGCCAGACGTTATGACGCAGAGGCGTTGCGGGAGAGTACATTTGTCTTCTAGAGTAGCGGGGCTGGCGGGGCACACTTACAGTCTGTGACTACGACTCTTGAGGATTTCAGCAAGTCGCTGAACTGCGCCGCCGAGGATATTTGCACTGTTTTGGACATTTTGTAGGGAACAGGCTGAGGATGTGCGCGGGGTGGTTCTGCGGGGGAGGGGTTGTTGATTTTCGGTATGTAGGTAAGGTAGGGAGGGAGGTACCTTGGGTATTGGAATCGAAACGAGGTTGCCGAGTCACCTGCAGAGGCGAGAACGTGACGCGATACTGACTACTACTTCCAATCTGAACTCTCGAGAAACCAACGAGTCAACGACCAACATAAGAGATACACTCTTACCTTATCTAACCCCTATTCGTATAGTCAAGTGTCTATCAGACAGAGATCGTTGTTCAAGTCCAAGCAAAGCTGTCATCTCATGATCACCCGCATAATTCAGGCTCAATCAGGTCTTCAAATGTTTGTTTCTACTTCGTTTTATTGATAGCACATGGTCTGTTTGGAATCGATTTGCACCGTTTGATGTCACAGCATTCATTCCTAGGTGGCTTGAAGGATATCAGGAGCTTTCTCTTCATATCTGCCCTACGCGTTCAATGCAAGATTAGAGTCAGATGGGTATATCAGTGATCAATTGCGGATCTGTGCAATGAATCTTGTATGTACAGGAGAATGCAGCCGATGTCAAAGCTCATCAGCTATCTCAACACCAGACCGTCTGAACCCCCTCCATCAAACAGATCCCTTGCAAGTGCAGACCATAGGGTATTTCGCAACGATCAGAGAATTGAAGTTCGTCCATCGAATTAATATTACCACGCCATCGCTAAGATCATGCCGCCGTCCAGGTCCAAAGGTAATGGAGCCTGTTGCTTACAGGAACTGAAAGGGTATGTTAGAGGCTGTCCGGTGCAAGGTAGAGGGGGGAGAGGCTTACGAGAGCGACACCACCAGCAACGATCATGCCAAGAGCAGAGACACCCTTTGCAGAGGCGGCACCGGTAACGAAGGGGATGGGGCTTCCGGTGGGGGTGGGTGCAGTGCCGAAACCGCTGGATGCGACGGTTGGGGTAGCAACAGCAGCTGGGGAAGTGGCAGGTGCAGAGATGGCGGGTGCAGTGGCGGGCGTAGAGCTGGCAGCGCACTCGTAGACGGTGACGGTGCTAGAGCTCTGTTAGTATATTGAAGAGCATCACGAGATACATGGACTACTCACGATTGAGCAGAGGCGACGGCGGCCGCGGCGGCGAAAAGGGCGAGGACGTTGAATTGCATCTTGAAAATTGGGAGGTTGATATGTGGTTTTGAGAGGATTTGAGTTGGTTGGTAGTGTTGAGAAGGAATGGAAAGTTGGTGTCTTAAGGAATGACTGACGATGATTTGGTCAAAAGAGTGTGGGTTGATCGAGGATGAAGAAGAAAGGAGGACGAGTTGGGACGAGGCGAGCATATATGTACGACTCGACGCACCCCTATCAGCCACCGCTCCACGAGAGCAGGGCCAGCCTGAGTGAATAATACCTTACTCTGTACCCTGACTTACTTACGTTGTAACGCCCTGGATCGACTCTCATCTCCGCCGGTGGGTCGGAGATTGAGGACAGGGAGGCGCATCCCGCACCCCGGGCAGACTGACAGTAGGCTCGAACATAAATAATGGATGCTGCCCCCCGTCCAATTTACTACACAGACTTCCGTACTGTCGACATGGGTTTTTGTGGACATGTTCCGCGTGGCAGGTAGAAGGGGGAGGACAGTCCTGTGTAGTATGTACATACAACGGTACAACCCTACAACGCGGATTAATCACATCAGCCTTCCAATAGGTAATCTCCCAGATACACACACAGTACCCTAGTCTCCATGGAGCAATGCTTGTTCACCCCACGCCACGCCAGCATACCCTTCCTGTACTAGGACTTCCTACGGTAAGGTAGGTCTGCAGGAACGTAGGAATTTACTTGGAAGTTGGAAGGACGCGTGCTAAAGGCAAAAGCCAAGCGCTCTTCTGAGTCCTCGGTTCAGTGGTCTAAACAGGTCTAAACAGATCTAAAGTGGTCCCCTTCTTCGGCCAACCCACTCATTCGTCAACAGCTGTACATCACAATGGGATGTCTACCTCTGTATCAATGGTCCAACGCGCATCCTCTCCCCCGTGAGCGGTAGATGGTGATGATCATAATCACACAACGACAGGAATAGCACTGCCCCACCCTCGCCTTCTAGAAAGCAGGAGTTTAAGTGAAAGGGGGGAAGGGAGCCCCAGCCAGCTCTATCTAGCTCCCTACCTACGGAGTACAGTAGTGGTAGTAGTGCAGTCTGACAAGAGCATCCGGAGTACTGTACTGTGCTTCTATCTCACTGCTATCTACAGTATCTCTTCCCCCGGGCTCCAGTTCTGGATACACTACGGGACCACGGGTACCTGCACCCAAACCCCTGGAATGGCGAAGATTGGTTGCCACGAACCGTCCCTGATTGGCTGGCTCCGACCACGCCTTCAATTACGAATTCACGGGGGACAGGCAGCAGATGGATATCGATCAGAGTCTCAGAGAACCCCCGGTATTCCTAATCATCCTTCTTGATACCGCAACTTCGCGAGAGACACAGGTGCGCAGTGATGAGGGTACAACGTGTTTTACACTTCTGCAATTTTCATACACCTCTACGAAGTCAGAGTCGGTATATGGTCAGACAGATGAGTGATGTTCTCAAAACTATCCCAAGCGATCCGTTTCGCATCGCAGGTTGTCGTGGCTACAATGCCAGCCATCCTCGGAAGATTTCTTGATAGGACTGTAGATAGGAACCCTACGAAGTAACGACGTAGCTATGTAGACCGTGACCATTTGATTGCGCTGGCTCACCTATTTTTAACCCTTCCCGTACTATGCTACTCCATATAGATTAAACAATGGTTGTTATTTAAAAAATAAAGTACCCAGTATTATCTAGATAGTACGGTTATTCCAAGATCCCCTGTGTACTCTGGGGCCCGTGGTCCCGTTAAGCCTGCGATTCAATTTCATAGGCCCTCGAGCTTCCCGCCCGAAACATTCTTACTCGGTATGAATTTTACAAGGAAAGAGATAGGCAAAAGGCTCCAGCCGCAAGGCTTGGTTTAAGGGGCACACAGTGACACAGGTAATATTAGGAAGATCTCCAGTCTAGTTCTGCTACCCATGCTACCAAAGATCAATGCCGCAACAGTATAATAATAACGATCAGCTCCCAGGTGCCCAACACGGTAGGTAGTCCAGTGAGATCACGACTCATCCAAACTTCCCCCAAGACACCGAAGTGCTCTCTTGAAGAGTCGAGTCAAGAAGCAGGATCATCACCCATCTTCACCGTCACCTCCAACAAGATCGGACTCCTTCGCTCTACAGAAGAGTGTAGGTGCTGTGAAATGTACAGCCAATCATTGCAACCCTCTTCATGGAGAAGAAAAAGAACGCTGCACCCAAGATCGGCCATATAACCCCTCTCCATTCTCTTGACGATTCGGAAGGTCATGGAACCTCACATCACCACAAGGGCGACGGGTTTCTCACCCTAAATGCTTTTATTGAGAACGTGATTTTTTGCGTTGTTCATTATTATATGGAGAGGAAAGTTTCTCTTCACGCGCAGAGAATTTTCCTTTTGAAGGCCATGGCTCGCTTAGGAGGCGCTAGTCCGGTTAAGACTCCCTCTTAGCGAGCCCTTTTGTGGCCTGATTTGTGGCCTTATATGGAGGGGTGGTGCTCGATGGCCGAAATCGTCACAAAAATCCTGTTGCCCCGCGATGCTCCACACATCGTAGCAAACATCGACGAAAGTATTTCTCAGCACACCCGTGAGTGTTGTGTGGGGTACTAAAATAATTGTACCACTCTTTCGCCATTTCGATATTCTACCCGAATTACTATTCGCACAGAGCCGAAGCAGCGCACAATATGTCTACCGGCCGCAAAACAGGTACGTTAACAAAAAGACCATGATGAGGGTCGCCAGCTGAGAGACAATAGCAATCATCTCCGTCTATGACAAGACGGGCTTGCTCGACCTTGCCAAAGGTCTAATCAAGCACAATGTCCGCCTCTTGGCTTCGGGAGGCACTGCCAAAATGATCCGGGAATCAGGCTTTGAGGTTGAGGATATCTCTGCCATTACCCATGCGCCAGAGATGCTAGCTGGCAGAGTAAAGACCCTCCATCCCGCTGTGAGTTTCCTAGGTCAGGTCTATGAAAAATCGCTGATTTTTGGATAGGTTCATGCCGGCATCCTTGCTCGCAACCTTGCCTCCGATGAGAAAGACCTCGCCGAACAGAACATCAACAAAGTTGACTACATCATCTGCAACCTGTACCCTTTCAAGGACACCGTTGCTAAGGTTAATGTCACGATTCCCGAGGCTGTGGAGGAGATTGACATCGGCGGGGTCACTTTGATCCGCGCTGCGGCCAAGAACCACGTCCGTGTTACAATTTTGAGTGATCCCGCGGACTATCCTGAGTTCCTCCAAGAGCTTGAGAAAGGAGAGGTCTCGGAGCGCAGCAGAAAAATGTATGCTTTGAAAGCTTTCGAGCATACTGCGGATTATGATGCGTCCATTTCCGACTTTTTCCGCAAGCAATATGCTGGGGATGGAGTACAGCACCTGGCCCTTCGTTACGGTGCAAACCCCCACCAAAAGCCCGCCGCGGCATACACAAAGATGGGAAATGTTCCCTTCAAGGTCTTATGCGGATCTCCTGGATACATTAATCTCCTGGACGCTCTCAATGCCTGGCCGTTGGTGAAGGAATTGAAGGCTGCATTGGGACACCCAGCTGCTGCAAGCTTCAAGCACGTCTCCCCCGCAGGCGCCGCTATCGGAGTCCCCCTTACCGCTGATGAGCGCAAGGTCTACATGGTGGACGACATTGAGGACCTTGAAAAATCTCCTCTCGCCCAGGCATACGCACGTGCTCGAGGTGCGGATCGCATGAGCAGCTTTGGTGACATGATCGCCTTGAGTGACGTCGTAGACGTTCCCACTGCAAAGATTATTTCCAAAGAAGTTTCTGACGGTGTCATTGCTCCCGGATACGAGGATGCAGCTCTTGAGATTCTGAAGAAGAAGAAGGGCGGTAAGTACTTGGTCTTGCAGATGGACCCTGAATACGAGCCTTCACCCCAGGAGTCCCGAACAGTCTACGGTATCACCATGACCCAGCACCGTAACGATGTTCAAATCTCCCCCAAATCATTCACTTCCATCATCACGCCCAAGGAGTCCGGACCTTTGCCAGAGTCTGCTCTCCGAGACTTGACCGTTGCAACCATTGCTCTCAAATACACACAAAGCAACTCTGTTTGCTATGCTCTCAACGGACAGGTCATCGGATTGGGAGCCGGTCAACAGTCCCGTATCCATTGCACACGTCTTGCCGGTGACAAGGCTGACAACTGGTGGTTGCGATTCAACCCACGAGTCCTCGGCCTCAAATGGAAGAAGGGTACGAAGCGTGCCGACAAGAGCAACGCAATTGACCTGCTTGTGAGTGGACAATTACCAAAGGCTGGTCCGGAGCGAGAGGGCTTTGAGAGTTTCTTCGACGAGGTTCCAGCAGCGTTCTCGGAGCAGGAGAAGGAAGAGTGGCTTAGCAAGCTGAAGGAAGTTGCTGTTTCAAGTGATGCATTCGTAAGTAGCTGCTTCAGCTCAGGATCTGAGATCTTGCTAACAGGAGTAGTTCCCCTTCACCGACAACGTCTACAGATCTGCGCGCTCAGGTGCGAAATATATTGCTGCCCCAACGGGTAGCCAGAATGACTCGGCAGTGTTTGAGACGGCCGAGAAGCTCGGTATCACCTTTGTTGAGCAGGCCATTCGCCTTTTCCACCACTAAATGACCTCGTAGCCAGCATGTTCAGGACGGATGGAGGGAAACGGAGTGACCAGATAGATACCCTGAAAATAGACACGCTCCTGGGAGCTAGGAAATCTATTGCTTTCGCTAAAAGAGGGACCATTTACTGCATTGGTTGTGATTGTTTGGGGTTTTTCTGTCTTTAAAGCGCCTACAGAGGGAGAGAGATATTTGATACAGAATCAGCGTAACATGACTGATGAACTCCAGATGATGATGGACGTGGCAGCGATCTTAGAAGGCAACAGCAGCAGTAGAGTAGGTGAGGGTATTAGGCTTCCCGTCTGGCTTTGAATCGTAGCTCTACCAATGGTGCTCTTGCTGCTGCATGAGCGTGCTTCTATATGAGAATAGGGAGACTAGATGAACATGGCAACAGCTTGGGACAAACATGAACAGATATAACTGACATTTGCAAGCGGGTTTTGTGGTAAGAGGATGTTGATCAGGTGACAGCGGTATATATCGCGATTTTGATCTCTTCATCTGAACTGATCTCCTGCGCATTACATCCTGTACTGTAAGTCTCCTTCAGAATACATCGAAGCTGCCCTCGTTCAAGCTTCGCATACCGCACTGTATCTACAATACGCAGAGATTGTTATCGCTATCGGCATCCACGATTCGAGAGGATGTGCCGGCTATGCGACCCCAGCGACCGCTTCAAGGACGTTTCCGCTGTCACAGTACGACGACAGAACCTGCATCTTCTTGCCGCCCAGGCAAGGGAGCATTGGGATTGGAACAGTTGTTGGACCGCCAAAGCCAATTATCTTCTCTGTGTCCTACCTGAATGAAGTTTGCGAGTTGAAGCGGTGCGCATGGATCTGCCCGCCGAGAGCCACAACGCCCACGGCAAATGGCTCCCGGCTCGCTGTGGCCAACCACATTGAACGCAACGATTGTCCACGGCGCCAGATCACCAACTCCCAGCCTGTGCTTCCAAGGGCCTCCAAGGACCCCTCCACGAGGCCCGCCAATGGGATTCAACGAAGCGCAGTGCAACCCGGGCACATTGCAGCATGCGACGACGTCCTACATGCAGGCGCGAAGCTGCCCGTTGCTATTGGAGAATCACAATGAACCTCTCAGCAAGCCGACGAGTTGAGCGCCTCGGGCTCGTTCATGCTGAGAGGTATTGTTCTGTGCTGTTGTTGCTTTTCACTATCTCATAGTATGAGTAGTACTACTACTCCTGTGCGCGCTCCGCAAGTGTCTTCGAGCAGTGCTGCGAGATCCTTCAATCTTCTTGAATTGTCTGTGTTGTTACGATTGCCCGCATTATTGCAAGTCAGCCAGCCTCGCGCGGTGGAGTAGTCGCCGTGGTATCTCCAAGATCTCGAGCCGCCCCGCAAAGTCAAAACGAGAATCAGTGAAAGTCCCGGCGTCTATTTCTCTCCTAGAACCTACTGGGCGCCCTATCAGACGGTAAGATGTCAAGCTTGACGCTTTCATGGTCCACACTCAATATCATAGCCTCTTACCTCCCGCCTCTTCTACGGTGCTGATCCTGGACCGTAGCCTCCAAGACCATCGTCTCAAATCAGACCACACCGTTCGGCCAGGCGCCTACACAAAACCGTAGACTTGCCCACCTGTTGAAGCCGGTCTCGATCTTCTCTCGATAGCTGGTCTCTATCTGTAATCCTTCCATCGTTTATTGTTTTTGCTTTCTTTCCAAAACCTCACGTCGCTCTCGCCGACTCATCCTCGACCTGAGCTCGGAGCGGACTTGTTGATAGTCCTTTTTTATACATCCATTATACTTTGTCTTTCCTTATCAAAATGTCCGGTGAGCATCGCAGTTGAGCAGCAAGATCACAAAGCATGCTGACCATTTCCTCCAGCAAACTTCAGCAAGAAAAATCCAGAGCCCTTGACGAGAGAACGAACATCCAGCTCCTCGTCGGACTCGTCACTCAGACCTCCACGAACACCGCGATTTGCAGAAGCAACCTCTGTACACTCACCAGTAGAGCGAGGAGTATCACCCTTTGCAGATCCACCCGAGGTGAAGACAAATTCGTACATGGCTCAAGCACAACCCTCAGATATTGGCTTCGGCTATATCACCCAGAACGAACAACATGTCGAGGTTCCTATGACACCGGCCTCTCCTTTGAAGAGTGCTATGAAAGTTCCAGGAACTCCAGCCCGAAGACTAGACAACCCTCTGAGCCCGACCTTCCGAGAAGAACAGATCTTGGAGAAGACGGAGGAGGAGACTGAGAAGGAGCAGGCCAAAGATTTGGTAAGGACTGAAGCAAGGACAGCTGCATAATAATTTACTAATGATTTGGCAGAAAATTAAAACCAGAGTTCGGATAGCAAAGTTTCTGCTTCGAGGCGTGAATTTCAGTTGTAGCCTTATCGTTCTCTCCATGCTTTCAGTGACCATGACGATCTTCAATACAACCAAGACATTGCCTGCTAGAAACAATCTTCCTGCTTGGGCGGACGGGACGAAGACTTGGCCACAGGAAGTGGTTCTTGCGACATCCTGCGTGTCTCTGGCGCTATGCTTGGCTGTCTTCTGGGGTTACTGGAGAGGGGGCCATCGACGAGCAGAGAAGGTTGCTGTTTACTACACAATTTTCGCCGTGGGCTTCTTCATCTTCAGCACCGTTATGTGGGCTATAGCGGCTGGTATCCTCCAAGGCGCTAGGGCCAATGGCAACAATAAGGATATCTGGGGTTGGGCATGCGTCGATAACCAGAGGCGGAAGGACTTTTCCGAGAAGGTCGATTATGCACTGGTTTGCAGATTGCAGGTTAGTCCATACTCACTGGAATTCCACCAGGAGCATCCTAACGAATACTCTAGTCTTGGTCTCTTGTCTGCTGCTTGATTGAAGTCGTTCTCGAGTGTATCACCATCATTCTCTACGGCGTGATATTCTACAGATACTACTCCAAGCAGCGCCTCCGCAAGACTATGGATATGCGTGACAAGGCACGATCCGACCTCTACCTTGCTCAACTCCGTACGCAATCTGCACCCAACACTCCAGGATTTGGACCCTTATCCCCCTCATACTCGGCACATATTAGATCCCCGCGTTTCCCACCCGCTGCCTACACCAGTGCTTCCCGAGCCGAAGAGGGCTTTGCCGGAACGCAATTCGTAGACGCCAAGCCAACCTCTTTGGTGACAGCGAAGCCCTTCGCTCTCCAACCACCCCCGATCAAGATCCAAAGCGCTACACCAAAGATGGCTCAAACGGGCTTCTCAACACCGGCACCGGCACCGCCACCAGCACCAGTACGAGCCATCTCCCCTCCTGCCGAGAGAAGGATAGAGCATGTAGCTGCCGCACCCGGAGAGCAGACTTACGAGGCGGTACCCATCCCCGGCGCCTATAGTCCGCCTCAGCAGCGGAGTTTTGGGAACGCATGAGGAGCACGTGAGGGCATTGGGTAGATAGCGTGTGTGTTATTTTCCTATGTCGGGCATTCGGTTATAGGAGTTGAGATGGGTTGTGTTATTATATGGAATACGATGTGAATGTCACTCACTCGCTGGATGGATATCCCCTTATTTAATATGATGAATATATATACCTACCTACCTATCAAGTACTACATGTCACTATTCTTGCCGTGACTTGTGCGATATTTGGGGAAGAGGCTCAATTACTGAAACAGCTTAGGTGTATGTATGTCTTTCACGGCAAGTAGGAGCCGGAACCCCTTTCCATCTAGACATTGAAAGCGCCCTGTTCCGTCCTGTCCAGCTATAGGTAGAGCTTGAAACTGCACCATCTGTCTCCCAAATAAGAGGGGGAATCTCCGGCTGGGGAGCAGATGTAGATTAGAGAGTAACATGAGGAAGGGGAGGGTAGGAGAGAAGGGTCGAGGGTGAGGATGCGTGAGAGGGAGGTTATTGCGAAAGGGAAAAATTAACAAACATGATTACAACGGATAGAAAAGTATTGAGCGGGTAGGAAATGAAGAAGAGCTGAGCTTTTGTGAGAAGTAGACCTAGGGATTGATATGTCCAGTGAACGAGTAGCAAGGCACTTGCGAGACTTGAGCGCAGGACTGGGACATTGAAGGAAGGACCTTCATAATCAATTATATTAGCTATTTGATGAATAGCCATATCCCAGTTACTAACCCCTCTTACACTCTGTCCATACTGATTGCAGCAAGATCTTTCAAGGCTCGCAGCACAATCATGAGAAAGCTCCCCTCCTCGCACCCACCAACATCATCCCCTCTTCCCCAGACCACATGGAGGACTCCAGACATTGCTTACTTAGAAACAACCTCCTTCGCCTTATCCAAGGCGTTCTTAGCCTCCGCTTCCACCTTACCAACCGCACCCTTGACACCACTCTCTACCTTCTGCTTCTCCATCTCCTCGCGACCACCCCACTTATGGTACTGCATCCACCGGTAGCCCTGTGTGAGCTGGGCGCCCTCATTGACAAAGTGGCAGAGGAAGAGAAGGTAGTTCTTAGGCTGCACCGCCAGCGCGTACCGCATGAACGTCGCCGAGTAGATAGTCAGGGCTCCTGTCATACTGCCCGAGATCCTGTAAATGGGGAGAGTTTTGTCAGTCAGTCATTCTTGCTTTCTTGGCATTGAATGTTGGGGGAAGAGGAGGTAAGACTCACAGCTCGGGACTCTTCTGCGTGTCCATCACGGCCGCAATTGGGATTCCGAAGTTCGAAACTGGTCCCCAGAAATCTGTTCATCGTCAGCGGTGTTCTACTCCCTCATTGCTTCATAGGAGCCGCAGCTACTCCTTGCGGAGTCCCGGGATGAAAGAATTGCAAGACTCCCGGAGCGATTGGGGCTGGGACGTACGTGTAGAGCAGACATAGCTCAACATGGGGTGTGAGCGAATCTTCGCATTGATGGCTTTGATAAAGGCCGCCATTATGATGTCGTGGTGGTTGGGAGAATCTTGCTTGGGGTGGACGGAAGAGTGGACGTTGGGATTCAGCCGTCCCCGAGATTATAATGGTCACGTGCCTATACTGGAAATGCTGAACAATCCGCAAGAGCTTTCTGAGACAAGTCTGAAAATAGTGTAGATGTTCACATTGATGCACATAATCCCGACACTGGATATCATAAGAGTTATTTTTCGTTTTGCGCTGTCGCGCTGTTGCACTTTCTATGCTACAAGTTGCCAATTTTTGGTATGTGGACCCAACTCCCCCTCAACGCCAATACTGTGCTTGGATTTACCCAAAGTTCTGTGTTAATTGCTTTGATATCACCCACAAACTTCTCAAAATCATTCAGTTCATCTTCTTGGTGGGGCAAAGCCCGGCGGTGGTGGTCCTGGTGGAAATCCCTGTCCTGGGAAAGGTGGGAAGCCTGGGGGTGGTGCTATGAAATATTAGCACACATGTGTTTCAACGTAAGAGACGGTTTTCTTTCTTACCTCCTCTACCAAATCCAGGAGCTCCTGGGAAGCCTGCAAAAGCAGGAGGAGGTGCGCCGCCAATTCCAGCAGCAGGACCCTGTAGAGCTATTAGCGATCATTGACACAAAAATGAAGATCATGGGTAAGTCATACCGCCAAACCAACTGGGGCTCCTCTTCCAGCAGGTCTGGAAATTCCAGCACCGGGAGCAAGCGCTGAGGCGATCCCGCCAGGCGCACTGGTTCCTAGACGCGCACTCGGGTCGGCTGGCGGTGGAGACTCAACGGAGAGGGAGATAATATGGGCACCTCGCACAATGGTAAGACCAAGTGTACGTTTCTCTTCCGATTCGACAAGTGGTGCTGAATTGCTGCTGGCACCTGGAGCAGCTGCAGACTTGGTGGCCTTGCGCTTTACGCGTCTGAACTCTTCGGTATCCGCGAGAACGAGGTTCATGTGCTGTGACTGGAGTCAGCATGTGCACATAATCGAATAACTCGATCGGAACACACCTTATCAAACGCTAACATCTGCCCGACCATTTGACGTCCATCATTCATGGTGACTCTCATCCGGTAGTTGATCTATTGATCCATCAGCACTGACTCTGTCGCGGCGGCGCGCAAGCCCAAAGAGCTGCCACGATGGTTTAACATACGAGACCGGCCTATAATCACAGTGAAAGTCAGCCTATAATGTCAACGACACGTCAACAAGAGCTTGCAAGCTGAGGAGTGTTGTCAAGACTCACCATCTTTCCTTGCTTGTTCGCCATGATGATTGAGATGCGCGGTAAAACGGCTTCTCTAGGGTTTCAAAGAATGTGTATTGAAGTGCGAGGACTTCAGTAAACTCTTATGCTCTATTACAAGCGTTTAGAGTCGCGACTTGGGAGTCTGGGGAGGATATCGAAGCGTTGCGGCTCAAGTCTTCACCTACAATCGGTGCCTTATCCCTAACGGGCTAGCGTGGTTGATTAGGGTAGCGAACTCCCACCGTAGAATTTCGCGAATTTGAACTTCGAAAATTCGAAGATCAACCAACAACGACAACTCCGACAACCACCTCCGACATCAATCAAAATGGCCGAAGGAGACAAGAGCAGCAACCCCATGCGGGAGCTCCGCATTCAAAAGCTCGTCCTTAACATCTCCGTCGGAGAGTCTGGTGACAGACTTACCCGTGCTGCCAAGGTGTTGGAGCAACTGAGTGGTCAAACTCCAGTCTACAGTACGATTCTCATTCCAGTTCCACTCAATGAACAAGGTCTAATTTGATCGTCTATAGGCAAGGCCAGATACACCGTCCGAACCTTCGGTATCCGTCGTAACGAAAAGATTGCTGTCCACGTTACCGTCCGTGGCCCCAAGGCCGAGGAAATCTTGGAGCGTGGATTGAAGGTCAAGGAATATGAGCTGCGCAAGCGCAACTTCTCCGAGACTGGCAACTTCGGTTTCGGTATCAGCGAGCACATCGATCTCGGTATCAAGTACGACCCGGCGATTGGTATCTACGGAATGGATTTCTACTGCTGCATGACCCGACCTGGTGAGCGTGTTGCCAAGCGCCGCCGATGCAAGAGCCGTGTGGGTACATCTCACAAGATCAAGCGTGAGGAGACCATCAAGTACGTCAATTCTTCCCTAATACAATTTAACGGTCTTGGGAACATCACTGACTTGCATCTCAGATGGTTCAAGAGCCGCTTCGAGGGTATCGTCCGATAAATTTCCAAAGTTCGATTGGTTGGGCATAAGGAGTAAATGACAGGTTGAAGGAGCAACATTGGCTGTATTTTACTGCATCCACGGATCAGATACAAATGAAGCAGTTCATCAACTGTCAGCTTGACCCCTTAGGGATCGGCTGCGGCCTCAGAGACCGACCGGCTTGCCGGCTTCTTGCAAGTGCTGAAACAAAAACTCGTGCATTAAGTGTCTTAAGTTTTTCCATGAAGGTGAACATCAGAGTGATGGAGTTCATGATACCCCGTCTGGTTGCCAATTCTATGTTCAAACACCAAAATCCGCGACTCCAGATCAGCATCCATCCTTCTGTCTTGTAAAGATATCAAGGGATCCTCCCGTTCGATGCAGTCCCAGATATTCAGTCTTATCCACACTTCGTTCTATCAATTCCATTTATCATATCAAGCTTCTTTCCAATATCTGACGGCTGAGCTCAGCGTCCACCTCAGACCTCTCAGAAGCAATCACAGCAAAATCACGGACCTCTATTCTCTGATCACTCATCCGCTGTGAGACGCAGTCGCTGCCTATGCGCCGTTCTTCGCTGGCACGCTGATTTTGAGGTTCCAACCCAGCTCCTCCTCCTGGAGAATGGCGACTCGATGCACTGACATTGCTATCGGAATCCTTTCCCGAAATGATGAATCCGCTAAAAGTGCCGTTGCTGCCCTTATGCTGGGTCGTATAGTCTGCTGCTTCGTTCGAAGGCATATAGAAAGATATTTCTTGCTCGAGAATATATATGGTGGTATGTTTTCTTTATCAATGTGGAATCGAATGTAGGGTAGATCTTGTTTTCATATCCAAATTACTCTTTCCTTTGACCCAAACCGTTACACGATGTCCTGGAAGCTCCGAGGAGTTTTGTGAGATACTATAGCGGGGAGGTTTGATCGAGATAGTAGCTCGTTCTTCCAACAAATGCACTACGCTAGTGCTTTCTGAACGATCAGATCAGATCAGATGATATTAGAAACACCACACTTGGCATTCAGTCATTGATCTGCAAGTCCCAGATATCTTTCCATTTTATGCAAGAAAGTGGTCTCTCGACAGATTGGTCACAGAGGCGCAATATGTCCTGGTCCCGTTCTTTCGAATTGATTTGATATCCTGAAAGATCTCGAACAAAAACCAAGTATAGAGTATATCAATAAACCAAACCCATCAGAACACCGTCAATCCATCGCTCAAACCAAATTTTTTCCTACACATTCGCGTCGATCCATACATATTTCACGGCGAGCCCGTCGTATATCTACAAGCGCGCATGGTCAGCACTCCTGCACATGCCATCGTATCAAGTGATCGATCGAGCTTACTTATTCCACCAAGTGCCAAAATAACCCGCAGGTCTTTTCTGGTCGTTGAAGGACTCGCGTCGTGCTTGAGCGCTCGCATCTGACATACTAGAGCGCTTCTCTTTCAAGAGCCCCGAGAAGAGGGTTCCAGAGCTGGAGGCCGAAGACGTCTGTACCGGATCACTTGTCAGCTCTCTTGCTCTCACAAGATCTTTATCTACATTGGGGAGGAGAAGACGGGAAAAGAGGAAGAACGCACTCTTCTCGAAGTGGAATCACCACCCGTGTTGGTGGCGGGCGTAGGCACCGTCCCAGAACCTCCGCGTACAGCTCCCGATTTGTTTGCTGCCATGACTTCTTAAGGTTTCCTAGATTGTTGATCTTTTTAATATCAAGATATTCGATGAGATATTCAAACCTTGCAAAAAGAGTAAACAAGAAGAAAAAGAGAGAGGATATCGCCCAGCATGGTTATATAATGATTTCTTACAGGTAGCTTAACACGGGGGGCTACCCCTCCCAACCCATTTGATCATGATCTCATCTCACCAATCATCACTCCACTTCTGACGAAGGCGAGTCTTTTTCTATTTGTTTATTTGTTTAATGACTTCACCCCCTCTCTATCATGAGATGCGATGGGCTCTCTGCTTAAGGTGATGTACGACCCCGCATCATCATAGCGTGGCGGTTGCGATAGGTTCGCCCGACCGCCCCGAGATCTGGACCGGTCGTCCTTTTTCTGGTAAATCGGCACGTGAACAACACATCCCCCTATCGAATCAAAGAAATGAAAGAAAAGAAGAGAAAGGACTTGTGGAATTGGTCTTTAGACGAGGGGAAATTGTTTGGTTACACAGTCAGATGACCTTCGATGTTCACCAATCGTTGATAGGTAGTCTCTTCTAACACCGTCGTCCTGGCTTCGGATTTTACTCTATTTTTTGTATGTATTTGCGATATATCTAGATGTTACACGGTATATAGTACACAATTTCTATCTGATCCTTGACCCGGTCCTTTCAAAAAAAACATCAACCCGGACTTTCCCTCAAGTTACGCGCTCGCCTTGCGCGTGTGGGCCTTCTCTCTCTCTATGAACCACCGCCCTTCAAGGCAGAGCCTGATTGATATTGGACGTCTCCCAGACCGGAGTCCTCTGGGAGGAAGCAGTCCTTTCGCATAGGTAGCTTTCCGTATGGGTCGTTATCTCGAACGCTCCCGAATATAAAGATCGTTATAACACAGCACCAGGCCATATTGATAATTTCAACCCCAACTCACTTCCCTGTTCTTCTCGTCTTTTTCTCTCCGCATAGCCGCTTCCTGCTCATCCAGCATCTGCATCTTAGCCAAGCGATCCTTCTCAGCCCAGATCTTAGCCCGCATCTCGTCCTGCTTCGGGAGGGTCTTGATGCTGGGTGGTAGTTCTGGTATGTGGCGAGAGTCTGAGGAAGAGGCTGGCAGCGCTGCGCCGGATACGGTTCTTCGCCATTGTGCCATGGAGAAGACCTGTTCCTGCGCCGTTCCAGATAGGGGCGAGACCTCGACGGGCGAGAAGATACGCCCCGCATCTGAACGTGATCGTTCTAGAGGTGAGACGATCGGCACTGTATCGGATCGGGTGCGCTTCCGGTAGCTCTGGAATGTAAATCGGGCTGCCTGGGGTCGTCGAGGCATCCTCAGAGAGGCTTCTAGTGTATGTGATCGGGACCGTCTTGCGTATTTCTGGAAGAGACTTTCGTCCCCCCTGACGCGTACGGGAGTTCCACCAGAGAGCTCCGCCGTGTTTGCCTGGGTCATCATCTCGTACATGGAGATATGCGTATCCGCCAATTCGGTAACGGTGACCTCTGGCTCTGGAACACATCCAGGGAGTTCGTGAAGCCCAGCTACCTCTTTATGTCGTTGAGGTTTGGTGCCCTTTTCCATCTCGTCCGGGGAGTGCAATCTCTCCACGGGCAGAGGCCGTTGTCGACGCCGGAGACATAAGAATACGGCTACTGTTGCAATAGCCATGCCACAAAAAACTCCTCCGATGATAATTCCTGCTTTGACCCCCGCTGAGAGACCCATGTCCCTAGAGATGGATGAATGAGACGTAGGCCGCAATGATGTCAAAGTCGCAGCTGGAACGTCCGCCGTTACGCTGGCTGAGTGACCATCTCTGCGTGAGATAGTTATCATGCTTGAAACTGTGACAACGGCAGGACTGCTGCTTGAGCCCAAGTCTGAATTCGTCCTTGCTATGGATCTCGTGCCCACGACATCCTCAACCAAGTAGCTCGAACCAGAACGTGCCGAGTCCACACAGCTTTGCTATACAATAATCATCGTGAGTCCTCTGTTCATCAACACAAAAAACTTCAGGAACGGATATTCTTACACCACATGCAGGAAGTTTCTCCATCTCCTCCCGAGCCTCCCCAGCGAATCCTCGAGCCGCCACGATAGCGGCGGACGTTACTGCGACGAGGATACAGGACTTCTTCATTTTCCCCCAACAACACAGCGAGACATCGGTGCGATAGAAAGAAACATCGCTTTTCTGGAGGCGTGTCGGAGTATTATTACATACTGTCTGTATGTACGCCGTCCGTCCGCCCAGACGCAAGAGAGGCGCTGAGAGCATCTCCCAGCTCGTCTCAGATACTCTCAAACGTGAAGGATTTTGACAACTCCACCACAACGGCGTGGTCGCGTTCCAGCAATTGAGGCGGTTCCTTATCCTTGCCAGGTCCACGTTGTCGTCTCACCCATCATCAAGAGGAGCGGGACCCTTGTCGCCCATCAGCCCAGCCCAGCCCTCCAGAGAATAGAAAGAATAGAAATAGACCCCGTAATAGCTCAGATGCGAATGAATTATCATCCATCCAAGTATCATCCATGATCCATCCCCCCAGAAGTCTCATCCAACTCGTCGGCTCCGACCAACCAATTACAACTTGCCTCGTGAGCGGGCCGCTCCTCATTCCGACGCCTCAGCCTTGCACCAAACCACCAGGGATCCCCGTATATGAGAAGAACTGCGAATCCTACACGCCGCAGCATTCACTCAAACCCCCATTTTCCTTTCATCCCATATACTCTCCAAAAAACCACTTTCCAAAAAAAAAAGCCTACCTACAGTACCTGGTCCAGGACCCTGGTAGCTACCTTACCTATAGCGCCCACATCCATCCCCAGTTTCCAAAACCAAAATAACAATTCATTCCCACCCCGCAGCAGCTTGCTTACTGTACCTCTCTCATCCTTGTTTGTTACCCAAGATTAGGTACCTAGTTTCGACTATCTATTCCTCTCCTCACTCATTAGGGTATAAGATGTGCGCTGAGATAATACTATCCTCCTACCATACCTACCTAGTTTTTTATTATTATCATCATGTAGATGGGCTGGGCTGGGGTAGGCAGATATAGATAGATAGATCCTCGACAGCGGTTTTGTAGATCATACAGGCATATATATATATATACCTTAGGTACATACCTTATATTCTATACATAGATAGAGTTAGCGGCTAGGTACCTACCTACCTTACCTACCTTAACCCCAGGTACAGTAGGCAAGGTACTGTAAGGTACAGAGATAGATGGAGATAGATTGAGATATGTAAGGCACCTACCTAGGTAGGTAGGTAAGCTAGAAGCCAAGATAAACCAAGGTACTTACTGCAAGGTACATAAGATCCCGAGGGAGATATGTAGGCAGTGCCCTTCTCGTAAAACTCCACCCATCACAGTAAATAGTGAGCAGAACGATAGTCAAGTCTGCAGGAGCTAGGTAGGTTTCTGAAATTCAGGATTTGTGCAAGATTCGAGTTTCTGATCTCTTTGTGCGCTTTCTGTGCCATGAGAGGATTAATCACCTCGCCTGTCTGCTTACATGCTCTGCTTACATGCGAACACTTGAAGGGCGGGTGTAGATGGAGTCAAATAGCCTCTAAAAGATAAGAATCATATACTACTATATTGCTGAGCCTGAAAGAATCAAATCGTGTACTTCGGAGACGCGGTTACAAGCCTCGTCCGGATCACCAACTCCTCCCCATTCAATCATCTACTCCTATTCCGTCGCTTTCCCTTGCTTTTCGCCGAGTTTCAACCCTTCCCGTCTGCAGCCCCACAGTTTTACTTGTCGCCTGGCTTGACGATCTTGCAGATGAGATCGGACCCAGCGACCGAATCGCCCTCTTTGATCTGGGTACTGGACACTTTACCAGCATGTGGCGCTGAGATGACCATTTCCTGTTCTCGAATTAGTCGCTATTCTACCTAGAGGGATGTGGGAATATGGAAAGAACTGACCATCTTCATGGCACTCAGAACCGCAAGAGGATCGCCCTTCTTGACTTCCGTACCATCATGGACACGAAGCTCAACCACGACTCCGGACATAGGCGCTCCGACCTGGCTGCTGTCTCCAGGATCGGCCTTTGGTCGGCTGGTGTTCTCCACAGCTGCCTTGTTATCATCAACAGTTACTTGGCGGACCTCTCCGTTCATCTCGTAGAACACCTCACGCTGGCCAGTGGTGTCTGACAGAGGACCAACGGCAAGTAGCTTCAGAATCAAAACCTTGCCCTGCTCAAGCTCAACGTGGAACTCCTCTCCAATCTCAGGTCTTGAAAGGAAGTATTTGGTTGGGAGCACGCTGAGATCACCGTACTTTTGTACGAACTTCTTGTAGTCTTCGAAGACCTTGGGGTACATGGCGTAACTGGCAACATCGCACTCGGTGACGCTTCCCCACTTCGCATGGATATCCTTCTTGATCTGCTGGAGATCGAGTGGCTCCAGAGAGAGACCAGGTCGCTTGTTCAGCTTGCGGCGGCCGCGCAGAGCATTCGTACGGAGTGGTTCTGGGAACCCTCCATATGGTTGACCCATCAGTCCTTCGAAGAATTCGAGAACTGAAGCTGGGAAATCAAGCTCGCTGGCTCTCTTCTGGACATCGTCGTAGCTGAGCTTGTTGGAGACCATGAACTGAGCCAAGTCACCAACAACCTTGGATGTCGGGGTGACCTTCACGATGTCACCGAGCAGGTCATTTGCTTCTTCATAAGCCTTCTTGGTCTCTGCCCACTGTGCACCGAGACCAAGCTGGGAAGCCTGGAACATCATGTTCGTCAATTGACCACCTGGAATCTCGTGCTCGTAAACCTCCGGATCCGGACCCGTAAGGCCGGCTTCGAAGGGCGAGTACAAAAGACGGAGCTGAGCCCAGTATGTATCAATAGCTCGAACGTGCTGAACATTCAATTTCGGGTCGAACTCCGTGCCTTCCAGCGAGGCCAGGACGGCACCGACACTTGGCTGAGATGTCATACCAGACAAGCTGTCCGTTGCAGTGTCCACAGCATCAGCGCCTGCATATGCGCAAGCAACCATTGAGGCGACACCAGTACCAGCTGAGTCGTGAGTGTGGACGTGGATGGGGAGATCAGGGTACTTCTTGCGGATAGCACCGATCAACAAAGTAGCGGCCCGGGGCTTAAGAACACCTGCCATATCCTTGATACCCAAAATGTGAATCTTGAGATCCACAAGCTTTTGCACCAAGTCCATGTAGTACTCCAAGTTGTATTTCTTCTTTGGGTTCAGCATATCTCCACTATAGCAGACTGTACCCTCGACAACTCCTCCAGCCTGGTGGACAGCTTTGATACCAACTTCAAGTTGGTCAATGTCGTTCAAAGCGTCGAATACTCGGAAGATGTCGACACCGTGCTTCTTTGCCTGTTCGCAGAAGTGGAAGATTGCGTTATCTGGCAAGGACGAGTAGGCAACTCCGTTGGCTCCACGCAGAAGCATCTGGAATGGGATGTTAGGGACGAGCTTTCGCATCTTCCGCAGTCTGTCCCATGGATCCTCATAGAGGAAACGCATCGCCACGTCGAAGGTCGCTCCACCCCAGCACTCAAGACTGTACAGGTTGCTGTAAGCATGGCTAGTTTCCCTAGCAATGTTCAAGAGATCAACCGTGCGCACACGGGTAGCCAACAGTGATTGATGGGCATCGCGCCATGTTGTGTCCATCAGAAGACATCCCTTATTCTTCCGGACGGCCTTGGCAAATGCTTCAGGACCTTGTTCAACAATGATGTTTCTCCAACCCTTCTGGCAAGGCACGCTGGTGTCAATCTTCTTTCCGGACTCATCGAACAGCTCTGGCATGATGATCTCGCCCTTGAGCTTCGGCTCTCCGATTTGGCCCTTGATACTGCTGCCGTTGACAGCAACATCTCCCAGGTACGCTAGCAGCTTTTGGGCACGGTTCTGGCTGCCAACAAGGTCAAAGAGTTCGGGGGTATCGTCAATGAAAGTAGTCCAGCAGTTGCCATCTATAAACGTGGGGTGTGTGAGTAAAGACGCCAAGAATGGAATGTTCGTCTTCACACCACGGATACGGAACTCGACCAAAGCTCGGAGCATCTTTCGTCGCACAATCTCGTATGTAGAACCGTGGCAGGTACACTTGACCAGCATGGAGTCGTAGTGAGGGGTGATAACTGAGCCTGCAAAGCCGCTGCCGCTGTCTAATCGAACTCCGTTACCACCAGCGGATCGATAAACCTCGATCTTTCCAGTGTCCGGCTGGAAATTCTTGGAAGGATCTTCTGTTGTGATTCGGCACTGGATAGCAAAACCTCTTGTGGAAATGCGGTCTTGGGTAAGTCCAAGTTGTGCTAGCGTTGCACCGGCAGCGATCTGGATCTGAGCAGCGATGATATCAATGCCGGTGATTTCCTCCGTGATGGTGTGCTCGACTTGAATACGGGGGTTGATTTCGATGAAGTAGTAACGGTTCTGCTGGTCGACCAAGAACTCCGCAGTTCCAGCATTTCGGTAGTTGACAGACTTGGCAAGCTTGACCGCATCATTCAGGAGGGCATCTCGGACTTCAGTTGGAAGGTCCTTGGCCGGAGCCAATTCGACGACCTTCTGATGTCTTCGCTGAACGGAACAATCACGCTCGTACAGGTGAACAATGTTTCCTTGGTTGTCTCCCAAAAGCTGCACTTCGATGTGCTTTGGCTTGTCGAGGAAGCGTTCCACAAAGACAGTTCCGTTGCCAAAGGCGGCCTTGGCTTCGGAGGTAGCTCTGTTGAAAGCATCTTCCAAACTGGATTGTTCTCGTACAACTCGCATACCGCGTCCACCACCGCCATAGGCAGCCTTGATGATAATGGGGAACCCGTATTGGTCAGTGAACTTCTTGACATCCTCGAACTTGTCCACTGCTCCCTCAGTTCCAGGGACGACTGGTACGCCTGCCTTGATGGCTATGGCTCTGGCGGAAACCTTGTCGCCAAGGGCATCGATAACTTCTGGCGAGGGACCGACGAACTGTCAACATCATATTAGCCATGCTGCAACAGTTTATCAAGGATCATATCCAACGTACAATTAGACCAGCTTTCTCGACCTTTCGAGCAAATTCCGCATTCTCGGAGAGGAAACCGTATCCTGTGACGAGATCAGATTGCTTCATCCCTCAGGATACCATTGTGTTCATACCAGGATGTATCATCTGAACGCCATGCTCCTGGGCAATCTTGATGATTTCGTCGCCTGCCAAGTATGCCCCGACCGGTGTATATTGACCGCGCTTGCCAATGACGTAGGCTTCATCGGCCTCTGTAGTTGCATTGTGATCAGTCCATCTTCTGGTTATGGGCGCGATGCGTGTGGACAATCACTCACTCTGCCTGTGCATGCTAAGCCGGTCCTCATAACTGTGATTGGGTCAGCGGTGTAGTTCTACTATTGCTCACAGCCATTGCTACCTGTAAACCGCAACTGTCTGCAGTGAAAGCTCGTGGGCCTGATTGTAGTTAGCATCTTGCATGTAATCCCCGTACTCCTCCCGCCAGAGGATCGTGGGCAACTCACTGTACGGAAGATCTGCCCGACCAAGGGAGGTTAGTAAGCTCCAAAGTCCCAAGTCAACACTCTCGAACACGTACACGAATAGCTGTACCCAACGATTAGAATTAGATGTCATAGCTATGGGAATGCAGAGTACTCACGAATCTCTCCTCGATTGGCCACTGTAAAGTCCCAAAGGTCAGAGTTAGCATCCAGCTCGAGCTTGACGGTGGAAGAGCTCGCTGAGTCACAGGATTGAGAGCAGCAATGAATGACGTACCGAGGATCTTCTTCAAGCGCATAATGCTGGAATTGGCACGAATGCGATGGACCGTCTGCGCAGGGCGAGCGTCGGCATCTTCGAACACCTCGCTGTAGGCGCCATTGGGATTGTGCTCGTCGGCCATGGTGCCGGGGTGTAGCTATTGCGCAGGGCAGACAGAGAGAGAGGAGCTTGGGTGAGGGGTGATGACAAGCGATAGACCCAGAACTGGGATAGAGAGGGCTCGGTTATGGCTGTGAACTTGGAGCTTCACGAGCTGCAGTGGGGAGGGAGGGGAGAGTATTACACCGCAAGCATTCAAAGAACAACGGGCAGAAGGGGTTTGGAAGAGAGGGTTTGGGTTTTGTGTTGACGGAAGGAAGAAGAGGAGGGTTTTGACTGGTACTTGGGCGCTGGGATGTCTGTTCAACACCACAATAGCCTTCTTCCTCGGTTGAGGCCGGCTGGGCTGGGCTGGGTCAACCGTCTACTACTATCCGCGCTGCGTCAAGGTTGAGGGCAACTACTGGGCAAGGCTATAGTTGAACGGCCTGCGTGGCCAGGGTCCGAACGGGTTTGGTAAAATGGATAAGATGGTGGGGGAGGTGGGACGCTTGAGACCTGAAGTCTGCCAATAATAGAGAGCGGGTAAGACACAATGAATGGGCACAGGTTGATGGAGATTTGTTAGAGACATGCGTGACGTTGTTATGGCCACTACTATCAGTGGAGATCTTGCATTTACCCCCGTATTGTAGATACGCTACAGGGCGTATGTTTATTACAGGATAGACCGAGCTGTGGGGGTGGATGAAGGCCGAGGGCTTCTTCCTTCGACCCGGGCGAACGACGGCCAGTTTACGGAGGAATAGAGACGCTTTTGACTCACGACAACCACAACCAAGGCGTAATTTCAACCACGGAGCAATTCATTATCATCTGGCCTTCACAGAGTCTTCTTCTTATTGTTCGCGCGCAGTACACAGTCACGAGCATCTAATTGCTGGCTGCTTGACTCAACAAATTCTTGTCCTGTCGGCCTTCTTTTTTCTTTTCCTCCTATCAGGCGTATGGTCCGAAAATGCTTGGTGGTGTTTGATGGTGTTTGGTGGCTTATGTTTTTTCCTTTTTTTTTTCCTTCTTTTTTTTCCCCATTCCCTGGAAAGATCTATGAATCATATAGTAATCAAGCCAGTATGACCCTTGTCGTGACCGATTCCACGATTGCGGTTTCGGTCTCTTGAACAAACAATTACTCTCACAAATTAGGTATACGACCACCACCATCAAAGCATAGAGATCATAATACTCATCTATTCACGTGCACGCTCAGGTCCCTTCACACAATTAATAATTCCAGGCAGACCCTGCAGCAACATGCTGCTTTGTTACAGTATACCTTATGTACCTAGTATGCACACGGCGGGAGGCGGGAGGCGGGCTGCTTGTTTTTTTTAGAAAAGAGCTTTTTGGCAAAATACATCCGAGAATCTCTCTAGTAAAGCAGAGCAAGAACGCTACTATCTGTTACACACGTGCCGAGAGCATAAAGTAGACCTTCAGCACCGAAGCCACCCAATTGTATACAACTACATCATCATAGGGCGAGATGAGACAGACCCGATAATCCCCGCAGTTCCTAAATGAACCGGGGTCAAGTCCCCGCGAAGATGACCCCAGATGCCCCAGATGCCCGTCATTAGGTATATCACTGTTCATCCACTACCACTGCCGCTTCAGAACCCACCATAGCCGGTGGCTTGCGGCGCGAATCCGTTCGTCTGAGCGAAAGGAGCAGGGGATTGACGTCCAGCAGCCGGGCCCGCGGTAATCATCAGCCGGTTTCCTCCGAGGATTGGGGTATTGCTCTCCTCTTTCTCCTGCGACTTCTCCCGAAGCTTCCGCTCCTCATTGTCTTTCTTCAATGTCTCAATCGTCGCGCTTTGTTGCGCCAAGTAGTTGATCATGAATGGCATCGTGAAGTCCGTGAGTCCGTGACGCCATGAAACCTCCATCACAACATGAATAGGAATCAGCTCATAACAAGCATACAACATGCCAACATAACATTCGCGGCTGCCGATATCGACGAACTATGCAGAAGTTAGTACAAACGTCGTCAAATGATCTTTGGAACAACTTACATATCTTAGCAACTCCTCAACAACATCTGGCTTGCCCGAAATGGCGGCAGTTTCAATGGCATCCTTGAACAATTTGTCTTGCTTTGAAAGTGCGATCGACTTCTCCCAGCGCTTGTTCTTTCGGTAGATGCTGGCGGCGATCTGGCGGAAGAAGACGAGGTCGTGACGCTCCAGTCGCTGTGCCAGCTCGACAGGGTCATAATTGTCGTAGTTCTCAACCGAATCGCGCAGAGTCTTGTAGTCCTCTTCTTCGATCAGTAGATCATTGATCGCGCTGTTAACAGTTCTCTTGTTCTGTGGTTGAACGTTGAGAAGGAAGGGTTTGATGAGAGGGATATTGTCGGATTTCTCAAACATCTTGACGACACGGTTGACATCGATTCTAGGTGTCAATGCTTGTAGAAGATCGGTCAAGAGCGAGGGCTGCTCCTGGAGGTAAAAGTTGAGTGCCCGATAGTATATCTCCAAGTTGGCGACCTTGACAATAATGTCCTTGAAAGAGTGATGCTCCCATGCATCGGCAGCACGCTCCATCATGGCAAGAGCCGCGTTGTCCCACTCATCGTAATGGCAGTAGAGGAAGACCAACTCCGGCCAGAGGTGCGCCTCCTCGCAAGCACGGATCATCTTTGGGATGTTGATACGGCTCCAGAATAGCTTTAGGTGCTCCATCACGCGATCTGGGTGGTACTTGGACAAAGCGATACCCAGGGCGGTGAACATTCCCATATGACTTTTCTCTAAAAATGACGTTGTTAGAACATGATGATGTTTAGGACATGATTGAAGGGGCTGTTGGTAAATGAAAGACAAAAGGAAAGGTCCAAAATTCTCGTAATGTCGTCGTCGAAGCTTGCTAAGAGCAAGCTTCAGGATCATCTCGTGGAGATGGGGAAGGGACGGGGGGACAGTAGAAGGAAGAAGCACATCAGTTTGTGGGGGAAAGAACGAAGGAACAAGAACGTACCAAGACCAAGACCCTGCTCGAGAAGCGCGATGAGCTCATCGAAATAACCGTTACGCTCATATTGCTTCACGAGATCTTGCAACTCCTCGGCGTCAACAATCAAGTTCAAACCACAGATTTGAGCAAGTCTGAATTCCTTCTTCTCGACGCAAGCAGCATTGACTTGCTTCCAGACCTTGATGTTGCTCGCCTTGCGTGCACACTCGACGGCAGCCTGGTAGTCTTCGAGATGAACCAAGGTAGTTGCCAGTTTGGCCCAGTTGGAGATGCTGGTAAAGAAGATCTTAGCCGCCTGGTGGTATCCCTCAGCATAAGCTTTGTCACCCGACTGCTCGACGTCGGCAACGTTGGTGCCTCGGAGGAAGTCTTCCAATTCGCTCAGTTGTTCGGTACGAGCATAAGCAAAGGCTAAGGCGGTGTCGATTGCAGGTTCCCGGAGAGTCTTTCTTGCCATACGTAGGTACTTGATGAGGTCTTCATCCTTACCCGCATGGGTGGCGATCTCGATCACTTCATTGTAGTTGCTTGGGTCCTCAGCACGGATGTAGGATGCAATAGAGTCGCTAACACGAAGACCGTCCAATTGAGCCTTAGCAACTCTGCTCCAAACCTCTGGAATTTCGACCCGCTCGGCGTAGTCTTGTGCCCGGTCAATACTAACAATGTGCTCGACGAGAACGCTGACAGCACTCAAATGATCGTTAATCTTCTTGTAAACCTCGAAAGCCTCTTCGAACAGACCAACATCAATACAGATGTTGGCAACATCTGGTGCATTGTAGGCGTCGAGTCTGTGGATGTAATCCATAACTCGTCCCTTGTCGGCCTTGGTGGCAGTAAGGATGAGGAGGTTCTGAAGACTCTCATTGTCACTGAATGGGGATGGCTCAAGAACAATCTTTTCCAACAACTCAATCAGTTCGGCCGGCAGATCTGCCTTCAAGAATGAGGCAACTGCGACAGAGACCTTTTCAGGTTCCGTAGATTCTGGAACAGCGGTGGAGATAACCTGATCGATGACAGAACGGCGGTGGATGTTATTGGGGCTGAGAACAAATGCCCATAGCTCCTCATCAGCTCTCTCAAGGAGGTATCTAGCCTGATGCTTGTACATAGAGTTCTCATTGGTGATGTTGACAAGCTCAAGGTCGTTCTGGCCCTTCCGGTAGGCAATATACGCAAGGTTTGGATCACGCTTCTCGCAGTACTTTCCAATAGTCAGAGGATCATATTGGTCGTTCTCCTTGAGGAACTTCTCTGGATTGTTGTTGCTGTCAATGTAGATCTTCGCGAGGGCATTGTAGACAGCCTGTTGTTGGTTTCCAGCAGCCAAAGTTGCCTCGAGGAACGGCAACAGAAGCTTCAAGCGGTTTCTCGATTCAACCTCGCTGACGAGCTCATCAATTGGAATAGATGCAGGGTTGACTGTTGTGAGGAGACCCTTGATGATTGACTCATCACAGTCAACATCGAGCAAGCCACCGATCACAGATGGTGTCCGAGCGGGATTGACACGCTGAACATAGATCTCGATTGACTTGAACTGCTGGTTCTGGTAAAGGTAGAGAACTAGGTCGTGAATAAAGTTGAACCGATCACAAACAATAATAAGGGGCAATAGCTCGGTAAGTTTGGCCTCTTTCAAGAAGTTCTTGACCTTCTCGGGGTTGTAGTGATTGCTGTCTCGGCAGATTCGTTCCACTTCTGTGAACTGACCCATCTTGGTAGCAGCCTCGATATACTTGAAGTTGACATCCGGATCTTCACTGAGATTGACAATGCTTCCAAGGTAGTAAAAGAGACCTTCAGCGGTCTTGTACTTCTCAAAGAGGTCAATCAGTCTAGTGGGTCCTAGCAGATCCGAGTACTTCGTAGCGATTTGCACGACAGCTGCAAGGTTTTGTCGAATGTTTGTTCTTAACATGGCATCCAGACAGTCTAAAGATTGCTCGAGAGACAGACGGCCAAAGAAGTTGGTAAGCCAGTCCTGACTGAATGTGGGGGTTGCCACAATATTGACGATTACTCGCTTGATGGATTCTGCATCGGTGTAGTGTTCTAGTGCTCGTTGAGGGAGACCGGCTTGTTCACACAACTGAGCAATACGCGGGCGATCGTAGTGGGAAAACATGTCATTTCCAAGAATGGCATCGGCGACTTGAGGAGCGTTGATGAGGTTCATCTCAAGAAGACGAGTCTGCAAGTGGCCTTGCTCGGGCTTATTATCCTTCAGAGCATCAAGCAGGAAAGCAGTGGCAGGCTGAACCATGCCTTGAGACTGGAAAACATCAACAACTCGATCGATATCGATTAACGAACCGCCTTCGCTATTGGCAAGTTGTGTCGCAAATTCAGCACCCTTCTCGGGGTTAATGCGGACGATGTTTTGGAGTAATACGACATAGTCTGGTTGGTAGCCGACTTGTGTTGCATATGGCAAGATCTTTTCAAATTGGCCTGTTTCGGCGAAGGCTGCAACAACCTTCGCGGGAACATTTGCGCGCAGGTAAATGCTGAGTGCAAGGTTTAGATCGTGTGGTCGAACAATATCACCTAATTCCTCAGAACAGTCGAGCTTGTTCTCCTTCAACCATTTTTCAAGAAGATGCTTGCGGTTTTGGGCAAGGACAGGTCGGACCAGCTCTAGGGTCTCATGCTTGTTGAGAGATCCCTTGTCAAGGAGCATGCCAAAGTACTGAAGGATGACAGACAATTGACCCGGGGCCGCTGGGAGAGCCTTAAATCTCTCAATAGTCTGAGGAGTGCGGAGGAAACCCCGAGGCGAGTTGGCCGCAATCTTGGCAGCCTCTACGTAGTTGCCTGCATTCAGAAGTTGATCAAACTGATTGGCGTAAAGGTTGTCTGCACCAGGCAAACCAGCTCTAGAAGCAAGCTTGACCGCCAAACCAGAGTTTGCGGGGTTCTGAAGGAGATATGGGATGATGGTGGTCTCGTCAACAGCAACCGACAGCACTTGTCCTTTGCGATTGACACCTAGAATACCCGCAGATTCAGAATCCGGCGCAGTAATGAAGATGGTTTCGCTCGAGATGCGGTTCATGAATATGCAAGTACCGCTCTCCAGATCGTACAGGTGGATGAACCCGTATTTTGTGACGAGGTAAATGATGCTGTATTTCTGAGAAACTTGCATCGCGACAGGGAAGTCGTTAACTGCCTCAGCAGGGAAATAGACATCAACTGCCTTCTTTGCGAATACCGGATTCGAAGCTTGGTGGTCGACCTCGACAATATGGAGCTTGGCGCCTGTTGCGGTACGAACAGCAAAAGTAAATACCTTTGTGTCTGTCGGAGCACCTTCAAGTCGCAAGGTACCGAAGGAAGCAGCATGCCCTTCAATTGCCTGGCTGATGCCTCGATCGCGTGAATAGAGCTGCATCGCGCCCACCACTCGTCCTTGTTGTTGTGAAATACCAATTACCACCATCCATTTACCATCCTCGCTCACACGGTAGTTGATGATTTGGCATCCCTATTAATCTATTAGCAAACAGTTGGCCACAAGGACGCAGTTCACATGCCACCAAGTTCTGATTCCTCTTAAAAACCTCCACGGGAGCTGGTTGGTTTGGGTCGAACACGTCCCAGTGGTAAACTGTGGTGTCGGTCACTAAACCCAAGCTCGTCTCGCTGAACCATTTCCAGAATACGACATCCTCGTTCATTGTAGTCGACTTCAGCTTCGCCTTCTGGGCGAGGTCGAAGATCTGGAGGGTTCTCGATTGTGCCTTGAGCGCGATGACTTGCTTGTTCCAGTGCATGATAGCACTATCCGCCTTGATGGGTCGTCTTATTACATTGTTATTGTTTTTGAGATCGACGATGATGACTTCGGGTGATGCGGTCTCATCCTTCTTCTCACGAACGCAGATAAAGGAATCTGATTCGAGTGTCTGGTTTGTCTATTAGCCCACACTCTAGGAGATAAAGAAGACCGCATCTGAACACTTACACATGAGTTGAATCCAATTGATGATTGCTAGACAGGAGAATCGATGTCAATAAAATAGATCGTGCTGTTGCCTGGGGCTGGAAGCGCTCTGGGGGTCGTGGCACCTACATCAACACCAATGCTGGTCAACTAAATCAAACAGTTAGCTTTATCCAGGGAAGATACTATCCAGCACAGAGATAGAGGCATACTTGGAGCAGCTCCGTGAACTTGATAGGCAATTTGCTACCCATCTTGACAGTATTTGCGCGAGGGGCGCCCGCTACCCGAAACCGTGCTCAATACCAGCAAATTAAAGACAGCGCGAGAATCCGTTTAAAGAGTGTAAGAATCCCAGGAGCTCCCAGAGGAAGAAGGGAATGCTGTGGGCGTTGACGGTTTGAGGACGGGATTATGTGTTTGGTTTCACGATTGCTTTGCTTCGCGAAATGGAAGCCAGGTAATATCTTACGGAGTACACATGTTCGGCAGCTAGCTGTAATCGTACTAGCGTTCTGGCAATTCCCCCCCGGATGACGAAAAGGGGTCGCCGAGTGAATTGAACCCAGGCTGTCAAATTATACCCAACTCGAGGAGATATTTATAGACCAACTTCAACATAATAATATTCTCTATCCAATGCATACATACAATCCAATGCATAATTACAGTAGTATGCGATCTTGAACGATTCTAATTCACCCTCTGAGGCCGTCAACAGAGGGAGCGCTCTATCCCCCAGTCAAGGAATGAAAAGCAATCCCTATCCAGATAGCCCTCCCTCACCTGGCTCTGTCTATATTTCATCTTTCACGATCTGAGCAAAAGCAAACCCTGGCTTCAGTATCTCAGCATCTACCTATAACCACTCTACATATCTCCGCAACATCAATGCAGAAAAAGTGGTCTTGCGCATTGGGCGACTCCCTCGCAGCATACAGTGGAGCTATCAGTTGATGCACCCACATAATCTTATACCATCTCCAAAGCAGAGTGCTCTTGTATCATTAGCTGTGAACCATGATGAAAGACTGACAGTTGAAAGAGCACTACGATCTACGCGTTATGCTTCCTCTTATGGCACAACCCCCCATCTGCGATATCTTCTTGGTGACCCTGCTTGATAATACTATCGTTTTCACTTCTTGTTCAAAGTCTAGTTCGTGGTCTGCTTATGCCACAAGGGCTTTGCATGGCAGCAATTCAAAGGGATCAAGCGGTTTTGTGATTCGGGGTCCCATGTTCTTGATCACTGAGGTGGTGAGAGTGTGAGTCCACGATTTCATACTAGAACGACAGATGCAATTCGTATCTACGTTATCATCTGACTAACTTTTTGCCCATTCTATCAACTCCTCTGGAGCATGCATAAGCTAATACGAATAGGAGAAGGTAGGAGGGCATAGATCGCCAAGCGGGATACAAAACCAGAATCAGACTACCATTTACGAGGTGCTCGGATCAAGTGTAACACCAGCAGCTACAGTAGCCCAGCCAATCAACCTGCTAAGGTGTCAGCAAACGAACATAGGAGGGCTTGGTTCAGAGAGATACTAACCGCCAATGCTTCTCAATACGACGACTCAGAGCAACCTTCTCCCCCACGTTCGTGCAAGCGGGACTTGTCAACACCAACTTCGCAGCGTCCTGCTTCACAGCCACAACCTTCGCACCGGTAGCCGTAGAGCCAATGTTTACCATAAGAACTTCGTTCTTGGCCAGCTTAGCAACCTTAGCTTGCTTACCATCTGCCGTCTTGACACCCAGGAGTCTTCGCAAGAGATAGTAGTTGACTTCGATCTCAACGTAAATATCCGGAAGACGGCCCTTCAGACCAACGACGAAACCGACCAGACGATCAGCACGGCAAAGGGTGGGATCGATTCGAGTTCCAACACCAATAAGCCCACCAGGAACTGCGTACTTCAGGTCGTTGTTTTCTGAGTTCAGTGTGACGATTCTGCTGAAAATGGGAGTGCACTGGATAGCCCCCTTCTCGTCTCGGGTGACGATTCCAGGTCGGATTTCGATTTCGTCACCAAGCTTCAGGACACCGTGCAGAATAGAACCACCAGCAACGCCCCCCTTCAGATCCTCGATCTCGGCACCGGGCTTGTTGACATCAAAAGATCGAATAACGATCATTTGAGGGTCCATCGAGAAGTCTCGGGGAGGAATGGGGATGGTATTAACAATTGCTTCGTTGATGGCATCGATATTGAACTTCAGCTGAGCAGAAATTGGGATAATTGGCGCTCCTCCAGCAACAGTTCCACGAATGAACTTCAATATTGACTGGTAGTGTTGGTTTGCGCCCTCTTCCCTCATCAAATCAACCTTGTTCTGTAGAATGATAATCTTGTCAAGCTTCATGATTTCGATAGCCGCAAGATGCTCGGAGGTCTGAGGCTGTGGGCAAGTCTCGTTACCGGCAATCAGCAGAAGAGCAGCATCCATGACTGCTGCACCAGACAACATAGTGCTCATGAGAATGTCGTGGCCAGGGCAATCGACGAAGCTTTGCACAGGTTAGTTCCCACTCCATAGTCATAGATCTGGAAGACATACGAAACATGTCGGAGCAATCTATATGTACCAGAACATCCTTCTCGTTCACAAGGGGGATCGACCTCCTTCTCGCTCTTGTAACTTCTGAAGCATCCTGGTCTTGGACACTCTGGATTGTCGCACTTGTAGATCTTCGCATTGGCATAACCAAGCTTAATCGTGATATTCCTTTCCAGCTCGTTTTTGAACCGGACTGTCTGCACACCTGAGATCGCCTTCACCACTGTCGATTTTCCGTGCGCCACATGGCCAATAGTACCAATATTGATCGTTGCTTGTCTGGCAATGATTTCTGGCGTCAGAGGATTCAGGGTCTTGACATCTAGGTCTTTGGGTTCTGTTTGGGGAGGTAGTGTGGGGCGTATGGTGGCCGGTGCAGCTTCTTTGTGAGAGGACTTCTTCAAGGCCGATTTGATTGGCTTCTCTTCGATCTCCTCGTGGTTGTCTTCCTGAGCCTCCAAGGTAGGGGATCCGGGACCAGAGTCCGAGTCAGACTCTAAGTCGTTGCCGTATCTGTCGCCGTTTTCAGCCATGATGGGTGGGTGTGATCGATGCGGTGTGGTGTTGTGTCGAAGATGAAAGTCGCGTGTGGTGGGGTAAATTTTGTGATTTTCTCGTGTGTGAGATAGAGGAGCGTGGCGGGACCAGATCGTAGAAATCGGAGGATTCTCGGGTATCTTGTCTTGCCGTGTCTGCAACCTCAGATACGTCGCTCCAGAGCTGTTTGTGGCAACAGAACAAATCCGGAGAAATATATTTCAGATATTCAAAGTCTCCAAGTGGGCTGAGTCACAACCGAACAGCAGAGCCTCAATTTGTGTCTGCCGGGGTACTAGCGCCGAATATCATAAGAGTGTCCCAGACAGACTTCCCATTTCCATTTCACTTCAGCTTGGAATGGATCCCTGGGAAGACAGACTTGGGACTTCATAGCATAACTGACCAATTTGCAATAACATTCATTCTTTAGAGATTTCCGGCATCATGGCAAACCCAGGCCTCGGCTCGGCGCACACGCTCCCTCGATTCTTGCTCCCCCGGTTGAGCTGGATTGCAGTTCCGGCCCATGGACAGACTATTCGAACATTGAGCGCTCTCTCCTACCGCTGCCCTCACCTACCGAAACCTGTAGAGAGGCCATTAACCCGCATTCCTACCGGTGCAAGGCCCCATGGCGCTCGATCAAAACCAAGCATCCTACAGAGCCCCTCCATTCACCGGGCTTTCCATGCAACAGCACGACAATGCCGAGACCATCACTTCGATACTCTTAAATTTGTGCAACGGCTACAAGAAGAAGGATTCTCAGAGAAGCAAGCAGTAGCTATGATGAGAGTCCTCAGCGATGTGATTGAAGAAAGGTCCGGCTATATTCCCCTCCCATCAAAATAAAAGCCCTCTTGACTCTTGTCTAGTATCCAAAACCTCACTCGCACCATGGTACTCCGTGAAGACCAAGCTAAAGCAACCTACACACAAAAAGTCGACTTCGCGAAACTGCGCTCTGAGCTGCTCTCAGCCGATTCCGCCGAATCCTCCACAACCCGCGCCTCACAAGAACGTCTTTCAAACGAGCTCGCGAAATTAAACAGCAGGCTACGGGACGAGATTAGTAGGACGCAGGCGTCTGTGAGGTTGGACCTGAATTTGGAGAAGGGGAGGATTAGAGAGGAAGCCAATGTGCAAGAGTTAAAGATTAAGGAGACGGAGACGAAGATCGAACAAGAGGTTGCGGGGCTGAGGGAGAAGCTGGAAGGGGTCAAGTTCCAGACCTTGCAATGGCTTATGGGTGTTTGCACCGGTAAGCATAAGGACCGCCCGGAGAAGCGGGGGCTCATGCTAATATTTCATAGGTACCGCCGCTTTGATTCTTGGTGCTTGGAGATTGTTGATGTAGACATATATATGGCATCCCGGTTTTGGGTAGGAAACAAATACAGTTTTTAATTTATGATTTTATCAAATCTTGCTATGCCCCAAGCGTCCAAAAGTAGGCGACTCGGAATGGACGAGGGTCTATATTGGTCGTCATCAGGGTTGATGAAAAGATCTATACGTGCTCCCTCAGCGTGCAGCTAAACTCCCCAGCTAATCGCTCAAACGAGTATAACTCTTGGGGTCGATAAATACTCTCTGGGGATCTGAAGGTTGAAACGCGGTCAAGGGTTGTCTGAAGATGGAAAATGATACTTTCCAAACACTTTAAATAAAGTTATAAATCTGTATAACTAATATGATGAATTTGTTGCCAAGTGGTACCATTCCTGGAGCTTTTCATGGTCTGAAGCTTTTATCCCGTGGGAAGTCCCTTCAAGCAGAGCCTCGGCTCCTTGTCTATAGAGGAGAAATAAAGCTATGTTTCTTTGTTCAGACACCAGTTATTTTATCGTTACCCCAAAGTTGTCAGTGTAAAGCGGGTGCTCGATTAGATGATATTGGATGCATTGCGAGTCTATATTTCCTCTTAAGTACTTATGTATTATCCAAGAGTAATCTTACAAGTCTTTAAAGAACGGAAAATTTTGGCAAGAGGCCTCAGAACCACTGCCTAAGTGAAGAAGAAGGGACATGATAGGAGCCCCTCCCGCTGTCAGATCGTCGATATCTCGAGTGATCTCGACTCTCGAGGAACAACAATGCCTCAAAGGGACCAGGTAGCAGCAGCCTTAGACATCAATATGTCATGTCCCTTGTATCGTTCGTTTAAATGTACCTATAATTACCCCACCATCAACCTCACCTCATCTACTGCTTCTCCCCCACCACCAACGGCCATGATATACCATGCCCTGTTTGCAACTGTTTCAACACAGCCAATACCTCAGACTCTCAGAGCGACTACTGTAGAAGCTGCAGGAGCTGCAAGATACCTGCCTACTAGTATTTAATCGCAAGCTTTCAACCTACCTTACCTACCTTAGCTGTTTTTAGACAGGCCCTCTTGCCCTCTTCCTCTCTAGGACTCTCAAGAATCAAGACTCTCTGAATATCCGATCCACGCGTCTAACAGATTTCAACTTTAATCTAAAACTATCTTTAGTCGAGCTAACCTCTCAATCATGCAATGTGAAGGAGAATAGAGCAAGGAATAAGCTCTTGCGAAACAGTGCTTTCAAGCTCCTAGCAATAAGGTAGATATACTTGGCTGTCTAAGCTACCTTAGGTTCTTAACAACCAGTTCGACATAATCTTTACCGACTTCATCATTAAAACCTTATAAACTAAAGTCCCACCCCCTTTCTCAACTTGAGCTATGCTTCCCAATCTCTCCTAGTTGTCTTCACATCTCCCTGAACGAAGTTCAACGAACTTCTATGAAAGAAGCACGTATCTCGTCGTTGGGAGATAAGCTATATATACTATCATATTCTAGCCTTGCCAGAGAAGGGAGGAAGATGAGGCAGAAGTATGTTTGAGATGTCAAATAGATTTGTCTCCCAACTGCCCAATTCTTTTCACTATCTTAGTGATGGAAAGATGCTCCTATGCGGAACCGGAATTCATGCTCTCTTTCCTTGGTTCTTGGCAAGAAAAAGAAAAGAGAGATATATAACTGTTGTATCTTCATAATGGCTCTTAGTATATTAAGCAATTGAGGACTTTTCCAACCGAGGCAGTTGACATAAAGCATCGGCATATCCGTTTTAAGGGTATTTACAGTTTGGGTCCCGGACCCGATGCGTCCTTCAAAGCAAGCTATGACTGTCCCAGCCCGAAATTCTGCAGCCAAACTCCATACCGATTTTGCATAACAGGATTGTCTTCATTCGTCCTTCGTGTCGTTTCATCTTCTATCATCTCCTTCGTCCTCGTCTGCTGGCTCGACCCTCACAAGAATTTCCTCGAGTAAGCCTTCGAGGAAAACATCAACATCTTTACCCATGCCCACTGGTTCTTGCTTGTCCCAGTGATCAATCTCTTTACACACATGTGCTAACTTATACACCAGTTTCCTCACTTTCTCATGTGCAGCTTGCGCTCGTTGCTGTCTAGGTGTTGCGCCTGTCTGACGGAAAGCCTGTTGAAGTCGATATTGCCGGCGTTTGAGAGCCTCCTCAAGTGCCGGGAAGATCACATCATTCAAAGCATCCAACTCACCATTGGGGCTGGCTGGGGCAGGAGATGGCATGGCGAGCGGTGCTCGAGATGACTCCGAAGATAGGCTTTCGCGTGAAGGTGTATTATCACGGAGCTTAGATGGCAAGGCTAATAACGGTGGTTGGCCAAGTTGTCGAGGATTTATATTTTGGGATGCCAATGGTTGTGGTGGTGGCAGCGGCTGCTGCTTTGACAAGCCAGTATTAGGTTGATTGGTGACTTTCTGTAAAGGTTGTGTATGTCCTCGGAATGGTGGAATTTCGGGGAGTTGAATAGGGCCAAGCTTTGGTAACTGTTTCTGTGTTACTGGTAGAGGAGGTACTGGTTGAGGAGCCTGGAATTGTACTGGTGGTGGTTGCACAATTTCCGGCTTCGCTGGCGGGGGCGAAGGAAGTGAGCCAAGGTTTAGATAACTCATATCTCTTTGCAGTTGCTCTTGTAATGAACGATCGTAGTCAGGAGTTTGGGGCGATTTTTGAGATTGAGACGTCTTCTGAGCCGTCCTTGGAGTCTCTGGGATCTCTGATCGATTTCTCTCCGGAGAGGGTGGTAAGGGCACTTTGGTGGGAGACTGAGGTTGCAGATTAGGGACTGGTCGTCGTTGTGGTGACGGCTGCCGTGGCTGATTACTGACAGGAGAACTCATGGCTTTGACGGTATCAGCACTGGATACGTATCCCGAGTCTTTCATCTTGGAAGGTGACTGTTCTCGAGGCCGTTCGGCGTAATCGTCTTCACTCTCAGATGATCTCGACGACCTTGCATTTGTGGCAGATTCTCCCATAGTATTGAGGCCCGCTCTTCCTGCACCTCTGCCCCCAACAGGTCGCACTGTACCGAAATCCCACAGATCCTCATTAACTGGCGCGGTAGGCGGATGTTCTTCTCGTTCATCGCCAGAATCATCGTTATCATTCTTATGGTGCACAGCCCACCGTTCGTATCTCTCGATCAATTCCGTTAAATATGAGGTCTTCTTTGCCCTTCGTACGAAGGGGTGTTTCAACAACTCCTTCGCCGATGGGCGTTTTCTAGGATCCTTCTGCAAGCATAGTTCGACAAACTCCTTGAAAGCCTTTGAAAAGTTGCCCTCCAACTCTGGCGGTGGGTTCTTGGGTATCAGGAACAGGACTTTCATAGGATGGATATCCGAGTAAGGAGGTTCGCCATTAGCTAGTTCCAGTGCAGTAATTCCTAATGACCAGATGTCCGCTTTGTGGTCATAACCAGACTGCTTGATGACTTCCGGCGCCATCCAGAATGGCGTCCCAACAAAGGTATTCTTCTTTGTCATTGTTGCCGACAACTGTCCCGAAACCCCAAAGTCTGCCAGCTTGACTTGTCCATTTGCCCCCAGCAAGACATTCGCAGCTTTCGTACAGAAGTTAGCCAAGACGACTAAGAGAATCCGTCAGCACCTCCCTACCTTTGATATCTCTGTGGAGCTTCTTGTCCCCATGAAGGTAGTCCAGGCCGAGCAACAATTCGCGTATTATGATCGAAATATATTCCTCTCCAATTAACCCGGGCTTCATCAAATCACCACAGCTTCCACCAGCGCAGAATTCCATGACAATCCATAGGTCTGAGCCTTTCAAGTATGATCCGTGGTATTGAGTAACGTATGGGGAGTGGAGTTCTGAGAGAATAGCAATCTCTTGTATGATATCCTCGACCTCGTCCTCTGCATTTTCGACATCGATCACTTTGATAGCAACAGCTTGTCCACTGCGTTTGTCGACTCTGTTCTATGTCAGCCTAAGCCCTATGCGATTGGAAGAGGACTTCAAAGAAGACCTACCCCTTGTAGACTTTCCCAAAGCTACCACCACCTATATTAGAGTGAGCATTGTGTTGCGAGCCAAGCGAAACTTCCAACAGCATACCTATGCAGTTTTGCTTTGTGTAGAGCGTCTCGGGATCCACGACACCACTCATCGTATCCTCCCCACTGGCCATCTTGTCGGCGCGTCACGTCCCAGGTATCGTAGCGAGTCACGCTTGACTGCTAGCTGGTCGCCGAATTGATTCTCCTTCCAGAGCTTGCGGCAGATACTGTTCCTGTGTATCGACCAAAAATTCGAGAGAGCGAAGACCTGAGAGAGAAGCTGAATGTCGAGGCTCCCTGGGAACGAATGTTATGCCCGAGATAGTCGTTGAGTTGGCAAGAAGCGCGCTCGTTAACGTGGTGATGGTGGGGCTTGGCCGTGGGACTTTTGAGACAACAACACCGGAATGCGGAGAGAGAAGGTGAATATACCCGACGACCTCTGGTGAAAACCAGAAAGATAATTCTTAGCCTTTCATGGTCTATATAATCGCTTGATTGGCTATTAGCCCACAGCTCACAGGAAGGGGAGAAGATCGAGAGTATGCGAACGTTGCGTTGCTATGCGTACGGTTGTTGCAAGGTGGGAATTTGGGAGGGGGAGAAGAGCTTTTTGAGATGGAATAATTGGAAATGCGTGGGGCCCAGATGTTTCGAAAGTCCGGGGAACGCAAGCACGATTGGATTGTCGAGTTCAACACCCGGAAAGCCTCTGTATAAAAGGTCCTTCGAAACGTCTAAAGGTCTCACGGAGAAGAGGGTTTCGCGATGGAGATTGGAACAGAAAATAAATAAATCAATAGCCTTTCTACTGTGAACGCGGGCAATTCGAGGTCGCTGTGATTTACACCCGGGCGCCGCTCACCGCCAACCATCTTGACCGTCAGGGGGGTTGTACATAATCACTCACTTCGGTTCCCTACTGTACTGTATGTTTCTGGACTATTGTTTATCTATTTGCTCGAGTCCAAGAGTGGCTTGTGAGTAAAGTTGTGGCATGCAGATATCATTGGCTGTCAATCACGATCTCTCATGTGGAAAGCTGTAGGGCTGGAGCAACCGGGCTGGAGCTTGGAGCCGAGTCCAAGCGCAGAAACAGAATGTCATTCATTGGTCGGAATGTGTTTCTCATTCACTTCTATGCTTAGTGTTTGCAATGGCAAAGTCTCCCTTCTAAAACGCAACGTGGAGGAACGGGGAAAGGCCATGGAAAGGGGAAATGCCGCTAGCCGCCTGTCTCGACACATCCGAGTAGGAACAGCGAGGCTCGAGCGAGATCCAGCAAAGAGGCTTGCCCCAATTCTTCAAAGGCAGCTGGTATCGCAATGCCTAATGTATCTCAACTATTCATCATTCGAGAATGGGGCCTAATCCTCAATGAATTCCACCATGACAGTCCCATTCTTAAGACCTGCATCTTCAATGGTCTCATCCAAATACTCGATGAGGTCCTTGCCCATCCCCTTCAAATCAAATTCAACTCCCGCCTTGCCCTCAAAGGGTTCCGCCTTGAGCCATTCATAAATACGTCGTACTGGATCATTGACATTAAATCGTCGTACAACGCGTCCATCGGCATGCCGGAACTGAATTCGAGTGACGTTTGGTCCTGGTTCAGGCTCAATGTGAGGATTGTCAGATGGGATTTGGGAGAATGGCGAAGCAGTTGTCGAACTCTCGTGACCATTCGAAGGCTCAGCAGTCTCCGCTTCAACCTCCTTTCCTTTTCCTTTGCTCACATCACCAAAGCTCTTTGTCAAATCATCCGGGTCGTGCTCTTTCGGGCCACGGGGTTGGGTGCTTGCGAGGCTATTTTGTAGAGCCAAGTCGAGCATCTCCTCCTCCGTGAGGCGGTTGACGTCCACCGATTTTGGCTTCTCTGGCTTCCGCTTGGCCACAGGGTTCTTCTTCGTGACATCAAGACTATACCGATCGAGGAATTCAACCAACTGCATCAGGAAGTCTCCGGCAACCGGCACAGGTGGACCGGACCATACTTTCACTTGCTCCCCAGTTCTTGGATCGACGATGGCAATATGAGGGTATGCCGCATCGCTGTCCTTTAACGGGAAGTAATATTGTATGTATTGGTTTCCTCGTGGATCGTCCTTGGAATACTGTATGAAGATAAAATTTTCCTTGACAAGCTCTCGAATCCCTTCATGCTTCCAGATATCGCGGTTCAGCTGTTGACAATCAAAAATAGAAGGGTCTTGAACGTTGACGAGAATCCACTTCTTCTCTTCTTTTCCCTTGTCCCGAGCATCATCCCAAGGGATCTGGCTCATGAGCTCGAAAGGTGGTCTGAAGAGTTCGGCCAGACGTGCAGCTTTCGATGACTGTTCGGATGCTCCTCCAGTTGCCTGTGCCAAACCTCGACGGCGTGTATCTGGATCGGCTGATTCGTCCCAGATCGATGGGATAGGGCGTTGGTTGAAGACGCCGGCACGACCTATAGACTTTTGATTAGCAGCTAGAATCAAACGCTGCTGGGAATATTGCTAAGAAGCATACCTGCTGACCTAGCTTGCTGTCGAGCTCGCATCTGTTGTAGTACATGTGCATGCATGTCATCGCCGTAATCTCCATCTGGCCCTCCCACTAGAGTCTCAGTTGTCCGTGCAATAGGTGCTCTCACGCCATCTGCATCGTAGCCACCACTGCTGTCGCCACCAGCGTATAACTCCTCCTGCATCCTTCTTGCCATAGCCTCATCGTCTTCATAGTGTGCAGCAACGCGAGAAGAGGACCGCTCCTCGCCATCCTCATCAACGTCCATGGGTACTTCATCATCAGAGTCCAGATGTACTACGCCCTGTGCATCTTGCCGTCCGATGCTGGTAGCACGAGGTTGAGGACGGGTAGAGCTCGGTATTCGAGGAGCTGGCGGATGAGGGTCTTGAGATATGCCGGATGCAAGATCGGGGGAGTCGAAAAAGAGTTGTATTGCCTGCTCGGTATTGTTCTCTGTCATTCCCAGATACCGCCTTGCTATGTCTGGGCTCGCGCCGGTAAAGGCAGTGAAAGTGTCGACTGCGTCATCCATGTTGAGAAGCTGTTGGCTTGAGTCGAACGGGGGCGGCTTCGTTGTTCGGAATCGCGTTGTTGCAAGGCTCGTGTTGAAGAAGTAATTTGAAGGCTGCACCGGGTGACGTCGAATGCGCAGGACGCACGATGCAAAGGACGGTAAGTGGGTGGAAGGAAGAGAAGACTTTCCTGCGGGAGTTATCGACTGGCTGTGAATCAGAAGGCCCAGCTGGAAGATTCACTTTTCTCCCAAAACATCATGTGCTGGCCTCTGGGTAAGTGCTGTATTATGTTTCATGTCACGGAGAGCGAAGATCGCGCTTGTTCGCCAGCCCCAACCAGCCGACGATAAGGCGCCAATCACACGTGACGATATGAGGCTGAAAACCCCTCCAAGAAGGCTGAGAATACAAGGCTGAAGATTTCAGGACCTCTGAGGGAATGCGTTGCAGCTTAAAACAACCCCTGTTGAAAGGTGGGCTGTTCGTAGAAAAGGAAGATGCTGCTATATCTGCTACATTTGTTCCCTCTTGAATCTCGACCTCGGTGCATTAATCAGGGGTTATTGTTGAGAAGCCCTAAAATGTGGCATTTATGGTGATATAATTCCTGTTGTCTAGCTATATTTCTAGATCCAAGGCGTAAGGTAGTCATCTCTCATAACAATCATCCAACGTTAACCCTCCACCGCCGCTGGCCCGAGTCATATGCCGTAAATTATTGGTGGCTGTCCGCGAAGCTCCCTTTCTTCGATCCAATCTACAGAAGTAGCGTCACCCGTATCCAACGTGGCTGCGCGCTGTTTCTCGTATATCTTCTCCAGTAAAGACCTCACACATCCAGTGCAACCGCCATAGCTATGTCGCTCCACTGTCTTCATCATGCTCAAAGCAAGGCTTTTCTCAGCCGGGTCAACTGTTGCGAAACCGGCTAGGAATAGAGGAAAAACGACAAATCGCGGATCGACTCGCTTGTCCGAGACTATCGTAAGTACTGATTCAATTATTTCCGTCGCACAGGTCCTGATTTGAACACCAGCATCTGGAGCAGGGTCGCGCAGTTGATTAGGAAACATGCTGGTATGGGCGTATATTATGCAGGCGCGAAACAGCATGTATGCCTGCTGTTGTTTAGTATAATCCTCATGGGGTGTTAGGGTGAACGCACCTGCTGAACCCAGGCAAAGACTCTGTGCGGTAGAGCTTCTAATCTGCCAAGCCATGTCCAATACTCCGGAAATCGAGCCTTCCAAGAAGCTCGGGAATGCTCTAACATGCGATGAAGGTTCTGGATTCGGGTTCGTCTGTTCATGAAAAATGCAGGTTCGGGTATTATTTGGGCTTGATTCCCATATTGTCTCGACTTTTCCTCAGCCCTAAGATCTCGAGCCAACTGTCCAACCTGCAAGGCAACCAACAGAACTTCTTGATTCAGTTCGGAGAGTGCTGGGAAAAAGGGCTGTTCTTCTGGATAGAGGACAGATGCCTGGCCCCGGGAGATAGGAGGTAGTGTCCTTTCAGGTGTGGGAAGCATATTTTCCTCCAGCAAGACTTCGACGAAACTTCCAGTTCCGCTGGCGCTCAAAAGCGCGTAAATATCGATGCGGCAGACGAGCCAGACAAGGAAGTCGTAGGTTTCCACTCTATGTGCTTGTCGTCGGAGAGTAACAATCCTCAAAAGCTGGTCACTTTTCATAGAATTAGCGGCAGATTTCTTGATTGAAGAACAACAAGGGCAGGAAATACGGACGTATGATGTTGCCACATATTGTTTTCCCTGTGTCCTGCAGCTGCAATCTTTGAGCGTATTAGAAAGTTACTTAAACAGTGTAACTTGCAGGTGAAAGGGAGATTTCTAAACCATACTTCATATAGCAAGAGAATGAAGTGTGTAAGAAACGCGCCGTCCGAGTATGAATCTTGCGAACTTTGTACGGTGATCTTCAATGCCGGGATCACTTGCTGATAGTGCTCTAAAGCGTCGGCGTTCCGCACTCCGTTCTGATGCGCCATGCTGAGAGCTGACAGAGCCATCATGGCATGGAAGAGCTATAAATCTATCAGTCTGGATAGACCAGTATAGATGCTGAAAAGGATTGCTCACCGGAGGGTAGGTCTGGGCTTGGAGTTCGAAAAGGTCTTGTCTGTCTTCCGGCCTTTGAGCCCGCAGTATATAAGGAGATATTACAGTCCGGTAATGCTGTAATAGCTGTGCATCCCACCCTCCATTGTGTGCTATGTCAAGGACTGGTGCATTTTGTCCATCCGTATGAACAGTATTCGGCTGCGGAACGAGACGTGATGTAGTAGCTGTAGAAGTTGGAGACAAAACCGGTGATGCTGGGCTGGTCGTGGATCTATTAGAGAGTTGTGAGGGTCCCTTGCGCGTAGGTTCTTCAAACACTTTGAGTATGACAACGTTGGGATCGTCCGGATCATCTATCGGGCTAACAGGTAAGTTGCTTGAAGCATCATGTTCATCAGCCGCCGGAGATAAGGATGCAAAACTTTGACTTGAGCCTGGAACAGACGTCTTCTCGTCTCGATACGCCGGCAATGACACAAAACTGCTCTGATTCGCAATGACATGATAAGTGCCCGGGTTCTGTAACTCTGCTTTTCGTTCTCGTTCCTCGTCTGTTGTCAATGCCGAGAATGGGGGCAGTAGATCCTCGACTGATCGATGTTGTGAGTTATCTCCCTGAGGCGCATTAGCTATACAGCTGTTAGCTACAGTTCAGACTGCATCTCCACAGCGTGCTTACGATCCCAGACAGTACTTCCCACGGTGGAGACCTCTTGCATCCGTTCAACAACTCTGGGGGTATCATCTCTAAAAGAAATTCGCGGGTTGTAATCGCTGAATTGACCGGCATTAGCTCTGTACGTCACAGAATTTTGGGGTCCAGATACCAAGTATAGTCCAAACGTAGGCATTGCTATGACTTTGCTAGCTTCCAACGTCCTTTTGGCTAATGTGGTAAAAGAGAGACAGACTCCACAGGCCGGCCGCTGCTCATCACACTTCACTTCTACTCCAGGTCAGGAATGAGAACATCCAGGCTGCGTCGAAAAGGAAAAGGAAACAGACTTCGAGATCTGCATGTCCTAAAGGCTCTTGTCAGAGAGGAATTTTTGGCTTGGGGTTTCGTTTACTGACCAACACCCACTTCGAGATCGAGGCGGCAGTCTATTCCCCCCGCTTCCAGACGGGATATTACCCCCTGCTGATGATGCCGAATAGGAACTGGGTGATGATTCTTGCCTGGGAGCTATGGGAGGCAGGCGAGCAGGTTCCCCCCTGGATGAATCACCACGCCGACGGCGACCTTGCATCTGCAAAGTGGTCGACTGTCATCGACCAGATGACAGGAACGGCCTGGGTAGCTGTCAAGCCAGATCTGGTCGGCCCGATGGGTCCTGTAGCGTTGTATTGGCAACCTTTGATATTGTGCAGAAATGCAGAGCGACGTTCTTTGTACCTATTGCCCCACGTAACGACGATTCTATTGTGGGCGGGAGCTGCCAGAGTAACGTTCAACGGCCCCAGGCTCGCTCCGACGTCCCTAAATTCCATGAACTTGCTGGGTCGTAAAAGCACAAATTTTTCTGCTGTTCATGGAAGGAATCGAGTCTTTGAGCCCCAAGACGAAGAGGGGGTTTTCGACTTTTCGGTACGCCCCTGGGGCGAAAAAGGCAATCGGAGCGAATGAGGGCCACAAGAACCACCTTAAGTAAGGAGGTTAACTGCCCGTCATACGTGTATACCTTCGGGACCCAGGTACACAGTATGCAGGTAATGTGTGCTCGTGCTGTGCTAGTGGGCACGAACAGATAAAGTAGGGACTATGATAGACCTAGGTTCCGCTCCTCTTCTTAAGGGGGTCTCTGGTCAGGAGACAATCACTCAAGCAAAAGGCGTTCTCCACATAAGTCTAAAAGCCAATACAGAACGGGTGGAGTTACGGAGAATTGCTATGTAGTAGTCCAAGAGACTCTTCGGCCATGTGCTACTTACCCTGCTTACCCCAACGTCGTTCATATATGGCACCTGTCTGTGGTCCAGGATTCAAGCAACGAGTGCTCCACACTGCCGAGCTGGTACCTATTTCTTAACGCTGTAGCTCATATGGTGGGGCTTTTTAAAGGCTGCGCAATATATCTGAGTGTGTGGCTTCTTAGGTAGTAGTGGATTCGAGAACTACCATCCGTCTGGAACAACTCATCAGTATAGAGTAAACATGAGAAATGTCGTGCAGTGGTGCTTAGCCCCCCGCAGGCCAACGCGCCACCTCCGTGGCAGAGATGTGCGACCGGACCTTGTACCCTAGCCACAGTAGAGCGTAATCAACAAGGCTCGCCCTAAGGTACTGTAAAACTTCAAGGGGCAAGATTGCCACATCTCTTCCCCGCCCTGGACGGTCGAGTGGAATTGATCCTCATGCCCAATGTAAATAGCTCAATAGCCGGGCTGACAGATGTCAAAGACTCTTAGGTCGGACTTTGGTGTAGCCGGGCTTTGGCACGAAGAGAACGATTTCAAGTCTATCATCTCCGGAAAGGTAAGAGCAAATTATTTTGGCCACCAGTGTTGGCCAATTGTGCTCGAGTATTTTTGAAATCCTCGTCGGCTGCGTTTACCCAGACTGCTGGGAAGGCCAACTTGTCACATAGCCGACGGTCTAACGCTTGAATGGCTGACTTTCATATACCATAGCACTGACTACGGAACAACGGTCGGAATATTTTTGGTCTCAGCGCCACCCGGGGTGAAGAAGAGGGCTATCGCCCAAGAGGGCTATCCCCAGAAAAGAACGCTGTTTCCTTTGCCCGCCAAGTCCCTGACAAGGCTTTGCCACAGCCTACCGGCAGGCTATTCTATCGTCCGAGGAATCATCAGAGCCCAGGGCCACGGGCCATATGCGCTGGGCCCTCGTTTTTACTGTCGACAGCGGAACCAAGTAATCAAGCGGATACATTTTTCACTTTTTCTGGAATGGTATTGGACTAGCTTGCAATGACGAGAGGTCGAGAGCGTTCGGATGGCAGCCGAGGGGTGGAGGATCAAGGGATCAGTTATCATTTCCTTACACAAAGAATGACATAACCCGATCGCCATCTCGAGGTCAAGGCATGGAGATCGCGAGCAAAGGTTGAAGATGGCTAAAAAAGGGGCGGGGGGAACGATGGTCGTTCAATCGGCCCACCAAGCCTCAGGCAGGCCGGCGCGTATAGCACGTGACCAACCGCCACTCCGCTTACGTAATGCAACACTTGCAGAATTGGACGCGGCTGGACGCGGCTGCAGGCGAAGACGGGCGGCAGGCAAGGAACGACGACGAATATACGCCATGGAAGGCATCAGATCCTCGTAACCCGCTTCTCCTGGCCACATCTACTTGTGATATTCTGCGTTCTGCACAAAACCGCCTCTCTCTCATCCTCTCGCCTTCTTTCAATCGTAATAAATGCATCGTCCGAGCAACCTCTTCCAAGATCACCGTCAAGATGTCCGCGTCGACAGAAGCCAGGGAGTTGGAACTGGTTGGGAAGGTCGAGATGCGAATAGCCCTTGCAAAAGATGACAAGCTTGAGTCCATTCTGAAGCCTTATCTGCCGCCATTGCTCTTGAAGCTTGCCAGTGAACACCAATCTGTGCGCAATAAGGTGAACTCCATAGATCGCGGCTCACCACGTGACATGGTTATGTTGACCTCTTTTAGGTGATTTCAACATGTCAGCATATCAAGATCCGCCTGGCTGGCAACAAGTACGTTTAAGAGTCCTCCGGTATGGCATGGCTTTGACTAAAGCTTGTTTCTAGGGGGATCGTTTTGCCGGTTGCTGCTTTACTGAAGCAGTACAAGGAGAACCCGGGTTCTTCCATGATACGGCACTTTGATCTTATGTTTATACAGCAAAGCATTGGAAAATTGTCTTCTTCCGTTCGTTCCATCCTATTCAAATAGGTCAAAGGAAATAGTGCTGACCAGGCAACAGGAGCAAATAGATTTACTCCCTACATTGCTCCATGGACTAGACAAAGACGCTGGGAAGCCCACATGCGCCACCATGTTTAATCTATTCCTTCGCCTCTTGCCAAAACTTCAAATACCTCCGCGTGGCAGTAAGGAAGATACAGAATTGAGACATCGGCTCGGACTTGATGATCACGTCGAGGATGCGAAATTTGTGGCATCATGGCTTGGAAAGCTACTACTACTAAGCATTGTGCGCTCTCAGGCCACAGGAGTGACTTGCCCGGGTCTTACTGTCTCAGAGTATGAATTCCTGACTCTGAGTTGGAAGCCAGAGACTTGGGACCCTAATTCTGACGGGGGGCTGAACCTGACCCAAACCAAAATAGTCGTTCTCTCTTTCCTCTCTAGTGGGGCTTTCACCGACGAAGAGCGCTTTTTGCCTGCATTGTTCGCTTCTGGAGACGCAAATTCTCGCATATCCAGCGTTGGTGATGATCTCTTGAAGCGGTCAACTGTATCGCTGGAAGACCCCGACCTGGTTGGCAACCTGTTGCAAATCTATTTCACTTTGAAGCCAGCTTTAAAAACCAAGCTACTAATTCTTTTGACAAAATCTGCTGTCTCAACAACGTTTCCGAGACAGATCGTCAGAATTGTGCAAGAAGGAATACAACCTGATGATAATACAAACCTCCCAGCTAAGGGACTCGAAACGGTGAAATTTCGAAATGCACTGTTCAACTACATGAACTGGGTATCACGGATGGGTTCCGTTGATAATTTAGGACAGGTTGCGCCGCAATTAGTCGGGTTCATGCGGAACTTCATTGAAGACCAAGGCTGGCCTATTCCTCATGAAAGGTCATCAGATACTGCTTCTTTACGAGAACTAGGCTATGAGACCCTTGGATCTCTGGCAAAAACGACCCCGTCGATCGTGTTAGAAAAAGAGCTATCGCTTGTACGCTGGCTTTTTAGATCACTAACAGAAGAGGGCTCTTCAGAAACCATTTTTGTTAGTATTGAAGGTGCTCTTGCAAGCTTGCTAAACGCATTCGCCCCTCCACTTGATCAAACATTGAGACGCGAACTGCGATTACTACTTTTGAAATACATGACACTGGAAGAAGGAGACGGCATCGTCAGGAGTGCTCGTTTCGCAACTGTTCGCTGGGCGAATAGATGCCTTGAGTATAACGACATCGTCGGGCGATGGATAGACATACTTGCGCTTGGTGCTCATCCGGATGAGCGCAGTGATGTCATTGAAGAGGGGAAGAAGGGTTTGGTGAGCCCCTTACAGATCGCATATAGCAATGTAGTTCTTATTAATATTTATTTAGGACCCCTATTGGTATCGACTCCTCAACTCATCCCCTGCCTCCTCTGATGTTACCCTTCCAGATTTCACCGAGATGGTCCGGATTTTCTTCTCTGGATATAGTCTGCTCGAGAATTCGACCGTTGCAAATGCTATGAAAACCGGTATGGAGGTGGATGGTGTATCCGTATTTGGAAATTTTCCGGGATCTAAGATCAACGCATTTGCTCCAGCTGTCAACTACTGCCGAAGGATGCTTTTGATGGCTGCTTTGGAACATTCGGAAACCCCACTCACTATTGATGCGGACTGGGAACGGCAACTAGACGTTCTCTTTCGCACTGACAAGAAGTCTCGAGAGGCCATGAAAGCTCACATTCGGACTGTGGACGAGAATTCACTTGAGATATATCTCACTGCCACCCTCGAAGGGATGTTACGAAACGATGGTAATGGCCTTGAGGATTGCGGTAGATGCTTTGTCGAGGTGGCTTCTATAGCACCCAGCAGCTGTATTGGCCGACTCGCTGGAAAGGCTGTTGAGCTTCTGTCAGCAGTCAAGTCTAACAATGTAGCCACCCGATTTCTTGCAGCACAAGCCCTCGGTATTCTTGCTCCGCACCCAGCGAATAAGAGCGACTCTCTCCAGAGATTGATTCAGTCGCTCTTGGTTGACGTAAAGCCGTGGTCTTCCGCTGTTGGTTCGGATGCAAACAAAGTTCATGGCTCAATCCTTGCACTTGGCTATATCCTGAGCCGAGCCTCTTACTACGGCCGCATTGATAATATTGATGGGCCGATTGTTCAAGATGTTGTCACACTCCTCCTCACAGTTCTAACCGGTGCGAGAGATGCTTCGACTAAAGAAGCTGTGTTCAATGCAATTGGTCAAATAAGTGCATCTGGTGTCCTAACCGCAGCGTACATTGACCAGTCATCCTCAAAACCAGGCGACATCATCGAATTACTGACGGGCGATGCAAAAAAGGGCAATGAGAAAGCGATCTCAGCTCTAGGGCGGTTAGCAATTATATTTGATGAAGATCCGGATGGCAAATCTGAAGGGCTACTCTCGGCCATACAAGCAAGCCTCTACGGGTTATTTGAACTGAAGCAAGTAGAAGTTCACTTCGCTGTTGGAGAGGCTTTGAGCTGCGCGGCTGCTTGTTGGCAATCCGATGCGCTTCTCCTGGGCCTAGACGTAGATACTACTTATCATGGGCGCATGAAACGGCCTCACACATTTGAAGCTTTACTACAAAAGCTCCTCCAGGATTGCAAAACAACAAAACCCTCTCTCAAAAAAGCGTCAGGAATTTGGCTTTTCTCTCTCATTCAATACTGTGGTCATCTTGCTGAAATCCAAGCCCGCCTGAGAGAATGTCAGGCCGCTTTCATGGAATTACTCTCTGCTCGAGACGAGCTTGTCCAAGAGACAGCATCGCGCGGCCTCAGTCTTGTATATGAGCAAGGGGATAAAGAGCTTAGGGAGAGGCTTGTCAAAGATCTTGTGGCCTCTTTTACTGGGACGAGTGCGCAGCTTAAAGTTGACGAAGAGACCGAGTTATTTGAACCCGGGGCTCTGCCCACAGGAGAGGGGAAGTCGATCACATCTTACAAAGATATAATCTCTTTGGCCAATGAGGTTGGCGACCAAAGCTTAGTATATAAGTTCATGTCGCTTGCATCAAACGCGGCGACCTGGTCTACACGAGCGGCATTTGGAAGGTTTGGGCTGAGTAGCATTCTTTCCGAGTCAGAGATCGATCCGAAGCTCTACCCAAAACTCTATCGCTACCGATTCGACCCAAACCCAAACGTCCAACGCTCGATGAACGATATTTGGAACGCTCTAGTCAAGGATTCGAGTGCAACTATCAATCAGTATTTTGAAGATATTCTAGCCGATCTATTGAAGAGCATTCTCGGTAAAGAATGGAGAACAAGGCAAGCATGCTGCAGTGCTATTGCAGATCTTATTCAGGGGAGAGATTTCGAGAAGTACGAAAAGCATCTTCATGACATATGGCAGGTGGCTTTCAAAGTTATGGATGACATTAAAGGTTCTGTTCGGGAAGCTGCCCTATCACTAAGCATGGTCTTGACTGGTATTCTTGTCCGCCAAGTAGAGGCAGGAACATCGTCAAAGCACGCTCAGGCGATGTTGAAAGAGGTCTTACCATTTCTCCTTTCTAGCCAGGGAATTGAGAGCTCGGCAAAAGAAGTTCAGACGTTTGCGACTGTCACAGTACTGAAGCTTATCAAAAGTGGCGGACAGGCACTTAGGCCATTTGTTCCGGACTTGGTTGAGCAACTAATTGGCCTTCTGAGTATACTGGAAACGGAAGGTGTTGATTACCTCTATCTGAGAGCAGCACAATACAATCTCACAGAAGAGAAGATCGACTCGGCGCGAACAAACGCTGTCTCTCAATCGCCGATTATGGAGTCGATCGAACGCTGTCTTGACCAGCTTGATGAGGCGACAATGAAAGAGCTCGTTCCTCGCCTCGAGAATGTGATTAAAACGACCGTTGGAATGCCATCAAAAATTGGTTGCAGTGGTGTTCTCGTCAGCCTTGCAACTAGACATTCATTTGTATTCCGACCTCATGCGGATGCCTTTCTGAAGATCGTAGAGAAGGCTGTTCTAGACCGCAACAACGCGGTCAGCGCCGCGTACGCAAGATCAGCAGGATACATGGCAAGACTTGGGTCTGATGATTCGCTGCTACGCCTCGCAACCTATTCAACAACCCTGTATTTCAACGCCGAGGATGAGACTCGCCGACAAGTTGCGGCTGATATAATCTATGCTGTCTCGAAGTTTGCTACAGATCGCTTCAATGCGCTTGCTGCAGATTTCTTACCATTTGTGTTTCTGGCAAAACATGATTCTGATGAACATGTCAAGGAGCAGTTCGAGAAGACGTGGTCGGAAAATGTGGGTGGGTCGCGCGCAGTACTTCTATACTTGAAGGAGATCAATGCTCTTTCTGTTGAACGTCTGGAATCTCCTAAGTGGGCGATCAAGCACTCGGCTGCCCTGACTATTGCAGATGCCGTGTCTTCTTCAGGAGCAGAGATAAGTGGGCCAAATGCTACCCTTATTTGGCCAGCCTTGGAGAAAGCCCTTGCTCTCAAAACATTTGACGGCAAAGAGAAGGTTCTTGATGCATTTGTCAAATTCACCAAAGCAGCCAGAACACTGTGGGAAAATGAACCTAGCATCGCCATCCAGATGAAAAAGATTGCCATTCGAGAGGCGAAGCGGAACAATGATGCATATCGGCCTCACGCTTTCACAAGCTTGGGAGAATACAGTGAGGCACGCACTGACATCGATATGTTCGACGAAGTCTACAATGTTATTGCGTCGATGCTCGAGGACCTCACAAACGAGGACAAGATGGATACCACAGATGATACCAAATCCAGTGGGACATCCAATGAGGCAGCTACCATTACTGCTGGCATCTCAGCCTTATTCCGGGCTGTAAACACCAAGCGTCTCGATCCTTCTCCATTGATTCACCTGCCCAGACTCCTGGATGTTGTCAAGGCAGTACTTCTTTCTACCAAGGTGACTGTTGCTACTCGACTAACATTATACGAACGCACAAAAGTACTCTTCGATGGTCTGAGTAAGGGAAAACATGCCCAAGATTCTAGCAGATATGAATTGGCACTTGGATTTTTCACACTGTTGGAATTGCCCAGCGGTTCCGGAAGTGAGATGATGAGGACAAAGAGGGGAGAAGCTGCCGAGACGATTGTGCAGGCTTTTGCAGGTGGTATTTTCGGGTTGTCCAGTGATGGGAGAGACGCTTGTAAGGAGAGCATGAGGGAGATGGTTGTGGAAGGAGGAAAACACGAGAGGTCACCAGGGGTAAAAGCTACCTTTGAGAGGGTCATAAGGGTGTTGCAAGAGTGATAGACAGCTACTTTAGATTACTAGAGCATATAGGTACCTACCTTTTCTCTTCCAAGGCACCGTTGATTGAGCGAGGCGCATCGCGCACGATGGTACGGTACCGTACCTGGGTAAAGTGTACCCCTGAATGATGACTAAATATTAAGGCAGCAATCCGTAAGGTATTTTCCCTGAGCGCGACCTCGAGTTTCTTGCAAGGCGTCAGTCACATTGTATGCTTCACCACTCAGTCACGCTGCAATGGCCCCTCCAATACCAAGAACGCTGTCGCGGCGGCTCTGCCAGCCGTCCTCTTCACTCCAGAAGTTCTTAGACCCTGCATCTCGAACCTTCAGAGCTCCAATTCGCAATTCCCCAGCTCGACGAAGCTACGCAACTGGCGAAAGTGGTCCAAACCCCAAACCTGGCCAGAGTCCGTTCAAAGTCTGGCCATTTGTTGCCTTGATGCTCGCAGGATCTGGGACTTATGCATTAATGGTCAAGAGTCGAGCAGGTACGTGTCAACAGCCCACGCTTCAAGATTTTGCGGCCCCTTTTCCAAAATCTCATGAAGCTCAATTCGAGAGCCGCTTTAACAGCCAAGATCAAGTACCGTTGATCCAACATCGACGCCCTTATTCAACACTTGTAACCTTGAAAATCCAATTCTCGACTGACGCGTGGATACTGGAATAGACATGGCGGCAAAAGCAGCAGCGGAAAAGCAGATCCCGGCTCCCAAGAAAGACACCCCAACCTTCTCTCCCTCGAAAGTCACCGTCCTCTTCGTCCTCGGCGGCCCTGGCGCAGGAAAAGGCACCCAATGTGCGAACCTCGTCCGCGATTACAACTTCACGCACCTCTCTGCCGGCGACTTGCTCCGCGCCGAGCAGGACCGTCCTGATTCCGAATTCGGCAATCTCATCAAGGAATATATCAAAGATGGCAAGATCGTCCCTATGGAGGTCACTGTGCAGTTGCTGGAGAACGCCATGATGGACGCCGTAAAGAAGGACAAGGATGGCAAAGGGAAATTCCTGATCGACGGTTTCCCGAGAAAGATGGACCAGGCGCTGAAGTTTGAGGAGAGCGTGTGCCCCTCTAAGTTCGTGCTGTTCTTCGATTGCCCGGAGGAGGTGATGCAGAAGAGGTTGTTGGAGCGTGGCAAGACGAGTGGAAGGGCGGACGATAATGAGGAGAGTATCAAGAAGCGGTTCAAAGTGTTCGAAGAGACTAGCATGCCGGTCGTCGATTACTTCGACAAGCAGGGACGAGTCGTAAAGATTGTGGCTACGAAGTCGCCAGCCGAAGTCTATAAGGAAACAAGGGGAAAACTGGAGGAGAGATTGGGGAAGAATTTCTAATTTTCTTTTGTTACTAGGGATGTATAAAGAAGGCCCGCTGGATTCACTGGGGCCATTGACTTCTCTTCATCAATGTATAGCATAGCGAGTTCTTTTAATGTGTTTTTAAGTTACCGTTGATACCTGGTATGCTAGGATCCAGCAAAATCGCTCATATGAACCTCATATATTCATCATCGAAAGCCTGAGAATCACCCTGCACCATGCCAGATGCCTATGCGACCAGTGTACAAAAATCTAATAACGCCGTGAGAAGACTTTTGGATACCGAAATCCGAGATGAAGCGAGATGCTTCGGCTCTTAATCAGTACCCATCTCGATCATATCCTTACCACCAGTTCTTCGTCCAGCACTCATGCCGGAAAGACCAGCAGCCTTTCGCTCAACCTCCTGCATCTCACGCTCCTTTTGCATCTCTGCCTGTTGTCTCTCCCTGCTAATAACCTCCTTGACAGATCTCAAGGTATTCTTCCAAGTATCAATTCTCGTAGCAACCTCACGCCACTGCTTCTCGCCAAAGACCCTGTACGTAGTTCGGTGAATGAGGAAGACCTGCTTCTGCTGTGACAGCTTGCCCTCAACCAAACCCGCACGGATAACATCAATCACCCATCTCTCAACATCCTCTCCAGGGATTTGCAAAGCCTTGGAGATGCGCTTGTACTCAAGCTCCTTGCTTGGCGTGCTGGCCGCCAAGCTTGCCAGGGTCAGAAGTCTCATCTTGCGGTGTAACTTGCTGTTGTCCAGACCCTCCTTCTCAATGAACCCCTCATGTTCATCTCTGAAGTCATTGTAGTCCTCGAGTTCTTTTTCGGCAAGGATCTCAAGCAATTCGGAGTAGATGGGGTGGGAATCGCTTAGGGCTTGAACTGTAGGAAGGGAAGTAAGATCGTGAAAGTCATAGTGCGTGTTTGAAAGGAGAGCAGCCTTGAGTGCACGAAGGGAGAGGTTTTGTGCTTCGGTCGAAGAGATCTCCTCGGGGTCCTTTGGGTCAAATGTGCGGAGTGACTTCAGAATGTATTGGTAGGCTTGCCTGTTCGAAGTACGATTATTAGCAAAAGGACTAGGTAGGCCTGGTAGAAAGGTCAAATTTACTCTTCTTCACCAGCATCCTCTGCAACATCTGCAATTTGGCCGAACAGTTTGCGCTGATCTTCTTCGTCAACTTCCCACTCCTCAAGCCAAGAATCCAACTTCTTCAGCTGTGGCTTCAGCATCTCGAAGAGACCGCCCGCCTTGACTAGTCGGAGGATTGCCTGGAAGACGTTGAAGCGGACCTCATTATCAGGTGCCAGGAGGTTGAAAATAGTAGTGAGAACGCTAAGCGCGAGACCTGGGCCGTTGATGGGGGAGGAGGTAATTGGCTTGGAAAGATTCTCGCAAATGCGGGGGAGGAACATGTTGACGTTTGGAGACTGCAGGACCAAGTAGACCAAGAGATTATATGCAGCAGTGAACTCCTTCTCTGGGGTCGAGTTAAGGGCGGTAGAGGCCGTTACAAGTTTCTTGAGGGCTTCATCCTTCTGGTTGTTATCGAGGAGGGGCTGAATATCTGCGCCAATGTTGAGGTAATCTCCCAACTCCTTCGCAAGATCGGCAAACGTGCCATCGATGAAGACGTGCTGCATAGCGGGCGCCATGTTGTGCGGTTGGTGCAGACACGTAAATGGGACGTGAGGTTCCTTGCAGCTGGTCGAGGTTCGGGGTCAAGGTCTACATATAAGTCTCTTGCGAATTTGTGCGATGCCCGCTGGTTTAGCGGCGACGGGATAATCATTATGCCGTTCCGAGCGAGACCAGGGAATATGGCTCCGATAGCATCAACCGAGCGAACGTTTCTTCCAGTTGAGTTGGTCACCGAAATGAACGAAAAAGGCAGAAAAATGTTTCTCTCAAGAATCTAATAGGATTGATGATGACTGACGCCTTGCTCTAGAATTCTAAGCACATGCCGAAGTAGCTTTCCAACTCCTTCACCGCCCCAGCTCGCAACGCCGTAGCCGTTGCAATCCATCCATCTGGTCTCAAAACCACAACTGCCCCTTCTTTTATGTCAACCCCGTACCTTTCATGAGCTGTATGTTTTTGATCATAGAACACCTTGCCAAGTGGCATTACTCCAAGAATTTCAAACGCTGACGGGCCGCCCTTTGCTGGTATCGTGAGCCAAGATATGGGCAAGGCGGCGTTGGAGAAAACTTTCGAAGTCTCTACAGCTGCGGAGAAATCTTTCAGATTCGACGAAGTGTATTCTGGCTCTCCAGAGAAGACAACAATGTGGAATCTTGCTATGTTGGGTGTTTCCTTGTGCAGTCTTGTTGCCTCGTTTGTCCCTGGCTTCTGCAACTGGACGTCGGGGCCTCTTTGACCTGGACTCACAGGAGCAGGATCACAGTTGGACACAAACGACCCTTTGACATTGATTGTATTGAGATCAAATGCAATGCTCAGGCCAGTCGTGAATGTTGATGCCTCTTCCATAACCACCCCAAGGATCTCATTGGGGTCTGCGTTTGGGTCTCCCTTCCAACCGATAGGCAATTGCATTGTCATCAACCTTGAAATATCCTTATCATAGTTGATGAGTTTATGAACATTGGGCAATCGTTCGGTTTCGTAAGTGTGGAGCAGAGATGGGGGCGCAATCCCTTTCAGGACCATTGAAAGTTTCCAGGCGAGGTTCACAGCATCATGCATGCCCGTGTTCATTCCTTGCGCTGCGCCTGAGCTATGCGTGTGGCAAGCGTCGCCAGCTAAGAAGACGCAATCTTTCGTGAAAAAATTTCTCGCAATCCGTTGGCCAACTGAGTAGACCGTATACCAGTCAACCTGCTTGAATTTCAGACTGAACGGCTTTACAGATTCAATGGCTTCTGCAACTGCTGCTGCCTCGTTGAATTCGGGGTAGGCTTTCTGGCGTTCTGCTGTGAACGCAAATCCGATTCGTGTGCCGCCATGATCTAAAGCTGCCCAGAGGACATTTCCATGTGTCGGGGACTCGATGGCGCCGTAAACTCGAGTTTTTGGCATATCGGTTTCAATGACCCCGTCAATTCTCACCCATTTGTCTTCCGTCGTGTTCCCATCAAAGGGCACTGCTAGAGCGCGTCTGACAAACGACTTCCCGCCATCAGCTCCTATCAAATACTTGCATTTTACGTTTGAAGTCTCTCCGCTCGCGCCATCTTTAACAATGGCAGTGATTCTGTAGCCGTCCTCCGGCGTTGTCTCCTGAACATCAACGCTCACCAACTCAACCGGAGCCTCCAGAGACACGCCTTCCTGCCTCAACCTCCTCCTGAAAATCTCCTCTTGATATTTCTGTCTCAAAACAAGCGCGAAATTCCACTGGGTATCCTTCATATTTTCCATAAAATACCACCCCCTACCTTTCACCTCCTTCCCATCTTTATCATAACTAACCGTACTCCTACATGCGAAGCATTCCTGGGCTAATTCGTCTGCAAGACCAAGTTGGTCAAGCATCTCGCTTGAACGGGGATAGAGAGTGATTGCCCGTCCATACTGATCCTGGGAAGATTTGGGGTACTTTTCAATGATAGCTATAGAGCGCGAGTGCCCAAATTTGGCGAGTTGGAAGGCGGTTACGAGACCTAGGTCAGGTTCAGTCTGAGACCAAAGATCATCAAAGGCAGGAATTATACCAACTGGACCACCGCCCACTATTAGGACATCCACGTGACGGATGTCTTTTTCTTTACTGCCCATTTTCAATTAACCGAACCGGCAAAGGTGTCAGTGAGGTAAGAGGAAATATCAACAAGTTCAGAGCCCAAGCACCTGTCAAAGAGGCTCAGCTACCTTATATATAGCTTATCGCCCCACACGACCCCACCTTTGGGGTCGGGGAATTGAATCGGCCACCGTCGGGCGTCCAAGAGTTCATTTAATTTTCAATTCTATTCTGAATATAGTGCTAGAAGTCCTCAACGTTCCACTCCGCCTTCTTGCTACCAGCCAGCGTACTGACATCTCTCTTCAAAAATTGACCGTATCCTTTCTTTCCAACCAATCCTCCATTGTCCTTATCCCAGACGACCTCCCCTCTCAACACCGTGTACCTAGGCCACTGCTTCATGGTTCTACCCTCATATGGCGTATAATCGACATTATGATGCAGCATCTCATTCTTGAGCACGAACTCTTTCATACCCTCTGGATACCAAATAGTCAAATCCGCATCACTTTCGCCTGGGATCAAGGCTCCTTTCTTGGGATACAATCCATACAACTTCGCTGCGTTGGTGGATGTCACTTCTACGAATTTCTGTAATTTGAGACGGTTTGCAGACAATGCTAATGAAAGTCTTGTTTCGACACCCGGACATCCATTAGGGCTAGTTCGTAAAGTCAGTAACAATCTCTCTGTTTCCTTGAGATGGGATAGGAGTTTTGAACATGCTTCCAAAACACAACAAGGGATCTTTCTCTGGGAATACGCACATATATCTGAAATGGCCGTTCGGGTACTCGGGGGTGATGACTATTTTCTTGCCCTTCTCTGGGTCATCGTAGATAAACGGACAGTGGTCAGAGCTTAAGACCGTGAACGTCCCGTCTTCCAGCCCTCTCCAGATACCCTCGTGATCCTGCTCTCCTTCTCGCGGCGGAGGTGAGCACACGCATTTCGCCCCCTCGAAACCCGGCTGATCTAGGTCTTTCCGGGTGAGGAAGAGGTATTGCGGGCATGTCTCCGCGTATACCGGCAGGCCCTTTTTCTGAGCATCCGAGATATGCTTCGCGGCCGCTGGCGAAGAAACGTGAACGATGAGGATAGGCACGTCGATGAAACCGCTGAAGCTGATAGCTCTGTACGTAGCCTCGATTTCGGCTACGGGAGGGTGGCTTGTGGCATGATACTTGGGGGCGAAGAGCTTCTTCTCCTCCAGCCTCTTGATCGTCCAGTCGATGATGGCCCCGTTCTCGGCGTGCACCATGGTGACGATCTTCTGCTTCCGGGCTTCGAAAAGCACGTCCAGGATCTCGGAATCTTGTAGCTGCAAGGCCTCATAGGTCATGTATATTTTGAGTGAAGAGATCCCCGCTTCGCGGAGAGCAGCGAACTCGGAGATGGCTTTGGGCCCAGCGTTGGAACATATCAGATGGAAACTGTAGTCTGAATAGCAGTTGTCTTTTGCTCTGGCGTGTGTGGCCTCCAGACAGGCGAGGAGAGAGGGCTCGCTCTTATGCTGCGGTGCGAATGTTATGACTGTCGTAGTCCCTCCGGCGATAGCAGACCTCGTCCCTAGGAGAAGATTAACTTCAGATCTGCAAAGCTGCGCTCACGACTAACCAGTCTCATAGTTATCTGCAGTTGCACTTTTTCCGAACAATGGAGGCTCGTCTGATAAATATTAGCATCTCCTTTCATAGCATTTAGAATTCAAAATGACTTACCCAAATGTACGTGAGCGTCTACACCACCTGGCTGGAAAAGAGTATCAGCAGAGGGATCTTCTGACGAAGCTTAACCAATTCTTGAGAGGCCAATGCTCTCTTACCATAACCATCCCGCCTTGAGCATCAATTGTCTTTTTGGATTTCTCTCCGGCCAAAGAGCCCCTCGGGACAACCTTAGCAATCTTCCCATCCTTAACTGCAATATCAAACTCCCCAGTTTCGCTATCTGTCACGACGAGTCCATTCAGGACCAGCAAATCATATTCAGCCATCTTTGTACAAGAACAGGAGGATTCGATTCCGGCCACAGACCAAAGCAGGAAATGGAGAGGAGGCCATTCTGGCTTGTTGCGTACGGACTGTTCAGTATTTACTTCCCCACCTTTGAATGCCGCTTTGCTCCTTCTTTGACGGAGAAGATATGATATCAACCGCTTATCGAGCGCTATCTACGGGCTAAGCTCTCATCTCCTCTACCCGAGTTCGCCGCACCGCCGTTGTTCGAAACTAGCGGCAGTCAACCCCTGTTTACGTACGGAGAATATGTAAACCCACTCCGTTTATCAAGCAATCATTACCTGAGATTCATTACTTTAGCGAATCCCCCCTTAAATCCCCTTAAATGCTCCATTCGCGACTGCTTACTAATCACATATTTTCAGGTCACGTGTCTCAGCATTGCAGAAGCGAACGACTGCCAACCTGGAAAGGAACAGTACCTATAGGCATCAGGTCTTAGATCTCCATTGTTGTTAGGGAAAACTCCCATAAATCCAGGACTTGCCTGACGTGAGAGTGCAAGCGCTATTCCCACAGTCTTGGAAACCCCCTTCTGCTCGACTTTCTGCTTTGCAATATCGTCCACCAACTTACGCCCTTCCTCTGAAGGCAACATAGCCATAATGATGAACCTTCAGGGCTTTCCCGACGATATCTTCACCTTGATCATTGAGCACTTGGTTGCTTCCATCGGGATTTTCAAAGCGGTTCGGCTCAGAGTAGTAAACAGTAGGTCGAAATGCTCCTCCAGAGAGAAGACGCGTGGCCGCTTTTGTCATCTCAATACCTAACGGCGGCGGCCAACGCAATCATCACCTTTAGGAACATTTAACTCTGCTATTCTGCTTGCTATCTGTACCAGCCAAGTTGTCGACATCAATGATCCAGCTACACCATTCTTGTACTGGTGGATGCCGCAATCACTTAAAGGGAAGATCCTACTCGTAAAATCTCGTTCTCAAGAAGCCGCAAAGGACAAAATTCTCTCTGTTATCGCCAGTGTCAATCGGGCGCTGGACGACTTGACCCAACCAAATGAGGAACGCCGAATCGAACAGCATCAAATGATTGCTGAGGCTGCTGCGGCTGCTCCTCTAGACAGGAACTATGTGATCATGATCAACGAACGAAAGCAAGAGTTCGACATGAAAATGGAAGCACAGAATATCTTGAGCGGTGCTATTATAATCGGCAATTTACCCCTCGTTATGTCTCTGCTAACGAGAGATTCTCCCGTCTTGGCTGATGTCAACACGGAGAGCCCCTATTTTGGCCGACCTTTACAGCTTGCTGCTGCCTGGGGTCATCTTCAAATCGTTCGCTATCTTCTAGACTGTGGTGCTGATCCTCACGATGCCGAGATAGGGGGGAACAGTAACTACTGGGATCCAAGCGGGGAGCTGAGGCTTTGGGATAGACACGTATACCAAAGTTCAGTGGGAAGCGCGTTGCGAGCCGCAGTACTGGGAGGTCATGAAGAAATTGTCCGCCTGCTTCTGAAGCCTGAGTATCGACTATCTCCCTCCAATGCGGAGTATCTGCGAGCCATTCTGGCTGCAGCCCGAGGTGGCCATATCCATCTCATACATCTCCTTCTCCAAGTCACGGGCAAAACCTTGTGCGAACTCAAAGAGTTGGGAGAGGAAATGCTCTGGGAGGCGGTACGCCATAATCAAGGAGACGTGGTGCAGATGCTTCTGGATAACGGTGTCAACGTCAACGCGGCGCCATATCCGAGCTGTAGGATCTATGGCTGTGCACTAGGCATTGCCGCATCACAAGGATACGAACGGATGGTTCGTCTTCTGTTAGATCGCGGGGCAGATGTGAATCTTGAAGTCACCCCGCATGGTCACCCCATCGAGGGCGCTGCCCGTGGTGGACATGAAGAAGTAGTAGAGCTACTACTTGAACATGGAGCTAGCCCCGAGAGAGCTTTTGTACGCGCTGCGGACGGAGGGCAGTGGCGCTTAATACGGCGGCTCTTGGACAAGGAAGTGAACTTCCATGCAAAGAAAGGGATTTATGGGGGGACGATTGGGATGGAGGCACTTCAGAAGGCAATTATAGTGAAAAATCCGACGGTGATTTCCATGTTAGTGGATGCTGGTGTCCCACTCAATGACAGTTTTCCGACTCCCGACGGACTCCCAATGGTTCTCGCAAAAACGTGTGCAGCAGAATGGATAGTAGACCTTCTCCTCTCGCTGGGGGCCGAGGATCGAGAAATTGACCTTCATTATAGGTCAAACAATTATTCGGAGGATCGCTATGACCAACAGATGGAGAGAGGAGGGGTCCGAATCACCAAAAGAACGTGGGAATGGGTTGGCAAGTATTAATGATATGGCGGTTTGTGATTTACAGGTCAGGTAAAGGCGAGGCGTTCTTATTTTCGGTATGTTATTTTGACTCACGGCTACCTTACATTCAATAGCATTTAAGCTACTGAAACTTCACGTTTTGAAAGAGTACACCCACTCGTTGATCAGGCAATCATTAGCGAATCGCCCCCCTGAATCCTTTGAATAGGGGTTGGCAATACTGTACGGTATCAAGATAAGATCACAAGTCTTTACAGGTCAACCATTCGGTTTGTTCCAAGAGAGTGAAGAGATAGCATTTGAATCAGCAAGATGGATTACTAAAGGTATATGATTCAAGATGTTGTGTTGTCCCCACCTGACAAGATCAACCCCGCCATCGCTAGCGCAAACACCAGCCAGCCCTGTTGATATCCCATGTTACTATCCTGGCCCCTCATGACTTGCATGGGGATAACTGGCATTGAATGGCACCTGCCTATTCATAAAAGCTCGACCTGGTGCATAGAGGCACTTCTAACAGCAGCATCATTTCTCAACATCGACAACCTTGAAGTCTTTGAGTGCCTTCTCCAATGCATCTAGCTTCCTTGGTACAAACTTTGCCTTGTATCTTTTCGGCATTGATACGAGACTCGTAGGGTCTGAAATGCCCGAAAGGGGATGGCAATCGACGTCGTCAGACTTCTGGATGTGGAATGTGTTGAGCATGCGGATGAAAACCAGGTATAGTTCACGGTTCGCCAGAAGTGATCCTGCACACATTCGATAACCTAGGCCGTACGTGAACAGCGGGGCATCAGGCTGCTCAAGCCATCTTTCGGGTCGGAATTCCTCGGGGTCGGCCCAAACGGCCTCATCTGTCTAGGATGTCAGCAGCAGAAAGTAAGGGGTATAGGATGAGAGATTCACCCATATTGCACGCCCATGCATTAAGGAAGTATACTGTTCTTTTTGGCAACACGATGCCTTCGTAAGTAACATCCTTAATGGAAACGCGAGGCAGAGCCAGGCGCAGGACGGTATAATATCTGTTTGGTTAACTTCGTACTGACCCAAATCTAACATAATGCTTACCTCAGGCACTCTCGGACAAGAGCCACGATATATGGGCACTTTTGGTCGTCCAAGGCATCACACAAGGGTTGATCGACTGAATAAAACTCTGAAATTTCCTTCCAGGCTTTCTGCTGAATATCCTCTCGCTGAGCCAGCAACGCAATGGACCACTGCAGAAGTGTCGTGATCGTATCAAGCCCTCCGGAGAGCATAGTGAGACTGATCGATGTGAGCTCCTCGTTGTTGAGCTTGGCGTCTTGATCAAGAATGACATTTGCCTGGATGCATGGCGCGTGTGTGCCCTTCTCCATGCGGTCTTCCAGCCCTTGGTTCAATGCCTTCAAGTAGACATCCCGTCGACCTCGCATCTCACGGGCCTTTTTTGAGCCAAGGTTGAAGGGGTTAAGTCTCAGAAGAGGAATGTAGTCCTGAAGATTTCCGGTGGTTGAACGGAATCTACTTACTTCATCCTCGACGTGTGTGATCTCGTCAAATAGTGCGCTTTCTTGGCTCTCCATACGAATTCCCCAATTGATAGTGAGAGCTAAGCTTAGACTCAATCGCTGGATCATTGGCATTGGGTCAACTGGCACCGTGCCTTGCTTTCCATATTTTAATAATTCCACCAAGAAGTCCTTGCTCTCAAGATCAAGGTGGGGAACGTAAGTGTGGATGGAAGGTCGATTGAGAGCAGCAGAAGCGCCCTTTCTTCGCCGCTTCAACGAGTCACTGTATGGCGATGTCCCAATAGTGGTTCCAGCTGTGTTCGAAAGCACCTGCAATAACCATTAAGTTGAAATCAATCAAAAGTCCGTAGGAGAAATAGAATATACCTTGTGGAATGTGTAGAATTCCGGCCTCGAACTCAGTGCCTGAGCATTCTGTCCAAAGAGGGTCTTGGCGGCTGCGGCTGAATTTACGACAACTACCGGGATATTTCCTAGTTGGATTTGATAAACAGCGCCATGCTTCTTTGCCCATTGACGATATTTCTCTGCAGCATTGGTACGGATCTGCCATAGGTTTCCAATCAAAGGATATCCCGCGGGACCACTTAAACCCTTCACCCGAGCCTGCTCTCGGACAAATTCATTAACTATTATGTACAGGATAGGTATGATCGTAGCTAGGAACGCGAGGAAGCGGATAGGATATTCAACGGCGAGCAGCGGCACAATATGGACGAGGTCGCTAGGTGCCATCTTGAGCGGATTGAGTAACCTTTTAAAGCAGAGGAAAGGAAAAAGAGTAAGGCGAGGATTTAAGAGAGGAAGGGGAACAGACAAAGAAAAGTCCAACTTAAATTAAATTGCATGTCTCCCTGTTCCGTTGAGTTGAGGACGCGGCACACAACGTTGTCGAGGCGGTCGAAGGGTATTGCGGGGGAGATGTGGGGGAATGCGCTCCCCGCAGGAAGAACCATGGAAAACACGGGGAATGGTGCGCTCTAATTCCGAGCAACAAGAGAACACCGTCAACCACGGCTACAGTTCCGCTCTGGACTGTCCATTTCTGGGGGAATATTTGAGACGATGAGTTACTGATCATACGGGAGCCAAACCGGAGACCTCGCGGATTTCAGCTGATCTCAAGACTCAACTGGAAGAAGGACATATCCAAGGTATCATTTCCCGGGTCACACGTGATGGTTACGTAAGGTAAGGAATCGCGATATTAGCGGGCGCACGTGAGATGGTTACGTAAGGAAACCGTCATAGGCAGTCGCTCCTTCCGTTTAGGCAGCTGTGTCCTCCCTCGTAAGCTTGCCGCAGATAGTCTTCCTTCTTCTCCTTCCAATCTCGCCATCCCCATCTCAACTATCAACACACTTTCACATTTGCAATAAAAAGTATGGCAACAGAGGGCTGTCGAGGGTATTCGCGAAGGCAACAGAGGGCTGTCGAGATCTGTAGAGGCAACAGAGGGCGGTTCAGGACAAGGAAAACCCTCTTGGCGCCTGTGTGGACAAAATGATCGAGGAGGCGCCGTCGCTGCGATACGATGCCGAGCAGAGAATGGTTGCGAACGAAGGCGGCTTCACCCTTCTTGCGGAGATGCGTGAGATGCGTGCACGGATTATGGCACTTGAATCTCAATCACAAAAACTTGTATCACAATCACAAAAACTTGAATCACATCGCCAGAAGCATATGGACATTCGTCAAAGGGCCATCTCCACATGGGTGCGAGATGCGTTAAACGAAGACACAGAACGCCGGAAGGAGGAGATTCGCAGGTTGAATAAGGATGTGATCCACGGCGGTGACGTGCGATCGGACGCCATGGTGGTCACAGAACGCTACAAAAAAAGTAGTACCGAATGGCAATCCTTCGGTACGCTCTATGGCCTGAGCCCAGACGACGTCCATGATCTTGGTATTGTCTACAAATTCCCTTGATGCTCTTTTCTTCGCTAATATGTTCTAGATCAGCAACGATGCTATGGATCTTTGCAGGCCCTAGATAGAGCGGCTTCAATCCTTCTCAAAAACGCTCGAACAAGCCTCCCTACTGAGGTGATGAAGACGCGCCAGGACATTGTCGCTATGCTAATGGAGGGGGAATATGAAGAAGCTGAGAAGACGAGCAGCACTTTCCTTTGCGAGGACGAGTCGTCTGTGGCTGGAGAGTAGTTTTAATCCTGCGAAAATGAAGAAGCTGAGAAGATGAGCAGCACTTTCCTTTGCGAGGACGAGTCGTCTGTGGCTGGAGAGTAGTTCTAGTCCTGCCAAAAAGCTAGCTATTGCTATCAAATTAATCGCTTTCCAAGGAACGATCATCTTATGCTTGTAGACTAAGGATCTCTTTATAACGCGAACTACGTGCTTACGAGCTTCCAGTTTCATGGAATGGCGGTATATTCTTTCGAGGGGATTTATCCAGCCAAATTACATCAGGCATCCCTCCTTGATACTCGAATGCAAGTCGCTTAACCCAACCCGCACTCGGCGGTAGCCAGTCTGAGGACTTCCGCCTTGCCGCCGTTGACCGTTATCCTTGTCCTTGAGACTCGACACACCGGGAGAAACTGAGCGTGCACCACTCATAGCTGGGGGACATCGGCTTGTGCTTTGTTTTATGGGCCTTCTTGCATTATTGTCACGTCTTTGCCACCTGCAGACAAAAAGCTGCTTGGCGGGTACGGGCACTTGGGGCGTATACTTCTAGTCTGGGAAACACGTTAGGGTATGGATCTGGTTTGCTGCGCTTTTCTGGAATATCAGGTATCTTTCAGGAGGAGCGGGCTTGTGTGCCGTTTTATGCTGCTTGGGAAATACTATAGACATCTAACGAATCTCAGTTGATAAAAACCGTCAAAATGCTTCCATTATTAGAAGTGATGCGACAGACCATCAAGCGGAATTCGGTTGCTGGAATCAGCGCGCCCAAAAGCCTTCAATGTTGTCTGAAAACATAGCAGAATCACCCTCAAACACTGAAGCGCAAAGAAAATGCAGTACAGATCTCACAATATAGTAGCAGTCTTGAATGCCTGTAGCGAAGCACTGCCTGAAGCAAAACTTTTGCTCCCAATTAGCACTCTTCAGGACTTGTATACTCTGTTGCAATGCGACTGGCACCATCCTTGACGGTACAAAGATCATGCTCGATCTGACCAACTTGCTAGTTCACGCAGCGACATGTCCAGTTCCGTTCTTCATCCCAAGGATGGTCGAAGAGCCTACCTGATCAAGGGCAACAGACCGAACAGCCTCAATTCAGCCATTGTGGGAAATACTCTGGCAAGCCCCAGGTTCGAACCATTTCATCCCTTGGTTGTTATTCTCTTTGCACACCATCCCATAAAATTCCTCGAAGATCGCCTGCACTCAGGTCTTCTAGCATCTGATCAGTGGAATATCGTACATAAATTGAATTCAACTCCACTTGGAATCGTTGCTTGACTTTGCGTGTCACTGCTGGTGACTCCGACAGTAGTCACCTGTATGATGCACACTGTGATGAATCGCGCAGCAGTTATCTTTAACTTTGTAACATGCTTCGAGATCGGTTAAGGGTTTTGTGGACTACACTCTAGAACACACCATCGCGCCTGGAAACCGAGCTCCCTCTTCAGTTATTCGGTTTATTAGGGCAATTGGGCAGTGTGTTCTGAACCCCATTGTCGTGCAGTATGGAGTTCTAGGCAGCGTGTACACCTAAGGTTCCATCATGCCGGCTGTCTTTTCATCCGTCAGCGCGAGAAGATAGTTATTTATAACCAAATTACCTGTTGGTTTGATATCCAAGTGACTGCATTCCCATCGGTTTCCTGTCCTTGGAGGCCGCATAGCGAATATATTGCCCATTTGTTCCACTTCAACATCGTACCCCGAAGCTTTGCAGGTCTCCACGAGCCAATGTTCGACTCCATTATCCGCCTGGCTTAATGCGAGTCATCATATCCCTGTTGAGTTCGATAGCGTTCCCCATGATGTGCAGGTCGATTTCAGGGTGCTGTTCAGCCGCTTCCCGTCGATCCTGAAGGCATGGTGAGGCATTCTTCCGCAGGGAGCCTGTAGCCTGCAGGAGTAGAGGAACTTTCAATGGCCGAATGCCATGCTGGATGCGTGGATGATATCCCAATCATGACTTTAGGAGGCACACAAAGGCCACATGGTGGATTGATTGGGACGGATTGGAGGATAAGCTTAATTTCTTTCGCTCCTCCATTCCTGAAAACTTCCTTCAAGATCTTCCCTCAAAATAGCCTTGGATCCCCCGCTATCGACGGGTTAATCCCCCGCAAGGAACATCTCAACGGATTATTGGAGGAATGGATTGACACTAAGGAGGCAAGAATTCTTGTGTGCATACTACTGTACCATGATTACCATTGCCTGTAGTTCTGGGGAGAGAGTTGAACAACAGGGCCGAGGAATAAATAAGCGAGGTACCTTATCTTATCGTACCAAAATGTCCGTGGGTCTTCCGGTTAAGTTGCTGTATGGGAAAACGACAACCACCTTTCTTCATCGCTTCCACCTACAAAGAGTAGTCTCATCTTGAATGATAATGCGCCGGATAATTTTCCCGGTGGCATACTCGTGGATCTTTTGAAAACCCAAGATGAGCACCTCCGAATTGCTCACAAGCTTATTCCGCCGTCAGTACGGAGTTGGGATAGGATTGGCGGAGCCGCTTCAGCCACAACAGAAGCCGTACATGGCTTTCGAGGAATTTGGGTTATGGATCGAGCTTCATTTGTGCTGCTCTTTCATTGGGCACAGATCCTGAACGCTCCTGGCGGATAGCCAATGTGAACGCCTACTTCCATCCTGTCTGCCCGGTCCCCTTTTCAGTCGATTCTTGGACATGCTGCATAGGATCAAGACATTTCTTCAACACCAGCTTCGCAATTGAAGAACCACCATCATTGGTCAACCGATGAGGATAGGATCTCTTGGTAGGTTACCTAGGTTACATGATGGAAAATATTCTACCTATCCCATCACTCGGTCTGAGTAGGCTTGAGGATGCGATGAGTCGTCACTACTCAAGATTCAGGCAAGCTATTCCATACCCAAATCCCATGACATCTCATTGTAGGTAATTCTGGTGAAGTATATCATGGAGCTCTCCCGCAGTTCAAATCGACATCTCACAGGCATCTCATCAAGGACATCTCATTCATCAAGGGCATCTCATCAAGGCATCTTTCAGATATACCCATACTCCTTTCCTCATAAAGCTTCAAAGCCTCTCCTTATTTATACATTATGTCTCTCCCGTCGACACTGTTGTCAATTCTCTCGATCGCAGCTCTAGTCCAGGGGTTTCCTCTCGATGACCCAGATCTAGTCTCGCGTGCTACCGGCGAAAAAGTCACTGGTTCACTCGCTGTAAGTGGTAGCGGGTCGGGGGGCTCGGGGGGCTCATCTTCCGGCACTTCATCGTACACCATGTACACCGGTGATGGATCAGATTGGCCAAGCCTAGATAAATGGATAGGTTCCTTTGAAGATATGTAAGTCAATCACCATGCCTAAAACGGGACTTATTAACAGTTTCTTAGGTTCAACAACAACAAGCAGATCCTGAGCAGTTCTTGCTCACAATGGAATGTACCTAACAATAGCGAAGAGGAGATCAGCGCCATCCATGATGGAGTTCTGACGGTCTCTAAACAAACAAATGTCGATCCCAAGTACATCTTTGCCACCATCATGCAAGAATCCGGTGGGTGTGTCCGAGTTCCATCGACGAATGGTGGAGTTCAAAACCCCGGTATCATGCAAGACCACGACGGCTCTGCTAACTGCATCAATGTCAACCCTTGTCCCGCCAGCACAATCACTAAAATGATTAGCGAAGGCACTGCGGGAACTGCTAGTGGCGATGGACTTGCAAACTGTCTCAACCAGGCGGCCTCGATGGGAGGGAAAGGAGCACAGGCGTTCTACTGGGCGTCAAGAATATACAACACGGGGTCTTACATCGCAGGGTCTGACTTAGGAAAGCCCAAGTATGGAACATCTTGCTATTCTTCGGATATGGCGAACCGTTTGACTGGCTGGGTTGGTCTTAAAACATCTTGCACGTTGCCAAACCCTTAAGTTTGAGGTGAACGAAAAGCACACTTGGTTTTCTGGTACTGGTTAAAGCGCAGAACGTTTTGGTTTCGGGAATACATGGGAACTCATTTGGCACAGGAGTTGGATCAAGGGAAAAATCGGGACATATGGAGAACGGGATTGGATAGGGTATATACCATGGAGTTATTGAAACTGCTTTTATGGGAAATCTTTTCGAATATATCTCTCGTACCATTATCTCGTGATCAGTAAGTGATTCATACTGTGGCTGTTGAGCAAGCCCGCCGTAACCCATGATGAGCTCTTTGTTTGGCCGAGTTCCAACCCCAGAGCTTTGTCCTGCGAGTAGAAAGATACACAACGGACAATAAGTCAGCAATCATGACATTGATTCATTCGCCATTGCTCCCAAGACCATTTAACCACGCCTTTCATCTGGAAAGAGACTGCTCGTGTTGTAGGTGGTTGTTGGTATCTTCTGCTTGGGTTCCTCGCTAAGAACAAAGGAGACCTCCACAGATATGGTAAGCCCACCAAGAGCAAAATCAAAGAGTTCTTCAGAATTCAAAGAGAGATCGAATTTCAAGGTGCTATGTCATCGAGTCGTTTATTCAAACTAACAAAAGTGTATCACAGCGAAAGAACTTCTTTTGAGTGGAAATGCATATCAAGTAGAACACGATGTAAGAGTTCGGGGCTTCGACGCAGGCTCTATATTAGAGACTCATGCAAATTCCCACTAGATTTGATTTTTCTAGGATGAGTTTCCTCATACCTAATATAGCCACGAGATAAATTTACCAAAGACCCCCCTGCAAACTCACTACTTTCCACTTTACCTGGAAAAATATATAGCGTAAAGGGCCAAGTTCGCCGGCTGACATGTTCTTTATCGCTAGTCAAAGAACAAGAAGCCTTGAAGAGACTCGCCCCAATAACAAAGAAGGTGCAAACCAATATCAGATGCATCTCAGCATAGAGGTAGTATACCAATTTTACTTTACCCAGAAGGATCTGCTCAAAGATGCGTTGATTCGAATGTCAAATCAGAAAATCGGTTTGATCACAAATACTCAACTGTAGCGAGAAAATGGCGACAAACTCCGATTACAAGCCCTGGGCGCATCCCAAAGGTAGCTCTTATGCGTCTCTGGTGGAGCAAGGGATGGAAATAGTGTGCCCACCTGGTGTATCTGCTCCAGTTTCGACCCACGATTACATGAACAGAGAACTCCCTGCCATTCCCGGGTTCACCCAGAAACAAAATAATAGAGAACAACACAAGAATAGGATAACGATGCATCTTGACACAAGCCAGACTACCGAAGCAAGTCCCTCGTACAGATTCAGTTCTGAAAGGCCGCGACCTCTACCAGCCAAAGGCCAATCTTCGCTGAACACAATCCCCAGACTTATGCTGTCACCACCCACCCCGCTACTGTCTGAGAAGTCATCGCAGAAAATCTTGCAGTTGACTGGATTTGATCCAGGGCTTCAAAGAGCGATCCCTATTCCGCAGCAGCAGCATCATCCCATACTTCCTGAAGCGCCTGGCAGCTCTAGTGTATACAGCCAACCTGGAAAGGAATATGGAGGGCAAGAGGAGACTGCAAAAAACAACCGTGTCATTCCGGCAGGCACTGGTGAGATATATCCAGGTTCCGATTTACAGTCCGGACGAATCAAGCAGCAGTCACTCGGTGCCGCTGTCAGAGCTCGAAACTCTTCAAGCCCCACAAAATATAGCGGCCCGAAGGTCAACCAAGAGCACAGTACTAAAATCTTTACTGCGACAGGTCCAAATGAGCTTATACTTAAAGGATTCATAGATCAAGAACGCTCACAACATAAGAAAGGTTTCGGTGGCCTCGGGCATGATGTCGATGGCAAACATACTCCAGTGAGAAATGACGCAGATCGAGCCTTGGTGCCACTTCCATTAGCCGTTTGTGCAAAAGCAAAGAAGCCGGTGCATTTGAAGATAGAGAGATCCTCATTCTTTGCCGAAGTTCGAGATTCAATGGCCTGGGGTATCCGAGAGGTCACTTCACCAACCAGAAGTAAATATTTGACTACGAATCCAGTCAAAAAAGCCTCGCTCCAAGTGCCGCCAGCGGGAACCCCAAAACGAAAACAGAATTTCTCGACTGGAAAGCACCCATTGAAGAGTCCCTTCCCCTTCCCTCGAATCCGGAATCTCCCCGAGTCTGCAGAAGGCGATGATATGCCAGACAGAGCAATGCCGGCGGCTACAAGACAATCCTCTGTATGGAACTCATCTCCAACTAGCAAAAGCATTATACGCAATTCAGCTCGGGCTCCAGGCGGCCCTGACACGCCAATGCCTGTCAAGACTGGATTCATGTCAATACTTGCTCATATGAACGAAACAACCCAGTCTGAAGATTCTTCCAAGGCCAAACAGAAGTTAAAGGGAAAGACAACTGCTGAACGAAGAAGGGAAAGTCTGAAGAAGAAAATTGTAGTGGTTGGCATCTCGGACCAGTCTCCAGGTACTCTCCTCTCCCGCTAGAGAGCAAGCAGGCTAATTGCCTCTAGATGGAAGAGTGGCAGAATGGCTTTGAGAGGAGAACTGCCTGAATGAACTTTTGTCATGTTGCAGTGCGTGAAATATGTGTAGATAGTGGAAGCACTTGCTTTAATTCAATGACTCTTCAATCTATGAAACTTGGTTGACATGATGTATGTGAAATCGGAACCTATACAGCAATGGTACCATCTCCAACTGCACATCCAAAGCCGCCGACCGGTGACGCTTGGACTTCTCTAGCATCTCCATCTCCATAAAAATGTGCGCGTCACCCAGCAAACTTAGCTTAAGGTACCATGGGCGTACTGTACCGTGTAAAAAATTGTAAAAATAAAATAAAATAAAATATGCCACCCCTACAGCGGGGGGAAAGGGCAAAAAAGAAGCGAAGGCCAATGACCAGTCTGGGGTTCGATCCCAGGACCTTTTGCGTGTTAAGCAAACGTGATAACCAACTACACCAACCGGCCGTGTTTATTGATTTATTTTTCTGCTAAAAATGCTAATAACTAATACTCCAAATCGGCGTGCAAGATTGAGGTGGGTCTCGCCTGTTACGGTATTACTATGCTCCGTACGGAGTAATGCGTATGGCGACTAGTCCCAGATAGGCAGGTATTACATGTACCCCGCTGCCCCAGAGCTGCGCAAGGTACCAACCTCCAAGCCAACCACCTCCGTACCTAGTTGTCAAGTGGTTACGTAGTGTCGAGCTTCAGAGCTGTCAGCAACACCAGCCTCATCCTCCCACAACATCCTCTGAATAAACATCATAACTTTAACTATCTCGAATACAATTATGGGTGGAGAAACTTCCGAGGTAGCAAAGCTCAAGAGCTCATATCCCACGCGGTCTGCGCATCCTGTGGGACAATGGATACCCGACATCTACAAGAATCGCATTGCCGGTTTCTACAGTGGGGGACAATATGAGTCCAAGAACTTGCGGGCGTACGAATTCCTATTGCGCCCCTCGAAATGAGTTGTGCTGATTGAATGCTCTAAATAGTATGATGTATGAGGGCGTCGCCTCAGGGCCACCTCATGTCAAGCTCTCCGTGTGGGATGCGCCCGATCTCTCTCGACCTACCTTCAAAGAAGCAATGCGCCATGAATTCAGACCTACCTCGGTCGGTGAATGGTTTGGACCATCATGGTCGACCCATTGGTTTAAAGTCCAGCTCACCGTCCCATCCGAGCTTCGCAAAAAGGACCTCCTCGAGCTCCACTGGGATGCGAACAATGAGGGTATGGTCTGGACTGAGGATGGAAATCCTCTCCAAGGGTTGACTGGAGGCGGAGAGCGAACAGAATGGATATTGCCTGAGAAATTCCGAGACGGAAAAGAGCACACTATATATATCGAGATGGCTTGCAATGGCATGTTTGGCAATGCGCCCGGCGGAGACACGATTCAGCCGCCTGACCCCAACAAATACTTCCAATTAGGGAAGGCTGAAATTGTGGCCGTCAATGTTGAAGCTCGTCAGTTATACATTGATATTTGGATCATAGGAGATGCAGCTAGAGAGTTCCCGACGGATTCGTGGGAACAGCACAAGGCGTTGAGGGTTGCCAATGAGATCATCGAGACTTTCGAAGTCGGCAATCAAGACTCGATTATAAAAGGCCGCAAGATTGCTCAAGAATACCTGGGCAAGAACGTGAGCTCATCTGAGGTCTACAAAACCGGAACAAAGCCAATCGTCTACGGCATTGGTCACTGCCACATCGATACATGTTGGCTCTGGCCATGGGCTGAGACAAAGAGGAAGGTTGCTAGATCTTGGTCGAATCAGTGTGACTTGATGGATCGCTACCCCGAGCATCGGTTTACTTGCTCTCAGGCGCAGCAATATAAGTGGCTAAAGGAATATTATCCTTATGTCTTTGACCGAGTGAAAGAGAAGGTCAAGAAAGGTACATTCCAGCCAGTTGGAGGTAGCTGGGTTGAACATGATACCAACATGCCTAGTGGCGAGTCACTTGTCCGACAGTTTCTGTACGGCCAACGGCTTTTCGAAAGCTATTTTGGAGAGAGATGTCGGACTTTCTGGTTGCCTGATACTTTTGGTTACTCGAGCCAACTTCCGCAATTGTGCCGCCTGGCAGGTATGACACGATTTTTCACACAGAAATTGAGTTGGAACAACATAAATAAGTTCCCACACACCACTTTCAACTGGGTGTCTCTCGATGGTAGCCAAGTTATATGTCACATGTGCCCAGCAGAGACATATACCGCAGAGGCGCATTTTGGCGACGTGAAAAGGTCAGTGAGTCAGCACAAGTCGATGGATCAAGATGAGACTTCGCTGTTGGTTTTTGGAAAAGGCGATGGAGGTGGAGGACCAACTTGGGAGCATTTAGAGAAGCTTCGTCGCTGCCGTGGAATAAGCGACACGGTCGGTATGCTACCTAGAGTGCATATGGGTGACTCCGTGGAGGACTTCTTCGACCGCCTCGAGAACAGGGTTTCCGAGGGTCTTGATCTCGTAACATGGTATGGCGAGTTATACTTTGAGCTGCACCGCGGTACCTACACAACCCAGGCAAACAACAAGCGCAACAATAGGAAAGCCGAGATTATGCTCCGTGATATTGAGCAGCTGGCTACATTTGCAAGCATTAAATCTGGATTCAAATATCCCAAGGAGGATATTGACGACATGTGGGAGGCAGTGCTTCTATGCCAGTTCCACGATTGTCTTCCTGGTAGTTCCATTGAGATGTGTTACGATGACAGTGACGAGGTAAGTTTACTAGCCTTAAAGCTTTTACCTGTGCTAACGACATTCAGCTCTATGCCAAAGTATTCGAGACTGGCAAGAGAATTCTGAAAGAGCTTTATGCCTCTCTTGGCGTCCAGGAGGTCACCAATTCCAACACCAAGAGCAGTAGGGCTGCCCTGAACACTGTGCCAGTTGCCCTGAATACCATGCCATGGCACCGGAGGGAGATCATTGCCATTGGCAACAAGCAAGTTGGTGTAGCCTGTGGTGATGGCAATTTGCTAAACATTAAGACTTTCAAAATTGCTGAGACACCAGAAGTAACTGTCAAGGAGACTACAAAAGGTGTATTTGTCTTGCAGAACGATCAGCTGCGTGTCCAGGTCGTTAACGGAACAATCACTTCGCTTTATGACCGAAAGGCCGAAAGGGAGTTAATCCCTAAAGGGGGGAAGGCCAATCAACTTGTGATTTTCGACGACAAGCCTCTTTATTGGCAAGCTTGGGATGTTGAAGTCTTTCACTTGGACTCGCGAAAGGAGCTCTCCTCAGGTGAGACGAAAATCGTGCAAAGCGACGCGCATCAAGTCACTGTCATGACCGAGACCAAGATCAGCGACAAGAGTTGGGCAAAGACATACATTAGTCTGTCGGCTGCTTTCAAGGATCAGCAGTCCTATGTTGAGATGCACAGCGAGGTTGAGTGGAGGGAGGACATGAAGTTCCTGAAGGTTGAATTCCCTGTCGATATCCGGAACACCGAGGCATCTTACGAGACCCAATTCGGCATTGTCCGAAGACCAACACATTATAACACGACGTAAGTCACTTTATATATATGATGGAGGAGCTTTACTAACGGTAAACAGCTGGGATATGGCCAAATTCGAAGTCTGCTGCCATAAATTTGCTGACCTTTCTGAGCATGGCTATGGTGTCTCTATTCTGAACGACAGCAAGTACGGTTTTGCCACCTGCGGAAACCTCATGCGCCTCTCTCTCCTTCGTGCCCCGAAGGCGCCTGATGCGCATGCAGACATGGGCCGCCACCACATTCGCTGGGCTATTCTTCCACATCAAGGGGATCTCGGCTCTACCACGGTCCGCACTGCGTACAACTTTAATAATCCCTTGAAGCTAGTCCAGGCACCACAGACCATCGAATCCAGTGCTTTCAGCAAGCCGATCAAGTTGACTGGCAACCCATCCTTAGTCCTTGACACGATCAAGAGAGGTGAGGATGATGTGGATGTCAGTCGAGGTACATTGATGGTCAGGAACGGCAAGAGCGTAATCCTACGTATCTACGACAGTTTGGGGGGCACAAGCAAAGGCACGATTGAGACAACACTTGATGTAAAGAAGGTTTGGAAGACGAATATCCTGGAGGATGACGAGGAAGAGTATGCGATTGAGGATGGGAAGATTGGAATCACCCTGAAACCTTTCGAGGTTGCAACGTTCAGGCTGCAGCTTTAGTAGACCAGCATGAATATGGGAGATTGACGGCCCTTTGTTTCCATCCACCATGTCGCTGCAAGCCAATATGGACGCGGGGTGCTTGGCCGGGGATAGGGTCTGTAAGCAGGAGAGAGGTATACCTAGGTACCTACCTACCTACTTTGGAAGAAATGTAATAATGGGCTTTCTATGGTGATGATAGTACAAAATCACATACTTTGCTAAATCTGACAAAGACGGGGCCAGTGCGGACTTCGGAAAGGTAAATGATAGGACTTTGCCGCAATGCACGTTGTAGTGGCAGCATTATGTCAAGAGCACCTTGTCTGTCTATTTATATTGGAGTTGAAAACGCCGTACCGAGTGCATACCAGCCGACCTTGCCTCTCGGAGTTTAGCAACACAACGTAGCATTGGAGACTCGAGAGCCCCGGGCCGCGAGTAGCTGATTTATTAGTTCAACCCAAAATAAACCCCCTTTCGTAAAACCCCTGAAACGTATTGGCTCCCTCGTAAGTTGTAACCCCGTCGCGAATCAGAAGAGCTATGTGCCTCTCGCGTATGCTGGCGAGGGGCGAGGCGAGCTACCTTATCCATCACCCAGCCCATCACCCCTCAATAACCATTCTCGAACCGCGTTTCATGACAAACTCCGCCTCACCGATCAGCGTACAGTACGATACCATCAACACTATCAGACGATTACCAGCATTAGCGAGTCTACCGTGGTCACGGATTCACAGCCTCTGCAAACCTAAGCCAGGATGTCGCGGCTTCGGTTACCTCGCCGTCGTCTTCACGTAATGGCCTGGACGACGGCCTTGCGAAGTTGCGGTCGTCCCTCTCTCACCGTCCAGGGTACAAAAGGATCGCCCCTCCTCCTGCCTTGGTCTTGCTGCTAAGAGTCTCTGATATCACGGTGCTTCATCTGAAATCATGGTGGCCTTCTTCCCCTACCTCATTGCTGCGCTCGCGCTCTTCCTCCCCGCCGTCTCGGCGAAGACCGTCTTCGCCCACGTCGTCGTTGGCAACACCGCCGCTCACACCCAAGATACCTGGGCGACTGACATTTCGCTCGCCAAGGCCGCTGGTATCGATGCCTTCATCCTCAATATTGCTACTGGAGACAGCAATGTTCCTACGCAAGTCAGCAATGCCTTTGCCGCGGCCGACGCAGCCAACAACGGTTTCAAACTAGCCTTCTCTTTCGACTATGCTGGAGGCGCGGGCGCATGGCCTGCCACCGGGGACAGCTCTGTTGTTTCTTACCTAAACCAGTACAAGAGCCATCCGTCCTATTTCCTCTACAACAACATACCATTCGTGTCCACGTTCGAGGGAACAGGCAATGTGGGCGACTGGGCCCAAGGAGGGACTATCCGCTCTGCTGTGGGGGATCTCTATTTTGTCCCGGATTGGACCAGTCTTGGCCCTGGTGGAATTGGCGCTGATTTGAACAACATTGAAGGCTTCTTTAGCTGGGATATGTGGCCGCTAGGGGCGACGAATAAGACTGATGATTCGGATCTGGCATGGAAGTCTGCTGTATCGGGGAAGACTTATATGATGGGGGTGTCGCCATGGTTTTTCCACTCTACTGGCTCTGCTGGTCAACCCGCGTGGGTCTGGAGAGGTGATGATTTGGTGAGCCTTTATGGTTTGAATCTGAACGATCAATACTAACAAGATCCCAGTGGGCAGACAGATGGGCACAAACACTCCAAGTCAACCCTGATTTCGTTCAGTATGTCCCTCTGCAACAGTCCCTTCCATGTACAACTGCTAATGAATGCCCACAGGATCGTGACTTGGAATGATTTCGGCGAGGCTCATTACATAGGCCCCATCCACGACTCGAGCGAAATTCCCAGCGCCTCTCAAGTCTACGTCAACAACATGCCCCACGACTCCTGGCGTGACTTCCTACCTTACTACATCGCCCAATACAAGGGTGACACCAGCCCCCCTATCCCGCGCGACCAGATGCAATACTGGTACCACACGGCCCCCGTCGCTGGCGGCAGTACATGCGGCGTCAATGGTTACAGTAATTCGGACCCAGCAGCAGATCAAGGAACCTCCGCCAACGCCGTTGTGGAGGACGCCGTCTTCTTCAGCGCGCTGCTGACGGCAGATGCCGAAGTTCAGGTCCAGATCGGCAGCCATCCCCCGGTGAGCTACAGTGGGGTCAGGGGTATCAACCACTGGAGCCAGCCGTTTAATGGCCAGATTGGCGTGCCGGTTTTCAGCGTGGTTCGGAATGGCCAGACGGTGAAGAGCAGTACAGGAACGGCGGAGATCACGGCGTCGTCGACTCTAAGCAGCGGCTGCACGAATTACAACGCATGGGTCGGAAGTTTCTGATCTTACTATGAGCTATTTGTATAAATTTTTATATTTTCCTTTCTTTGGTGCTGCCACTTGGCAGTAATGTCTATAAATCTAAAGCGCATATTTCAGGAATAGTATAGGGGCTTGGGTGTGTGCGGGAAAATGAGGGTTTGCATAGTCAGGCGGAGTAAAGCAGAAGGTTAGGGATCAAAGCAATACATATATATCATTATGCTCTCAAGGGTATCTTCCACCTCGTTACAGACTTCATTCCAGAACCCTCGACGTCTCTGCTCCGCGGAACCTTTTCGGTTCCAGTCGTCCCCTTGATCTAGACAACGCTCCTCACCTTCCCCGTCTCGACCTCATAAACCCACCCGCTAATAGTGACAGTTTCGGGGATCAACTTCGAAGCCTTCAAAAAAGCGACATCGGTCTTCACAGCCTCATCCAGCTCCGCAAAAGGCTGAAAGTCACCCGCGAAAGCAGCCAGCTCGCCGACAGCCTCCTCGCCCAGATTCTTCCTCACGAGGCCCGCAGCGTCTTCATTCTTGAACGTCAGCATCCCGCAGCCCGTGTGCTTGATCAGCAGGATCTCCTGGGTGCCGAGCAGCTGCTCCGAGATGACGAGCGAGCGCAGAGCGTCTCGGGCGTTGCCGCCTGCGTTGCGGATTACGTGCGCGTCGCCCAGCGAGATGCCGTACGCGGCGGCGGGATCGATGCGGGCGTCCATGCAAGTCACTGATGTTTTTTGTGTTTTGTTAGTAGGGAGCGAGAGGAAAAAGAAGGGGGGAGAGGGGAGAGGACGAACCAACGGCGTATTTCTTGGCGGGTGGTAGGGCGAGATGGCCATCTTTGAAACTGGAGGCGTAGGTTTGGTTGGAGGTAACCAGATTCTCTTGGATTGGAGTGGGAGCCATAGTTTTCTTTTCTATATGATGAAGTCGTGAGTGTGCGGTGCGAGCCGTACGAAGAACAAACAGGTGGAGTAGGTACCTTACCCTGGGTATTAAAAGTTGGAGAGAGGGAGCACGATAGTTTATACACGGCCCGCAAGTCTGTCGACCTCCCAATGAGGGCTGTTCTGTTCTTGAAGCTGTCGATCTTGACCTTGGTGATATCACATCCTCCCAGTTCTCGGATTGCGCCATCACAGCGCCAATGAAGAGCTTCCAAACTGGAGCTTCGCCTGTGCGGTACGGGATGACACCATCTGCGCCATGGTTGTATGTTAGAGCGGGGTTTGAACACCAAGTACATTACAGTATCTCACATTATTACGGAACATGAATGGCTAAGCTACGCAGCAGATGGCTTAAAGATAGATCGGGTCGGTTCACCGGGTATGCCCTAGTTGAGCCGAGATGATATATACCCGGGCGGCTCGGCTCGGCAGAGTCGCTCACCCGTTCGGGCCCAATACATTAGCCATTATACCCGTCCACTCCTCCGGACTTGTAGCCGTTATGACGGCAGTCAGCCGGTATCTGCTTTGTAACGGGATATGAATTTGCGGGTTTTGCATTTCTATGGTAGCGATGTGGTTACGCCATGTTAGGCATTAACTAGTGTAATAGATATCTAGGTAGGTAAGGTAAGTTACCTACCTTACCTTAGATTATTCTAAGCCTCGAATAAAGAGAAGGTAAGGTAAGGTAGATATGCATCACAATGATAGAGGTTGGCATCGTGAACCTGAGGTACCTCGGCATTATCCAATTCTAGTTAGTTCAAAGAGTAGCGCCCGTAGGGAAGACATACCTTGGTCCGTGCGGCTCCGTTACCCCACAGTCGGGGCTGGTAAAGGCTGAAAGTCGTTCACAGTATTATACAACTCCTATCCTTCGACGATACGATTCTCATGCCGAGTCTGATCTCAATGGCCATAAGAATGAAGTAGCTCGGATTATAAAGAGCATTAAAGAGGCTGAGTGAACATGGCTCCGTTAACTCACGCCTCTGCGGTCAGTCATCCCCGTCCTTCAGCGAACTCGAACCTGACGAGAGAGTTAAGGCAGCTATCGCCCGATTAAGGGCCTACAAGCCCCCGCCCTTCTCAGTATGGGACCGTCTCCCCTTGAGCAGGAGGGCAGCTGTTCTGGTCCTCCTCTTCGCGGACCGCAGAGGAGATCTCCGCGTGGTCATTACCATGCGCGCAACGACTCTTCGCAATTTCTCCGGTAAAGAGCGCCCCGTTTCCCTCAAAAGCATCTCTCGAGACTGACATGGAGCAGGACAGGCCGCGTTTCCGGGCGGCAAGGCAGACACGCTCGAGGAAACGCCGTTCGAGGTAGCCCGCCGCGAAGCCTGGGAAGAAATCGGCCTTCCCAAGGACGACTCCAAGATCCCACACCCCTTCCGCATAGAACACCTCTGCCAGCTGCCATTTAGCCTATCCAAAACCGCGCTCGCCGTGCGTCCCTGCGTCGCATTCCTGCACTCCGATGATGCGAGCGGGAACCAAGCCAGTGTGGAAGAGAGCATGATCCCACGTCTCGATGCCAAAGAGGTAGCGGCCGTGTTCTCCGCGCCATTCCATAATTTCTTGAAGGCGGAAGATGAGGTTCGGGAGGGGGATAATCCGCCGGGGAAGAGGTCGGATTGGTATCATGGGCGGTGGATGCAATGGCATGACGGGAGGTGGAGAATGCATAATTTCTTCGTGCCGATCAATAACCAGAGGGTCAGCAAGCCGAAGGTCAGAGAGGGTGGTCAAGCAGCCATTGCTGAGCAACTAGATGAGGAAGAGTCGGAAGGTTTGACTAGGTATAAGGTCTGGGGAATGACAGCGCGGATGCTAGTCGATGCCGCGAGGGTGGCCTATGGAGAGGATCCGGAGTTTGAAGTAAGTTGAACCCAGTAAGCATAGGCGCTACCAGGCTGACAATCTATAGTTCAATGCTACCATGGGTGATGAAAAAACAATCGAGGATTTGGAGAAGATGGGTAAGCTCGGAGAGAAGACTCCTGTCGTCACGGAATCCGAAATAAGAGCTGCGAAGATAGCTACCTCAACAGCAGCAGGACAATCGAAGATTTAAAAATAAATATCAGGGAAATTGAACGCTGTGAGATGCAGAGCTCACCCGCTTTCTTTGCTGCATGCACTTATAAAATATTGATGGTGCCCCCCCCCCCCCTTCCCAGCTCTCCCAAAAAAGAGGTAAATCACCGCGTACAACAGCCCCAAAAAAAGAGTAAAGCACACAAGACCACCCCACGCCATCCCTCATACACCGTCCTCCACACCCCTCATTCCATCTAGAAACCAGCCTCTAAACCACTCACTTTACGTGCCCATCCCCAAGAGGTATACGATATGATTAAACGAGCGACTAATCGCAGCAGAATCTCCAAGTTTATACGATTTCGAGAGAACTCTTCTGTGTCTTGGTACGCAGGAAAGCTGGAGAAGGTATATATAAGAAGTATGAAATGAAGAGTTGAGAGGGAGTTCGCCATGGGAGGATGTTGATTTTGATCTCATATCCTGGACATATGCTCGGAAGATGCAATTGTGAAATCAGGTTTCGATAAGATGAAACCTACCTACCTACCTTACCTACCTAGATAGATAGAGAAGATCGGATCTTGGGTTGATTTTGTACAAATGCACTTCGCGAGAAAGATCTTGTTCACTACCAAATCCTAATTCATAGCTTCATTTCCGTCGCGCCAGTCCGCAGCTCCTCCTGCTCCTTCGCAATCCCGCTGTACTTGTTGATCCAGCCCAACACCTCATTATGCCATACCAGAGAGTTTTCTGGTTTCAATACCCACTAATATCCAGTCAGCTGCGACAATCTTAAGGCACTGAGGATTTGGAGTACTCACGTGATTCTCATCTGGGAATGTCAAAAACCGGCTATCGATCCCCTTCATCTGCAAGACGTTGAAGGGGGCCAGACCCTCCGAGATTGGGAGCCGATAGTCCAACTCATTATGGATAATCAGATGTGGTGTCGCCCAGTTTTGCACATATTTAGCCGGATCCCATTTCTCGTATCCTTCTCGGTTTTCCCATATCGTTCCGCCAAAGTCGTGATGAGGGAAGAATAGCTCGTCCGAGGCATATTGGTTCAAGGTGCTGAAGACTCCATCGTGTGTGACGAGCGCTTTGAATTTACGCCCTAGGGGGTGCCCTTGGATCCAGTTCACCATGTATCCACCATAAGATGCTCCGAGTGCGACGGCTCGAGAGGTATCTACAAAGGGAAGATTGGATTCGATATATTCGAATCCTTTAACAAGGTCCAAATAGGGTCTCCCACCCCATTGATTTTTGATTCCATTTTGGAGAGCCATACCGTACCCTGTGCTTCCAGTTGGGTTGGGAGTTACGACTACGTAACCCTGCTCGGCAAATACAGCTGGATTCCATCTGGTGGACCAGGCTTCATTCCATGCGCCTTGTGGCTATTGGCAAATCAGTAATCAAGTAAGAAAAGAATAACATATAGGCAACGTACCCCACCATGGATGAGATATGCCAGAGGATACTTCTTTGATTTATCAAAATTCGATGGCTTCACTACCCAAGCATGAACTTTATAATCGCCGGCACCAGTGTACCAGAACTCATCAACTTGATCCTGAGAAAGCCCGAACGTCTTGCCTGATTTGGAATTGGACGAGATTATGGAAGAACTTGATGGCTCTTTGGGGTCCAGAACAGAATAGACACTATTATCCACCAGCGAGTTACTGCTAATGAACAATTTTCCGTCTGGAAGGACTTTTGCGTCGGTGACAGTCCCATTGTTAACAAGGGCCTGGGGTAGATTGGTCGCATAGCGTGGTGAGGCCGGCAGCTTAAATAGCTTTCCCCGGCCGTTCTCCTCCGCTGTTACATAAAGCTCCGAGCCGTCTTGGCTGAATGTGATACTTTCTGGTCTCAAATCCCAGCCTCCTTCACCATCCTCTGTTTCAAAGAATTCCTGGACATTGGTAAGATCTGTGATATCAGGTACGATAAGTAGCCTGGGCTTGTCACTCTCGTACTGAATACTCCGCATCCTTGTGAACACGACGGACTTGGCATCTGGCGAAAACACTGGACTATTGCTGTATCCCTTCAGATTCCCGGTCTTGACAATCTGAGGCGAAGGAGCTTGGGACTCCCTGAAGGTTTTCAATGGGATATAGTAGAGGTCAGTCTTGGTATAGTTGGCGGGATTAAGCTTCGGGTCTTTGGCAACGAAGACAAGACCATTTTTGCTGATGTCGAAATCTCCTCGCCCTCCGAAAGTGGGCACCGGGGATTCCAGTGCGACTGAGTGACCTTTCAGCGCATTTATCAAAGGTTCCACTTTCATGCCCTGTATCCCTTGCGACTTTCTGAGCGTAGTGTACCAGATGCTGTTCGTACATTCTGACACGTATGCATCCCAATGTCTCACGAACAGACTCGAATACACCTTCCCTGTTGATTGTGGTTTCTTGGTATTCTCTGAGTTGTATAATTCCCCCGATGGAGAGGCCAGTCCTGTGACAGCGAGGGCTATAGTGTCGGAGTCGAGTCGAATGACTTTCAGATTGGAGACTTGCCCATCGAACGTTGCGATTGTCTCGGGCCTGTTTACATTCAGCTTCTAATTCAATAAGAGTAAAATCTAGGAATGCGTACCTCTGAGCAAGGTTTTCAGCATCTGCGAGCACCAGGTTCGTCTTCCCCTTCTCCCCTCCTGTCAACCACAGCACTAGGTTCTTTTCCAACAACCATGTCGGTTCAGTCGCATTAAGATCACTGCTCAACAGCTGCGATTGCCCAGTCTTTATATCTAGAACCCGAATCTCTGACGTCTTCGAATGCGATTGGAAGGAGTAGGTTGAGACAGTGAACAATGCGAGGGTCCCAGCTGGATTAGGAGTTGCGGCGGACCTGCGCGGGGCAGAAAGAAGGACCTCGGGCGTGAATTTGTTTGCGCGTACTGTCATCTTGACGTGAAGCCGAGGACTTATGAAGTTTAATTGAAGAAGAGGGATCGAACGAGGAGCGGAAGAGAGATGGGGGAGGGGGAGTGTAATTGCAACCCTGGAGCTTCAAGCACGACAGTATCTCCGCAACCAGGAGTTCGTGTCGGTACCCCACAAGACAAGGTGAAAGCTAACCTCTGATAGAAGGTCCCCAAGAGCTTAACCTTTGTCCAGAACTGAGGGGCCAATCAGAAACCAGCACGGATAAAAAACCACGTAGACAGAAGGTGAGTATATATCTCGTGAGGAAGGGCAATCAATTGCCTACTCCGTAGAAGGAATTTGGGCTCGAGATGATGGTGCTCTGTACCTTGTGAGGAGTCGGGAGCAACCAGCAAGTTCCCCGAACGCTACTGAAGTTGTTCCTGACTGTAGCGAGCGAGCCTCCAAAAGGATAGCTGTAGCCTCCCAAAAAAGAACAGCTTTGCACTGTACTACAGAGCATAATTCTATCAGAAGAAATGCGCTTACAGACAAGCAAGGTTCTTATCAATGAAGATATTAAAAAAAAAAAAAATAAAGAAAGATCTGTTCAAAAAAGAAAAGATTATCTTCTGACATGAGTGAGGTTTGAACTCACGCCTCTTGCGAGAGCGGTGTGTATATCCATGAGGACAACTTAAAACCGCCGCCTTAGACCACTCGGCCATCATGCCATGTTGTTTTGATCTAAAATCTATATCGCTAAATAAATATCGCTTCTTCCCGCCTCTGTTGACCCGTACTCCCGTCTTCTCTAGGGAATATTGCAATTGAGGACAACAACGAGCAACCTATACCATACTTCGTAAATAGCAACGCCTTCTGGCGCCAAGCTGTCTCCATCACCCTCCTTGGAACCGACGGCTTGCTCGTTCTCTTGTTGCTCGATTGATTCCCGGATTTCTGCACCAAAAACACCTTTCAGGAGTCCCGAGCCTCCCTCTCCAGGAAGCATCCTAGGACGCCCGCGTTCGCAAATGCGTAGCTCTCGAGAGCTGCATCACTCGAGAATTACACCTCAGGTCGGACTGTCGCAATGGCGCAATACTTTCTTGATCTCGTGTACACTTTTACCAATTGCCTAAGCTGTTTTCCAGGCTCTCCGAAGCTGAAGATCAACAACAGCAGCTTCAAGATCCTGCGATTACTGGGCGAGGTATGCAACACGGCCGCTGAACCCTAGGAGAACGATGCTGACACTCGTATCTTAGGGAGGGTTTTCATACGTCTACTTAGTCCAGGATACTAGCAATGAAGCTCTTTATGCCCTCAAGAAAATCCGATGCCCCTTCGGTCAAGAATCCGTTGCCCAAGCCATGAAGGAAGTGGAAGCTTATGCGCTCTTCTCACCACATCCGAATATCATCCACAGCGTCGACCATTGCGTCTCTGCGGATCGATCTGACCCGGGCGCAAAGACTGTGTATATTCTACTTCCATACTACCGCCGTGGGAACCTCCAGGATATGATAAATGCGAATTTGGTCAACCACACGAAGTTCCCCGAGAGAAGGTTGATGGTGCTCTTCCTGGGAGTTTGCAAGGCTCTGAAGGCAATGCATAATTACAGGGTTCAGGGAGGGCCTGGAGGTGCTAACAGCGTCAATAAAGCGAAGAAAATCCGGGGAATGGCGGCAAGGGCGGATCAGGAAGCGGAGGAGGAGGTACAGCAACGCAGAGGAAGGCAGAATGGAAGAGAATTGGATCCTGACAGTGAGCAACAAGAGCCGTTGATGGATGGAGAAGTTACAAGGAGCCAAGAAGGTGTTGCACCTGGCGAGATCAGGGCGTATGCGCACAGAGACATTAAACCCGGTAAGAGAGCCATACTCCAGCTAACGTGCATAACCTAATGCGTAGCAGGCAATATAATGATTGATGACGACGGCGAGCAACCAATTCTCATGGATCTCGGGTCTCTTGTGCCGTCACCAACACCGATTACTTCAAGATCCCAAGCAATCGCGGTACAAGACCAAGCAGCAGAACACTCGACTATGCCTTACCGTGCACCCGAGCTGTTCGACGTCAAGACAGGCAGCATAATCGATACGAAAGTTGACATCTGGTCACTCGGCTGTACCCTATACGCGTGTCTGGTGGGCAAGTCCCCCTTCGAAATGCGCAGTGATGAAACGGGTGGAAGTTTGAGTATCTGCATTTTGGGGGGCGACTGGAGATTTCCAGATGAGGGTGCAGGAGGGAAAAAGAAGGCTGCAAACCAGACTGGGCAGAGTGAAGATAGTGAGATCAGCGAGAGCATCAGAGAGGTAGTGAGGAAGTGTCTGGTTGTTGAGCCTGCCCAAAGGCCGGATGTCGATGAGCTCATTGACATTGTGACGAGGGTTATCGATGAGTTGCCTGCAGATGGGTCGTCCTAGTGTCAAGAGGATGGTCTGCCATGTATGATTTTTAGATGGGTGGGCGTTTGGTTCGGTGATCCAGCGAGAGGCAGAGCCTCTAGGATCTCCGCATTCGGATTTAAGGGATTACAAGTTCGGTACGGAATTCGAGGACTTCAATGCTGAGTGGAGCACTCAAATGATTGATCTTTTCGTATGCAATCTATTTCCGTCCAAGTACTTTGTACACATTTGATGGCTTACACCCCCCTTTAACGATCTGACCAATAGGAGACACACTTACGTATTATATAATACAAGCGGCTCTGATTCGGATCGAGGCTTAGACATCAACATCAACATTTACAAGGGTGCATTATTACAGTGCCTTCAAGGCAAAGATTAGCGGTAAGATCAACAGCTCCGCAACAAATTACCCCGTAGAACCAGTCTTCTGGGGGTTCGGGTTCGGGTTCGGGCCCAGTGCGGCAGTGCCCACAAAGCTTAGCTAGTCTGCGAGTTAAGAGGCCATCTCTACCCTCGGGTTGAGGCTCTTCAAGAGCTGTGACTGGCTTAGTCGTATCAAGGATTGATTACTGGTCTATGCGATGACAATACGTTGTAAGGCTATACCCCGGACCAGTATCGGTCAAGCATTTCCCTTCTACCCTTGTCTCAACAAGTATCGTTGAGATGGCTTCATATACGTACATGAGCATAAATATGGGAACTGAAGAAGTCTTCGGAGCTATATATGTGTGAAGGACCCAGCTTCATCATTTCTGTCTTTGTTCATCCTTCATTATCGTTTCACATTGATCTTCCTAAGGGTATTCAAAGTATCTGAATCTCGTCAGAGCTTCAGTATTCAAGGCTCTATGCAGATCGGACACTTCTCAACTCTATCCCTTCTAGGGTTATTTTTACCTCTTACTTCACATGCCTATCCAAACTGTCCATTATTGGGCCCGGATTTCCCAGCACCGACAAAGCTCTCATGTTCACCAACTATTCAGAGCGCAAAGGCCATCTTAACCCGAGCCCTCACCCAGGTCATCAATTCGAGCAACTCATCATATGGCCCCTTCGATGCAACCAATACCTCATTCTCTCTAGAGGTTTTCTCGATACATGAGTCAGATCCAGTATTCGAGAAGCATTTTACAGCGCCGGCCGTGGCTACATACCAAGATGGGACGAAGAACGTGAACTCCAACACAACATATCGTGTAGGGAGCCTGACCAAACTCATGACTGTCTATACTTTCCTCATAGAAGCCGGAGACATGAAATTCAATGATCCTATCACCAAATACGTACCGGAACTACGAGACGCCGCTGAAGCTCTTAACGCTACTCAGGACCCAATCGACTACGTTGCTTGGGAGGATGTGACGATTGGAGAACTGGCAAGCCAAATGTCTGGTATTGCACGAGACTACTCTGGATTTGGAGAGTTAGACAGTCCAGTTGGTGAGCAAGGCATTGATCCTTCGACACTTGGCCTACCACCTCTCAATGCATCCGCCGTTCCCTTGTGTGCAGGAGGGGCATTTTGCGACAGACAACAATTCTTCGCCGGGTTCACCAAACGACATCCAGTCTATGCTCCTTCGACCGGAGCTATCTATTCAAATGCTGCTTACATGATCTTGTCTTATGCACTGGAGAACATCACGGGAATAGATTTTCCTACCACGGTTCAAAATTCTCTATTCACACCACTTAATCTCTCTTCTGGCACTTCCTGGACATTGCCGCCTGCTGATAATTCTACCGCGATCATTCCCGATGGAAGCTCATTTGCGCTTAATCTTGGTGATGAGACTGCGTAAACACCCCAATCCTTCTACTTGGGGGATAATGCTAACATATTCACAGAGCGGGAGGTATGTACACTACCCCTCGCGACGCCGTCACCCTCGGCCGCTCCATTCTTTCCTCGGCTCTCTTACGTCCCGCTCTCACTCGCCGCTGGATGAAACCACGCGTTTTTACCTCTGCCGCGCTGAGCAGCGTCGGAGCGCCCTGGGAAATCCAGCGCCTCCAAATATCCCCCAACCACCGCCTCGTAGATCTCTATACCAAAGCTGGGGATATTCCCGGCTACTCCTCCCTCATCGCCCTAATCCCCTCCTGGGACCTAGGATTCGTCATCATGACTGCCGGGGCCGATCCAGGACCGACAGACAACATTGTGGTGCTGGCAGACCTCATAGCCAAGATCTTCCTACCCGCCGTCGAGACAGCAGCCAGAGAGGAAGCCGACGCTGCATTTTCAGGGACATATAGGAGTTCGAATCCTAACCTGAACTCTTCTATAACACTCACGACCAACCCCAGGAAACCGGGCCTGGGAATAACATCCTGGATCAGCAACAGCACCGATGTGCTCGCATCCAAGATTGGAGCGCCTAGTGCGCGGCTCTATCCCTCTGGACTTAGCCGGAAGCTGCCAAATGGCGATTCGGTGACGGGGTATAGAGCCGTATTTGAGGATACGAGCGCGACGCCAATGGGCGGCCCGTTCACGCCCGCCTGCGAGACGTGGCAGACTGTTGATCAGACGTACTGGGGCTCAGTGGCTAGTGATGAGTTCTTGATTACGGTTGGGAGTGATGGTGTGGCGAAGAGTGTTACCCCAAGGATTACGAGGGCGAAGCTGGAGAGGGTGGATATTGGAGCAAGGGGGGAGGAGAGAAGCGTCAGGTACAGGGTTTGAGCTGGACATGTGGAGTGAGTAATGTGCTTGTAGGATTTGAGGTTTAATGAATAATCAACGTGAGAAATACGTGTATCTAAACCAGCAATATTGTTGATATTATAGACTATTATAGACTGTTCTAAGCCTTAACTGCTACCTTTCGCATGAGTAGAACTTCTGCTCTCCATAGTTGAAGCCGTAACTCACCACGACGCTTTGCTAATATGCACTTACATAGCCCTGGCAGCCCAGCGAAAACGCCAAAATGAGCAATGTATAGAAAGAAACCTCTCGCACCATGTTTTCCGGGTCGGCAGCCAATCCTCTCAGCACTTTTCACTTCTTTACTTCTTTACTTCATCATCCCACTCTCAATCAACTCCCTCGGAATCAAGATCTTCTTTCTCTTCCTTCCCGCACCCTGGTTCTGCACTTCTTCTTCACCAGCCTCAAGAGCGATCAACCCCGCCTTCCTCAACCCCTCTGCAACATCAATCCACTCGCACAGAATGTCCACCTTGCCATCCTGACTTGTTCTGCAAGCATGAGCTTTCTGCAACTCGTTTATCAGGGCTTTCCTTGCCCTGTAATCTCGGAGACCTTTGATGAATTGCCTGACGAACTGAATCTCTACTTGACGGTCTTTTGGGAGCGCAGAGAAAGCTGTATCTGCACTTTTGAGGTAGGCTTTGATAGAACCGGTGCCCTGAGCGAGACGAGGAATGCTGACAGCCTGGGAAACTTCTGCCTGGACGACGCGAGATGGTGATGAACCGTTGGATTGGCTTCTGCTGCGAGTATTGGGATGAGTAGTTCTGGCGTTTGCTATGGCTCCGCCATCGGTCTTGTGTAATACAGTAGTAGGTGCGGGCATCCGCGCTGCACTCGTTGGGTTATCATCAGATGTGGTTGATGAGGGATTGGTAGCTTCTGTAGTGGTCTGTGATGCTGTATTGGGAATAGGGGTCCGGTTCGGTATTTCAGCAGCAACGGCGGTCGAATCCTCTGGTATGTTAGACATAGCTTGAGCTAGAACGTTGGATCTTAGCCATCGCATACATTATAGTGGCTGATCGACTTGCCATCAGAACGATCAATCTCCGGCATCAGACCCATTTGTATCTTCAAAGCACTAACTTCCTCGTGCCACTTTTCTGTAGCTTGTTTCATTTTCTTCTCATCACTTTCAATCCTTGATATTCTTGCTTCGAGTGTGCAAATTCGCTCAGCAGCCTCTTGAATCTTTCTACTGGTCTCAGAATGGATAGCCTCGATCTCTTTATTGCTCGCATCCAACTTCTCGAGAAGAGCTGCATGCTCCTTTCGAAGCTGATGCCTCCATAGCATGTCAACGCCCTCTTGTGCAGCTGAACTGACTGTACCCGACGCCGTGGGCGCAGGTGTAAGAAGCCTTGAAGAGGCCATGGACGCTGTTGGGATGGATTGGGACAGTACTGTAAGTCAAACCCGGGAGAGGGTACTATTTCTCGGTCATATATATCGTGCGTAAGTATAGGCAGACCGACCTCATTCGAGAAGTGTTGGAAAGATGGAGAGATGGAAAGATAGAGAGACGGAAAGGCGCAAGTGAGAATAGGTAACTTAGGTACTTTGACTTCAAGAGACAATCACGTGCAAAATATACGAAGAATTTCTGGAATTTTTTGCATTTGCCTGATCTACGAGAATCGCAGCCTTTATCATTTGGTCGCGTTCAGTTATCGCAGAAGATGCCGCGAACAGAGCAGAACGTGAAACTCATCGTAGGAAAACTGCCGTGACCAACGAGCAATCCCTAAATACAGACACAGAGACGGAAAAGCAATGCATCACCCAACCTTCTAGTGTTGGCAATGCCAGACAATGACACCTAAGAAATCGAAGAGCTGTAAGCCCTGATGCAGCAACTTTTATGCCACCAAATTATCCCTTTCCTCACGTGCCGGGCGAACCAGCTACGCTCACTATCACTTCCCTTTTACGGGGGTCCCGACTGGTGCCGTCCGTCTATAAACAAGCACCCCTACTGTCGGAACTCTGTGATTTACCAAATATGCAGGAAAAAAAGAGCACTTAGATGAGATCGGCAACGTTCATTGGCATCTCCTCGATTTGAGTGCTGTAGAACTGCTCGATTTCTCTCATCATGCGCACATCCTCGGCGGTCACGAAGTTGATCGCGACACCCTTTCGTCCAAAACGACCTCCACGACCGATTCTGTGAATGTAGTTCTCACGGTTGGCGGGAAGATCGTAGTTGATGACCAGAGAAACTTGCTGGACATCAATACCACGGGCCAGAAGATCAGTGGCGATCAGGACACGAGAAGAACCTGATCGGAACTCCTTCATAATCAGATCACGCTGAGCCTGGTCCATATCACCGTGCATTGCCGAAACAGTGAAGTCACGAGCGGTGAGCTTGTCGGTAAGCCAGTCAACCTTTCTTCGGGTGTTGCAGAAGATAACGGCCTGTGTGATGGTGACCGTCTCGTATAAGTCGGAGAGGGTATCCAGCTTCCAGTCTTCCTTCTCAACAGCGATGTAGAATTGCTTGATACCTTCCAGGGTAAGCTCGGCCTTCTTGACCAAGATACGAACGGGATCGCGCATGAATTTGGTGGTGACCTCGAGCACATCCTGGGGCATGGTGGCTGAAAGGAGGACAACCTGGGTGGATTGAGGAAGGAGTTGGAAGATGTCATAGATTTGCTCAGTGAAACCACGCTGGATATATGTTAGCAACTTGCAAACAGAGAGACAAATTGAACATTCGACAACTTACAGAAAGCATTTCATCAGCCTCATCGAGGACGAACATCTTCATGTTATCGGTCTTCAAGAATCGTCGCTGGATCATGTCGTGGACACGGCCAGGAGTACCAACAACGACCTGGGGACCTTCCTGGAGGGCCTTCATGTCATCGCGGACGCTGGTACCACCAATGCATGCGTGGCACTCAACGTTCATGAAATCGCCGATAGCGACGACAACCTTTTGGATTTGCTGAGCCAATTCACGGGTGGGGGCCAGGATCAAGGCTTGGCATTGCTTGATGTTGGGGTCAAGCTTTTGAAGGACGGAGATGGAGAAAGTGGCGGTCTTTCCCGTTCCAGATTGGGCCTGGGCAATAACATCGTGACCTTGACAAACCCGTTAGCTATTGCCACCGTATTTGTTCTCCGCAGGAAAACCTACCCTTGATAACTGGCATGATAGCGCGCTGCTGAATGGCAGACGGGCGCTCGAAACCATAAGCGTAGACACCTGTGCAGCGTGTTAATCATATATCGTGGCAGAGTATGCATATCGAGACATACCTCGAAGAAGCTCTGGCTTCAGGTTCATGGTGTCGAAGGAATCGACGGTCTCGTCATAGTTAGATTCGATTTGACCTGCCAGACAAAATTTCTATCAGCCTCTATTCATATGCGGTCGCCTCCAGCGGGTGGCGGTGTGTCCGCCGATGCATGGGATATCGAGAGCTTACCCTCTGGGATCTCCTCGAGTCCTTTGTCGGTAGCCATGATTGCGGTTGGGTTTGATGAGAATATCTAGATCGCAAGCCGTGCCTGGGATCTAGAGATCGCAAAGCTTTTTGATGGGGGAGAAGGCGGGGGTGGGGAGGCGCAGAGATCTCCTGAGAGAGACTGCGACGTGAAACTTTGTTGTGAGACTAAAACTAGATGCCAAACTCCCGAGAACGAGAGTTGTATTGGATCTAGTGGTGTTGTACTTCGTGGTCTTAGTTGTTCAGGTTGATGTAGTGGTGAAAGAGGTGTGGAGGAACCCGACTGAATATGTCTTTTGAGAATTTTTGAAAAGCAAAGCGACGCTAGCGACGACCCATCCTGCTAAGCGAGAAATACCTTCACAGGAGCTTCTAGTTCACCACTTCATATCTCCATATTTTATTTTCCTATCTTTGCTTACTTTTTCTCTTCCGGCTATTCTTGTTGGATATCCCGTTCGGTCTTGGTCTCTGATTGGACTGGGGACAGCAAGTGGAATGAATTAGTCACAGCTACGAGAAGACTCAGCTGTGAAGTCTCTATATTCAAGGGGGCAAACTTCTCTGCCTCAGCCTCACAACATCCTGCACATTTGCCAGTGACTGTAGCCATCTGGCAGAAATGAAGTCATCTATCATCCCCGTCGACTCTGGATGGACAGCAGATGTTGTTGTCCAGCCCAGTGGCGGTGCTGATTCCTTGGTTCTGGAGCAATCGGAGTCATCCCTTCTTTCTATTCCGCTTCACCCCCTGGGTGTCAAACCTTCTGGCAACCAATACACTGCTACCAGCAACGCACGCCATGCAATTGGACCATTTCAAATACTCCCTGACGAGGTTCTGGCAATTTTCCTGGAATATCTTGACTCACCCCAATTGCGATTACTCGGGTCTTGCTGCAAATTTCTCTATGCATTTTGCCGTTCTGAGGATCTTTGGAAGACATTATTCATCGAGTAAGTGGCTTTCCTATATCTCGCCTTAAATGTGGACCTACTTGCATGCATATACAAGTGGACTTGGCGGGAGCTGTGTAGCTAAACTCTTGATCTGAAAGCTGTCGTTTCAGGATCAGTGCTTATATCTAGGTTTGAGAATGTCTTCGCACCAAAAACAGTGATGTAATCTGGATTATTGGATCATGCCCCGTTGTTAGCTAATGTGACAGTATTGAGCACGAATGCTAATCTACTACTAGATCGCCTCAGTCGAAATCAGGATCGTTTTCATGGCGTGGTTCGTGGCGCTCAACCTTCCTTGGACTTGAGGCTGGCCAAATGGCTGAGATCCGCTGCGAGAATGTCTTCTCAGATGTGCTCTATCCACCATTTCTTTGCACTTATACTCCACTAAGCCCGTACACTACCAATATTCCCAGAGGAAACGCTATCCCTCGTCTTGAGGATCTCTCACCAACCGAATTCTCTGAGAATTGGAGTGATAAGCCATTCATTCTCACTCGTCCTGTTCGAGAATGGCCAGTATATAAATCATGGGATACTGATGCCCTGCTAGAACAGTTTGGGAATGTCAAATTCCGGGCCGAAGCAGTCGATTGGTCACTGAACACCTATATTCAATATATGAACAATAGCAGCGATGAGAGTCCCCTCTACTTATTTGACCGAGGTTTTGTGGACAAGATGGGTCTCAGCGTTGGAAAACACCAACAGTCTCCATCCTACTGGATCCCAGAATGCTTTGGGGAAGATCTTTTTGCAGTTCTCGGAGACAAGAGGCCTGACGATAAATGGTTAATCATTGGTCCTGCTCGAAGTGGCTCAACATATCATAAAGACCCGAATGCGACGAGTGCGTGGAACGCAGTTCTTCGGGGTTCGAAATACTGGATTATGTTCCCGTCTAATGCTTCGACTCCCCCGCCCCCAGGCGTTTATGTGTCTGAAGACCAAAGCGAGGTCACAAGTCCTCTCAGTATTGCAGAATGGTTACTTGGTTTCCATGCAGAAGCTCGAAACACACCAGGCTGTGTCGAGGGTATTTGTGGCGAAGGAGAAGTTCTGCACGTTCCTAGCGGTTGGTGGCATTTGGTTGTCAATCTTGATACTTCGATTGCTATTACTCAGAATTTTGTTCCTAGGAGCCACCTGCCAGGGGTTCTCTCTTTCCTCAAAGACAAGCCTGATCAAGTCTCGGGATTCAAGAAAGAAGTTACGGATCCATACGGGGATTTTGTGAAAGGCATGCAAAAGGAGCATCCCGATTTGCTTGAGCAAGCTCTTGCTGAATTGGAGAGAAGAGCCGAAGGTAGAAAGAGAAAATGGGCCGCCACAATCGGCAAAGATGAAGCGGAAGAAAGTCGAGGATTTAGCTTTGGTTTTGGAGATGATAGCGATGAGGAGGTGCCGTAAATTTTTCCACGACGAAACTGTATATACGCCGTGCATGATATATAAGCATAGGTTTGGTGTACAAATGACAGTTATGGTTTACGAAGACAAGAATTTTGATGTTCTCTGATATTCTCACGTTCAATTGCCCTGAACGCCTTGGTCTTATTGTACATCTAGTGAGGCTCAACTCTTGGGCAGAGTCAGTTCCAAAGCTTTTGGATGAATGCTTTTGCGTCGCAATAGAACAGCCCTCTACATTAAGCCTCAAACGCCAGCAAATTTTATAGCCCCTAACGCCTACGCAGTTTTCCAACCACCGCCAGTCTCAGCATTCCACCCAGCGCCGTCCTCATAACCGTGCATTGCAGAGTATGCATCATCCCTTCCTAGAAACAGCCGAACCCGTCCTAGGTTTCTTGACCTCCTTGGTATCCGTCTCACTATCCTCCCCCACAGTCTTCTTATTCCTTTTCGAGCCTGCCCCTGTCCTATTCGCTGAAGTCGAACTCGTAGGCGTGGCATGGTTCGAGCCCCCCTCACCCTTCATAAAGCCGCTCGATAGCGGCGTCGGGGCCATGGTCGCCGCGGGTGTCGATTGCGCCGATGGCATCGGACTCTCCTATTCCCCATCAGTCCTTATACCTCTGCGCTTCGAGATTCAGAGAATAGGAAATAATCAACTGGGCAAAGAAAGAAAACCCACCGCATTAGCATTAAAACTAACGCTGCTCCTGCTAAAGACCCTATTGCCCTCGCTCACACCTCCCCTTCTCCTGGCGCCGCCGCCCGCAGTCCCCGTACCCTTCGTATAAGCCTCGAATCCCGTAATGATGTTCCCGCTCGGCGTTTCCTCCAGGTACTCTGTTTCTTTCTTGAATATGTTGTCTTCTAGTTGCGCGAGGCTGCGTTCGAGGGCTCGCCTTTTGTGCAGTAGTTCTTTGAGGTGCTGCCGCGTTTTGTCGTAGAAGGGTTGGCCGGGAATGTCACCACCGCTGCCGACGGCGGCTACAGGGGCGGTGTTTTCTGACATGGTGGGGTGTGTTGTCGTGAGATTGAAGTAGGAGTTGAGGTGATGCGCGCTTGAGGAGTTAGACGCTTGGGCCAAGTTTTTCCTTATCGCGTTATCGTGGAAATAGGGGAGGTTTCGTTAAAGCAACCCTCTCTATAACAAGGGAGCAGAAATTTAGTCATATTGACAGCAGCGAATTGGATTGCACTGCATTTTCATAGTTATCTACGGTTTGTCAATTTCAAAGCTTAGGGTTTCTAGTTTGTTAAAATTCAGCAGAGAAGTGCGCTCAAGACATAGAGCTTGATCACAATATAAATACGGTTGAATCAATCATGGCACAGTCAAAAGTAATAGGTATCATGCTATAAGCAACTCAGAAGAGAGTGGTTCTATTAAATGTCCAGCTAAGAACACACGCAACGCTTTGTTCCATGTAAATGAAAATGAACCAGGAAGGATGTCCTCATCTAGAGTTAGCCTAAGTTTCCTAAGAGTCAATACTCGAGGTTCTCATCTTCTTGATCTTTTCCCTTAATAGCTTCTCCTTCAGCTCACTAGCCCGTCTCTGCGGATCTTGGATCTAGATGCCATCAGATTTGGTCAGCCTCAACGAATGTAGTGCGCCAAAGACATTGCATCTAAAACAGAAAGAGCCCCGGTGGTTACGAAGAGCTACCAACCTCGTTGGACTCCAAAGCACGTTTGCTTGCTTCGATCTCTCGTCTCGGGGATCCCCTATCGCTTTCATCTTCAGTATCAGCCTTCTTGTTTCTGGTTTCAATAGGTGATGAGACTGAAGAGGTATTCCGGCGCCGCTTGCTAACGGGCTCATATCGTTCCATTGATCGGCGACGCTTTCGATCTCTTGAACCTCTGCTCGGACTTCTGCTTCGACGCCGACGTCGAGGAGGTGTGATGCTTCGGCTGTTGCTCCGTGTTAGCCGACGTTCGTCACGTTCATAACCCCTACGAGCGTCAGATCGTGTCTCAGCGGCATCAATATCATCTTCTGGTGTTGGTGTGGTCCCAGCTCTTTCCCTACTGCGAGACAACCTTCTACGGGGAGAGCGGCTTCGTGATCTGGAGCTCGAGAAAGATCTAGACCTGGAGCTAGAGTCACGTCTACGAGATCTACGAGATCTCGGGGGTGGCGAAGAACTGACGGACTCAGAGGTAGATCTTCTTCGTCTTGACGGACGTGGAGAGCGAGAGAGGGAAGTATCTGAAGGTGTTGGGGACCTTCGTCGGGTTCTACGATCTGGACTTCTTCCTCTTCCTCTACCGCCTCTACCTCTATAGGTGCCACTCCTGTCTCGAGATCTAGATCTGCGTCTGCGAGGTGGAGAGCGAGATCGCGAGGATGATCTGGTTCGTCTGCGAGGTGGTGGAGAGCGCGAGTCCGACCGAGACCGTGCAGATATGGGAGATACTGATTCAGGAGTAGGGGACCTCCGTCTCCTTCCACCACGGCCACTGGGAACATATGTATCGGATTCCCTTGGTAGAGGGGCCCTGAAAGAACCCCGATCTCTGGAGTCACGCCGACGTGGCGGTGGTGACCTAGAATATCTGGAGCCCCTCCAATCAGACCCTCTTCCACCAGTACGATCAAAACCTCTATGTCTGTCATCTCCTCGATTCCCACGCCAACTGTCCCCCCCTCTTCCGCCGCCGCGACCGCGTTCACCGCGTTCACGACTCCTGATATTATTGAGCTCCTGGTCTCGGCGTTGCTCTTCTTCTCGTCGGCGACGGGCCTGTTCGGCGGCTCTCTCGGCTTCGATCTAGCACGATATCAGTTTAAGAGCACCAGTACAGCATGTAAAAACATACCTTTTCTTGTATGAGTTCTAGCTTCTTTGCCTCAAGCAATTCCTTAGGAACGCCTTGAGGATTGCTTTGGGCACTCAAGCAGAGCTTCCACAGTTCCTTGCAGAACCCAGCTGTGTCCTTATCAAGAAAGCCGGTAAGTTGGATTTGCATCTTTTTGATATCTGGCTGTAAGACGAATTAGCTTGGCAAGTGGTAATGTGCGTCTCCCAGTCAGTGAACGTACATATCGCGCGCCTTCAATAAGATTGAAACAGAGCTCAATTACAACATCGTCTTCGTTGCCAAGAATCTCGGAGATCTTGCCTGCAATCCATCTATGCCAAAGTCAACAACGCTCGATCTTCCCTGAAAGATCGGTTATTGATACTCACTTCTTCATAACCTCAACATTGACCTTCTGCATATCAACCTTCTGGTTGAACTCAGGCGGGAACTTGGTTGATTTCAACAGCTTCGCGTCAACGGAATTCTCCATCTTCGCGGTGGGCTGCACGTAACGCGCGCAGCAATGGTGGTGTTGGAGTAAGTAAGATGTGGCAGGTAAGGAGAGGTTGATAGGTCTTCAAATAAAAAGCAGGTCGGGCAAGGTAAAGTCGCAACCACATTTCGTCACGAGGCTGAACCGAGCTTCTAGCGCGTCAACCCCAACTCCAACTCCCAACTCCCAACTCCCGCGCAGCCTTCTGTCAACCACGACCAGTAGGTATCTAAGGTAAGGATCTATGTCGTACTATTGCAAGGGATCTTGCAATATGGATCTATCTATTTCTCAGAATGTCAGACAAACAAAGAGGGCCCTTCTTCAGTAACCTACTCACGGCGTGTAGCTTGACCCGCGGCTCAGGACTCGCCCGTGATGATGAGAGAACCGATCGAGTATATGTCCCTCCATGTCAAGCAAGAATCATATGGTCATGATGATGTCGGGGTGTTTTAATCATGTTGAAAAAAGATAGACTCCACCGAAAGCCCGCGAGAAACGGAAGAATAAGTGTGTTCCGATGAGAATTGGTATCTGACAAGAATTCAAGATACGATGGAAGTTTCTGCCATCCCCCCGCCATTCCCCGTCACTGCGAGGCAAGTGGTATAGCAAGTGCGATTTGAACAGTCACGTTAAGGTTTCTGCTGCTGAGTAGTTTCCCTCCTCAAAATTCGCTCTCAAAGTCTTCTCCCTATTTTGGATACCTAGGAATAGTAGCTTCACATAGTGTGAGCAGTCCTCATATTGTACCTATCAATCGTTCAGGGTATTCTCAATCCGCTCCTCTTTTCAGAACGAAAAACCTAGCTCTATCAGAGAGCTCATCTCCCGAATCGAGGCGAAAGAAGCTCGTCTTAGAAGACTACCTATCTGTCCACGATCATTCACATACACTCATGTTTCAGCCCTTATCTCCACTTAGCACTGGTCTGAATTCTTTAGCCTCAAGCCCTACTCCGGAGAGCAAGAATCTTGAAAAGAGCTCGCGTTCACAAGTCGATATCGAGGAAGAAGCTGTCCTGGGACCGTACGCTCGTCTGGTACGGCCCCCAGGCGGTTCGGGTGAAGATAGTGGACTCAACCTCAATCTGCTCTCTCCTCCGTCGCCAGTTGATCTGGCTGTAACTCCAGCAGGAGATGATCTCGCAGCACTCCCTCCCTTGCCGGATTCACCCTTGAGTCTTCCTCAACATCCTTGTCGACCACAGTCTCCACAGTCTTCGGCAGTAGATCCTGCAGTGGACGATTCTCGAGAGCCTCCGCTCATTCTTACACCATTGTCCTCGTCTCAATTTGACTTCGATAACCAAGAGTCATCAGACCCCCTACAGTCAAAGCGAGGTCCTCTCATTTCTTGGGCAGCAGCAGCACAAACAATGGCGACGAAGGAATCGGCCAGCATTGGAACCATTGCAATTAAAGGTAAAGAGACGGCGGGAATTAAGAGCTACACTCCTGGTCAGTCACCAAGCTCCTCAAAAGGAGCGAGGATCAGCACAAATGCTCCTGAAAATGAAGTGATCGGTCCAGAAAACCAGCCCTTTCACCCACATTCGACCTGGAGTGAGAGCTCGCTTCCAATGGTGACAGCTCCGGATACACCTATGTTTGAACAGCGGTCTGCTCGGAGTGGCATCTCATATGATGGTATGTTTTCTGGCATGAGGGTCAGAAACCTTGCCACGGGTCCGGGCGAGCGAAATGCTTCTGATGATGATCGGATAAGCCCTACCGGCATCTCCTCGACAAGCAGAAACCCCTTTTATGCTCTGGCAGAGACAAATTCGCCTATATCCACTTTAGACGGTCCATCGTCAATTTCAGCGGCTTTGAAAACTCGCATCATAGATGCATATTCACTTATGCGCGGTCCGAATACTCCAATGTCAATCCCAGCTGCCCCGGCAGCCCCCATCGCCGATAAAGCTTCAGGCGCACCTGATGCTGCGGGATTGTGTAATTCGGGTGGTGCACTATTGCCCCAAGCTGTTACAGAAGCTCCCATTGCCGACAAAGCTCCAGGCGTTTCCAACGCGCCTGATGTTCCGTCAATGCCCAACTCAGAGGATCTAATATCGTTCTCAGAAGCGCCAGAAGCCCCAGCAGCCCAGAAAGCTCTTAATACTGACAACACGGCAAATATCCCCCGATCACATATTGCTCAAGAGGTGCCAGGTTCACCAGCTACAATTCCAGGAATTCCAAGAGACATAACTGGTGAGCTACCGTCTCCCGGACCGCAACTCCCAAAACGCGCGGTCGCACAACTTGGGAAGAGAAGGAGAATGGTCAAAGCTACGCAGAAACTATACCGCAGAGTACGAGCAATGGTGCTGGGAAGACGTGTTCTATCCGTGATTATAGGCAGACAACTTGCTGGGCCAACCAGGGATTTCTTGGTAAGGATCTCGAAAGGTCTTCCTGTTAATATGACTGCTCAGGAGGCTCCACCACCGATTCCAATGTGACAAAGAAGGATGAGCGAGAGTTTGAGACAGAGATTAGCAGAGCTTGAATGGAGAATCATGGTCGAAAGGGAACTTGATGGAGTTACATCAGAGGAAGATTGTAGAATACCTTAGCCCCTAATCACTACCTATAGATTGAACAGAAACAACGTATAATGTATTCCACTTGCCAGGCATTCATATTCGAGAGGGGTACAACCTTCATATTTCAGTGATCCAATTTCAGTGATTCAAAAAGACACCTTCGCGAATGTCCTGGGGTATAAACACTGCGTCCTTGAAGAAATCCCCAACGCCGTACTCCTATCCACCATATCCGAATCAACACCTATCTATACCCAATTTCAAAAGTTGAGTTATTTTCAACTGTCCAGGCCCAAGTTTGTGACTTTCTAAGCCCTCCTCCTCTCCTCAAGCTCCCTCTGAGCATACTTCTCCACCACTAGATCAACCCTCTCCTTCGCTCTCGTGAGGCCCGTGTCTCCCATCTGCTTAAACTTCCACCTCATATCATAGAGCCTGACCAACTCCTCTGCCTTCTTTATATCCTCATCATCCTATATGGCCGTCCCAAATCAGCATCTATATCTATACCAGTCGTCTCCCCTCCCCTCCCCCCAAATCAAAGAAGAACAAGAAGAACGAGCAACATACCCGACCAGAAGACGGAAGCACGGGCGTGGGCGGGCTCACGACGCCCGACTGCGAGCCTCTACTCCTCACGCTGGTACTAGAGGCAGCGCGCGAGAAGCTTGGCGGCGACTTGGGGCTGGTGATGCGGCGGCCCAGGAAGTCGAACTCGGGGGGGTCGCGCGGGATGCTGGCGCGGGCCTTGCGGTTGAGAAAGCGGGATTGGGAGAGGGTCTTGTTGGCCAGGAGGAGGGCATGGGCAGCTTCGGGATCCTGCGAGGAGTTAGGTGTTGAGTTAAAGTAAAAGAGGAGAGCGGGGGAGAGGCGGAGGGCGCGGGGGGGAATTGAACGAACAGTGTTCTGGAGGGTGTTGAGGTCTGCGAGGACCTGGGCTAATTGGAGGGAATCGCTGGAGGACATGGTTTGATCTATATATAATTATGCGGATAATTGCGAGCGGTTGATTGCCCGACGATTATGCAGATTCGTGGAGGGCTTTGATAGTTGCCCCGAAGTTCGAATTGTTGTCTGTGGACAGCTTAAGCTCGATGCTCCTAATGCTTCAGTCTCGCCCGCCAATGGCCCGTCCCCGGAATCGCGACGGACCCTCCACTCTTGATACTCCCCAGTTTCATAAATACCCAACAGGCGCAGTTATCTCCTCCCCAATTCCTCTTCAATCATGTCCTTGATCTTCCGTCGTGGAATCGCTTCAATGGCCTCGCTGAAAAAGGCTTCAAAAGTTGTCTGCATTGGGCGGAATTATGCGTATGCACTCTCTCCCTGTGGCCTTTGATTGGAGAATGATACAAGACGAGGCTGACCGCCATGCCCAGAGACCACATCACGGAACTAAACAACCAGAGGCCCAAACAACCCTTCTTCTTCTTGAAGCCGGCGTCTTCCATTCTCCCTCCTGGAGCTGGACCCGTTATTAGACCGAAGGGCGTGGATTTACACTTTGAGGTCGAATTGGCTTTGATTATTGGGAAGCAGGTCAAGGATCTCGAGGCTTCAGATGAGAAGGGTGCTTTGGATTCTATTGAGAGTATGATCTCCGCTCTACATCGATGCATAAAGAAAAAACATATTAACAGCGGTAGGCTATGCCCTTGGTATCGACTTGACGGCGCGCAACATCCAGAATGAGGCCAAGAAGAAGGGTCTCCCATGGGATATTGCCAAGGGCTTCGACACGTTCCTCCCAGTCAGCGAGATAATTCCAAAAGCTGCGATCCCAGACCCTCATCAAGTCGAACTGTACCTCACCGTTAACAATGAGCACCGCCAAGCCGATTCTACGGAATTGATGCTCTTCCGAATCCCCAGAATCCTGAGCGATATCTCGAAGGTCATGACATTAGAGAAGGGAGACATTGTGTTGACTGGTACTCCAAAAGGTGTGGGACCTGTTGTACCTGGAGATATCATGAGAGCCGGCTTGAAGGTAGGAGGAAAGGAATTGCCAGAGGGGAAGATTGAGGTTGAGGTTAAGGAGTCGACGAGTACATATGAGTTCAAGGAGACATAGCGGGTTGCGTTAAAAATGTATTTTTGGATACCCTACCAACAGTGGATTTGTGCCAAACAGTCATTCTAAGTTCGGGTCCTTTATCTCACCAGGCTTCGGGGCAGCCTCAGCCATAGCTCCACAATGCTTACACTTTCTCCTCTCCTCACTGTCCTTGAATGCATTCACAGCCTCTTTGATCTGCGTCCCCAAGTCCGTACAGTGGAACGCAGCCTCGTCTACCACCTGACGACAGTTCGTACAGTACCAACGCAGACGATCCAAGGAATCCTTGGGCCGGGCCTGCTCTAGCACGATACCCACGGTATTCGCGAACCGGACAGGGTTATGAGGTGTGTTGGGAGGCAGGAGGAACATGTCCCCTTCGCGGATGATAATGTCTTTGAATTCGCCCTCGTCGACTACTTTCAACATCATAGCGCCTTTGTACTGGTAGAACCACTCGGCGGTTTCGTTGATGTGATAATCGGTGCGTGCATTTGGGCCTCCCACGATCTAGAGGGTGTTCGTCAGGGGTCGTAGCTGGCGGAATAGAGGACGTACCATAACCGTAACATCCTTGTTATAAACGCAGTAGTTGTTGATCGGGGGCTTCAAGAGGTGGGAATTCTCCTCGAGCCTGTTGAGTTGTTAGCTAGCTAGGTACTGTACGTTTCCGGGGCAGACCCTCCATTACCATTTGGGTAAATTCAGTGGACTGGTAAGCATTTTGAATTATGGTTTTTGTGAGTGCTTTTGCAAGTATGCTTGAGTCTTCTTTATCGTGATCGTTTGCATTTGCTCTTTGCTCTTTGCTCCTCTATCGCTCTAGGCGGGGTTCTTTGCGGGGAGGTTTACTCATCGAGTCATTGACGCGCTACAGTACATAAGCACGGGTCGGCCACTGAAGAATGCCTGGAAGAGCTCGAACTGCCTTTATGGCGCGCAAAACCGCTCAACCTTTGGATATTTCTCAAGTTGCCTGCTCATCATGTCCAATGATCAAACCTCAAAGGCACAGAGGCATTGCGGTGAGGCGGAGGTCGTCCAATGAAGGCTACTCCATATATGGGTAGCTGCAACCATGTCGATAGCTGCATATCTCAGCCGAGTTTGAGACAGTGTTTGAGCGCATTTGCGTACATTCTTTAGACGACTCAATATATATATATATGAAAGCAAGCTGGCGACATCTCGTGTGACCAGCTCAACCTAGATAAACGTTCGATTCTGTCCGCTGAACTCTGTCTTCCTCTTCAACTCGGGATCGAATCGAAAGCACGCAATCTAACCCTTCAGCTTCGAGCTACAGTACACCCAACATTCAAGATGGATCATTCACACATGGGACACTCACACATGGATCACGGCGGCATGGACCACGGCGGCATGGGCAGCGGCGATATGTGCTCAATGAGCGTACGCAGAATTACATCTATCCAATCCCTCATCTACTCGAAAGCTAACGCTTATCGCTGTCCTAGATGCTCTTCACCTGGAACACCAACAACCTATGTATCATCTTCCGCTGGTGGCACATCCGTACCACGCCCGGGCTGATCTTCTCCCTCCTTGCCGTCGTCGCTCTGACAGCCGGATATGAAGCCATACGATCCGTGTCCCGACGCTACGAGGGATGGGTTGCGAAGAGACAGGAGGAAGTGCCCAGTACGTCGTCCTCCCCTTCCCCTCGCCCCTCCATACCTACTACTACTTTTCGTTTCTCCTTGCTTCAAGTTACGGAAGAACAAAAGCTGAGACGAATATCAATGGAGCCATTACTGAGACAACGCCCTTTCTGTGGTCAGGACGCAACCAGGTTGAGGTTACTAAGCGGGCGCATGTTATCAAGGCGTTGCTGTATGCCTTTCAGAACTTTTATGCGTTTATGTTGATGTGAGTATTCTATTCTCTATTTGGGCATGGAGGAGCCTTACTGAAGGTGGTTGTAGGTTATTGTTTATGACTTACAATGGATGGGTGATGCTGGCTGTCGCGGTCGGGGCATTCGTGGGCTACTTGGTCTTTGGAAACAGCACCTCGTCAACGAAGGAGACAGCTTGCCATTAATTGGGATTTCAGCAACGGCTGGCTCTCTCTCTACATCAAACAGATTGCACGTCTTTTTGAGAAGTCTCACATCATATACATATAATGCTCGCAACTCCATACAGATATACCCCGAATCAAGATCATCTTCCAAGCCTCCCTATCTCAGACACCTGACCCAACCGACTTTTCTTCAAGTCCCCGCATCAAGCAGAAGATCCCAATGAAAAGCCAAGCGTTCCCGTCATCTTGAAGCAGTGTAGGACAAGAGACAGAGTGACCGCTCTCCATTGATCAAGACCAAGAGGGTGAGCAGCCGCGTGACAAAAAGTACTTAATCGATAATATAAAAGGTATTAGACGATTAATCTAATAAGAACAGATACTACACTTGATCTAAGCCAGAAGGCAAAGAGAGCTGCAGAACGAAAGAAGGGGAGGGGAGAGAACCGCTTTATATACAGCGGGTGGCGGGACCGTGCGTTATACATAGACACCCAGCTGGAGCTGAGGCGAATTGTTTGCAGACGAGGCAAACTAATTGGGTCATAGATTCTTGGATGTGACTGTCTTTTGTTTTATGTTATTGGATGTGGTTGTGTCAACTTCAAATGACTCAGATAATAGCCCCTCCTACCACTGTCTATGACTCTATGGATTAAGGGTGTGGATCTTCAACATGGGGTTTGCCGATTCTTTATGGATGATCAGTATCAGGTTCAATTCGAAGTCGCACTGCATTCAGTTGGATGCTCTGGTCTCAGGGCTAATATCTATGCAGCCAGTACAGGGGGAAATGGAGAGGACAATTATTTGCCTGATACAGCATTATCATGATACTCTGGGACGGTTAAAGTATGTATTATTCTCCGCTGACATCTAACACGCCATTTGCTTAGGCCGATCGACAACCGGTTCCGGTTGGGACCCGTACAGGCTTTACTTCTTGCCCTTCTTCCGCCATTCCTTCTCCCTCTCATAAGCCTTAGCCTCCCTCCCTTCCTCGCCTTGGATCTCAGCAATAAGCCTCTTGTATTTCTTTTCGTAGGCCTCATCCTTGGCCTTCTTCTGCTTGAGCGCCTCTCTGGCCACGGCTTGCGCGTCTTTCCTAAGATCACGCATCGCACCCTTCCTCTCCCTCTTGAGCTCGTTCCTGAGCTTGGATGCTTCAGCTCGCTCTGGATCAGGGTCGTAGTGCTTGTCTGGGTTATAGGACTCTTCAAACTTGGGTATAGCCATCTTGATAGCTAAAGGCCTGTGGTGGTGGAGCTCCAGGGGTCGGCGGGAGAGTTGGGCTTGTTGGAGGAGAAGGTTAAGTTTTTGGATAAGCTTCGTGATGTTTGTCTGGTTTTCATTTAGCAACAGAAACATTGAAGGGGGTGGATGGCTATTACCTGGTTGCGTTTTGAGAGCTTAGGTCTGCAGTTCTTGCCTCCCAAATGCTGAAGGATCCTGAGAGCTGGTTCGAAAACTTCGAAAAATGCTGCCTTTCCGGACCATGTATCTGCTGCCACCTCAAGAAGTTTGAGGTTCATCTCTAGCAGTACTTCTTTGAGCTCTGCTTCCTGTTCTGCTGAAAGCTCTTGTGAAAAGCAGTCGCTGAAAGCAAATATCCTGGTCGACTCTACAGCCTCTTCTATCCGCAACGGTGCTTTCGGCTCATGGTATGGGAAATTCCCAGGTAGTTTTGCCAGTTTAGCAGGTGCTAGAACACACAGTGTATTCTCGATGAAGTTCATGACTTCAGGAATATATCGTTTCGACTTTCGTTGATATTGTAAACACAGTGTGCATATGTATGCTCCCACTGCATAATCGGACAGTTTTTGGGGTATCTTCAAGCCAAGGTACCGACCCATTGTCAGGGTCGCAGGGGTGACGACTTGATGGAAGTGATCTGATGTTGGGAAGATAGTTCCAATGGCTGTGAGAAGCGCCAAATCACCGGCTGTGAGAGATAAAGACCGAGATTCGTGAATTTCTTGGAGATGACGGCGGAATGCATTAGCAGTCTCGACCGGATAGTGGTTCTTTGCCAAAGAGTGAACATGACGAGTGATTGACTCCAGGACAGCAAAGGGGGCTTGTTCATTTGCAAGATAGGAGATGTGGTCAATAAGAGACACTGTAAAGTTCCCCAACTTAGCCTTATTCTCAGCACCCAGTTTCGGGTGATATGCTGTCCGGATTCGTTTCACAAATTCCGGTAGGTCATTGACCCCCTTGGTGATTTCCAGAAGTTCGTCGTGGGTTTCTGGGCATTTGAGCGAATCGCTCGAGCCTGGCAATTGAGAATTTGCTCCGGTAAGAAATTCAGGATGCTTTGACTCCTCCTCTGTGAGTATTCCCTGGAGAAACTCGGCATCGTCGTTATCATCTTCTCCATCCTCCGCTTCTTCCTCCGATGAATCATCCTCGAGAGGCTCCAGATCAGAACCGCTCGCTACTAAATCATCATCTATAAGGAAATCATCCTCGTCTTCGACGCCCAGCTCCGAACTCGCTTTTTGGGTTGGAATACCCAACCCCAAAGGATTTTCCTCTTCCTCATCTTCTGAGCCACTAGCGGCGACATCTTCCTCATCACTACTCTCTGGTAAGCCCTGCATTCGCCTCTGTTCTTTCTCCTCTCGTTCCTTCTGGAGTTTGGCTTTTTCTGCGGCAATTTCCTCCTCTGTCTTCGTTCTCTCTGTAGGTTTCGCCCGCCTATCTAGTGCCAGCTGTCTCAGGCGCTTATCATACTCCTTCTCAGCTTCAAGCTTGCTCGTGCCATTCAATAATGCTGCACGCTCTGGGTTCATTCCTGCGCTGTCTGACACAGGAGCAGGCGGAGGTCGTTTTCCCATTCCCCGAAGAAGTTCCTGAATGTTTGCTGTCTCCTTATCTATCTCATCTCGTAAATCCTCATCATCCTCCTTAGCTGCCTGACGCTCGTATTTGTAAAGCTTAGACTTGGCGATGACCTCCTTCATAACTTCCTGTTTTGACTTCTTTCTCTCCGGGCGGTCCACTTCTTCGTCCTCTTCATCTTCTGAGCCTTCGTCGTCTGATGATCGGCGTCTTTTCCTATGTTTTTGTTCTTCGTCTGAAGGGTGGTCCTCTGCATCTGACAACTCCAAATCCTCGTCAAAATCATCAATTGGCGGAGCGTCGAGGGATAATGATTGGCCCATGTGTGTGAGTTCGGCTTCATTGTCATCCTCTAAATCAAAGATCGAATTCTTATGCCGAGCCTGCTTTTCTTGCGTGAAACGTGCTAGCATTTTTTCCTCTGGTGCCATTGTAGGGTCGTTTTCTCCAAAACGTTTATCCATGATCCCTCCTACTCTTCGACGATTTTCAATTTTGGCCAATTGAGTCATCTCGAACTGTTAAATCCAGTCAGTCATGCGCTTTTCTAGTAGCCACACCCATCTAGTAATTGATAACGACTCAAAGCCGAAAACCCAGCTTGGAAGCAGCTAAGGAAACAGTTTGTTAAAACGCACCCGTTCTGCATCTATGCTCTTCCTGACTGTAGGCCTGCCAACAATGGTCCCTTTACTGTCTTTCCCTCCTGGATTCTTCGCGCTCGTAGCCTCGAACCTTGGAGCCTTTGACCACTTGTATTCAAAGGGATTGAACTGGTCCCGAATCGTATTGAGTGCCTCTGTGCGGGCAACCCTCTTTTCGTTGTTGGCGCCATTTTGCGAGTTTTGTTTTTGCTGCTTTTTTGATTTCTGAGGACCCAAAATTCCCTGCTCCCGTAGAGAGGCCTTCAGCCTTTTGAGTTGCGAGGGAGGCATAGTGGCGGCGCGTTGGAGGTTAAAGTTTGAACTTTTCGAATCTGATAACTTTTTGATATTTTTATCGCTTATCGGGCACTCCTTGCGCTAAACGGCGAAATTAAAGGCGGTATACCCCGGCAATACTTTTCGCCAGCTTTCAACCTTCTTGAACGGCGAAGTCTGCCTACCTACCTTACCTAACAAGCCCCTCCCAAGGACGAATGTAGTTTCGACAATATGGCGGCGCTCTCGCCCGCCACTCAAGACCGACTCCTCGTTCTAGGACTCGGAGTTACAGCATGCGCCGTCATTGGATTGATGCGACGCATGCTCGTATACTACCGTGAAGCAGCCGCTATCCCACAAGCTGAAAACAAGCCTCAGTACATAACTCAAGATGTCGAAGATTCTCTGAAACTCAGTACTCTGGACAAGCTCCTTGATAGTCCCAATTACAGCATACAGGAAATTACAGCTGTGATTATCTGCGAACGAGCGCTGCACGATGGACAAACGATCGATACCTTGCTCTATTACATTACTCGGCCTGATCATGATACGAGAGAGCAGAGCATTAAAGCTTTGTCCATGATGGTCAACAGTTGTAAGTATTTCTCCCTTAGCTTCCCAAAATTTGAGCTAATGAGACTATTAGCAACTGTAGGCATAATCAACAAACCCAAAACTTACGCTGCCCTCGTGAAATCGCTGGAATACTGCATCACGGACTACGAACACAACGCCTATGACCCCGAATGGGACAACTGGCACCTGCGAGATGCCTGCGAGCAAGGATGTCTGTCGATTCTAGGGCAGATGATTGACAAATTTGGCCCGGAGGGACTGGTCAAATCTCGGTTTGTGGACCGCTGGCTGGCGAAAGAACCATGGGGTGGAGCGGACGCTGATGAACGACAACTCAACTTCATGGATTCCCTGACGAAACCCTATCGACTGAATCAAATTTGTCTTCCGCTGTTCAGAGATCCTGCAGCAAGGAAGCAGTTGGAGGACGCCAAACTTCTGCCTCCCAATAAGATTGTCTATGATGACTCGGAGACTCTATTGGATATTAGGATGATTAATGGGGAGGGAACGGCTGGGGAGGACTTTGATGGTATGTTCGTGGAGAGTCGACGGAGGAGGGATCAGAGTACTGAAGAAGAGCATCTACGGAGGCGCCATAGAGAGGCTATGGTGTTAAATGATGGAACTCGACCTCTTGGGAGAGGTGATATAATCGAACGGGAATCATGAGTATGCGGACATGACAACCGGCATGGATGGACAACTGGCGTGAGCTGAGAGAGCATTGAATGGACTTGGCGTGTTTTGAGGGAAAGACGTATGCGCTTCGGAATACGATTAACGATTTTCGGGGTCAGTGGCCGAGAAACGTGATTGATGCTGGAATCCAGTACATCCTACCTAGGTACTGTATCTACAGGATATCTCTATCTAAAGGTAGCTCTATGCAGAGACTGAGAGCTACTTCAGGGATTTAAATTCGTCTCGCCAAGCAAAGTCGCCCAAATGCTGTCTTCAAGAAGTTTGTGTTCACACTTCGCTGGAGGGGTTCCTTATCTTACTTACACTCCTTGCCTTTCACGCTTAATCTCGCCCCTTTCCTCCATCTCATTCAAAACCCTGTCCGCAACCCTAAACGCCTCCATCCCCGCCGGCATGCCACAATAAATACTACGCATTCATCAGCTTTCCACTCTTCATTCCCTCCTTGCCTTCTTCTCTCGCTCCACCGCAAACTCCTCAAAAACAAAAGAAACAAATGAACAGATAGGATGACAAACCTAGCCTGCAACAACGCCTCTCTGATCTCCACCTCACTCGCACCATTCCTCACGGCGCCCCGCATATGCGTACCCAGCTCCGTCCACTTCCCCAGCGCCGTCAACATGACCAGATTCAGCAAACTGCGCGTTTTCAAGTCCAGGCCTGGCCGCGACCACACGGTGCCCCACGCCGCTTCCTAAACTCCGAGAAGCTCTCATCAGAAAAAAATCGCACACACAAACACAAACACGACAAAAACACACAAACAAAAGAACCGAAGGAAAAGAAGGACAAGGTATGTAAGGCAAGGTAAGGTAAGGTAGGTAAGGCAAGTTTTCAATCATATCACGTGGGAAAACCAAGACCAGAAAGAAAAAAGGGGGAATATACAGTAGCCAACTGCTGCCACGGTCTCAAGAAATCACTGCTCCCCTTCTCCAAGGCCGCCGCCACATAATCCTCGCCGACGACTCGCTTGCGCATCGCGAGCCCCGTCGCGTACAGGGTCTCATGCGCTGGATCGTCCATATTGTTCAGGCTCAGGGGCACGCGCTCGGATGCCGAACTACTACTACCACCACTGCTGCTGGCGGTGGGGTCGACGGGAGGTCCGGGTTTGGCGCTGCTGGAGGAGTCGTGCTGGTGAGACATTGTGTCTGTGTCTGTGTCTGCGTTCCTTTTCCTGACTCTGAGTGAGAGATAAAGGATTAATATTGCGATTCTGAGAAAGGAGACGGGGGCGGGATAGGAGGGGAAGAGGGAAGAGAGGGGTCTTGGGGAATGTGGCCGGACTCGGAAAGGTCAGTACCTATTTCAAATCGTGACAGGTGATTGGCGTCGTTGGAGTTGCGGGGAAATTGTGTACAACGTGACGTCGTCCTTTTACCCCGGAACATAGGTGGATTCCAATAAATAGTCTGCGGTCGTCCTCGAGCCTTTTTCAACGTCGTCTCTTCTCTCCTAATCATCTGTCTCGAGGGAAATCATCTCAAAAAGGGTTTGTTATGTGGCCAGAACCCCACTGAGGGCTTAGGGTAGGTATGTTACTTATATACAGATCACGATCACATCAGATCATGGATACAACGGCGCGTTTCTGGATATCTTCTGATTCAATGCTCGCTATGGTAATATTACATCGACGGAAACGATGAGGAAATGAACAGCAGAATCCGGAAAGACAGCAATAAAAGGAAATATACACCGTCCGAGGATTCCCTGGACTCGACCGCCCCATTCTGATACGTCTTCTATCTGTCCCTCCCAGAATCTATTCTAATCTTGAAGGATGGACCGTCTATACGTATCCCCGGTCTATGTTCATTAGGTATCTAGGAGTGGTGGGTGGGCTTGAAGGTCCATCGGCTCTGCTCGGTGCCCTCGGCGAAGGGAACACCAAGCTCGAAGAGCTTGAGGATCACGGCGGCGAAGTCCTTGAAGAAGAGCTCCTCATCCTTGGCATACTTGTCGACCCATTGTCGGAAGCTCTTGTCAGTGACAAGGGCCATGTCGGTGGGAAGCATCATCAGGGTCTTGGTGGTCTTGTCCTCATACTATTGGGGTGTCAGTCATCGTCTCCCGGTACGCGGAGGAAAGGACACCTACCTGCTTGGGACCGTTCCACTTCTTCCAGTTCCACTTCTCGTTCACGAGGAGCTTGAAGAACTCGTTGGTCAGGATAGTGGGCGAGAATGTCCATGGGCCCTCGAAGCCACTTCGGTTACTGTGGCATCGTCCGAGGGCGTGAGCACCGCTCAGGGCAACGATCTCCTGGTCGTTGAAGCCCATACGGTAGAAGATGTCGCGCAAGTGCTTGTTTCCTTGGGATGCATCTGGGAGACGTCCATCAGGTGTGCAAGCAGACATATCCTTGTCAGTTCGACCAGGTCGGTATGGGATGATGGGGCCGTGCATCTCCTGGACGGCGCAGACACCACCGAGAATCCAAAGGTCGGAGTAGGTGATCCAAGGGAACTTTTCTGCAAGTTATTAGCGCGTGTCTTCACTCGGTCGAGGTAGGTCCAACATACGCTTAACGGGCTCTAGGAAGTCTCTCGCGGCAACCAGACCGGCATTGGCACCGTGGTCACTCTCGGGGGCAAATCTCATGGTGGCGCCATTGCTACCACCAGTTCCAGTCTCCTTATCGTAGGTGCCGCTGGCGTGCCACGCCAATCGCAGCAGGACGGGGCCGTACGATCCATCATCGTAGTCGTGCTTCTCCTCCAATCGCTCAGCGATCTCGTTGTACACCTTCTGGTAGTCCTCGAACGTGGGGGTGAAGACCTTGGTCTCGCTGGCGGACGAGCCGCTGCTCTGGGAGTAGAAGTAGTATCCGGCCCCGAGAGCGAGAGCTCCCACACCGAGGTAGATGCCAGTAGAGGAGGAGGACTTGGGGGCTTCAGAGGAGTAGGCACGGCGGGCCTGCTGGCGGAGGGTCTGGCGCGGCAAGGCAAAGGCCGTGTTACGGGTAGAGGTCTTGAAGGCAGAAGTGGAGGGCGACGACTTGAAAGCCGCGCGGGCGAAGGTGCGGGCGGTAGAAGCCATGTCGAAGCTGCAGAGAGATAAGCTTAAGCTTCAAGCTGGAGCTTAGGGATGAGATGGAAGGATACACACAGGACAAAGGTGGATGGAGGGATGGGGGGAATTGGATGGTTGATATGAAGGGGATATAAGAAGGTGAAGCGGATATAGCCACGGTATATAAGACGATATAGAAGGTCACCGAAGATTATTTTTCGGGCAGCCCCCGACTCCTATCCCTCGCACCCGTGCCTTCGCGTGATTCCGATACGGCGTCCGGGCCCCGCAGCTCGGGCCAATCAGGGCGCGGGTGAGTAATATGGCCTTTTACAGATAAGATCCGGACCCTTCGACAGCCGCTCGATGACAAATGGGGCCACGCGTGGTGACAACCGCTTGACTGAGCGTCTTTGCCATGACGGGGCGTCCAGAACACGGCCATCCGTCGTGCGGCTCTGGGGAGATTGCTGCGAACGGGAGAAGGGACAGGATCAGATAACCGGACGAACTCAGGAATCCATCCAGGCGCAAACGGGGGCCTTCGGGATTGCTGGTTGGTCAGCGGAGATCTGTCCGTCGCCATTGGTGCAGGCGGGATGGCCTTTGCCCGCGGAGCCCCGCATTCCTGGCTCGGCGGGAGTTCTCCGTAGTATTCCCGGAGAAGGGGTCAAGTTTCAAGCGCCGCCCGTCTGGAGTACGGAGTTAAGAGGAGTGAGTCTCTCTGGAAACAATCTGATAATAAATAGGTACGGAGAGAGGTCAGTTATAGTATGAAGATATCGATTATTGGGTTTCATGTCTATGTCCTTCTTCATGTCTTGGAAAACAAAAGCAACGCCAACCCCTTACCGCCCACCCTAACGCTCTTCCCGCCTTCTATGGACTACTCGTCAAAAAGGAAAACAAAACCCGTTCGGACAATTGAGAAAAAAAAAGGGTTTTGAAAAAAAGTCTTCGCCGAGATTGATCAATCCCCCCCCCTAACCCCCACTCTCTCTCCAATGCGCTTCGATGTCTTGGCCCAGCAACCACAACCATAAGAGTCATGAGTGAGTCCTCACGCGGTTGTGGTTATTCCTCTTATTTAATACTCTCCACTTAATTCGCCCGTGGGCGTCTGGCATAGTGTCCCATCGCCAAGAGGGTACGGCGACTCAACAGGAATGCAGTCCAGGGCAATGTCACTGATCGTCCCCTTAACTAAAGCCAATCCCGTCCTTTTTTCCCATGTCAGTCAGTCAAGTCACTACTACTTCTTGAGGAATGATGAGGAACCTACGGATTGTCGCAAGGAGTGTAGACCTGTTGCACCGTCAGGGAAGAGCCATCCCAGAAGTAAGAGTAATGTGTGTCTGCGCAGGCAGTGGCGTTCTTGGGGTTGAGAATCGTGTTGGAAGAGCACGTGGTGTTGTCAACCTCGAAGGAGATCCTCGAAGGACCCGTGTTGGAGGACGAAGGGGTGAAGATGCCCAGATCTCGAACGGTGAAGGTCGTTGGTTCAGAGCAGGTGGTGTCTCGAATATAGCTTGGAAGAGCCGACGAGAGTACCGCGAAAGGCAGGAAGAAATAACCCGACAACATGATTGATGAGGATTGAGTGACGGCGCTTGGATTATTACTACTAGCAGTCCAATTATGGTAAGGAGGTGAGTAAGGTAGTTAGATGTCTAGGTAAGTTGGGTCTCAAAATGGTATTGCGGTTTAACTTTATGTATGAGAGATCTTCTGCGCAGGAGAGGATGGAAACCCCAATACGAGGCCCTTAGGTCATATTCTATTTCTGTTTCTACAATCTTCGTATATGCAGCCGTTTACGCGGTGTATTACTCTCATACAACGTACAGAGTGTCAAAGACGAGCATTCCACTACTTAGATGCACTCGCTCGCTGTTCCTTCTGTAGCTCGCCGAGCCAATGATATATAAGGAAAGCAAGAAAATGCCCATGCGACAAACACGAGAGGGTCAGATTCGAGGGACAGCAATGGCTGTTGGTAGCAAGCCAAAGCCACCAAGAGTCCCACAAAATTGTGATTATCTCTGTCGGTATTCCCAGGCATCTCCACGTCATTCTTGGCAAGTGTTCTCCACAGCGGATCGCCGCAGGCTGCAGCAGACACGTTTTTTGTGCGCCACGGACAGGCAAAAATAACATACGAGGAGAGGTGGCAAGCTATAAGCTTATGAGCTGATTGCTTACAGCAGATCCTACTAGTAGTACATCTCGACTTCTCAAGAATACGTACCCGGATTGCGGCTGATAAACAAAGAGCTTCGGTACAGTCAGCCAAGGCAAGGGCTTTCATAAGCGCTGAGCAGCAAGACGGACGAAATGCTCTCAGGTAATTCGAAAGCTGATGGCCGGAACTATCAAGCCGAACAACTAATCAAACGCCCACTTTGGGTCTTGACGAGAACAATGCCAGTAAGCATGTCTCAGCTGAGATAACAATGGCCATGGAGAAGTCCCTAGCGATCTGATGTCCCGACGTTGAAGTTAGGTTGGAGGCGTCGCGCCAGTTCCAACACTTCCACCATCCAGATTCCATCGCCAACGCCTCGCTTAGCATTGCTTAGCGCGACCACGTGACCCACACCCGCCAGAATTTCCCTTCTCCCCACCGACCGCGAACTTTTATTCGAACTTCTTTCACGACAATCCATACTTCGACCAACGACGACAACAAATCGCCAACCATTACAATGGCCGCAGAAAAGAAGGAACGCACCGGCCTCCACGTCGGTCTGAACAAGGGACACGTATGAAATCCCTCTCACCAAAGAAAAAACACAATCAAGCCCGTCTCACCTCTTGGAGGATCTTCATTCCAAACTCTCGATTGAAGATGGACAGAGTTGCAATGAAGATAGACGCACAGTGGGCAGCTTCATTGCGCGGACTCGATGGGCTAACGTATTGTTTCCTCTGATTAGAAAACCGAGGCCCGTGTTGTCAAGCCTCGTGTCTCTCGCACCAAGGGCCACCTGAGCAAGAGAACCGCCTTCGTCCGGGAGATCGTCAAGGAGGTCGCTGGGTATGTCCTACATCTCCAACCCCCTCATGCCCTAATGCGAAGAGGAGCGATAGTTGCTAATGGTCCGGTGTGAATAGTCTTGCCCCATACGAGCGTCGTGTCATCGAACTCCTCCGCAACAGCAAGGACAAGCGTGCCCGTAAGCTGGCCAAGAAGAGGGTACGTTCTTCCTCCTTCCCTGCCTGCCTCTGGGACAGGGTGAGGATTGAGTAAGAAGCTGACGGTGTATAACTAGCTCGGTACTTTCGGTCGTGCTAAGGCGAAGGTCGACGAGTTGCAGCGCGTGATCGCTGAGTCCAGAAGGGCTGGTCACTAAACATCTCGCATTCATTATGATACCTCCGGTTGCCGCATGGATGGGATGATGGGGAGTTGGGCTTGTCAGTATGAACGGAAAAGGGAATCCCTTTTTTTACGGATGATACCTTTGTAGGATGCTAGCCTCGACGATAGATAGCTAGCTATATCTGCTTGGGAATTCTGAGGCAATGAACAACTTCACAACACACGTCGTGTTTTCGAGATCTTTTTTATGATTTTCATTTTCATAAATCCGCTCCTCAGTTTGAACCGATGGACAATCTTCTACAGTGGGTAAATCCCAGGGGCAAAAACTCCTCGCTATGAACTCCGTTCCGAAAATGCAAAACAAGAGCCATCCTCCACGGCCGAACCCTTTATAGCCTCGTAATGACATCTACTCACCCATTTTTGCCTCATTTCTTCCCCAGCTTAAACCATTTTGGCATTCCTTTACTCTTGCCCTCTCCACCCGTACCTGTAGTCTCCTTCCCCTTTCCTTTATCGACGCTTGGCTCTGCCTCTTCCTCCGGACCATCTGCGACGGCGGGCTCCGGAATAGGCACGGCCTTCGCTTTCTGAGCGTATTGAGATTTCAATACCGGTTCCTTCCTGGCGCTTTCACTTGCTCCATCCTCCCAAAGGAAATTTATCAGTATCTGCCCCCTGAATCCCAGATCCTTGATTAGTTTCTTCGTCCCATCTCTCGGAACGGCTTGCGGCCCCTTCCCTTCATTGTACACAAGTTTGAATGGTTGGTTCTCGGCTGCAATAAGACTTGTAACATAGTCATAGAGCTGAGCGGGCGTATCATCGGCTGTGAAGGTGGAGACGACACTGCTTTGATCCGGGAAACGGATCTTCAGAGTCACTTGCTTGGTAGTAGCCAGCTTTGCGGCTCTCTCATTTTCAAGTCGTTCAATCTCCGCGTCGGATAATAGGCGTTTATTTTGTGCATTATTTTGCAGGAGTGCCTGGTGTTGTTTGGCGTGCGCAATGCTGGGTTCGTAGTCCATTTCATCATGTGGTACGAGAGCAGCCCTCGGCGTGTCTGAAGATGGCGCGGAATAGATTTGTATGGGTCGTTCGTTGGGACCCAGAACTGGTTGTTGAGGTGACGAAGTCTCTGGTACAGGTTGATCCGATGGAGCCTCTACCGGTTCTGATTGAGGGGTCAAATTTTGGGATCCTGACTGGGAGGTGGTATCTTGCGAAAGCATATCCACGTCTTTGCCTTCGGAGCTGTTGAGTGTATCCACACCTTCTACTGGAGCAGCCTCAGACTTTCCAACATCTGAGTTCGCGGCTGCGGCTGCTTCTTCTTTGAAATACTGCCCAATCTCCGCCATAGCTTCCTCCAGAGGCTGTTCCGTCTTCTTAAAATTGAGTCTGATTAAAACACTTCCTCCATTAAAGCCAAGCTGGGCCAGCGTCTTCTGTAGATCCCCAAATGTTGATAGTTCTCGACCCATGACGTTCAGAATAGGCATCTCATAGAAGACTCGTCCAGCACCAGACGCTCCATTCGCTATTTCCGTGACTCCTCTACCAGTGAAATTTAAATTCCTCCCTTCACTCGATTCGAACTTCCGAAGGACAAGCCATAATGTAGTATCACTTGGAAATTTGTCCATCAACCTTCCACCGGGGACCCCTAGTGACTCTGGTACTTGTAGGGCGACGGAGACTACGGAGGGTGATTTCGACGCAAGAACGAGTTCGAGTTTTGCCCCAGATGCAAGACCTGTTTGCCGGAAGGTTCTTGAGAGATCTACGGGCTTGTTGTTGTTCCTGCAGATTGTTAGATACCTCCATGACGATGGTTGAGTAGAGCTTACTTAAGACCATAGTTGCTAGATTTGAGGCCCCATTTTCCACATGCTTCATCCAATACCTCCGTCATAAATTTGCCAGGCGTGACTTTAACAGTACATCTCCGAAGGGTGGTGTCTATTACCACCACATGCGAGGCCATATTGGATGATATCGACTTCCAACAACGACGCTGTCTGGTAGATTATCCAAGGTTCGCTCTCGTACTGTGCGTGCGGTGCTTTGAATATGTCTGACGGCTTCCGGAATGTGTGTAGGTATTTTGATCAAGTATAATATTATCTTGAATTCTAACTTCCATTCGTTTCGCTGATGTTCGTGAGGCGGGAGAGCGTTGCGGGGTGTTCGAGGAGGGAGGGGTGGGGCAATGCGGCAAAATGACAAAGAAAAGAAAGGTATTGAGAGGCAATAGTAGAAACCCAGTCGCAATACTCTCGGCTTTTGATAAAATGGGTAAATAGAGCTCTGGAGTGTCGTGTTGTTGCGGCTCAAAGTTGGAGTTGATGCGCAATCATTAATCCGGTGCCTGACATCTTCCGTATATGTGTAAGTGGTCCAAGCTTCTGAGGCATGCGAGCTCGACAAGACGACGCGACAGCCGTGTCTACCTTGAAGCTAAATATATCAAAGAGCCTCACCCCCTACAACGCCGTCATCAACGAAGCTCTCGAATACCCAAGTGAGGCCTCTCTATCTGCACTCTTCCCCTCTCGATACCCAGCATAGAGAGACAACTCTAACAGAATGGTAAGCCGCCCTGTTTCTACAACCAACCATACAGCCAGCTAATATCCCATCTCTTACAGAGCTCCCCATTCTCCATCAGTACGAGACTCCTCCTTCCCAGCCCTTGCGACACATCCAACTAATATCTCTCTCAGATGGCGGCGCCTGCGTGGCCATGGTAGGCAAGGACTGCGTCGCCATAGCGTGCGACCTGCGCCTCGGTCTCCAATCCCTAACCGTCTCCAACAACTTCCCCAAGATCTTCAACTACGGCGACGTCTACCTAGGCCTGACGGGGCTGGCCACCGATGTCAACACGGTCTCGGATCTCTTCCGTTACAAAGTCAACATGTACCGCCTGCGCGAAGAGCGCAACATCTCCCCCTCCACCATGGCCAACCTCGTCTCGAGCTCGCTGTACGAGCGCCGATTCGGTCCCTTCTTCGTGAGCCCCGTCGTTGCGGGCATCGACCAGAAGACCGGGAAGCCGTTCATTTGCGGCTTCGATAGCATTGGCTGTATTGATTTTGCGAAGGATTTTATTGTCAGTGGCACGGCGAGCGATCAGTTGTTCGGTACTTGTGAAGGTCTCTGGGAGCCGGATTTGGTGAGTCCCCTTTCCTCTAAGTTGTTTTGAAAATGGGAACCCTTACTAACAGCTGCGTTGCAGTCGCCTGAAGATCTTTTCGAGACGGTTTCTCAAGCGTTGCTTAACGCGGTGGACAGAGATGCTTTGTCAGGTTGGGGAGCTCATGTCTATATCATCGAGAAGGATAAGGTCACAAAGCGGTTATTGAAGGGCAGACAGGATTAAGGAGTTAGCTGGGATGGGGTGTTGGAGAGCATTTTAAAAGGGAGTTGAAATGCCATGAATGGGGATGTGGAGGGCATTCCCGTGTTATGTACTTTTAGGTTTGGCATTCAAGGCTTGACGATAGAAAATGGACACAAGCATGACATACACTTCGCATTCAGTTGTTGTCGATTGCGGGATAGAGGAGGGTGCTGCACAGCAGTCAAGTTAACATTCAAAACTGTCATTGGTCACGTTGATAATTAGAATGATCCATAAATTCTGATTTGCTGTGCTGCTTGTCTGATGAGTACAAGTAAGCAAATCCAATATCTATTGGCTTTTACTATTATACATTTATTCTTTTTCCATCCATCTATCTGATAATGGGTTATTCTTGCTTGGGCCTCTGATCTATGGGGGCGGTCTTCTGCATGAACAATTGCCTCTCAATAAATTTGAGTACTTCATCAATAATGCTAAGAGTTTGTCAGCTGCCGTTTCCAAGGTGAAGAGTGTAGAGTAACTTACATGACGGGTCCACTGATGATTAGGACTGCCTTCCACTCATTCCAGTTCAATGGAAGTATAGAGAACAAGGTCTGGAGGATCGGCGTATAAAGAAGGGCGAAGTGTAAAGCCATAGATAAGGCGATGGCGTACACCAACATCATGTTATCCCATAGGGGAAGGGTGAGGAGAGACTCGCTAGATGACAATGCATTCATGGCGTTCAACATTTCGATAACGACTAGAATCGAGAGCGAAACAGTTGAAGCTGACTTTGCCATATCATTGGCAAACATCTCGCAGCCAATCTCGGGGAACGCTGAAGAACAACGGTGGAAATGGGAGAGTTGCCAGAAGGTAATTTGAGGTCCCTCAGAGTTGAACATGAACCACCAGGCGTATCCAGCGACAGTGGCGATACCGACGTATGTGCCAATCACCAAGTAGCGGAAGAAAAGCCAGCCACCGATCAGACGCTCATCTCTCTTTCTGGGCTGTCTCTTCATAATATCATGATCAGGCGGGTTAAATGACAGTGCAGTGGCTGGAAGACCATCCGTGACGAGGTTGACCCAGAGTAACTGAACAGGAATTAGAGCCTCTGGCATACCAACAGCTGCAGTGAGGAAGATTGAAACAACCTCTCCGATATTCGACGAGATGAGGTATCGGATGAACTGCTGAGTGTTGTTGTAGATAGAACGCCCTTCCTCAATGGCAACCTCGATCGTGGCAAAGTTGTCATCAGCCAGAACCATATCAGCAGCCAACTTTGAGACGTCAGTTCCAGAGCCCATGGCAACGCCAATATCAGCCTTTTTCAAGGCTGGAGCATCGTTGACGCCGTCACCAGTCATAGCTACGACCTCACCTGCTGATTGCAGGAGGTCGACAAGCTTCGACTTGTGACTTGGCTCAACTCTGGAAAACAAAGAGGCAGTCTTAACGGCTTCCAGTTGTTCACTCTCGCTCAGATTGTCAAACTCACGGCCAGTGTAACTCTTGCCTTTCAAGTCTTCGTATTCGCCAAAGACTCCGATTTGACGACAGATCGTTTCAGCAGTATTGCGGTTGTCACCAGTGATGACAATCACTCGGATACCGGCTTCTTTACATTTTCTGATAGATCCAGCGACCTCAGGACGAGGTGGATCAAGCATCCCAACAAGACCTAGAAGCGTGAGGTTTTGCTCAAGTTGTAGGTATTCGGAGGTTGTTTTGGCCTTTTTCAGGAGTGGATTGGATCCTACGTCTTCGAGACTGGCAAGAGCCATCACACGGAGACCCTTATTGCCATAGTCTACCAGTTCCTTCAACAAGAGCTCGGACAGACTCTTTGACATTGGTACCTTCTTTCCATTCGCTCCAACTAACGTATGAGTACACCGCTCAATAAGGGTCTCTGGAGCCCCCTTGACAAGCAGTCTCTGCTGTGTATTGTCTCCAACAAGGACAGACATGCTTTTGCGGTCCCTGGAGAATTCATAAGTAGCGAGACGAGGGCTCTTCTTCTCATACCAGGTGCTGGAGAGGTGAAGTCTGTCCACTGCCGAAACATTTGCTCTCGCTTTATTCTCAGCCGAATCAGGGGTGCCAATCTTCTCCACCAGAACGCGCAGAGCTCCCTCAGTGGGTTCGCCAACATTTGAGTATGTTCCGGATTTCGAGTCGAAGGCCAGCTGAGCATCGTTACAGAGAGCTGCTACCTCGGCCATCTGGAAAACGGTGCTTGACTTCTCCGCCACATCAGCTATCACGGTTCCATTTGATCTGATACTTCCAATAGGAGAGAACGTCGTCCCGTCAACATCGAGCTCTTCCAAATCATTGCCAGCCTCGTTAATGTATACGATCTTATTGACGCTCATTTGGTTTGTGGTCAAAGTACCGGTCTTATCGGAGCAGATCACACTGCAGCTACCAAGTGTTTCCACAGAAGGCAAGCTTCGGACAACTGCATTCTTCGCGGCCATTTTCCGTGTGCCAAGGGCAAGACATGTTGTAATTACGACTGCCAGACCCTCCGGAATAGCAGCAACACCGAGAGAAACAGCGATCTTCAGATAATAGATAGCGCCTTTTGCCCAGCTTCCATGGCTTGGATCGTTGAAATGAGGAACGTTGATGAGCCAGACAACAATACAGATTATTGAGATAACCTTGGCCAAAGTGTCCCCAAAATCGTTCAGTTTTTGCTTCAGAGGGGTGGGCTCGGAGATCTGCGCTGTGATGCTCTCGTGGATATCACCAATGGCGGTAGAGGACCCAGTAAGAACCACGATTGCCGTGGCATGCCCGGTAACAACCGTTGTCCCTGAGAACAAAGTGTTGACTTGATCTTGCCTCACGGCTTTGATATCGTTCACCACGCTAGTATCTTTTCCAACGCTCTCGCTCTCGCCAGTGAGAATAGCTTGGTCGACCGCAAAACTGTTGCTCTGAATCGCGAGTACTCGGCAATCTGCTGGTACTCTGTCTCCCACAGAGATTGAAATTATGTCTCCTGGAACCAATTCTTCCGCTCGGATTCGAGTAACATGCCCATCTCGGATAACCTTGGCTTCGTTCGCCGAGTATTCTTGGAGGGCAGCAATGGCCTTTTCCGCACTGCTCTCTTGCGAGACACCAACGACGGCGTTAAGGATTAGAATCGTAAGAATCTGCGACTGTGAGAATTTATTGAAGCAAAGAGGTGAAGGATGCACATACAACCGCGGGATCTACAAAAGCAGTCCAGCCACCACCTTCTTCAAAGAGAGCCAGAACGAAGGAGATTACGGCGGATCCAAGAAGAATAATGACAAGCTGGTCCTTGAATTGCTCAAGGATCAGCTTCCATAAGGGAGTCGGTGGATCCTCCGCGATTGCTGCGAGGCTGTGAGTTTCTGCATGTTGTGCAGGTTGCAGGGAGGAAGCTATTTACCATTGCTGCCATACTTCTCTCTTGAAGCTCGAACTTGGGCCTCAGTCAATCCGCGAGCTTCAGATACCGAGAAGAATTCCAGGACCTCAGAGGTGCTTTTGGCAAAGGCGTTCTCCATCTCTGAGCGGGGCGAGGCGTAGATCTCGAATGGTTCACGGACACCTTGATTGTTCGTGGACGGACGAACGAGTGTAGAGAAAAGGTCGAACCGGTAGAAGAGCAGCAAGAAGAGAAGAGAGCGGACCGCAAGAAGGTTGCGAAATCAAGGCGATCTAGGCTTGGGGAAGGTGTTGCATCTGCCCAGTACAATTCAGTGAAGTGTCTTCTTGAGTCCCTTAGTAACGCGTAGAAGGCTCTATCGCGGTCTGATTCGTGGGAGGCTGATCTGGCCTCCCGTAGCCTGACCCACGTGCAGAGATAGCGGCTGACGGGGAAGATGCGATAACGAGGAGAGTGGGTTCTGGGGCAACAAGGTAGTTTTACCTAAGTATTTACCGTTTTCGACTGTTTTACTGTGATTGAAGTGATTGAAATGATTGAGGGAGTGCCATGATCAATGTGTTGATTAATAGCTGTTGAATAGTACCTTAGACCAGTGCTTTGCCTCTGAGTTTGAACCCCTTTCCAATCGATCTTTCTAATGAATGACTCCTTGGGTCTCACAAGGAAGTAATGAATCCCTACACAAAGATAGGTACAGGTAAGAAGCATTCATTATACTCATCTCCTTCCTGAGTCTTGTTTCAATTAGGGCTGGCAACTATTGTGCTGCCATGTATAGGTAATTCTGTGCAAGGTGACGAGACCGTGAGATCCAACGCGCGAAACCGCTATTCTTCCAGTGCTCCTCATATGTAGAGGGGATATATGTGCAGCCTCAAAGCCTATCTAATCTTCATATAAAGCGCCGAGCGCCACCTTCCCTGTTATAACACATCGTTTATCTCGTGAACGAACCGCGTTACAGAATGCTTGGACACGCTGTCCAGTTTGCGGTGAAGTCGATATACGGGTTTATGCTGCCTTGTTATTGATATCAAAAGGTTCTGCTAATGATTTAGCAATGTAAAGGAGTTGTTAAAAGATACCCAAGGTAAATGTACTTTGAGATTCTGTGAGAAATCAAGGCACGTGATATCAATGCTCAAGGTAAGGGAACATGTCGTTCTTTCAACAATCAGTTCTTTCAACCTTCCTGTGTTAATAGACAGCACTCTCTGAATATCCGACATGATCAATGTAAGGATTTCCGTCTACCAGATTCGATGTAGTAATGTAATATTCGTCGTTGAAGAACACAAAAATCTCTATCATAATGTAGAAGTTCGCATTTGTAACACCTTCTGTGGCAATTCAGGCCACCAGTTGAAGTGCTTTCATTGTGTGTAGCAGATGGCAGGTGCGCCTGAAGAGCTAGAGTGAGCAGAAGAACAAGACGACATGGTGGAAATACACCGGGTTTGTCGCTCAAGGCAGCTAAGACGCGCGAAAACGCGTTATCGCGAAATTCGCTTAGACTTTCGGAGACTTACTATTCATATACCCACCTTTTTCCAGTATCCAGCACAGTAGCACTGCTTCCAAATTAGCGGTCAAAGCTGTGCGCTTGGTAGTGCACGACCATCACTACCTAAAGGTGAAGTCTGTCTGGATCTAGTGACCATGCCTACACCAAGTGTACTGTAATGTACCCAAGACAATTGACATTTCCAGGCTTGGCAGTCCATGGTCAAACGGACCGCGTTTCAGGTCCTCGGCATGCCGGTCGAAGCGTACTACCGCGACCCATTGACCATGAGGGTTTCGTTCAATGCAGGTGGCCTTTCTCTCCTCAATCGATGATATAATCAGGGGATCGATAACGACATTATGCCACCACACGAAGGACTATCGCACCTCAAGGAGTACGATATCAAAGACAGCAATGTGGAGCTGATCGGAACCGAGATCGATCACCGCGTCAAGTACAAGTCTGCTGCGACGGAACCAGCCTGGAACAACGGCAAGGTAGGACAGATTGCTGGCTTGTACGTATGGAGAATCGAGGACTTTGAGTTGGTTGCTTGGCCCAAGGAAAGGGTTGGCGAATTCTACGACGGGGATAGCTACATCGTGTTGCACTCATACAAGATCGGCGAAAAGAATGGAGAGGACAAGTTAGGCCACGACATCTTCTTCTGGCTAGGGAGCAAGACTTCGCAAGATGAGGCAGGGACGGCAGCGTACAAGACAGTCGAGCTCGATGAGTTCTTGCGCGGTGTAGCTATACAGCATCGAGAGACTCAGCAGGCGCCTTCAGACGAGTTTATAGCACTATTTCCCCGCGTCAAGATCCTTTCAGGGGGTGTACGCTCTGGGTTTCGACACGTCGATCCTGAAGGCAAACCGAAAGAGATCACTACGCTGCTTCGAATCTTTAAGTTTCCCGGTGCTGGACGTCGTGCTGATACTCTGGTGGTGCATGAGGTGGAGCCTACATGGCAGAGTCTCGACGACGATGACGTGTTTATTTTGGATAAGGGCGAGAAGATCTGGGTCTGGCAAGGCAAGAAGTGTAGCCCAATTGAAAAGGCCAAAGCTGCGCAGGTTGTGCATGACTTGACGCTCGCCAAACATGTCGATGTTGAAGTTCTGTCGCAGACGGAATCAAGATCCAGGCTTGTGGTTGATCTGCTGGGAGGCAAGAATATCAATCAAGATAGATTTCAGGCCCCCAGGCCTGTCTCATCTTCAAGGAAGCCAGACGGTAATGGTGCGAGCCCTCGCCCTCATAGATTATTCCGCCTCAGCGATGCCACGGGAAAGCTCTCCTTTAACCTCGTCAAGGAAGGGAGGCCGATTCATAAAGCGGATTTGGATGGCAACGATGTCTTTCTCCTCGATACTGGTAGCGCCATCTGGGTCTGGCAAGGGCTGGGAGCTAGTAAAGCGGAGAGGGGTATGTGGATGAATGTGGCTCAGATGTATGTTCGTCAACTTCAACAGAGATCAGAAAGTGCAGATGCACACCTTACTCCGTTAGCAGCGGTTGTGGAAGGAAATGAAAGCTCGGCGTTCTTTAAGGCGCTGGAAGTCTGAATAAATAGTAGCCAACGCGGCTAAGCATTATCGGATCCTTTTCTTCCTCATGTGCTTGTGATGGGATGACATAGCATTGTACGCTGAAGGTTAGAGGTACGAGATCAAAATACTTGGTAGGTATTTATTTAAACATGATATCTATTATGTCTTTGCCAATTAAGCACTCAAAACCCGGTTTTCATATCATTAGCTATGTTTCGTTACACGAGAATTAGATTTAGAGCCGATCTAAGCCCTACCTAAGGTATGCAATATAGAAATATGAGACAGCCCAATGTCCCTCAGTTCTGCGGTCGTACAAAGTATGTGAAAGGAGTTCCCTTAATGCGACATGTATAGGTAGGTACCCGGTGCCTCCATCCTCAGACTACCTTACACTAAGGTACACTTACTGTACATACAGCCTATACTTTAAAAACACCGCAGATTTGCTTGTCTACTTTCCCTGGTGGGCAGCGAAGCTGCGAAACAGATATTGATATGGGTATGATCTACCTACTCCGTACGATTCTTGAGGCTCTGATTAGCCAGATACTGACTTCGACGTCACGTACTCCGTAGAAATAAGTACCGACGTAAGTTGACCCCCGTACACCAGATTCTGCAACGCGCAAGGGACAAACGTCCCCTTTGGGTTCCCCTTTACCCACCAAACCCCCTCCCCCTTCTCCCTCTTCCTCTCTTTCTCTTTCACAGACTCTCTCTCTTCCCCCCTCTCCTCACTCTCTTTTCTGCAGCATCTACAGTCTTCTCTTCTCCCTTCTCTTCTAGAAGAAAGATTGAATGATTTTCAACACCTGGCAGGAATGCGCTCCAGGCTTCGTATCAGCATCTTTTTGGCGTTTCTCCTTTTATCTCTCTACCTGATCTTTCCCTTTGCACGACCTAGCAGACATAGCGAACCGCCCAAGGACCCGCCCAAGCCCGAACCGCACCCAAAGGAGCAAATAAACCTAGAGGCTGCTATAGCGGAATTCCAACAGCAGTTCTACGAGGAACACGATGCTTTGGGAAAGTGAGTAGTAGACCATCTATGGTGTGCCCTTTTCGCTGACATGACGACTCAGGGAGGAAAGTGCTGGCAAGGTATACGGGAATACGTTGAGGAAACTGGTGGATGCAGGAAATCAACCAGGACTTCACGCCTCGGCTTTAAAGAAAACGGACATTCGCACACCATGGACTGATGCATCTCCATACGTATACGACCCCTATCCCGACTACAACACAGATGCGTGGAAGGCGAGCAATAAGGGCATCTATGTTCCGTGCCCCGGCCCGGAGGAAACCGTGCGCGATGTGATGGTCTTCCGAGGACGGTCTGAGGCTTTCCATGAGTCGCCTATCGGATCCTATGATGTGCTGCAGATGGATAACGCGCTCTGCTTCGAGAGGGACACCCGTCTCGGGATGTACACCGATCAAGAAGGTGAAACGACTCCTAATAAAGGAGTGAACTGGGATGCCGTCAATTGGGGAGCCTTGCAGGATTTCTGCTATGAGAAGAACTCGGATCGATACGTGCAGCTCGAGAAGGTTGGATCCATTGAAGATGAGGTCAACCCTCACAAGAAGAAAAACGACCAGAACGACCCTGTTGAAGACGATAATAGCAGTGGCCATAGCAGAGATGTCTCGAATCCTCACAATGACTCGACACATTCTACACGGCCGAAAACTGTTGCGGACGAGTCTGTAGCCAAGCCAAAGTCCCGAACAGCTCTTCTTCTTCGAGCTTATTCTGGAAAAAAGTATACCGAAAATGACAAGCAAAACATCCGTTCTTTAGTTTCTGAATTGTCCTTGCGAAGTGGAGGCGAATACCAAGTCTTTTTGTTAGTGCAAATCAAAAATGGACTTCCTTTCACTGAAGAATCACTTCATGCCGACCTCCCAAAGGAGTTCTGGGATATGGCTGTCCCTTGGAACGATGAACAGATGAGCGAATTGTATCCTTTAATCCCACCAGAAGTTAACAACGTCCATCAATCCCAGTGGTTTTCTGTTCAGAAGTTTGCCTTGGACTACCCCGAGTTTGACTATTATTGGAATTGGGAACTCGACTCTAGATTTACCGGCCATCACTACGATCTTCTAGAGAGGCTGTCCGCATTTGCGTATAAGCAGCCAAGAAAAGGCCTGTGGGAGCGCAATGAACGGTACTACATCCCATCCGTCCACGGCCATTATGACACCACGTTCCGTAGCATGGTTGAGGAAGTTTCCGGCTCGGACACCGTCTGGGGACCTGTGCACCTTGAAGGCGTCTCTCCCGTTGGTTCTCCGCCACCGGTTGCAAACCCTGCAGACGACAACTATGAATGGGGCGTGGGAGAAGAAGCGGATTACATTTCTCTCGGCCCTATGTTCAACCCTGTGGGCGCGAGCTGGATTGACGGAAAGGGTGTCTGGGGCTACGCCGGCGCCGATAACACTCCAAGGCGCGCAACTATTGGGACACAATCAAGATGTAGTAGGAAGCTACTCAATGCTATGCACGGGGAGAATCTGAAGGGGAATCATGTCGGCAGTGAAATGACGCCTCAAACCGTCGCATTATTGCATGGGTTAAAAGCGGTTTACGCACCTATTCCAATGTTCTTTGATAGGGCTTGGAGTGGCCAGAGCTTAAACAAGTGGTTTAACCCAGGGCCGAAGGGCGAGAGTGGGAGTACTCCCAACACTCCTTTTGGCTGGGGCCTGGAGGCCAGGTTTGAGGGCAGCTCATGGTATTACAGAACCACACTGCCCATGAGACTGTATAACAATTTCCTGGGGTGGGAGGACAGTGGGATAGGTGGCCTCGAGGTATGTTTCTTTCTTCTGCTCATTGGTGTTATCGTGCACGTGCTGATGTCCATGTAGTGGGAGAAGGCACATGGCAGACCGTGTTTGCCCCCGATATTGTTACATCCTATCAAAGACGTGGAGAAGACTCCCCCCGGCTTTTTCTCTTCATCGGAACTCCCGTATTGACCTGGACGGCAGGTGGCTATGGGGTGTGTATTTTAGGTTTGCATTCAGCTTGGAGTCTGGGCGACCTTAGACAGGTGGTGTTGTGCGTTATAGAGGGTATCATCTATATTCGGATATCAGTGTGCCGTATGCAAGCTACTGCGAGACATCTTCTTCTCATCTTCTCATCTTTGTTGGCATCTAGAAAGACCTGCTTAATGTATTATAATTTATATATCAACCTTTCTAATTATTCCTCGTCTAAAGCAAGTCAACTTCGGTATTTTGCCTTTGCTCATAGTGATAGCTAGATTAAAATATTGAGTCTTAGGTAATTGACACATTCTCTCTTCCCCTTATAACTAATAGCTAGCAAGGGATGACGTTTGGTACGAACATAATAGATTCAATAGTAAAAGGGAAACAGAGCGTTGGCATTTTCACTTTTTTCTACTGCACATTATACAACTACTATCAGGTATCACAGTACCTATGAAAGGTGTCGCTTTGAATCTCTTAAAATCAGCAGCAGGATATTTACTTTCTAGAATAAGGATTCAAGGAGTAACAAAACAAAGTAGGCGCAGTACCAAGGTACGGAATCCTATGAGCCTTGAATGATGGATGCCTTGTTGCCTTTTCGCCTTATTGCCTGACGGCAAGTATCGAGGTCCCTTTGCTCACGGGCAAAAAAACGATGGGATGATAATTGACGGGGCAAATCAGCAATCAGCATCTGCATGTGGGTTCGATTGGCCAGGGAGTGAGTGGTCCGTATCGCGCTGGCCAGCACATGCCAGAAGCACCAGACACCAGAAGCACGACGTGATGTGATAAGGTCTGTCTGGAGGCCTTCGTGGAGCCTGTCTGAACCCATCACCTTTCCGTGTGGGCGTGTGAGCTTCAATGGTGCAATTTGGGCGAGGGAAGTGAAGTGCGATGTGTTGGGCACTCTTCCATATTGCTGTACGCGTGTCTATATATGTGTATAGAATCGCTCACTTTCAAGTTCTTCGCGCTCTACTGGCTCTTGAGAAGCGCGTGATAAAAGTCAGAGAAAGGGAGTAGCAAAGCTGTTGCAAGGGAGCTCTGATGCAGATGGTCTGGGTATTCTGCTTACCTAGCCCACAATAACAAAAATGAAAATGGAATAAAAATGGAACAAGAACACACGTCCCGCTGATCTTTAAAGCACCAGCGCGTCGTCTGTTTATTTTGGTTTGTTGAGAATTATTATCAAGATTTGAAGCCTTGAGGGAAATCCCTCCCTCCCGCTCGCCCCCTTCTCCCCCCCCAATTCAATTTCGAGCCACTTTTAGCGAGTGCGCCTAGTAATTCGGTCTTCCATCAACATCTCTCCCCAATTCATCCCACGAGACTTCACATCTTCGAACCTCCGTAAACAACCACCTCTATCGATCGATTCCCTTCCCCTATCCTACCACCGCACATTCCCCTCGTACCAACCTTGATCAACTTCAAGAATGACATCCGAAGTAAGTCACCCGCTCTACCCTCCACGTCACTCGCCATACCTGCACTTCAACTTCCCCTCCAACTACTATCCTCCTTATCGACCGCGTTTCCTCCCGTCCTCCCACCTCCGTGCCATCTTCTTTGGATGCTTTGCTGACTCTTTGTTCGATCTATAGCGCGAGAGGTACGATTTGAACTACAACGGTGCACAGACACCTATCAGATTCCTATGCTGACTCCCCTACAGCAAGACTTTCCTCGCGAGGCTCTGCGAGCAGGCCGAGCGCTACGATGAGATGGTTACATACATGAAGGAGGTGGCCAAGGTACGAGATATCCCCGCCCTTCCCGGATGTGATGTTCTTCACCATCCCAGTCCGCAAAGCTGACGACGCGTAATCTAGTTGGGCGGAGAACTCAGCGTTGACGAGCGAAACCTTCTGTCCGTTGCCTACAAGAACGTTGTTGGCACCCGACGTGCTTCCTGGCGCATTATCTCGTCGATTGAGCAGAAGGAGGAGTCTAAGGGTACCGACAAGCATGTTGCGACCATCCGTGACTACCGTCAGAAGATCGAGACGGAGCTTGAGAAGGTCTGCCAGGATGTCCTCGACGTCTTGGACGAGTCTTTGATCCCAAAGGCTGAGTCCGGAGAGTCCAAGGTCTTTTACCACAAGATGTATGTCCTATCGGCGACCGCGCGTGTCTGCGATGACTCCCAGAATGATTTGCGCCTTTACTGACATGGGTCTCGATTTCAGGAAGGGTGACTACCACCGCTACCTTGCTGAGTTTGCTTCCGGCGAGAAGCGTAAGGTTGCTGCCACTGCTGCCCACGAGGCTTACAAGGTTTGTGCCAATGCCAAACTTGTCGAGTCACTACTAATGCTCTCTATCTAGAACGCCACCGACGTTGCACAAACCGAGCTCACCCCCACCCACCCCATCCGTCTCGGCCTGGCTCTCAACTTCTCTGTCTTCTACTATGAGATCTTGAACTCACCCGACCGTGCCTGCCATCTTGCCAAGCAAGCTTTCGATGATGCCATTGCCGAGCTCGACTCATTGTCCGAGGAGTCTTACCGTGACAGCACCCTCATCATGCAACTCCTCCGGGATAACCTCACCCTCTGGACCTCCTCGGACAGCGGCGAGCCTGAAGGCGCCCCAGCTGATGCTGCACCCAAGGAGACCGAGAAGGCTGCTGAAAGCGCGGACAAGCCAGAGGAGCCAAAGGCGGAGGCTGCCCCTGAATCCTAGATCTCTCACTCTCGAATCTCCTCGTCTCGTTTTCGTATGCTTCCTTTATCTTACTGGAGTGGCTGGTTACCTGGCTTGCTGGTGGGGTGGTGGTAGCGTGGGCTGGGGATGGGAGTTGATATGAAAAGCAGAACGAGTGCGATTTTGCGAATTCTCCTAATTTGCGAATACACCATCCTGCGAAACTTGATGATCATGTTTTCTTTTCTGGTTGCGATGTCTTTCCCTGCGGTCCTTTTTACATCAGGGGCGTGTTTTGTGGATGGAGCCTTCGAGCTTCTGAAGCGGGCGTCTTTGATACTTGGGATGCATCTTCACAAAGAGCCTCGACGGCGCATAGCTTTTTTGAGAGTTTGTTGAAGACTGCTTTGCCTCTCTCAATTTGCTATGCGTCTTCCTCAGCAAACTGGTGGCATGCTTCCCGATCTAGATATCCCTCGGATTTCTTACATCCCCCTCGTGTTGTCATAGCGAATAGCCTCAAAACCTTTTTGCGTTGCCCTTGCCTACGTAGTTAGGGTCGATGAATTCACTCCCATACTATACAGAACAAGTCTCTGCGCCGTGATTGAATAAACATTGCTCCTCTGTCCAAGAATGGTGAACCTCATCTACCACAACAGAACTGATCCGCATACCTGTCTATATAGAGCAGAATACGAGAGTGTGCATCTGCTACGTTTGGTGTTTGATGTTTGATGCTTTCGTAAGTGGTGAGAGGAGTCTGGAAATCTGGGTGGGCATGATTGTCCGTGAGATGGATTGGATGATGTATGAGGCAGGAGGAGATGAGATTGGCGGACGGCCAGCTAGGCATAAGACGAGAGAGCGGGTTGGAAGATGAGACTTGAAATGAGAGACGAAGGGGAGATCTCGATGGGGTATATTATCTTGGTGATATGGATGCGAAATATTCTGGCTGTTTGAACGAAGCTGTCGATCGAATCATTTTTGGAATATAGGGTATGGATGGATGCTCGAATTGTTGCGCGAGAAGATATCAAACCACTATCATTTCTCATTTGGATTTTTACAGGGAGTCTTACTTCGATGCCTTCTTAATTCTTCTCTAATATCTCTGGCTTAGATACTCGGTGCTTGACAGTATTCCTCACCATGACTGTCGCGGCAACCTGCACTGGGTTCCTTATGAAGCAATCAATGATTGTTCCAGAGTACACAGTATCACGGCCCCAAAAGAGATGAAGAGAAGGACGGGTTCAATATACATGTTCCGGCGTCAGCTCACAAATCCTTATGGTAGTCTTCGAATTTCAACTTCGACTCATAGTCGCATCGTTGATTGCCTGCTCCCTCCTTGACGGAAGCCAACTATGCAGCTGAGTCAATGACTATATGATATCAAATCCAGATAGAGGAGCTTCTCGCAGAACTGTATCATGCGCAAACACCTGCTCTGCTACAGAGGTTGCATGGAATGGCCCACACGAAACAAATATTTGAGGATTGGACGTGATTATGCATCAAAGAAGAAACAAGACATCTTTAGGCTTCAGAATTGGTCATGTTGAAATCAAGCTCCAGAGGAGCATTCATTCTCTTCCTATATGTGATACTGTGTATCGTTCATCACCAGCCTATATGTAGGAGAAAAGAATCGACAAGAGAAATCTCGTGGGCTCTATTTTATGCCGAGGAGATCTCTAGTGGCTGCTTACCTAAGCTAGCGCTGGGCTGCAAATTCAGCCTCATCTTCCAAGCCAGACTCCCCAGCCATCTTCCTGCGACCGGATACCCATTCACTTCTGCTCGTCGCAAATTCGAAATCGCGCTTTTGAAACTTCGTGGGGACTTTGGATTTTTAACGGCACCTTACCTTGTAAGGAGATCATCGCGTTTCCGACTTCGTCGTTCGTTCACCAGATTCCATTCTCGCGACTATGGGTGACTTCAATTACGGAGGGACAGAGGAGGAGTCCGCTGAGATCAAGAAGCTCAACGCCGAAGTTGTATGTCATGTCCAATGCTACGCGTGACCCCTGCCTTTCCGATGCTAATTCTATACGCGCACAGCTCGAAGACCCCGATAACTTCGAAAACTGGGAGAAGCTTGTTCGCGCGACGGAGACTCTCGAAGGCGGCTTGAATCGCAACTCCAGCCCGCAAGCAATTGCAACAACCCGAGATGCGTACGACCGTTTTCTTGCCAAGTTCCCTCTCTTGTTTGGCTACTGGAAGAAGTATGCCGACCTGGAATTCTCTATTGCCGGGACTGAGGCTGCTGAGATGGTAAGGCTGAATATCGCTTGTGGAGGAGCACATGGCTAACGATAAACAGGTGTTTGAGCGAGGTGTCGCAAGTATCACAACATCAGTGGACTTATGGACGGATTATTGCTCTTTCAAGGTTGAGACAAGTCATGATCCTGATGTGATCAGAGAGTAAGTATACTGGATGCTTTCCTTCCCTTAACGCAGGCATCTTCGGCAGATGCATCACAATGGCTGTATGGACTGCGTTTGGAGAATCACTGGCTCGCAGACGGTGAGAAACGCCAACAAAAGTCGCTCTTTGTCTGATACCCTTCTCACCCACATGATCAGGATCTCTCTTTCTGCTATCCCACGTTCGCTTTTACATCGTATCACTCTGCACACATGTTCGGAATGCTTGGAATTCGAGGATCACTAGTTCAAGCACACTTGTCCTTCCCGTATTTTCACTCCTTGCCACCTCCACACTCCCTTCTCCCAATACCGAGCCCAACTAACGATCCGTGATAGGCTGTTCGAACGTGGTGCTGCATGTGTCGGCTTGGACTTCCTTGCTCACCCCTTCTGGGACAAGTACCTCGAGTTTGAAGACAGATTAGAGGCGCATGATAAGATCTTCGCCATTTTGGATCGCGTCGTGAAGATTCCCATGCATCAATATGCCCGATACTTTGAGCGTTTCCGACAAATGGCACATACTCGCCCACTGCAGGAGCTACTCCCTGCCGAAACTCTTGCTCAATACCGAGCCGAGGTCGAGGCCGAGAATGCAACCTTCCAAGCAGGTCCAAAGGGAGAGTTAGAGATCGAGCGGGAGATCCGGACCAAGATTGATAATTTCCACTTGGAAATATTTACGCGCACTCAGACCGAAACAACAAAACGCTGGACTTATGAATCGGAAATCAAGCGCCCATACTTCCACGTTACGGAGCTTGATCATGCGCAACTGGCCAATTGGAGAAAGTACCTCGACTTCGAAGAAGCTGAGGGTGACTATACAAGAGCTGTGTTCTTGTACGAGCGATGCTTGGTCACTTGTGCCTTCTACGACGAGTTCTGGTTCCGATATGCTCGATGGATGTCTGCGCAACCGGGAAAGCAAGAGGAAGTCCGAAATATCTACCAGCGTGCAAGCACAATCTACGTTCCGATCAGCCGCCCTGGCATTCGATTGCAATATGCCTACTTTGAGGAGATGTCTGAGCGTGTCGACGTTGCCCGCGATATTCACCAAGCCATCTTGGATCGTATGCCTGGTCATGTCGAGACGGTTGTGTCGTGGGCAAATCTTGAACGCCGTCAAAGTGGTCTTCCAGCTGCTATCGAGGTCTACAAAGCCCAGATCGACAATCCCGCTGTTGATATCTTTGCTAAAGCTGCATATGTTGTGGAGTGGGCTTTCTTGCTGTGGAGAATTCAGGGTTCAGTCGATGAAGCTCGCCAAGTATTCCAGAAGAATCAACAATGGTACCTCCAAAGCCGTCACTTCTGGGTCAAGTATCTTGAATTCGAGCTGGCGCAGCCTACTAGTTCCGAAAAGGAGGCCGAGCACTATGCAACTATCAAGCAGATATACAATGACATGATTCAAAAGAGTCGCATGTCATTGGCCACGAAGAGGGATATTAGCAACTATTACTTGTCATACCTCCAGCAGCGGGGAACCAAGGGGGCCATGAAGGAATTTCTGCAAATTGATAAGGAGCTCAACGGGTAAGTTATTCTTCCAAAGCAGTGAAGGATATCTAACTGATAATTATATAGACCTGTCTCAGTACAGCCCGCGATCTTCAAGGCATCAGCTGGGAAGGGGCTGGAGAATGGACATTCCGTTGGCGAGATTGACGAGGCTACATTACGCAAAGGAGAGGTCCAGTACAGTACGTACTTCTCACAACACGGCGAGTTACCACCCAACGCTCAAGGCCTCGCTCCATTCCACTAAACTATCCCAATATCTTGACATGGTTGATTATGTCTCGCCGGCTTTCACATCGCTTCATCGCAAGCTGGCTTTTTTAACGCTCGAAAAGAAGAAAAAAAGGAGCGTCGGATGGATATTCTTGCATGTATGATAGGCTTTCTACTACGGCGGCTTGTGTGTGAGGCCTGGGCGATGTACTTTTAGCAGGTCCCTTTTTTTCAGGCGAGCAGCAAATCTCGTTGCGATATGATCCTGCATCTTTCCCTGCGTTTTATCGTATCCTCTATAGAGTAATTTACAGACCTTAATCCAACGATCTCGTCCCAATTATATCCGAGTTCCTTTGAAATCACCTTTTCGATAGTCTAGGTACTTAATAACAATTGGATTTTAAGGTACCTAGCTAGGTAGGTACTAAGTTACAGGCGTAACGGTCGACCTGACATGGCTCAAAACTTCAAAGGATAGGTAAGTTATGTTATTAATACGAGAGAGGACGTTTCAAGCACTGCCAAATTTCGGAGACAGGGATGGTTTTCAAATAGGGAGTATTTAGAGCTGTTGGTTGTGAGATGTGAAACTAGGGATTGGAAGCTTGATTCGAAGGCGCGAACTCTGTTGGGAAGCCTTGTCTACTCCCTGTTTCTTTTTTAAGGAGGGCTGTCCTTGCGTTCGCCGGCTTCTTGTTCTTCTATTGTTTGAGTCTTGGTAGGGCTTGAGTGAGTGCTATATTATTGTTGATGTGTTGATTCAAGGCCATTTGCTTTTTGTGTGTTTGTTTGTTTGTTTGTTTGTTTGTTTGTTTTGGGGGGGGGGGGGGGTATCTGGGGAATTAAAAAAGGAAGATATACTCTAGACATCGAGCGAGGAGAATGTCGCAGGGAGATGGAAGTATACATATTATTTACAAAGCTAGACAGATACATATCTACAGCTTCGCCTTTGCCTTGGTAAATTCCACCTTGTTGGTGCAGGTTCCAACCCCCTCAAGTGAAACATCCACGATATCACCATCCTTCAACCAGAGTTGCGGTTTGCGGCCCATACCAACGCCCTGTGGGGTCCCGGTGAAGATCACATCGCCAGGCAACAAAGTCGTTCCCTGACTCAAGAAAGCGATGGTCTTTGCAACGCCAAAGATCATGTCTTTGGTGCTGCTCTGCTGCACCTCCTGTCCGTTAACCTTGGTCGAAATCTTCAAGGCCTGGGGGTCTTTGATCAGCTTGCTGCTGACGATCCCAGGCCCGTACGGTGCCCAGCCATCGAAACCTTTGCCGAGAGACCATTGGCCTCCACCGCGCTGAAGCTGCCACTCTCGGTGGGAGACGTCGTTGCCAACTGCGTAGCCGAGAACGTAGTCCAGAGCCTTGGATTCAGGGACATCTGAACAAGCCTTTCCAATAACGGCAACGAGCTCGCATTCATAATCCAGTCCGGTGCCTTCTTGAGCCAGAGGATGGACTGGAATGGGATCCGTGGGCCCAGAAAGGGAAGTGGAGGGCTTGTACTGGTGGAGTATAAGTAACAACTCGACAGTGAAGTGAGGAAGAGACTTACAAATACGACAGGGTATTTTGGAATTGGCATATTGGACTATGGAAGTAAACTTGAGAACTCCTCTTGGTCATGCGGATTGCATACCTCTTTCGCGTGCTGCTCATAGTTCAGACCGAGGCATCTAACGGTCTTCACGTCCTCTAAGGCCAGGGGAGCAAGCAGAAGACGAATATCAGCGACTTGATCCGTGACTTCATGCTTTCCAAAGATCTGGCCCCGAATGATCTTGGCCTGCGTGGCTTTGGCAATATCTGTCACGCCGCGGGGGAGAATTGCATCTCCATAATATGTTCGGCCATCCTTGGCCAGGAATCTAACTAGACGCTGGAAGAAGGGTCAGTGAGGGGTTAAAAGAGGCTCGCGTTCTCGGGACCCACAGCGAAAGAAGCCATTTGAAAAGCTATTCTGGCAATGGGGCAAAATGCTTAAGAGAGTCTTGAAATCAAAGGCTTATTATTTACAAAGAAAAGACTCGATTACAGAGTGTCATGTCCCAGAGATGATGTGTGAGAGCTCTCGGGAAGACGGAGAAAGTTATTGCCGTCCTCGGAAGCGAAGCCCCCTGTCGCCATTCGGAATAGTCCACCAATCCTTGGAGCTCTCACTTTCTTCGACTCTTACATCACCGTGCGGTATATCGAGGGAGAAGGAAATACAATTGAGCAACAGAGCTAGCAATGAGACTCTCAGGGCTTCAGCGAGAGGTGTTAGCCCTCTACCGGAAATGTTTGAGAGAAAGCAGGAAAAAGCCGGCAGTGAGTGCCTGAGAATCCTATTTCAAGCTTGCCTGACTCTAACTCTTGCAGAATACCAGGCCTCACTTCGAGTCCTTCGCAAGGTCGGTCGGTCAACGCGAGAGTTCATTTCGAACGCTTCTTTTGCTACTTTTGTGAAATAGAAGCTAATTTACCATGGGGAGCAGGTCTGAGTTCCAAAAGAATATTACCCTCGACAAGAGAGATTTCTCAGCAATTGAATACCTCTTGCGAAAGGGCCAAAGACAGCTCGAGATATATTCCGCTCCCGGTATCAAAGACATCAGATGAGAGCTAGATGAGGAGACGGCCCAAACTTAATCAGAGACGATGTTTGGTCTGTGGGAAGGTGCGGGAGGAGAGACGAGGGCAGATCCACCGGAAAGTTGGGAATGCTGAATCTGGCTGCTTCAACTCTCCTGCATCTACCTAGGATATGCATTATTATCGATTCTCTTCGTGGCACATACGATGAACAATTTCAAGATACATTGGAAAGGCTGTCCTTGCCGTCGTCTTCCATGTGCTCAAGTTGCATCGAGCCGCCGAACCTCTGCGCAGAGTTGTAGCATCGCACACGCTGCTGTGGAGAACCCTTCTCAACACCCATTGGGAGCTGCTCTTGAGAAGGAACGGAACAACTATCGATCGAGGCTTCGGAGTCGTCGGGGACGGAGCTGGTGCAGCTCTGCAAAAATTCGAGCCCGGGAACGCGTTCCTGTGAAGGATCAGTGTCACGTACAGGTTTTTGAATGGAATACAGTACAAGTTGAAGCTGCAAGTGAAGTCACTACAAGTCATGGGGAGTCTCAACATCCATTGGTTGATGCTAGAACTGGTGCGATATTGACAGGAACCACTTGTAACACGGCTGCACGCCCTACACTCATTAACTCGAATGACGGCGCTGCCGCTTCCGACTTTAGAATGACAAAGGCCGTTCAAATAGAAGCCCTCTATTCTTTGATGCATGTTGCTGAACACTCCGTGTGCTCGACATCGAGTAAGACTGCGAACCAAATAAGATCTTCAATTGTGTCAAGTCGAGCAGCATCACGATCATCAAAACGAGCGGAGTATGCACATGTAGGGTCTATTGGAACGGTTAGTAAACGGACTGACTGCACATCGCAGGCCTCATGATATCAAAAGGAGCCGAACTTATGGTTCCAGGCCGCACTGAAGAACGTCCAACAAACCGATCGCAAACCAACCCACCTGGAAACATCCCAGAACGGCTCAGCGTTGTCTCTCGAGGTCGGCCGAAAAAGAAACCAGGGAGTTGGAGCAACCCAGCTTTCTGCAAAGCAGTAGACTCATTCATATTGCACCCAAAAGAAAGTCCAGCGTCTGCTACTGAATCTGTCAAGTCCATTGTACAGTCTTTTCTTTCAGAGGTACCTTCTCGAACTCCAAGCCAAAGAAGGGCACTCGAGCTTTATCTCCAAGCTACACAGTCCTTACCAAAACAGCCACTTGCTCCATCCCTGTCTGCAACGTCCATCTCAGTGAAGACAGTCGAAGAACCCATATTTAACCAGGACGAGTTCCACGCTGCTGATCTGGCTACTACGTCTACAGACCGACAAAGGAAATCTCCATCCGTAGCAAACTTGAAAAGTCGGCCTCCCCTCCAACGCCACTAAAGGACGATAAGTGGACATCGAAGAAGGCCTTAACAGGAAACCCCGAGATGGCTGCCAATGATAACAAGAGGCTCAACCGTTCAAGTGACAACCACTTTAAGGATGCTTCTTTCTCATCAAGGACGACAGTGACGGCATTCATCCCATCGTACGAGGCCACTAAACCTCGGGAAGGGCTTCACAGGCCTTCATACTCTTCGCTCTCATCTGATCATGATCTAGTGGCATTTACTCCACCACACGAAAAGCTGTTTCCTACACCAAGACCTGTGTCTGCAGCTTCTAGGACTCCAACGAAGAAGCCCCCTCCTTGGCTTCGCCAGCCACAAACATCTTCGGAGTTTTCGCCGTTCCCTATGACAAGGACGAATACTCGAGGGCTGGGGCTTGAATACACTCTCAGGTGTTGCAAAGAGGGCCGCCGAGCAAAGAAGGGAGGAAGTCAAGGCTTGGGAGAGGATCAGGCAGAAGAGGTTGAGAGAGATGAGTGGGGATGGCAGGGCAAGAAATGATGCGGCTCTGGATGTGGAAGGAGATAGGTATCTAAATCAGAGAAAAGGACGAGATGGGTAAGGGAAGGGCAGCTTGACTGGGATCGCAAAAGAGTCTCGGCATTGAATTGAAGTTCTGAGGGCGGCAGATTGGGCACGTAGCCTCATCCATGATATTGAAAGTAGCTCACACCTACTGTAAGATATACCTACACAGCCTATTATCTCCCACCACGTGATCCCTCTATGAAGCTCATCATCTCTCCGCGCCCATCTGTCTAGGTACAAGGGTACAGTACACACTACTTTTTGCAACTCCCGATTCTTAATTCCTTCTACAGAGCGTAAAGTCCATACCCACCTGAACAGCAAGAAACCAGCTCGCCACTGGGCGCGACCTAGAACGGATGGTTCGAGAGAGGTGAGCTATTGCGCGTGCCGAGCTGAGAGACATCATCAACTCGGGAAGAGGATCCCGATCCGAGCCCCAGCGAATTGAGTAATCGTAAACCCAGTAGGCAAAAACCAGAAACTCGCCACAGGGTCCAGAAGTCGTGAGAACGTCTGGTGGGTGGAGTAGGGATGGTTTCTGTTTCATAATCTTTAAAGAAAAAGAAAAAAAAAAAAAATTAGGGAAAAAATTAAAAAGATATTTCTCGCTTTTTCTTTTAAGTAAAGGTTTCGGGAAGTTTCAGCTGCTGCGTTGTGTGTGTTGGCAGTAACTGTTTAACTGTATGTGCAGGTGTGTGGATGAATGAACTTGACAGCGAGCGTGAACGAACGTGTACACACTGTACAAGAGATAAACAACGGAAAGGAGACTAGGGTCCCGAGCAAGTGAGAGGTTGAGAGACACGCAGCGTAGATAGCGATGCTCATGGGGTTCCTGGGGGAGGGTGAAGAGGATGGATTGCTGATTGGCTAGATAATCCGTGTTGGAGGGGAGATGTGATGGCCATTCAGGAACGAGAAGGGAGGAGGCTCAAATTATTGAAGGCGGGAGGGTTATCAATATCAAGGCAATGGAGATGAGATCAGGGAATCGGGAATAGATTGTCACACCGCCTCTTGCCGTTCCAGGTGCAGTGCAGCTGTCTCTGGGACAGGAAACATGTGGAGCGGGTCCAGGATCAGGATGTCTGGGAATCTGGGAATCAAGACCTCGAACTTCGATTGAAGGGAAAGACTCGAAGGGAAACCGTCCACGATGATGATGCGCTGTTCGCCTCCACCCCTCCACCCCCCATTCCTGTCCTATCTTGAGCCGTGGCTGCAGAGTTGTGGCTTCTGGTGGGTTGTATGTGGACAGGTGTGTGTACCGTGTTTGGACATGATATGATATGTATAGACCTATAGCTCCGCAACCCCTGCTGGGCAGCCGGTTTCAACTGCGACGCCAGAAGGGGATCCTGGAATGAGATGCTGGAACAATGCAATGCTACACAGACAGCGCTTGTAGCGTATTTGTACCTGCATCTGTCTCCTGCAGACTGCAGATGCCATGGATAGGAGACGTCCAGCACTGACATACATGTAGATAGGTACGCGGTACAGTTGTACAGTAAGTGCCGTATTGTACTGTACTGTACAGTACCCTGGACCGTGGACTATACCTCCGTAGACTGTCGTCGGGGTCTCTTTAATAATAACCGCCTGGTTGCTTGTTTTAGAGGGCCCATTTGAGATGCCTTAGATAACTCCGTACTGGGGACGGGTTAGATGAAGGGTCAGCCGTCGACGATAGTCTCTTCTCAGCGTCTCTCTGATAATATCCCCGAGTCGGGAGAGATCTCAGAAGCAGTCCATTGCCCAGCCAATTAATCCTCCGAGACCCAGAAACCAATAATGGGTGAAGACTCGAGGAGGGAGCGTAATAATAGCAGAGCAGGGCGGCAAACCGCGCAGAGTCGTAGAGGAACAGGGGTCACTAAGGCGCCGTGATTGGGCGGCGCGAGTCAGATCAGACAGACAGAGGGAGAGAGAGGATTGTACTGTACCTCATCAGAGAACCGTACAGGATTATCATGGGGACTCGGGAGACAGTTGGTGTTGAGTCTGCTGCCGGGACGGTGTGTACATGCATATCGAAGTCGTCGACGGATGGATTATACCTACAAATAGGTAGTAATGTGCCTCGTAGAGTTTCTATAGTAAGAATAACTTACCTAGTAGAGGTTGACTTAATGATCTTAATAATAGTACGGCGTGTAGCACATGGTCCTGTATACTTCTCCCACGTACTGGACGGGCAATTCAACCTCCATCACATCACCTCAAATCACACTTCCCTCTCCTCCCGCTTCCTCTCTCTGCGCGCCTCTCCCCCCCTTTCCTCTCCTCTCCTCACCTCTCTTCTCACCTCCTCTACTCCCTCCTCCCCTGATGTGACGCTGGTTATATATCTCTATCTGTGATAGTCTTTATTAATCTCGTCGTTATTGTACATAATCAAGCCTCCTCCTCCTCTCCCCCCCGCCCCCTCGTCAGCCATCTTCGCGCGCGCGCATTCGCATTTGGTATCCTGGTCCCCTCCCCCCAGGTCTTCCTCCTCCTCCTCCTATTACATCGCGACTGTCCTCCTCCCGCCCTCGCCTCGACGATTACTCTGTGCTGTCCCAGCAGCAGTGACAGAACGTGCGACGTCAATCACGGTGGACCCAGGCATTTGCGAAACTCCGTCAACCCAGCCGCCGCTCGATCACCCGCTCTGGCGAAGCCCTCGTTTGCGCCGTCCAGCCAATTGCTCCATGGTTGATCTCTCCTGACCCTTCTTGGACTCCTGGACTCCTGGACTCCTGGCCCCATCAGCATAGAGAGGTCGGTCTCACGCCCGTTGGGCCATGTCGCAGCTTTCGCAGCAGGACGACGGTCCCTCCGATCCACAATTCCAGTCCCAGTCCCCCTCCCAGTCCCCGTCCTCGTCCCAGGCCTCTCCTCGCGACAGCCCCACGGGAGGTCGTCAGCCGGCGCCATGCCCTCCAACAAGCAGCGCGTCTCCCGTGTCAGAACTGGGGAAGAAGAGGTTCGCAAACCCTTTCTATTTCCCTGCTGAGCCTCTGCCGAACGTGCACACTTACTTACATACCCCTCTCACCTCAGGTCGCAGCGCAAGGCGGCTCCTAGCCCTTTACAAATGAGCACGTCTGCTACCACTTCTCCCCCAACGAGTGCCACGCCTACTAGATCCGCCTTCGTCAGGAGCCAGATCTCGCAAGTTGCCGTCACGTCTTCGACAGCACAGGGAGGGCCGCGCTCGCCCAAGGAGCGTCTGGACGACCTGCTCGCGTCTGAAAAGGACTTCTACAATACGGGAGTCTCGCCCACCGCGACGGTTCCCAAAGAGGTTTCTAGGTACAAAGCATTCTAATGAGCCATAGCTCCTCCCCTCCCTCTACCAATACTCACCAGCCCTTTAGATATCCTCGGCCCCTCGACACGAACGTTACCCCGCGAAGCTTTTCTGACTCTGTCGTGAACCCGCCGCTCTCAGACAGCTCGCCCACGAGCACGCGATCGCCAATTGCTGCGATGCCACCACAGCACTGGCCTGCCGACACTGCTCGACCTCCTCTCCGAACCTCGTCGATCGATTCGGCGATTTCCTCGTTATCAGATGCTTCAAACACACACAATTCACCCGACTCGGCGGCTGGGAGCCCAGATATTGGAAACCTCATACAGGCGGCTGGATCTGCAGAAGCGGTGATCCAGTATCTCCTGAAGGAGAAGCAATCACAGGCGAATCAGAATGCACAGTTATGGCGCTTGGTAGATAAGCAGAGGGCCATGATCCTGGGGCTCAACAAGGATCTGGAGCGCGCGTTGAAGGACAAGGAGCGATATCGTAAGAAGTTAAAAGAGAGCCTTGCGCAGCTGTCGAATCCCTCGCCAGTTGAATCTAACCAAGGCCTTGCATCTGAGGCTGGATCGGCTTCCTCGGATCACGGGAATGCACAAGCTATGAAACCTAGCAGCCCTGGGGGGCCTTCGCCCGTTGAGGCAAGGGATCAAGAGCAGAGGGAAGAAGAACTACCGTCACCCATCGATGTTGCGCTAGCTCCCTATCCGATCACACCCACCACAGACAAGGCTCTGACCCGTAGTCTCTCGAATTTGGTGGAGCCTACGCATAAGATGCCATCGCCAACGAAGCACGCATTCCAGAACTACAACCCAGACGGCCCCGTTGCAGGATTTGAGGCTGGACAGCAACAGAGGAAGGCGAACGAGGTTGCGCGAGAGGCTCCATATAACGTTTCACTTCCCCCGTCGAGGTCCTTACCTTCAGATCCGCCGAGATGTCCTCCGCCCAAGGTTCCCCCTCCAAAAGCTCCAATGTCACCGCCGCCGTCTGTCTCCGTCATCGAATCATCTCCGAATACATCTTCGAATACCGACGGAGCTTTCCAGCGGTATCCCAACCCCCCGCCGCGAAAACCTCCTCCTGCACCCCTGGATCTCGGACAGAATAATCTACCCAGTTCGCATCTCCGCCAAGCATCGGAGGGAGTAGATGACTCCTCCTCTGACTACGACGATATCTTAGAAGTGGACGAGATCCCGGCTTTCCCTGAACGGGGGCGACGAAAGACGAGGGAAGAGGATGACAGGGAACGTGAGCTCGCAGCGATGAGAGAAGCTGAGTTGAGAAGTCTATCTAAGAAGAGCAAGAAATCAAAATCACGGACTCCGAAGACCCCAAAAGATAGCACGTTTGAGGCCGCGAAGGAGAGCATGCCGTTGAGTCCGCGGCAAACGATCCCAATACCGCCCCCAGCTGATCTACGCCCTCCGATAGACTCCAATGCCGGCTCTCTAGTAGGTATGCTCGCTTCAGCTAAAGCCTCTGATACTAAGACAAGCTTCATCTCTCCTCCTCTGATGAGTCCGGGTTTACCCAAGAGCCCGAGACCGGTTGATAGAGGGGCGTCACCGCCATCCAGACAGCCGGGGTCATCTTATCACTCGTCTTCGATGTCTCCTCCAATGTCTCCTCGGATGGGTGCCTTTTCCGGAGCTGTACCTCTCTCTCCACGAGCACCACGACAACCGATTCCCCTCCCTCCAAATACACCCCTATCAATCGTCTCTCCCGGGTTGGCCAAGGGCGAGCATCCAGTTATCAAAAGACCTACCGAACCGCGGAACAACAGTCCCACGGATGATGTCGTATCTCGCCACAGCCCATCAGATTCGAGTGGCATTTACAGAGGTTTCGTGACGGAGGAGTATCCTGATCTGCTCCTGGCACCCAATGCTCTTCCATCCATAGATGTGAAGGTTGCATCTTCTCGACTGAGGCCTTCACGGGCGAGTCAGTTGTTCCCGAAGGATTTTGAGGAAGATCCGGTCTTCACCTTGGCAGTATTTTCAAGGGCCAATGGCAGAGAGCTTTGGAGGGTGGAGAAGGACTCGACCTCGTTGACAAACCTAGATCAGGCCTTGAAACAATCCTCATTGGTCACAGCGAAGGTTCCGGAAAAATCTCTCTTCAGTGGTCACGCTCCCGCTAAGGTAGATGCGCGACGGGCAGCGCTGGATACGTACCTGGATGAAATCCTCAATACACAGATGGACACTGCATCGGCTCTCGAGATTTGCCGGTACCTCTCGACAAATACACTGGAACCTGATGGGGAGGATCTGGCACGCGGCGATTCAAATTCTGGCAGTCCGGTTAAGACGGGCCCAGGAGGTAGACCTTTTAAAAATGGGTATCTGACCAAGAGAGGCAAGAACTTTGGCGGTTGGAAGGCGCGGTTCTTTGTGTTGGATGGGCCTGTCCTGAAATATTATGAGTCCCCTGGCGGAGCTCATCTTGGAGCTATCAAGCTCCAGAATGCGCAGATCGGAAAGCAACATGACAGCCAGTCCCCTCCCCCTGCCAACCTCGATGATGTCGAGAATCAGTATCGCCATGCTTTCCTAATTCTAGAACCGAAGCGAAAGGACTCGTCTAGTCTTGTGAGGCACGTCTTATGTGCAGAGAGCGATAAGGAGCGAGATCAATGGGTTGAAGCTCTACTTCAATACGTAGATTATAAGGATGAAGATGGCGATCACGTGCAGCGTTCGCACAAGGAGCACGATCGCAACAATTCTGGAGGATCTTCACACACCACCGGTTTGAACGCCAAGAAGAAGATGTACGGAAAGAATCAGAACCAGAGTCAGAACCAGAGTCAGAGTCAGAATCAGAATCAGAATCAGAATCCGACTGTGCCCGAGAACGACGATTTCCGCGGCATCAGCTACGACACGACCAAGCAAGGCGCCATTCCGGTTGGGGCCAGATCGAAGAACGACACTCCATCGCCTCCCTTGTTGAATGGCCATGAGCGAGATTCATTGACCCAATCGCCACAATCTCAGACCACAAAATCCATCTCTGCGCCAAAGAATGCACAGGTGATTCAAGATGTTGGGGCTTGGGGCAATAAGCAGACCATGTTGGCGCCTCAACCCCACGAAGAGAAGAAGCAGAAGAAGCGTAGCTTTTTCGGATTCGGATCGAAGTCAAGGCCATCTGTGGACCTGCAGGATTCAGGCGCCAACGATGCAAATAGCAACCTGTCGCAGATGGCATACGAGCAACACGGTCCCATCCGACCTGTCTTTGGGGCTCCTCTAGGAGAGGCTGTTAAATACAACCACCCTGCTGACGTTCCAAATATCGAATTGCCTGCCGTTGTCTACCGCTGCATCGAATACCTGGATTTCAAGAACGCGGCTGCCGAAGAAGGAATCTTCAGGCTGAGCGGATCCAACGTGGTAATCAAACAGCTCCGGGAACGATTCAACACCGAGGGAGATGTGAACCTCGTCACGGATGAGCAGTACTACGATATTCATGCAGTAGCTTCACTTCTGAAATTGTACCTCAGGGAGTTGCCAACAACGATCTTGACGCGGGAGCTCCACCTCGAATTTTTAGCTGTGACCGAACTACATGACCTTGACGAGAAGATCAGCGCTCTGAATGGTCTCGTTCACAGGCTGCCATCTGCCAACAATTCCCTCCTTCGATACCTGTCTAGCTTCCTGATCAATATCATCAATCACTCTGATCAGAACAAGATGACTGTTCGGAACGTTGGGATCGTCTTCTCGCCGACCCTCAACATACCAGCACCAGTGTTCGCACTCTTTCTCCAGCAGTACGACGGGATCTTTGCCCAAGAGCCTGATGATCATGATCAACATACTGTCGAGGTCACCGTGACCGCTCCTCCCCTTACCCCAGAGGATATCCGCTCTCCGCGCCAACAGATATTCCAAAACCTCCCCACACCTTCCTATGACCAGCAATCCTTCCCACAGGCCCAACATTACCAACCACAGCAGCGTGCCGTTCATGACACAGGATTTACGCCTCTCCAGCCTGCGTATGAAGCGCAATACCCCAGTTTCACAATGGCTGGACCAGAATACGGTAATCGGGGACCTACCGTCGCCGGGCCCGCCTACGATCAGTTGAACGGCGACGTGCACCGCTACCTCGCAGCCGATGGCTCATCGGGCTCGAAGAACAAGAGGCGGGAGAGCAATATGTTCGCGCTCGGCATGGGGCAAAAGAAGGCGAGCAGCAATAATAATAAGTCGAGAGACGAGCGTGAGTCCGCCTTCACGTGACGGCCGAGAGGATCAAGCTAATGAGGAACAGGTGTCGTTGACGAAAGCACATTCTTCGAGTGAGCAAAGCATCAGGGAGACGCATAGACAAGACGAGAAACAACACGTGGATTTGGAAAGAATCCGGCGCATGGGACCGCGACGGCTTTGGACAGGCGCCAGACACGTTGCCACGACGCGACGATTGATTGATAACCTTGTAATACTAATGTCCCGTCCCTCAATCCTCTTCCCCAACTACCTACCTACCTACCTACCTACCTGTATATTACCCTTCCGCCCTCTTTGTATGTACGCATAATTCCCGCCCCCTTCCCCCCGCCAACGAAAAAGAAAACCACGGTCGCAGGCGCTGGCGTTTCAACTTCCCGATCATCATATTTTTTTTCCTGGAATGCGAATGCGAATGTGGATCCCATCTTGGTTGGGGATGCAGCAGCAGTTTTTTGATTGAACAACGATGAGCGCAGAGGAGAACGAGAGGAACTTAACTTAACTTAACTTACTTGCATTGCATTGGATTTTGCTAGGATGAGTTGGGGAGGATTTATTGTTTATTGATTGAATGGGTATGAATAATTGGATTGGATTGGATTATATGGATTGAATTGGATTGGATTGGATTGGATGGGTTGTAATTTTTATTTTTTATCTTTTTGCCTGTGCGAATCAGCAAACCAGCAAGCCAGCAAGCAAGCAAAGATATATATACCGTATATAACTGCGATACCCGGACACAGAGTTCTAGAAAGAAGACTTCATTTATTGATTACAAGAATAGTGATATCAGGACTTTGCATATTATGTTAGGATTGGATTTGTCAAATTCAAGTGAGGAGGATTCAGGAAGAGAGCCTGATTGATGATAATAGCTATCATAGCCTTCCCTACAACTCCTCCTCCCAAGCCCTTGCGTCCTCCAGCAGTTCCCCAGCCCCAGGAATACACAAACCCAACCTTATGAAATAATCCCTATGAGCATACAAAGCTCTCTCATCTAACACGGCACCCAGCTCTCCCCCCGCAGCAGCGCCCCTACTACTACACCTCTCATCCTCTGGTCCCTCACACCGATACACATCTGCGATTTCCGGTTTCAGCTCTCTCTTCGCGATATAGATCTCTCCGGCATGCGATCTATAACCCCAATCCCTGAGCGGCAGTAACGGGACTGGATCACCGACGTGCGTTACCCTTCGATACCTGCCTTCTTCTGCAAATACGCCATCGACAAACATGGCAAACTCACGATTCCCGACCCGCGGCTCGCCATACGTCGTAACGACGGGTTTCCAGCCCCGCGCTTCCATCTCGAGAGCAGCGAGCAGCGCAACCGCACCACCGAGCGAATGGCCCAGAAGCCGAATTTCATAATCTGGATATTGGAGCTGCAGCCTGGACAGCGTGGGGAGGATCAGGGAACGCGTGGATTTCCAGGCGCATAGGAAACCCAGATGAACGGTGCAGTTTGTGCATTTGAGGGACGCTGGTTCGGCTTCTTCTTCTTCTTCTTCTTGCTCTATGCGGGGAGATGACCAGAGAGTCCATGGATGGGTGAGTTTGTAAAGTAGGGAACGCCAGGTTTGGTGGGGGGTGTTTGGAGTATCATCATCATTATCATCATTGTCATCGGGAGATGGATAAGGAACGTATTCACCCGGCGCGACTTCCAGATCAGCGAGCAAATCTCCTAGACTATAGGAGCCACGCCAAACGACCAAGAGCGCGCGCTCCCCGTGATCAACAGCGATATAGCCGCAGCTGTCAGTAGAGAGGGGACCGGTGTGGAAAGTGTCGATTAGTTGGACGAGCGGGAATTGGGAACAGTGGGACGCGCAGTGGAAAGGGGGCGTGAGGCCTGAGAGCGCGGGTGTGATGCAATAGCTGATGTCGACGAGGGCGGCGAGGCGGGGAAGGGCGGTGAAGAGGGAGGGAGGGATGGTGGTGTTCGAGGGCGAGGCTGGAGGGAGGCATGAGACGCCGAGGAGACAGGAGATGAGAGCGAAGATGAAGATAAACCGACGCATTGGAAGAGACGTTACATATTGAGCTTCTTTTTCTTCTTTTTTATAGAGAAAAAAGGAGGAAGAAAAAGAAGAAAAGAAGAAGAAAAGGAAAAACAAAACGTCCTTACTTCAAGTGTTGTCCGAAGGTCACACTTGTCTCACATCGTCATGCTCACGAGCCACACACGCCACACGCCACAACGCCACATGCGCGCGCGGGGTTTTAGCGTCCGCTTAGCGACGGAGGCGTATCTTAGGTTAAGGGGTAAGGAATCAGGATAGATAGAGTGTTGATTCATCTCATTGTTGCAGCGCATCTTTCATTCACCATCAGCCTGGCATATCATGCACCAAACTCTAAAGAAAGTAGGACAGAGTAAGCGTGAGAATCTCAGAGAAGAGTATCTCTTCCATTACTTGATATCGTATCCATACCCAAGCACCCGTTCTATGCTCCGATTAAGATATACTCGCCCTCTTGATTCCCAGAGGCTTTTCCAGATACAAGTAACGCCCTATTCCCCACACACCCAACCAAACCAACCAACCCGCCCAAGCAGGTATACCCGGCCTCACGGGGCAAGAAAACGCCATCCAGAGATCCCACCCGCTAAAGATGCTGCGCCCCGTCCAAGATCCCAAGCCCAAATGATCAAGTAGAGAAAACAACGTCTTATCATCACCCATCCCGTGTCTCGTCTATGCCTCTCCCAAAATGATCCACGATCAGGTGCTCGATGTCGAGTACCTTGTACGGCTTGGGAAGGAATCCTTGCATGCCGGCCCCCTTGGCTCGGTTGATGCAGCTCCCCGTTATGTCCGCCGTCACGGCGATGATCTTCGTCGTCGCCCCCTTCTCCTTCGCTAGATCCATGATCTTCTTCGTCGCTTCATACCCATCCATATGGGGCATCCATATATCCATGAGGATCATATCGAAGCCTTGCTCCGGGGATTTTGAAAGCGACGCTGTAAAGTGCCGAACTGCCTCCACCCCGTCAACCGCCACCGTGATGTTGTCCTTTGAGTATCCCAACTTGTTGAGGGAACCCATGGCGACGTCCCGGTTGATGGCATTATCCTCGGCGATCAAGATCCGCAGAGGATATTCCGTGGCAAGCTTCCGATTGAAGGTTGCCCGTCTGCGGGGAGAGGGCAGAGGGCTGCCCTGCCTTGTTGGCGTGATGGCAAAGTTGGCTGTCGTTTCCGAGGGGGTCCGTTTCAAGGCGGCTTTCCCCTGGGCGGCCTCCTGGTCGGCCCAAGGTCCGGGCCAGCAGGTCCTCTGGCCCGGCGACGGAGGGGTCCCCACCAACGGTGTCCTGGTGGATCCGGCTTCCACCGAGGAGATTGGTAGACGGATGAGAAATTCGGATCCTCTGGAGGGGCCGTCTGTGGCCGACCGTTCCAGGGTCACGTCGCCACCCAGGTTCTTCCGCACGTGTGCCTTGGCGTTGAACAGACTCAGACCGAGTCCATCTTTTGACCGGCTTATCGAGGCGTCTTCTTGGAAATGAGGCTGGAAGAGGGATCGCTGCGACTCTTCGGCGATCCCACATCCCGTATCGGCGACCCATATCTCCACAACTGGTAGCTGCTTACCCAGCTGAACCGTGATCGTAATACTGCCGCTCTCGGTAAATTTGATGGCGTTGTCGATGATCTTCTGCAGCGAGAACTGCAGATGCTGCTCTTCGGTTATGATGACCTCGGGAACGTCCCGCTCAATCTTCAAGTAGATCGTTCTCTCCTGCACTTGGCCCCTGGATCCTAGATTCCTGACCTCGATCGTCTCCCCCAGGTCCGTCTGAGTGTGCACCTCACTCGTCGGATGACCGTTCCGCAAGGCTTCATTGACCAGACCCCGCATGAAATCGCGGGTGATGACTCGACGATGAGTCGTGCTGATCAGGGCTGGTGCGGTGACCGGACCGCCCGGCTTCTCGTCAGAGCCTGCCTCTTCGGTCGGGAGATCGAATTCTGATGTGACCCTGGCTGGCAGGTGGTGATGTTCTGTAACCGTTATGCTTGGGCAAGCGGCCGGGAAGGCCCTCGGGTCTACGAGGAAGTATGAATCGGTGATTTCGGATCCCCTCGTCATCGTGAACATCCGCTTCGGCGGTGGCCCAGGATCGGGGCAGTCCGTGTCTGCATCATGCTCACGCGTACGCTTCCCACTAGGGCATCCAGCACGAGATGATGCCGTGATAGGGATGCATACAGGTTGCTCATCCGGCTCGACTGGAGTCAGAGGAGTATCTGGCATCTGGAGGTTGAGATCATAGGCGTAGACAACGTTATCCGCAGCTTCCACGGCTCTCTTGGAGCTATCTGTGGGACATTGGTATCAGTATGTAAACGATAGCATAAGCGCGTCGACAAGGGGGAGGCCGCTGGCTCACCTTGCACTATCTCGATGTGAGTCTTGAGGTCTGCGAAGACAGCTCGTGCCGCATCATTTTGCTTGTCCGCGATGGCATCGAGGACTGTTGCATACATGATGTCTAGCATGCCGACAACGCCTTGCATCGGTGTCCTCAGCTCGTGTGAGAGACTGCGCGCGTAGGGCTGGAGCGACTGAGGGGCCGCGATTGCCGAAAGCGGGATTATCTTGGCTGTTGTTGATCCTGGTGCAGCGGCGACGACGACTTCCGTCGCCGATGCTCCCCCTTCCAGGATACGCTGCAAGATCATGTCCTCGAGAGAATGCATGAACATCTCAATGAAAGGCCAGCTCAGGTTTCGCTTGCTAGCCCCATCCGAGTTCCACAGCACGCCAAAATGGGCAAAACACTTGCCCTCATGGAACAGCGGCAGACTGATGAACGCTTCTGATCGTTTCCAGGGCATGGCGTTCGGATTATCGGGGAGAAACTCGTCCATCCTCTCCGGGATGATGAAGACTTTATCGTGCTTCATGTGAGCGCAGGGAGTCCCAAAGGCCTGGTAGCGGTAGTCCCGATACGTCTCCTTGATCCCGGTGCCGTTGTTGATGTAGAAGGCAACGCCCATCAAGCTTGACCCGGGTTCGCCGAGCTCAGGCATCTTGACGGCGCCGTCCTGATCGTCGACGAGCATGCGTTTGGCTACGAAGCCGCACTGGGAGCCCATGATCTCGCACATCTCCTCCAACAGGATGCCCCAGAAATCTTGTGTCGATGCCTCGCGCAGTTTCGCCTTGAGCTCGACGAGCCGCTCCGATGCGTTACTCTCGGCGGCGGGGAAGTAGCGGCGCAGAGCATCCTTGAAGCCCTTCTCCCCTCCATAGATGACGGAACCAGTGGTGTAGTTGGGCAAGCACAGGGTGGTTCGATCGATGAGGGATTCCCTTGGTAGGTCGTGTGGCTCGGCTGTATCTTCTCCTCCCATCATCATCATCTTTTTCTCCTGCCAGGCCCTCCCCTCGCACAGGAGCTTGAGGAGGTCCTCCAGCTGTTCTCTCGTCCTTTGGCTCTGTAGTTCGAAGGTCCCAGGTCCGGCCGGTCTCACGTCGAATGCGTCGTGCATGTCGGGTATGCCCGCCCAATGTGCGCGAGGGGGTCCGTTTGACGGAGGGGAAGATGAGAGGGTTCCCCCCAGTAAGACGGGTGTGTGGTGGTCAATGAGCAAAGTGATGGTAATAATCCTTTTGTCTTGTGTTTTCTCGTCGTCTTTTCCTCTTGTCCTGCTGTTGTCCTGTTTTCCAGTTCTCCAGTCTCCAATCTCCGGTCTCTCCTATGCTCCAGTCTCCAGTCTCCAGTCTCCAGTCTCCTCTCGTTGCGCCAAGGGAGAAGGACGGGGGGTCAGCAGCGAGTGAAGGTTGGAGGGGGAGGGAGGGGAGACTCGCGGCGGGTTGGATGGGCAGAACTGGGAGCGGGAGCGGGCGGTGTCGAGTGCCGGATGGACTGGACTGGACTGGACAGGACAGGACCGTGTCGAAAGAGCGGAAGGAAAAAGGCTAGGACAAGGTCGATGTCCCAGGCCCAGGCCCAGGCCCCACGTCCCACGTCCCACGTCCCACGTTCCAGCACGCACGTAGATCGCACCAAGGGGTTCTATACGCAATGAGTGAATGGGACCTAGGACGGAGCAGTCAGCACCGGTAGAGCGGAGGGGCCCATGGCCAGAATCGTTCAGTCGTTCAATCGCTCAATCGCTCAATCGTGTGCAATCGTTCAATCGTCCAACCGTTCTAGACGCAGGTACTTTTCGCGGTGGCCAGTGGCAGCAATGACGAGGCCGCGGCTTCGAGAATTCTAGACTCTAGCCGACCGGGGCTGCTGATTGGCTGCCTTAGGGGTGATGACTGTGGCACTGTGAGACACTGGGACACTGACACTACTCCAGCCAGATCCACGTCATACTACATACAGTCTACGGCCTCCGTCGAACTACTTCTGTCCGGTCTACAGCCTACCACCGTCTGTCTACCGTCTACCGTCTATAAGTGCCGTCTACTGCCTACGGCTCTACCGTCTACTGCCTACCGCCTACTGCCTACCGTCTGCCTCGGCCCTCGCTCGAAAGAGTACCGATCAACGGGCGCGAAGGATCTACTAATGTAGGATATTCTCTGGAGGGGCAGATGCTCGGATCTCTTACTCCAAGTATCCACGTCACGGGATTCCACCAGACGGGCAGCCCATTTCGCGATGTGCAACAAAACCTGGCAGGTAATACAGAAACGATAGTCCAGACATCTCCAGGAGAGAATCAATTATTCAGAACCTTCACTCTTCCCTCCTCATTCCTCCCTCCCTCTTCCCTCCTCTACAGTCTCCTCCCTCTCGCTGCTGACACAGGCCAACCTCGGGTCCCCGTATTATTCAGGCTCTGCCAGGTCTGGACCCATCGCTTCCCGCTCTCTCCATGTCAGAAGCGTCGATCGCGGGCCGTCTGGACTCTGGCCGCCCCGTCTGGGCCTCTCTCTGCCTTTCCATGCGCCTTTTCTGCCCTTTTCTTTTCTCCGCCGCCGCAGTCTGCGAATCTACAAAGTGCTCTCTACATCGAGTAATAAAATGATCGATCCTCCAGCATCCCACGAATCAGAGGCGCCTCCACCTCGACGCCCCTTTTGTCCCGCTGTTCGAAGCGCAATACTACAATAAGTTGCATCGTGGTTATTGTCTCCACGCTGGTCCTCCAGATGCCAAGGGTCGATGGCGCTCCCGGAAACACGGCATCTGCGTTGTTTCGTCTTCCAGTAGCGCGCTGTCGGGATCGAACTACAGAATGGTCGATAGATCATGGATCATGATGGATGATACCAGTGCTGCTGGTGATCTATACTACGATGATACCGCGGTGCATTGGTGCATTGATCTATCCCACATTTCTAAAGAAAGAAGAGCATCTGCAAACCTGTTTTCTTCGAAAGGCCTCTTCGAAGAGTCAAGTGCAATCCCCCTTTTCCTTCCTCACTGTATTTGATTTCTTTTTCTCTTCCTGTTTGCTTTTTGAGGCAAGAGAAGGCCGGCCTGAGAGAGACCCCCAGACCCATCGGCGATCCTCCTTACCTCAATCATTTTGATATCGAACACTATTGTCTGCGCCAGGATCCCTTACCCCTCAGAGCTACCCAACATCTGCTTCCTTGGACCTACTCTTGAGTGTCCGCGAGGATTATCTCGAATTCTCGACAGCCAGGCTGTCCGCCCCGGCGATTTTTGCATGACCATGAGAATCCAATATATGGCACGATGCTCATTGGCCGTCGCCCATGGAATGCAGGTGCAATGGCACGACCCGAGGAACGCGCATGTATTGCTGTGTTACAACGTCTGTACAGTACACACAAGAGGTAAACTATATATCTGATATCTTCTTTTGCGATACAATTTCTTCACACTCCCATTCTTTGACAAACGGAGCCCCCAAGCCTCCTCACTTCCACTTGATATCGGCGATGGTCGGCGATGGTTAAGTGATCCGTTGAAGCCCCTTCCGTCCGTCTCTTTCCCTTCGGCCACACGTGGTAGTAGGGGACATGCAGCCCGGATGTGAATGGCACGCCTCCGCTTTCCAGAGCCACTATGCCGGTATGAGCGGAGCCTATAAGTTGCTGCGCTCATGCTCATCCCCCTCCTCATCCCCAATCACTTTGTCGCCGTGTTACACGAAGCCGTGTGTCCTGTTCAGAACCCCCCGTGCCGTGCCGCCCAGTCGTCGGGTCGGGCAGTCTTCACTCCTTCCTTTGCCGCCGCGGCTCCGAAGAAGGTCGCACGCGGGATGCGCATCTTACCACAAACTATCCCTCCTGCGCGGTCATCCTCCTTACGCGACCGGATACTCCCCGAGTGGTGCAAGGCCTTTCAGTGAACCTGCAGACTTCCGGTTCCAGCTCGAACATCCGTCTCTGACCTTCACGTCCAAGATTGCGAACAGCGCTTGGCATGCTTAGAATAGGTGCTACATACAGGTAATAGCGACCCTGGGAATCCCGAGGACCACTGGGATCGCGTGTCAATCTTTTCAGGTGCCACAAAGCTCTTCTTGTGTACGACAATTGGGCCAGCGTTTCTGGGACTCGAAGCATGACTGTGCAGAAGCAAAGGCAGCCTCCAATGCGATTCCTAGGAGAGACTTCTGACTTGCCTTTTACAGACAGACCCTTTACCCTGGACCTGCCTACTTCGCAAAGATGCGCCTCGTCTAATGCTCAGCTTTGCAGGCCCGTGGTTGCGCGAAAGGTCTTGGGAGGGACGCGACGTCCTGTATAACTGCATCTGATAGGGTCTCCCGCTCCTGCCCCAGCTTTGGGATTCGGTGACTGCAGGGACTGGGAGACTGGGACAGGGAGACTGGGTAGGAGAACAATAATTGCGGGGTCGGATCGCCCACCAAACCAAACCCGAGCCCTACCAACACCAACACCAACACCAACTAATACTCTGCCGTCTCCCACATGCGAAAGAATGCCGACGGTGGTCTAAATCTCTGATTCGTTGTAGGTGCAATGGCGCTGGACAACACGGATATGATCTTACATAGGCATCTTACATAAGGCCAGCCTTATTTCGGTCGAGAACTCTGTAGTGAGAAATGCAGCAATGAATATTGACGCAGGCCTTCTATTGGCACTATACTACAAGATGACAAATTGACAAATGATAGTATGAGATACCCCAGGATAGAGAATTCAAGTATTTAGCCTTATCAACGTAGAGAGTATCTGCGGGGCCGTGGCTACATCCCAAGTGGGGCGTGTGATTATTATCCTGTAGAACCTCGCTTCCAGGATGTTGCAAACACTCAGCCTTACGTCGCACCAACAAGGCTCACTGTATCGTGAACATTTTGAGCCTCAACACTCCAAGATGCCACAGATGCTATTATTGAGCCAGATCCTTCTATCCTGACCCAACTATGTCTATTCGTGTCCTCCTTAATGATCGCTCTAACCTGACCCGGTCGATTGCTCTCGTAACGCCAACCCACGCTCTCATCTTCCGCCATACGCCGTCTACCAACGACTCTTCAGGCAATGGCTCTCTTACATCAACCTCGCGCACCTCGCTGGACAACAACGGCGCATCCGTGCCTAAGTGCATGGTTGAGTTTTCAGAAGTATCGTCCGTCGATCTGAGCGACTATCGGACGCTGAGTCCATTGCCTGTCCACGGAACCCTCGGGCTGATCACCATCAATAACGATGTTTTCCTTTGTCTGGTGACCGGCGCAGCAAAGGTGGCCACAGTGCGACCTGGGGAAACGGTTGATAAGATCTACGCAGTGGAGTTCTACTGTTTAAATAGCTCGAATTACGACCATAGCCTCAGCGATAATCTGGATCCTTATGCGATTGACGAGCAAGATAACTACCAGAGTCTCAGTCGCAGAGAGCCGGTTGAGCACCCGTGTATGGAACTACAGAAGTTGCTGGGAAATGGCAGTTTTTACTTCAGCACGGATTTCGATCTTACAAACAGGTTGCAAGACCGGTATGAAGCTCCGTCCTGTCCGCCTGGCTATGCTAACTCGTCCTAGAGCCACAGAAACTTCTACTTTCGACACCGATAATTTGGACGAGTCCTTCCTGTGGAATTCATACATGATCAGCCCTCTGGTGAGATTTCGGTCTCGACTGGTAGCACGTGAAAGAGAAGCATTGGACAGGTCTGGGATCCTTACGTCCGCGATTCGTGGTTTCGTCCTTACAATCACAATTCCACCATCCTCTGCGCCGGTAAGAGCTTCTAGAACCGGGCTCCCTTCGTCTTTGACCCTTATATCACGGCTGTCATGTCGAAGGGCTGGAACAAGATTCAACAGTCGTGGGATTGACGACGATGGGAATGTGGCAAATTTCGTCGAGTCGGAGACTATTTACTGGTCCCCTTCGGCGGCTGCACCGGTGTCAGCAGGATCCTCCTCAAATGAGAGACCTGCAGGATTATGTTTCTCATACGCGCAAATCAGGGGTTCTGTGCCGGTGTTCTGGGAGCAAGCCGCGGGGTTGATACCGGGCCAGCAGAAAATAACAATTACACGATCAGCTGAAGGTACTCAGCCGGCTTTCGATAAGCATTTTAGAGAGTTGGAACATGACTATGGCGCTGTCCATGTGGTTAATCTCCTGAGTGAGACGAAACCGGGCGAAGCCGAGTTGACAAAGCTCTATCGTTATGGTGTCAGGCACTCTGCCCTCAATCATCCTGGACAGAAGACTTCTCGAGACCATCAGCTTTTGAGAGAGACGGAGTTCGATTTTCATGCCGAGACTAAAGGACCGACTGGTTACGAAGCAGCTAGCACGATTCGACGGCTCATCGAGAACTCAGCAGACGGTTTTGCGTACTACCTCTCGGAGGATATTGAAGACCCGTCAGATTACCCCGGTGAAAAGCCGCGTCGGAGGACGGTTGCTGTCTTACAACAGGAGGGTGTCTTTCGAACCAACTGTCTCGATTGTCTGGATCGGACAAATCTGATACAGACGATTATTTCTCAGATGGCCATTGAAGCCTTTCTTGGCCACCGAGCCGAACGTGCTACCTCAGACTTTTGGATGAGACATTCAAGTCTGTGGGCAGACAATGGTGACGCCCTGTCGAGGATTTACGCTGGGACAGGAGCTCTCAAGTCGTCTTTTACCAGACATGGCAAGATGTCATTAGCTGGAGCAATTGCCGATGCGCGAAAGAGTGCGGCTCGATTATACATCAACAACTTTGCAGATAAAGCGCGCCAAAACACCATTGATATCCTTCTAGGTCGGCTAGTTGGCCAAACCCCAGTGCATCTTTTTGATCCTATCAACGACTACGTGACGGCCGAGCTCGCCAAGCGGAGCTCAGAATACCAGTCTTCGGCCGTCATCAATATGTACGTATCTCCCCTCCTAGTAAGGACTCTGCTGACCTGGACGATAGATGGGCTGGGACTTTCAACTTGAATGGTCGAACCTCGGGTATCAGTGAAGACCTCTCGTCTTGGCTCTGCCCTGATGTTGAACCATCTCAACAGAACCCGGAGATCGTTGCAGTCGGGTTTCAAGAGATCGTCGAGCTTAGCCCTCAACAAATAATGAATAGTGATCCCACGCGGAAGAAGGCTTGGGAAATGGCGGTACAGAAAACCCTGAACCTGCATGCCCGGGCTGCTGGTAGCGAACACTATGTTCTTCTCCGAAGCGGCCAGCTCGTTGGTGCTGCTCTATGTATCTTCGTGAAGGCCTCGGTGCTTCGACATATCAAGAATGTCGAAGGGAGCATCAAGAAGACTGGCATGTCTGGCATGGCCGGTAACAAGGGAGCAGTAGCCATCCGAATGGAATATGAAAATACCCAAATTTGTTTTGTAACCGCACACTTGGCTGCAGGTTTCGCAAATTACGAGGAGAGAAACCGGGACTATAACACCATCCATCACGGGTTACGGTTCCAAAGAAATCGAGGGATTGATGATCACGGTAAGAACGCCGTTGACTGATCAAGGATTGAACGCTGATGGCAGGCAGATACGGTAATATGGATGGGTGATTTCAATTATCGTATCGGATTAGGCTCTGAGAAGGTTAAACAGTTAATCCAGAAGGGTGACTTGGAGGCCCTATATGAGAACGATCAGGTATGTTCTTGCCGTCAGTGCGACTTACAGATCGACTAACATAGCAAAGTTAAACCTGCAAATGGTTGCTGGTCTTACCTTCCCATATTATTCCGAGTCGCGGATAACGTTCAACCCAACCTACAAATACGATATTGGTGAAGATAGATATGATACTTCGTACGTCGCTTGGTCGTGGTTATTTGTCACTGCTAACTCTATGCCAGCGAGAAAGCTCGGATACCAGCTTGGACAGATAGAATCCTCCGCAAGGGATCGAACCTCCGCCAGATCAACTACAACACAGCTCCGCTCCGCTTCTCAGACCACCGCCCCGTCTGGGCCACCTTCCAGTGCACAGTGAGCATCGTCGACGAGGGCATCCGCGAAAGTCTGAGTCGCGAGATCTACGAGAAGCGCCGTGCAGAAGTCGATTCGACTGAAGCCGGACTAGACGACAGTGACGACGAAGACCTGATCGGCTATGATCCTATCGAACCCGGCCTGCCGCCAGCCAGCTCCGACAAGCGGAAATGGTGGCTCGACAATGGCCGACCCGCCCGCTCCGACCTCAAGCCGCCGCAGCCGGGCGCCATCCCGAACCCGAACCGTCCCTCGAATCCATTCGCGCCAACCGACGAGCCCGACTGGGTGACGGTGCCACGCATGCCGCCGCGTCCTCCCTCCCAAAGCAGCATATCTTCACTCCCGCCCCGCCCCTCATCCAACCCTCCGCGCAAACTCCCACCGCCTCCCACCCCATCCCTCGCCGCCTCCGCGACGCCCAACCTCTCCCAACCCTCCCTCCCCTTTCGAACCGGCACCGACCCAACACCCCCTCCCCTCCCCCGCCGCCCCTCCCTCTCCCCATCCACCACCACAACCACCACGAGCACCACCAGCTCCAAAAACCCTCCACCCCCACCTCTAACCCGCAAACCCGTCCATCTGACCTCCTCTCCTCCTCCATCCCAAACCCCCTCCTCTCCACAGCCCCAGCCCATCCCACGGAAACCGCCCCAGCCTCCGAGACCTGGGCGCGACGAGGGTCCTAGACCGGGATTACCGCCCAGGCCGCAACGGGATCTGTTGGGGGAGGACGAGGGAGGGTTGGAGGGGTGGGAGGCGTTGAGACCGGGGTAGGTTATGTAGGGTGTATAGAAAAGAAAAATTAAAAGGAAAATAAGCATCTCGTCAAGTCTGCATCGTGTAGCGTAGTATGTGATGAGTTCCTTTCTTTCTTTCATTCTCTCTTTAATGTAATCATGGCCAATCGATACTTTCTACCCTCTTCTGCCTCTCCTACCTCCTCTTCTCCCTCCCCTTGCTCTATTCCCTCTCCCCCTTTCACCTCCCCGCCTCTCACGCTCCACTACGTCCCACGCCCTCCCCAAATCCCACCCCACGCCCCTCAAATCCTCCTCAGCCCTTCTCAAATCCTCCTCCCCGACCACGGTCCCCGCCGCCATAACCTCCCTCAAATCCTCCAACCTGAACTCCTCGCCGACATGAGTCCACGCCTCCTCACACAGCATACAATCCCACAGCCTCAACTGTCTCATTCTCAACATATTCTGTCTATTCCGATGCCGATGATAGATCCTAACCTCGAACTGCCACAGATGCTGGTCCTCGCCCCACCCGCCACAGTGCCATGTCTGACACAATGGGAACCCCGGCGGGCTGGCCTCGTTCGGCGCTGCGAAGTCCCATACCTCCATCTCTAGGTACTCGGACCCGTACGGTACGAAACAGCGATGCGTGTGCTCGAAGTGGAATCCTGGACCCGCGGCCCCCTCTTCCTCCTCCTCCTCATGCTCCTCCTCAGGCTCCTCTGCACTGCCGCCTTTGGCATCGTCATCGTCACCATTCTCATCGCTGCTACTGCTATTGCTATTGCTGCTGCTGTGGTTATTGGTGGTATTAGGCACAGGGTACATAATCCCGAGCGTGATATGGTAGCTAGACGCGACCGAGATATCAAAAGCGCGTTCACGCGGCGCGGGACTTATATCGTGCGCGCTGGCATAACTCATAAAGCTCTGGAAACGCGCGTTGATGGGTGTATCCAGCCCAGCGACCGTGGTGTCCGGATAGCTGGGTACGAGGGAAGAGCAGCAGAACGTGTAGGAGGTCGGGGCTGCTGGCGCGGGCTCTATAGGAGGAGGTCGTGGGAGGAGAAGACTCAGGGAGAAATCCATGCTTCTTGAAGGAGTGGATGGAGGTTGGTTGGAAGATTGAAGATTCCCTAGGCTGGCTGGGGATGCTGAGCAAGGACTTGTTTTTGTTCTGGTTTCCTTGGTATAGAATAAGTAAGGTCTTGGAATCTAAAAGATCGTCTTCGTATTTTTCTTGGCCGGGTGGGGAAAGAGAAGAATTATTGCTATTGTGTGCAGTGCCCCAAAAATGTATGGTATGGTCTCGAGGTGCTCGCTCTCCTCTTCTCTGCTTCTTGTCATGTACTGAAGGCGCGCACTTTCCTCTGCCTTCTAGCTGCTGCTGCTTCTTCTCATCCTGGCCATATAAAATAAACTTTCCGAGCTCAACTCTTCACCAACCTAAGGTACAAAAAACATAAAACGACAATTTCGTTTATATTATCAGTAATAGCTGCTTATCCAGTAACATACGTCTTTGGAAACAGAACATCGCTTTCTAGATTGCTGTCATGCATCCTCTCTAGATTTGATTCCAGATAATGACTGGCTCGCGTTGAGAGGGAAAAGAATACGAAAGAAAAGAGGACGGAGCTTGAGAAAAGAAAAGAAGTTGTATTCCAGTAAAGTACCTATCTAGGTAGATATCAAGAGACACCGCCGAACCTCTCTCCTATACTTACCTTACCTTAGCGAGCTCCCCCCCCCCTTTTACTAAGCGAGGGGGCGTTGACGAGGGAGATTTGGATTTGTGGAGTTCTGGCTTGTGGTCTACCTAATAAATGACAGGCGGTAATATGGTAAGTATATTGTAATTTTGTGGAAGGAAGCGGTCAATGGCTAGGTAGAAAGCCACGAGTTGAGACGAGATCGTAAGGGAAGAAAGGACTGTTCCTGTAGTTGTTTACTATGCACAAGATATTATCCTGACAATCTCTTCTTTACACAACATTCGTTACCTTCATACAATATGAATAGACTACCTATTGTTATAACTTATCATCAAGCGAAGGTCCCTCCTTTCTATTGTCCTCGACAATGATGACCCACGTCCCAGTTTTAAGGACTATAGGTAGGTAACGTCTGTGACTTTAATTATACACTTGGTCTGAACTATGCTAATAGCTTACAGTTGGGAGGTACATGGAGCATGATGGAGGGTGCGAAGCTGTTGTAGTATGCATGGGAGTAATCGGAGGAGTCTGTGCGCTTATATCTTTTGGAAGGGGATGGGCAGGGAGGAGCGGCCCCAGCGGCGGACAGACAACAGCGGTATGAGTTTAGCTTTTGAGGAAAAGGAAAAAAAAAAACAACAAAAAAAAAGAGAAAAGTTTAGAGAGGGTAGAGTTACTTCTAGTATAGGTGTTGAAGACCTCTTGTATAGGTAGTACTGAGGGTATCAGATAGGGGGCCGGAGGCTGTGCTAGTAACTGCGTGGTCATAGTTAAATTCCCCTCGATTGTTCAACATACCCGTAGTATAAATAAAAACAGATGTTACTACTATACATGCCCTTTGAAACCAGGTATCTAATGTGATGCGCGGCATCATGCGCCTTGTAGATGCAGTAAAAGACATCCAACAGCTGGTATTAGCTAGTGGTCACCCACTTGTGTGTATGGCAGAGCGGATAGGGTACCCAATGCCCCTCTTCGTGCGAGATCACTTTCTGAATATAACACAATGGCAAGCTCAACTGCAATGCACGAGGGCATCTGTCAATTGACTCAGCTAGGTAAGGTAGGTAAAGCTCTGCTACAAGTCTCATACAATGTGTCTCCCATCACCGTCCAGCCTAGAAAGCAAACTCCTCACTCATCAAGCCATGTTGGCAAAAAGCAGACCCATCAAATGATTTTTTCCTTTTTGTTCAGTCGGAGACTTCAAGGAATCAGGAACGCAACGACCAGCGCACATTCATGCACCCTCCGGGTTCCAATTTTTCTTCCGGGAAAAGCAGGGCAAAGCAACCGTATCAACCTGGTTATGAGAGGGGTAAGCTCTGCCGTGACCACGTCAACTCCATCAACTCCAGCGCCATCATAAAGGTTCATCGTAAAAGAGCAATGGGAAGCTTTATGTGCTAATAATCAAATAAGAAAAGGTGTTAGGGCCGACGAGGGATGCCGCACATCCATCAGTCCATGTAGAAATCTCCCTTGAGAATCCGCTCTTGAAACGCATCGGGTTTCTTCCGAGCCGGTCTCTCTGGAGCCGGAGCGGGGGCTGGCGCAGGACCCGATACAGGAGGAGTCGGCATCTCGCCAAGGCTCCTGGTTCTCTCATGCATCGGAGTAGTCTTCGGGGCGCCAGTGGAGGCTGAGAAGGAAGGGCGCTGCGACTGCGAGACGGTGCTCTCAGCGCGGGATCTAAGCTGCTCAGACCAGTTGAAGCCACCGCCTTCACCTGGACGAGCGGAAACAGGGAAGTCAGATGCAGTTCTGGACTTTGATTGCATGCTTGCCTGATTTGCTTTTAATTTAGGAGGCGTCACTCCACCCCCGTTCCTGGATCCCGCAGGGATTGTGGGTAAAAAGGGGTTGGGCTTGGGAGCTGCACTGTAAGGGGGAGATCTACCGGCAGCGCCTGGGCTGGTGCTGGCCGCCCTTGCTCGGAATGCTTGTCCACCGACCGACATGCGGCGAGCGAAGGGTCCGGTCGGGATGCCACGGCCGGGGCTGTCATCATCGTCGATGGCGTTCTCATCGAACGAGTCGGAACGATCCGTCGAGGTGCTACCTCGACGGCCCCCAAATGCAAAAGGTGTAGCTTGAGTGGGAGAGTTCCCGGACAAGCCGAGGGTCGAAATCGACATGCGTCGTCGTTGATCTTGTGCGGCAGCTGTCGAGATGGCACCCGGGAAAGGGGCTGTTGGTCCCCCAGCTGTGCTGTTGGATCTGCCAAAGATCGAATTGAAGGTTTGGGAGGTGAAGGAACTGCGACGGTTTTGAGTGGAAGGGTTGGAGGGGGTATCTTCGTGGTTGGACATGTTGATGGATGAAATTGGACGATGGCTGCTCGCGTTGGATATCGCGGCAGTGGGCTATTGTAGTTTGAAGGGGGTATGCTTGTGTGTGAGAGATTTTTTTCAAATAGCCCTCCGCTGCTCTCTTCAGCTTCGGGAAATTTGCGGTGTATTCTTTCAGGTGGGTGACAATTCCTTTGTCGAGTGGGAGTGGTGCTGAGCCGTACCAGCGAGCTCTGGTGGTTCGGTCGTCCGATTTACGTCGGCTTGTATGGATGAGGAACGGGATTGAATGTGTCGAAGTGAGGATAGTGGCAGGGTGGAACGGGAAACGTATCTGATGGGCGTGAGCCTGGGAGGATTGGATAGAGAAGATGAAGCAGGACAGGACAGGATGGAGGATGGAGGATGGAATGATGGAAATGGATGATTGAAATGGACTGAAGAAGAGGGGATCTAGCTCAAGGGGCCCCCTGTCGCTCTGGCTTAAGCGAGCCAATCGATTGACACGATAGGACAGTGCCCTAACGTATCGCCCCTAGCCAAGCGATAGCCCGCGCTAACCGATAACATGAGTCGCCCCGGGAATCTCGACCTTCAAGCTTTACAACTACGCTCGACAGTCTTCGAATTTCTTGCTTTTTATTTTGTCAGACAGACAATCGTTGACAGTTCAACCCATCAGCTTGACCAAGGGTCAGAGTCATGGAGCGTTTTTCGAGGTTTGATACTGTCCAGAATGTGGTTGTGGTTATCGCCTGAGTAGGGGCCCCCCATGACGTTGTAGCCATTTAGCCCCTACGTTAGGGGTGAGCGACGAGTGTGGGGAAGGCGGCCGGGCTGGAGCTCCGGTGCACAGAGCGAGGAACCAGAGAGGCGTGAAAGGCACCGGTCAACTTGCCCGTCGACAGAGCCGTTTAAATCATGTCATTATTATCATCATTCCGCGCATCAGCCGACTCCAGGTCTGGCTATGCTACGCCTTTTCCAGATAGAGAGGACGACAACACGACATCATTCGACCAGCAAAGCCGCCCCCCTCAAAACGAACCCCTTTGAGTCTTGTACAGAACACAGTGGCGCGGCAGGAGCCGTGTTGGAGGATTAGAATTCTCGATCCCGATATCCGTACATCATGCGATGGCATGTGGACGTTGGATGATGTTCTTCGAGGTGGCGATTGGCCATTGATCTATGCAGCCACCCAGCAAACAAAGCCGTAAGATGCTGTCACGACGTATGCAAGCTTCCATGCTCCAATCCCGGATTGGGGGCGCTGAAAGCTTGTAAGGTGGTCGACAAGCGCCATGATCTCGATCCCCTTATCTTTGCTCACAGAAACAGGACCCTTACCGGTCAACTTGGTGCCTCCATCTGACACCTCTGCACCAGTGAGGTGGGTGTTCGGGGCCATGTCTCAGAGCGACCTAGGTGAGTAATCATGATAATCATCCCGATTCCAGATGCTGCTACTTAACTCCGACGACCACAGTATCACTAAACAAATTTCAAACGAACCCTCTAAGAAGACCTGAGTTAACATAGGGCCAGCCAATCAAATGATAGACTGTAGATGCTTACTGCGCATTATCCCGAGTTACTTGCCTCGGCTCTAGCTCTCAGGATCTGCGAACCATAGGTGCTGTACTCCGTAAGCCATCTCTTCCCAATCAGCTCATTAGACTGACATCCACCATGAAACAGATTCAATGCAGCATCTAACTCGGCCTACCTTCCTTTCTTCCTTCCCTCCTTACTGCTATAATATAAACGTCTCCCTCTGTGCCATCCTGATACAACTACTAAGAGTAGCTATCATCGATCTACCTCTTTAACATCTACTATCCCCTCCTTTTACAACGCTCTCTAATCCCAAAATTAGTGTCTCTTTCTACTCCTTATCCTCCACGCGTACGGTGTAGCTAAATCCCTAGCTCGTAGCGTCCTCTCCCTCTACTCCCTACACCACGGAACCACTCAATTAAACCAACCCCTCCTCCTTTCTTACATACAGCCCTTCCTTCCTCATGAATATATTTATGTTCATTTCAAGGAGGAGAAGCGTGAGATTGACAGAACTCGGCAGATGAATTCCAGGTATCTCTTCAAGTTTCCAGAAGATCTCATCGGGTTTCCTCCATTTCTTCCTCTCCCTCCCTCCTCTCCTGTTCCCCCAACTTTCTTTGTCAACTCGTTTCTGTTCATCTTCTCTTCCTGTCCTCCGCAACCGTCTGTCTTTATCTCTACAGCGGTTCCTGATTTATATTGCCGAATACGCTCCTCCTCCATAATTCACTATGGATCTAAGCCAAGGATCTTGGATTTCCCGCCTCGTGCGGTATCTCTCTCCTCAGGTGTCAAAGCACTTGATTTACCGCTATATTCTTCATCAACATAAGGCTCCTGGGCTCATGGAGTCGAGGCTGTTGAGTCGATCTTTGGTTCAACTGATCTATATCATAAGGAGTATATGTTGCTTTAGTTCCAAGTCTTTAGCTTCCGAGCCTCCACCATCTCCCAAGCCGGCCTTCGAGCAGGGACCCTCTCAATAATCAACCTGATTCCACTGTTCGCTGGTCCTCACCTCGCGTCCTCGCAGACCTGCTATGTGTAACCCTCGGCATGTTTCGGCAGACCCATCAGTCGGCAGGCGTCATGTAGTCGCACTTTCTACCTCAGAACCTGTTTGCGGTCATCGTAAGTGTGCGCTTCTCATTTATCCAGCACTGACTGTGTAGGGAGCGTCGGCACTCTGTTGCATCCTCCTACTGTCCTGTCAGATAAAAGGGTTATATATCACTATAAAGAAGTAGTAATAACGGGCGAATTTAAGTTAGTTAGGAGTAGATTAAATTAAATTAAATTAAATAGAATAGAGGGTAGTCCCCTGTTTTATATACTTAAAAAAGGGGTTACTATTTATATATATATACGCTATATCCGCTATAAATAAGGTATGTAGGTACCTAAGTACCTAAATCCTAATAACACTATAAACTATTAAAAACAGAGTATAAGAGATTAATCCTTATATATTAATTAAGGGTTAGTTAGTAATTAAGAAAACAGATTCTATATTCTAGTAGTAATTAACCTTACTATTTAATATACTCTCTTAGAGATTAAGGTAATTCTAGACTTAACTAGAGAGCTAAGTACTAGTATAGCTTTCTCTTTAGCTCTTTCTTTAATTAGGTAATAATAAAGCTATTCTTATACCTAAAGGTATATCTATACTTACTAGTATAGCTCTCTTTTTAAAAGGTTTAAGAATTAAAGAAAGTACGTAATAGTAAGTACTTAATTACCTTAACGTTTAAGTCTTAAAGCTCTTTAAAGAAGAACCTTAAAGACTTCTAGTACTCTAAGTAACAAGACTTATTAAGTAATAAGGTTAAGTAAAGAAGACTAGTAATAAGTAGAACTAAAGTATATAACTATAGAAATAGTAAAGTAACTAAGAAACAGTATCTTAATAATAAAAAAGAGTAGACTTTTTAAATAAGAAATATAGCGTAAAAATAAACTTTCTAAATAAGAAATATAGTATAAAAACTAGCGTTAAAGTAAGTAATTAAAGCTCTATAATAAAACAGATAGGTTTTCTACTTAAATAAAGAGTATTTAACTACTTTAATCTATAGACTAACTATTACTTAGGTTTAGGTTCTTAATATTTACTAGATTAAGTAATTTAATAAATTTAATATGTTTCTAGTATAGTAAGGCCTTAGTTAACTTATTTACTAGTATATTATAAGTTAATAGCTACTATAGACTAAGTCTTTCTTCTTTTACTTTTTAGTATAGCTAGTATTAGTAGATATCTATATACTTAAGTTTAGTAACTAGGTATAAAGTACTTAATTATATAAGACAGATAGTTTATGTTAGGTATATTTCTATAAAGTAAAAGAGGCAAGAGTTAATAGATAGTTATAGTATATTTAAAGGTATATTACTACTTTAACTATAGACTAATCTCTAAACCCTTCTTCTTTCTCTTCTCTACCCTTTATTCTTATACTCTTTAATACCTACTATTACCTTAGTTGTAGTACGTAGTTACCTTATACTTAATTTCTAAGCTATTATAGTCTTATATATTAGTGTACTTAATATAGTATCTTCTCTTTTTTAGCTTTTGTCCTTAGAAGCTTATAAGTAGCTATTAGATTATAAAAAGGCCGTGTTAGGCCTAGATATAGCCTTTAAATACCCTCTCTCTAAAATAAAAGAATAAATTAGTAAATAAATACGTAACTATATAACTAGTAGTATTAAGAAAAGGAGAGTAGTAGTGACTTTATAGTATAGTAAAGGCGCGTAGCTAAACTATAAGATTTCTATTATATATTGTACTTTTAGATCTCTACCTTATACCTCTTGTATTTACTTTTAGCTAAGACATATTATAGTAGAGTACTAGTAAGTTACTAGGTAGTCGTAAGACCCTTAATATATAGTACTAACTATATTACCTAGGCGTACTAGTATTCCTTACTCTTTTACTACTTTTAGAAATCTTTTGTTACCTTTTACTAAAAGGTTAATAGTATACTAATAGTAAGTAACTATAGAGATTAAACTATATTACTTATAATTATATTTTTTAAGTAAATATAAAAAAACACTTTCTTTATCTTTCTTTACTTAGTCCCTCTCTTATAGTACTAAGAGGTATATAAAGACTTGTTTTTACTAGTTTATTATCTCTTTTTCTTCTTTTTACCTTATATAAATATAACGCTACTATACCTTCTTCTCTTTACGACTCTTCTAACAAACTTTTAACAAACCTTAATTAAACTACTAATAATAATATAGTACTAATAAAGCGTTTAGTAGCTTATAAGTAATACCTAAACTAAATAGCTTTATAAGACCTATAAGGTACCTTCTTAAAGTATAAGGATAACGACTATAAGTACCCTTTTCTAGTTAAGAGTAACGGCCTAATAGTATAGTAGCTATATTAGTAAAGTACATATACTATAAGAATCTAAAGAAAGAGTACATTTTTATAAGTATAACCCCTTTTAAGGTAATACTCTTATATTATAGCTTTATTAACGTTACTAGGTTATTTTAACTCTTTAAGCTAAAGGAATTAAACTTTAAAAAGTAATTATAAAAAAAGATAAGGTAAGGTAGTCTATTGTTTATAGTAAAGTTAAAGCTAATATAAATAGGCTATAATTTAGGCTACCTAAACTTTAGTAAAAAAGAGCCTTTAACATT